ATATAAGGGTAGATATTCCCTGTTACTGTTTGTACTTATATCTACAACTACACATTCACATAGTATATTCAACCTTTAAAAAAACCCTTATATTACTAATTTCCACATCCTTCATCATGAAGCTTGTTCTCTTTATGATGTCTCTTCTAGCTGCAGAATCTCTAGCAATGCGGTGCTAGTATAACACCTATCCCCTATAATACTAAGTGTTCCTACTCACAATGCATAGTTGTATAAACCATGGCAGTAAGCATAACACGATCACCGATAACGCTTGTCCAACCCACGTCAAACTTGACCACAATGGATTCTTCTACTGCGAGTGGGATGGTAGTGAAAGGTCTTGGATAGAGGTAAGTGCTATAAAACAGCGACACAGACAACAACATCTAATAAACGTAGCGCTGCCAAGAAGAAGATTCAGGATCTACTGGAGACTGTATTTAGGGATCTAGAGGGGAGGAATAGAAAAGAGACAATAGGACAGACCTGTCTAGCAGTTAAAGAGAAGAACTACTGTCAAATAGTAGGGATTGTAATGGTTGATTGATTGTGTTGTTGTGTGTATGTGTAACTATGGTGAAATCCCGTGGGAATAGGGAAGTCCCCCATTCCCCGGCGATTCGCCGTAGGGCAACCGTGCATTCGACGGTGAATTCACGTGTACTTTCGCCACATTTGACAGGAGTAAACAGCAACCTGGGCATACGTAACAGTAGTATTTTTCAACGGCAGCCGTCATGGACTCAATTGAAGAGACAGACGGAGCTTCCACGAGCTGTAATGAGCTAACTGAACAAATCACGTGAAGAATTGATTTGGGAAACGGGCGCGGCGACGTGATGATTGTTCTTCAATACCATCATCCAAAGGCAAAGAAGAAGAAGAAACCAGAGCTGCACGGACTTCTAGTGTCGTCGGAGGCGATAGCTTGATCCTCTCCTGTATGGGAGAAGATGTTTAGAGGTCAGTGGGCAGAGGCCCAAGCTCACCGCCCGCTTGTCCTCGATCACAGAGAAGACGACTACAATGCTGTAATGACTATCATGAACATCATTCACTTACGATTCAACGATGTTCCTCGAACCGTCACACTACGCGAGCTTAAGGCAATAGCAATCTTTACAGGTCAACGCATGGCCACGGCTCTTGTTGTGCCTTGGATCGAGCGATGGCTGAAGAACCTCTCTCATCTTGTGGAAACAGGAGGATACGAAACTGACTGGCTCTAGGTTGCTTGGGAGTTTGGCCTGGCCGATGTTTTTGATCGCATCACTGGCAGGCTTGAGTACGGGGCCCCTGTTCCAGTGGATGAACCCACATCAGCACCCTCAATGTCTGGCACTTTTGGTCGTCCCGAAGACTCAGCTTCCTCCGGGGAAGAATATGAAGTCCGGGATATTCTCTACGACGTTAATCTTAACATGCTTCCCCCGGGAGTCAAAAGTAAGTAAAGTGGTCTAAGGGAGTACCAGAAGCTAACGTCCGTTTAAAGATGCTGTCAAGGCTACTAGGCAGGCAATGGTGGATCGTCTGGTGACGGAGGTGTACCACTACTTCGAGGCACTACTACAATGGACGGATGGCGACAAACAATGTGGCGGAATCTCCGCAGCTAGATCAGTTTGCGCTCATTCAGTAGCTGACTGTATTCGGCTGCAGATAGGGGCGTTATTTCCTGCCTTGACTTCCCTTGGGCTGTGGCCAAAGCCAGCCCCGGCAGATGTGTCAATGAGCCCGGCTCAGTTGCGGGCGACACTTCTTAAGATTCGGCTGCCGGACTATGAAAACAATCGTTTCAGGAAATCAGATGGAGACAGGTTCGGTCTTTTGGATGACTCTGGGCGTAAAGCATGCGGAAGTTTTCACGAGATCTTGAAGCGTCTGGAGAGTATGCAACTTGAGCACTATGAGGTCACCAACGAGACGCAAATGAACCACCTACAAGCGCAGCAGGCTAAGATTGGTCTAGAATTCGACTTTTCGTCATCTGGGACTTTTAAGGCGGTATAGTGAAAGAATCAAAAACCATCCACCAGGAGTAGAAAGCCGGAGTCGACCCCTTACCATAGAGTTGTGTCATCCATGGCGTCACCGTCGTGTCGACTAGATGCTCTGGTAGACGGTCCTGCTTTTGTCGTGACGTGCCGCTGAAAGATGCACCATTTCTACTAGCAATTTCCCTAGAAGTCTTAGTTAGACGTCTTTCCTCTGGTTTACAATAGTTTATCTTATAGGCGCTTGGTATCTTCTCCTTTGCGATGAGCACCATACGTCTAAGAAATAGAGATGAACAGTGGTCGATCTTTCTTAAGGTCTACAAAGGTATCTGACACGAAGGTTCGGGTTTAAATACCCATGAGATCGGTCACGTGGTACTGTGTGTGGCTTTTGCAATCTAAAGTGGTTGACGGAGTAGTCACTGATGGCAACTCGCCTACTCAACTTCCTCCACACTGACGACCAGCCTTCGTATCCACCGCACATGCAGTCACTCACCTATCTAGACACAACGAGACTACTAAGCCCACGATAACTACCCCCCCTATGATGACTTCTAGGAAAAGCTCTCAGGAGCCATCCCGAATATTCATTCAAATGTCCGCTGCACCGGGTTCTGGGAAGAGCACGATGGCGAGGCTACTGCGGTAATCGATTGGCGGACTGGTCATCGAACACGACGTCTTCAGGTCTGCCCTTCTTGAGTATGATGACGTGGTATTTGACGAAGTAGCGAAACGCGCCTATCATCTCCAATGGTCACTCGCCGAGGACGCTATGAAACAAGGCCTGAATGTCATCATCGACAGTACCTGCAACTTTCAAGAGATTCTCCATCAGGGATCCGCGCTTGCTGAAAAACACGGTTTCACCTATTGGTATGTCGAGTGTAAGGTCGAGGACATCGACCTACTAGATGAAAGGATGCGCTCGCGAGATTCGATGAAGAGTCAGCGAACCGGTGTCGATTGCCCCCCTGCTGCGGCATGCCATGCTCGTGCAGGCGAAGACTCTCGCGGTCTCTTTAAGAAGTGGATCGAGAACCTGTGCCGTCCGGAGCACGACGCTATCGTCGTGGATTCAAAGGGTAATCCAGAAATACACCGAGGCCACATTTTGAAGCGGATTATTGGTCAGCCCCGGTGATGTTCGGGTGAGTAACCATTTCTACTAGCCAGCGACGATGACAGAACAAAGCACTGCAGCCTTACGATCACAGACTGACGTTAAATCAGACAAGACATTTGCGACCTGAAGACCAGAAGCTAGTGATGGTCTCTTGCCTCTATCCCATAATTGTTATGCTGACTCGCTGACGTTCATTCGTCGATCCAGTCCAAACTTCGAGTTCCAAGCATGCTCCAGCCGCTGACAGCCTCGCCGATCCGGTTGCCGATAATTAACCCTCAGAAGGAGTCTTATTACTACGCTGCAACTACCATGAATGGTTTTATAATCATGCAGTACCAGTGCTCTGCGTGTGGCAGATGGCGCATCATCGGTGTGCTGCTGTAATTTCCTGGGAGTTGTCAGTCATCTATGAGACAGACCCGTCTGGATTGCTCAGGACGTCCTTTTCAAATAGGCAGCAATCATAAGTTTTGGTTCGGCTTCTCGAAAGAGGAACTTTCAGACCCAAAACGAACGAAGGCCTCTCAGCTTTCCAGGTACAGCTTTCTTACACCAATGAGGCTACAACCCGGGGCGGTATGTCGAACCGAGCGAGTTTCTCAGATTGGTGCAACGGAGGGTTTTACCAGTGCGGTAATTGGCAAAGCGAGGGTGTATCACAGGATTGCGGTAGTGTATTTAACGGTTGATGATACTTGGCGTTGAGGTCGCCGAGCTAATTGAGACTACCAGCGAGGTGACAGCAATTGGCGTGAATAGAGCCCCCAGGTCATGCTTTCAAGAGCAACCGCGCAAGAAATGGCTAAGCTACGATTAATAAATACAATTTGCCTGAAATTAATACACATACGTCAATTAGCTTACAGAAATCTTAGCGCTTACTTCCCTGTGACCTCTTTGCCTTCTTCACAGACACCAAGTCTGTGAGGGAAGTGTCTGGAGTAGTTTGCTGTCCGTCCAAAGCAGCAGGTAGGCAGCCTTGTTCACCAATCGCCAGGTTGGAGTCAATATCCGACTGCGAGAGTTCATAGTCCTCAAGCTCTTTGTCACGAGCCGAGAAGGACCATAGGGGGCTCAGGGAGCTAGTGGGTCTCGGAAGATCTAGAGAGTAGAGAGGAGCACTGGTAGCGGACCGCTGCTAGGCAACTGGTGCTCGTATTTGAGAGCCAAATATCCAGCAGATAGCTGAAAGGAGGGCCAGGGTTGAATGTAGCCACCCATTCACATCCACCTTCGACCTATCTACCGTTGACCTCCTCACTCTTGGAGAAAGACCGGTTTACGGAAGCGATGAGACATCGGAATTCAAGTATAATGGTAACTGGTCAATGGCCAAAGCATTCTCGTGAAGTGCGTTGGCATCCAAGCAGCGTGGAAGTTCTTTGTGAATTGACGCGCCGTCCACATCTCCTAGCCGTCAAGCTCAGTGAAATCAAACAGACGAATCAAATAGCGATAATACTTCGTGTTATATCCATATATCACGGGATATTAGTGACCGTAGATTCTGACAAGTCGATGGTCGGCCGAGATGGAGAAGGCGGGAATCTGACGGCGGACTTCCTAATCACGCTCCAGAAGCCGAAACATTCTACTTACTCATCATGCAATGCAGGTTACCAAAGTAGATATGCGCTCGAGCCACGGGCTGGAAGTTGCGAGCCAGAAGAGCCGAGGCTTGTCACGCTCAATGGGGTTCACGGTCGGCTGTGATGTGCGGGGAGCAAAGCAACATATGATACGTACGAACCCAAAGACTCTAGACTAGCAGCCTTCCTTCCCTGTTCAACAATAGTTTCTTAAATCTTTATAGCGTCCAAAGTAATCTGCGTCTCATACGTCTTTGACGAAAGTTGACCATCTTCACCATGCCACTGCGAGCAAACCTCCCCGAGCATCTTGCGTCGCGCCAAAATGACACCGCACGCATCGCCTCCGCATCCGGTTCTTCTGCGGACCGACGACATGGGTTAGCCGAGCTCGCTCGTGAAGAAGACATCCAGTACATCGTTGGCGACTGGCTGTCGGAGTACAACATGGCTCTCCGAGGTGGCGCGAAAGCTAACCATCCGACCGACTCATCCGAGTTCGAGCCCTCTTTTCTCCAGGCAATCGAACCAGCACTGAAGTACCTCGACGCCAGGCGAATTAAAGTTGCGGTCAACGCAGGAGCGAGTGACACTAAGAAGTTGCACGACGTTCTGATAAGCATGATTGACGAGAAGGGCCTCAAGCTTAAAGTTGCTTGGATTGAGGGGGATGAGGTCATTGATGTTGTTCAGGAGGAACTGAAGTCAGGGAAGGGATTAAAGAACTTAACAACAGGTGGCTGTTAGTGAGAAACACTGAATTGGGAGTAACGCTGACCTGCAACAGGCGAGAACATCAAAGATTGGCCGTTTGCCCCGGTCTATGCGCAGGCATATCTCGGCTGTTGGGGAATTGTAGAAGCATTCAGGCAGGGTGCTCACATCGTTCTGTGTGGCCGCGTAGCCGATGCATCACCGACGATTGCTTGTGCGGCCTTTCACCATGGCTGGCGCCGCAATGATTACTCTCAGCTAGCCCACGCCCTCGTTGCCGGACACTTGATTGAGTGCACCACGTATATCACTGGCGGCAACTTCTCGGGGTTCAAAAGTTTACCCGGCATATCTGTTGATATTGGCTTCCCAGTAGCCGAAGTCGAGGCAACCGGCGAGTTCTGCATTTCGAAGCAAGCCGGAAGGGGTGGTATGGTGACCCTCGAGACGTGTAAGGCCCAACTGCTGTATGAAATCCAGGGGCCTTACTATTACAACTCCGACGTTGTGGCCGTACTCGACAACATCGAGATGACGCAAGTAGGGGATGACAAAGTGTACGAGACCCTGGCATGGCCTTAGTACATGTAATCATGTCGCTTTTACTAACATTGATTTAGACGGGTTTTCAATGTTGGAAACATCAAGCCACCGCCGACAACCAAGGTTGGCATAACTGCCAAAGGTGGATACCAAGCAGAATCACATTACTTCCTCTGTGGGCTGGATATCCAGGAGAAGGCTGCCCTCTTTGAGCGGCAGCTTCGGCATGTTTTGGACGAGAAGTCATTTTCCTGTCTGAAGTTTAGTACCAACGGATCGTGTCCAGTAAACCCAGCCAATCAAGACGCTGCAATGGTTGACTTGCGCGTCTTCGCCCAGGCTTGCAATGAAGAAGCTTTAGCACCATCGAGGTTCCTCAAGCCGATCGTAGACAACATCATGCAAAGCTATCCAGGGGCCACCTTCCACCTGGACACGCGGCAGGCATTCCCAAAGGAGTACTACGAGTACTGGGTCAGCATCATCCCGCAGAGCGCCACAAAGCACGTATGCCATTTGCCGTGGAAGAGTCAACAGGTGGAAATTGCCCCACCGTTAGATACCGTTGAGTTTGTATACGAACAGCCGACGTACGAAACCAATAGCCCTATTACCCTTTCTTCCCTTGGGCCGACAACGATAGCGCCGCTTGGATACGTTGTGCATGCGAGATCCGGGGATAAGGGCTCGGATAGCAACACAGGGTTCTTCGTTCGGAATGCGGATGAGTGGGACTGGCTGAGGTCGCTCTTAACCATTGGCAAGATCAGAGAGCTTTTGGGAGAGGACGATAAGGGGAAGCCCATCTTCCGTTTTGAGCTTACACGGCTTTTTGGTGAGTGGCAACGATCCGGCCCTTTGGTCACCTCAATACTGAATTGGAAATAGCTGTGCATTTCCTCTTAAAGGACCACCTGGATCGCGGGGTCACTGCCAGCTCGTCATATGACTTTCTCGGCAAAAACGTGGCAGAGTATCTTCGTTGCAAACTCGTCGAGATTCCGGATAAATTCTTGGCTCGAGGCAGAATCTAATCAATTTTTGCTTGCCAACACACGGTCCAAATGGCACCCGGAGCGATATCGAGATGTACCAAGTCTCCTGGTGTATACCGCGCTTCCGAGACATCAGCGGGAGGGACTAAGCCAGCAACAGTGTGAAGAGTGACGAACATCGATGGAACGCCTTCATCGATGTGAGCTGAAAGGTGGAACGATGGAACGATAGCTCCTGAGATCGTTGATTGTTTTCTTCTACCTGGTTCTGGGGATGGTTCTTCCCCTCGAGAAGCCTAACAGAAATGGCGCCCTCTAGAAGTTTCTTTGAGTCCAATTCGTTGTGCAAGCAAGGTACACTCTTTCATTTGAGATTATTAGTTTTATGAGTCTTATGATGTGTGACCTGGTGGTCGGGGTGGGCTTTTGTGTGTGTGGTTGACGATTTTGCCTCCCATGACATACAGCCCAGAAACACCAAGATTCGTCACGCCACTTCTTGCCACCCAGTCAGCTTCTTCATAGAGATAACGTGTGACCACCTCTATACCGGAGGTTTTCAGCCGCGGAGGATGTACACATGCAAGCAAAGAGAGTCGCTCCCTGTCGCTGATTGCTCTGATCAGCATGCTCCTGCAATCCCTTATCAACATTGAGCTCAGACTCACGTATCACACACTCAAAATCCAATCTGCAATGGAGGAAATCTGGGCAAGTTTCCTGAACTGGCACAATGGGTGACGTGATGATGAGCGAGTGGCGGTTGAAAAAAGCAGGGACTGAGACCAAGGCACACTTTGATTGTCAAACCGCGCAGCGACCGACATACAGAACGCACGGCCAACCATCCCAGATTAGGCAACTTTGAATGTCGGTCACCTCTGAGAATCCTCAACGGACCATTCACTTCATGTTCCGGAGTCTCCTCAACGTGCCCCGGGAGCTCGGGGCCCAAACAGACCAGCCCCACTGATCTCCTGCGCCTGTCTCTCGGGATGCTACAGCCTGCGAGCCTCCGACAAGCTCCCAAACAGTCCGGCTGGGTAGGTGTAGGTATACCTAATCCCTTCCATGCCTGATGGAACGGCTTCTCGGGAAACTGGAGTACTCCCCAAGTGTTTCGCGTTAAGCCACCGGAGCATATGAGGCGCCGTCAGATATCAAGTTGGGATCAGCTATAGCATGCAGCCACAGGGAGGATTTAGCCCAACTGAGGCACCAATACGGGGCGGTCCATCTTAAGGTCACACGGGTGCACAATGATACTCTAACCGTGTAACTTAGTCCGAAAAAAACACAGCATCAGTAATATGTCAGATAGATATTCAACACAACATGATACAGCCCAACGTCATGCGCGGTTTTGGTATTTATTCTTCTGGAACGACCGCCCGCTTATCAGTTCTCCTCCGCAAACTTAATGAACTTTCCCCAGACCCCGGCCTTGGTTCCCCAGAAACAGCCAAGTCATTCGAAGAGCAGCCGCTTTACATTCATCGTTCCCCTCCAAGAAGCCCACTGTAGGATCCACCTTTCACGATTCTTCCTTCCAGCAGCATATCAAGGACACAATGCCGAGACTTTGTGACGCCATTAAAGATGATCACCGAAAGATCGAACAAGCCTATCGATATATCCTCACATCCACAACCCCCGATGACAAGAACCGCTGGAAGAACGAGCTCGCCCTCGAACTTGCTCGACATTGCATAAGTGAGGAGCGGGTGCTGCTACCCGTCCTCAAGGACCGGCTGGCGGATGGAGATTCACGGAGCACCAAGCACAATATCCACAGAGAGAGCGTCAGTTTTCCCGTGCCGTCTTTCAGGATATCGTATCTAACTTAACGTAGCTAAAGGAGAAGATTTGCTTCCTTAGGGCTATCCCCGTCACGGACCCGAGCTTCGAACTCGGGATGAAAGTGCTTTGGGTTGACATGGCAGCCCACGTCCGCGACACCGACCACCAAGATGTCGCTCGTCTCGAGGAGTGCCTTACCATCCTCGAATCAGAGGACTTGGCGCGGCAATTTCGAGAAACAATGTCATTAGCGCCAACACGGAGTAACCCTTCAGCTGACATGGGGCCCCCATCGCAGTTGATCACCGATTTCCTCGCCACTAAGAGCGGAACCGTCAAAGACATGGACCCTATTTCGCGGGGCTGCCGGTGAGATATCCGGGCGTAGAGATGAGTGTATGAAGTATGTTGGATATGGCGGATTCAACGAGTTTTCGACAGAATAAAGACATTATCTGCCTTTTCCGAAGTTTTGTGGGTTAACCATGGCTGCATAACTTGAGGTGTGTGTAATGTCTTGTTTAAGTTCTGTGACTGCCAAAATGACATCAAAACACGCACAATGTCTGAAGTAGCATACCGATGCAGTGTCGAAGCATAACTGCAATAGCAGTGACATCACCGCTGCACCATTGGTGACCTTCTGGGTCCGAGACCCATGAATCTATAGCGATTTTACGTGTATAGTAGGTTCTAGATTGTCTACCCCACAGCCCTTTGGACTATGCCGTACCACGTTATCTGGAAACAGAACTTCAATACAGTGCATCATCGAAACTGTTAGGTTCAATATGCAGAACTTCGAGGACGGAGCTACTGGAACTCTCTGTATCTACGAGGCTAATCAGGGCCGGGGCCGGAGCCGGGGCTCGGGACCAGCTCCAAGCAAGCCTGCATTCAGTCACGTTCGCGCCATATGGAGTCGAAAATGCCAGGGCTGCGTTTCATTCTCTATGACCATCTTCATCTAAGATCCCTCTCTTATCCGAACTCGTGGAGATATTCATGATAGTTATTTACCCTCTATAGCTGCAATAAACGTAATCAGAGTTAAATGTGGAGGTTCTTACATAGCTAATCCCTTCTAATAAACTCTGCAAGGTGTTCAGAGCAGTAGGAGAACCAAATTCATACGGGAGATGATTCCAGAGAGTGAAAAGATGAACAGTTGATCACGTTGTCGTTGCGTACTCACCGACATCCATAATTCTGGCATCGTGGCCATGAAATTCCAAAGCAGGCATAGAAAGGGCTGGACTTCTCTTCCCAGATGCTGTATATAAGCTCTTCCCCAGTCACCATCACCTCGGAATCTATGTTATGTTCCAGCCAGGATCCACCTGAAGTCACTTACCCTTACCACCCAAACACACACGATGTCCCATCACAGGAAAAGTTTCAGGGACGAGTACCCGACCCGTCGACGCCACCACTCTTCGAACTTCTATGATGAGTACAGAATAGATGCACAGAAATGCCTGATATGGGATGCAGAGGCCGTAAGAGCTCCTCCCAGACGCCAAAATCAACGGGACCGGAGAAGCCAAGCTGAGCTTTACGAAACCGAGAGATACCGGCCGCGTACAGAGCGGTAATGCATCTACGAAGAAAGACGGCCACGTTACCAGCAGAGATCGGACAATCTTTTGGATGATAGTGAGCACCATCGCAGCCGCAGTCACCACGACAGCTATGAGAAGAGCAGCAAGAGGAGGCACTCGATTTCGGGTGATAAGGATTGGAGTCAGCCGGCTGTCGCGGCCGCTGGCGCAGGCATCGTCGAAGCTTTCCTGGAAAGACGCGACAGGAACAGAGCCGCTCGAGTGCTGACTGCAGCGGCGGCAGCCGGGATCCTCGATGCCATTACTACAAAGGACACTATAAAGCCGGAAAGCAGGTTGGAAAAAGTCTCCGGCGCCGTTGTTGGTGTTGCAATAGACCGCATCGTCAATAGGCCCCTGAAAAAGCATTGCAAGCGTCGGGCACATCAATAACAACGCGACTTTTTACGAATATGGAAACGATTCAAACAATTTTTTCATACAGCCACTGTTGAAGTTCTCGTCACTTGCGTCTTGGTTTACGGCGCCAGTTCCTTGACTGTTACAACAATTTCTCCTCTGTGGTTGAGATCTATTGAGTATTGCACTCTGAGCCAGTTGGCTCGAATCACGGACCAGCTCGACACTATGCACGCCTGAATCTTGCACCTATATATGCCACACTCACTTACCCTTATATGAAAGACCTGGTATGTTTGTGAAATCAGTGACGTCGAAATTCCTTCATTACTTGCAGGAAACTGGTGGTATGCAATCATATATACAATCTGTTTACGCTTCGCTTGAGCCGGTGCAATGCCGGTCTAACTTTTGCCCAAAGCTGTGCCGAACAGCCGGCGATGACGGCTTTGCGATTGATATTAAGACTAATCAAAGATTCCGAGAGGTTAGTTTCAGTATGTCGTCCGGGCTAGCCATGATTCCATGTGCCGGCGTTGCCAAGCGATTCGCGGGAATGTACGGACGCAATCTAGATATCGGAGGGAACATTTCCGCCAAGCCAACAGTATTGCCTTGAACTCACTTCCGGCTCAGGCAAAACGATAACTGGGTTAGTTCCATAGATGACACCTTCCGCTCACAGAGCTACGGACTCTGTTCCGCCGTAGCCATGCATCCAAGCTAGCTGAGAACTCGGGCTAGCCGCTAGTCAAGAGCAGTCCCAGGCTCGAAATAGGGACGACTCCATGACTTCCACGTTGAGTGCAGGGCAAGTATATAAAGGTTGGTCTTCTGGGTCTATAGCTGGTTTCGACTTAACTGACAAGCACAAATTTGGCATCTTTTATCAATATGAGGCTTCTCAATCTTCTTGCTGCCGCTGGCTTCTGCCAGGCCCACACTATATTTGTCTCACTTGACGCGGATGGCGTCAACAGCGGCATTTCACAAGGCGTTCGAACGCCCGACTACGACGGCCCTCAAACTGATGTCACGTCCCAGTATATCGCATGTAATGGCCCGCCAAACCCGACAAAGCCGACAGACAAAGTAATCACTGTGACCGCCGGGTCTACGGTCACTGCGATCTGGCGTCACACGTTAACCAGCGGTCCAGACGACGTCATGGACGCCAGCCACAAAGGTCCAACGATCGCCTATCTCAAGAAAGTCAACGATGCGAAAACCGACACGGGGGTCGGAGGCGGCTGGTACAAGATACAAGAAGATGGCTTTAGCAACGGCGTCTGGGGCACTGAGAGGGTCATCAATAACGCGGGGAAACACAACATCACCATCCCCAAGTGCATTGCGAACGGCCAATACCTTCTCAGGGCGGAAATGATCGCCCTGCACAGCGCCAGTTCATACCCTGGAGCGCAGCTGTACATGGAATGCGCCCAGATCAACGTCGTCGGTGGAACTGCTGCCAAAACGCCGTCGACCGTCAGCTTTCCTGGGGCTTACAAGGTGAGTCAACTGCACTATTGACCCCAAGGCTGTGTGGTATGCTGACTCCGTTCACAGGGGACTGATCCAGGCATCACTCTTAGCATCTACTACCCTCCTGTCACGAACTATGTCATCCCCGGCCCGCAGAAGTTTTCTTGCTAATCAGCACGATACTGTATGCCGGTATATCACGCTGGACGGTGAGGAATCCTGTTTTACAGGCCGCGAATGGAATATATGGACGCGGAAATTTCATCAATCTAGCAACAGAGCTTTAGTAAGAACTCATAGTACGTTTGGAAATGTCAATAACGCACCTGACTATGTCGCCAACCTTGAAACCTGGATTTATCCCACGTGTGAAATTCATGAAAGCCTCATGTTAGCGCTCGGAAACATCTTTAATGCCGAGGTCTTAGACCTTTTATATATATAAGTCAGCTTAACGACAGGGCATGAACTGTACACGACACTCCTACCATTGGTTCCAATGGACATTAAGTTGGCCTTGTTACCGAAGGCAAGAGGAACGGGTCCATCATGTGCTCATCGGCCTGTGATCTATGGCTGAGACTATTATAAAGAGGCCGAGTGAGTGGAAACAATTCTTATTTGTTATTTGGCGTTTGTGAGATGCATCAACCGTCATTTCGGTTCCATTAGCTTTAGAAATATTACAGGCTGGCCAGCAAGTTGCGTCAGTGTTCTTTCCATTTAGATATCCAGTGACCAATAGAAGACGAATGTTGTATGCCAGCTACTGTCGTGAAACCATTGCAGTAGAAACCAATAGCCCCTTCACCACCTTCATATATCAACACAAACAAATGAAGAAAGGATCAAGTTTCTAGATGTACCGTGTAATAGGCTATGTAGACATCAATGATAGAAAAGGCTCTTTTTCTTCACCTTTGTACAAGTGCTCAACATGAGGTACTTGTGCTTGTGATTCCGACTTCTGAAAAAGGATAGTTACTTCAAGTGATTTTATAAGCTAGCTTCAAGGCCCACATCTGCTGAGTGAAGCATAGTTATAGCACTGTTGTCAAGAGCTTCCAGTAGGGAAGAACAAACTACACGTAGCCATGAGTAGTTAGAACAGTATTCTTCTACCACATTGCTTATTACCTAAGCTGGTTATTCTGTCTCGGTTTCAGTGGTTTGCTACATTACTTCGCATTGCCATCGCGCAATCCGCCTGATACCTATCGGATTCCCTGGTGCTCCAGGGCTCGAGACAACTCTCAGTAGAGCAGACCTCGCCCAGGAAGTGGATCTGCTCACTATTTAGGGTGGGGTGGTTACTGGCAAGTTGAGTCATGTATCGTTTCAGCATCTGTTATTAATTCCATTATAAAGAGGCTATCATCACAAGCGATCATGGTTACAGCGTAAACACTTGGCGTTAGCTTATCTACCTAGTTCTAGGTCATCTCGCTAGACTTGGCGAAAAATTCCCTTCGGGCCCCTTCGGGCCCCTTCGGGCGCATACTTCAACGATTAGTCATTCGCTCTTCGGATGACTTAAAGTTTTCCTGAGCCTGTCCGTGAAAGGCTTTGTGGTATACCTATACGGCTTTGAAACAGATCGGTCTAGAGTATATACCTTAGTCTATCAGTGCCTGAATGCCACACATCTGTGCTTAACCACCATCAATACGAGAAAATCATACGAGTGTTGATTCTCAGGTGTTCAAAGACGCAAACTATTGTCAAGTTAGGAAAGGCTAGTGATGGTGTGGCTGATAGTCCTGAGCTCTGTCGGCGCGCTATTGCTGCCAGCACTGATCCCTAATCAGGTAGGACTGGACATGTAGTGGGGCCACGACGATCTACTCATCAATTTTTGAATTAGTAGGAAATGTAGCCGGGTGCTTTGTCATTTGACGATAGGGCTTCGTTTAAGTATGCAGTTGATCCCGTGGGGGTTGTGTAGTAAGGTCCCGTAAGTTATACTTCTCGCCTGTATTCTCTTCAACTGATCAATCGTTTCAACATGCGTATCTCGTATGCCTTGATCACATTCGTTACCTCAGGGAGCCTGGCTAGCGCTGCCCCTGGCAAAGACCAAACTCATCAACACGCCGAGCACAGGCGCCAGCTGGGTACGAGTGCTGGAAATATTGGAAAGGACGCGACATTCGACTATGTAATTGTTGGCGGTGGCACCGCTGGTCTCGTGATGGCCAACAGGCTGAGCTCCCAGAGCGGAGTCACCGTGGCTGTCATCGAAGCTGGGACGTTTTATCAAGTCACGAATCCCATCCTCGGTAACACGCCAGCTGGCGATGTGATATTCGCTGGGTCAAGCCCGCTTGATTCCAACCCGCTTGTTGATTGGAATTTCGTCACACAAGGGCAAGCGGGAGCCAACAACCGTAGGGTGCACTACGCTCGTGGCAAGTGTCTTGGTGGCAGGTAAGCTTGATGGGCCCTGTCCAATATCAAATTGAAAGCTTCTAAAAAAACGATCTTGTAGTTCTGCTCGTAACTTCATGATATACCAGCGCGGTACCGTCCAGACCTATCAAAAGTGGGCGGATGCCGTCGGGGATGACAGCTACACTTGGGACGCGCTCCTCCCCTACTTCAAGAAGAGCGTCAAGTTCACAACACCCAAATCTTCCCGTTCTCCCAACGCGAGTGCAAAATACAACTCCGGTGCCTTTTCTGCTGCAGGTGGACCGCTCGACGTCTCATACGCAAACTATGCTCAGCCTTTCAGCGCTTATCTCGAGCCGTCTTTGAACGAGATCGGGATCTCCCAGACTCAGGATTTCAACAGCGGCCAAGTGATGGGGGCCCAGTACTGCTCTAGCACCATACAGCCCAACTCCCAGAAACGCGAATCCAGTCAGACGTCCTTCCTCGACGAGGCCATTGGCCGCAGCAATCTAAAGGTCTATCAGCTATGCCTTGCCAAACGAATCCTCTTCGACAATAATAAGAGGGCCACAGGCGTAGTAGTCACCTCCAACTTGGGTCTAGGCACTTTTACTCTCCAAGCCCGCAAGGAGGTCATCTTGTCGGCGGGTGCCTTTCAGAGTCCTCAGCTGCTCATGGTATCGGGCATTGGCCCCAGGGATCAGCTCGAAAAGTTCAACATCCCCGTCGTTGCCGAGCGGCCTGGTGTTGGCAAGACTATGGAGGACCACGTCTTCTTCGGTCCTACGTGGCGTGTCAAAGTCCAGACTCTAACCCGTCTCGCTAACGACCTGGTATATACTGCGGCCCAGTTTGCTGGCCCTTATACCCTCCTGAAGCAGGGCCCGCTCACCAACCCGATTGCTGATTTCCTTGGTTGGGAAAAGACTCCTCGTGACCTCATCTCCGCCGAGGCTGCCGCGGTTCTCGACAACGAGTTCCCCCCAGACTGGCCTGAGATCGAGTACTTGTCCGCTCCAGGCTACGTTGGTGACTTCAGCAACCTTCTCACTACCCAACCCAAGGACGGCTATCAGTACGCCACCATCCTCGGCGCGCTAGTCGCTCCTCTTTCCAGAGGCACTGTCACGCTCGCCTCCGCCGATACCCAAGACCTACCTCTCATCAACCCCAACTGGCTCACTGATCCAACCGACGTGGCCGTTGCGATCGCGACATTCAAGCGTATGCGCCAGGCGTTCGCTAGCAACTCCATGCGCCCCGTTCTAGCCGACAACAAGGAATACTTTCCCGGCCCCGGAATCGAGACGGACGAGCAGATCCTCCAGAATATCCGTAACACTGTCATGACGGTTTGGCACGCTAGCTGCACTTGTCGTATGGGGAAGAAAGACAATCCCATGGCCGTTGTTGACAAGGATGCCAAGGTCATTGGCGTTGATGGACTCAGGGTCGTAGATGCCAGCAGCTTTGCGCTGCTACCTCCTGGACACCCTCAGAGTACTGTCTATGTCCTCGCCGAAAAGATCTCAGCCGAGATTTTGGCCAGTGTCTAGGCGTTCTTCCCCTTAACATCATACCTGCATATGAGTGATGTTCTCCGAAGTCCACAGTTCGTCGTCTCATAGATTGACGGCGGAATGATCCTCAAGGAACATTTGACACGGAGGAGACAGGTGTCAAGGATCAGAAATACTTTCTACCATGTAACAATTACGCAATGGCTTTGCTGATATTCAGGATTTTACGGCAAGATTTTACTGGAACTTTGTACGAACGAATAGATGACTAATACAGTATCCCATCGATGGCGTTTAAACATTTATATCGCTTGAGTAATTTTTGTGAATATTACAACTACAAGAAGATTCTGCCGGGTCTATGAATCGGTCCGTCTCGAACGTAGGAGAACATGAAAAGCTTGGAAATCGAACGACACAAGCCAGAGCAGGGAGCGAGGGAGCAATGAATTGGTATTCCCAGGCGGCTAAAGCCGATGAAGAGCAAATCAGCTGGCTTGCTCACCATATCATGTTCGATAGGCTGCCAACCTTTTGCGATGATAACCTTTATAACCAATATCCTCAAGACCAACAAGATGTACGAACCCGGCGTGTGTGTGGTTCCCAGGTACAAGATATTGCTGATGGTGTCAGACTGTTGCAACGATGTGCAATTTCTCCAGAAGTCAAGGTTTGTCTCTCCTTTCGTCCAAGGAAGGTGGCGATACCATCTTCAGACCCAACATATTTGGGAATTCCTGATCATAAGACCGCAGGGCAGGAAAGGTGGTGGTGGCGGGCGCAGTGGGTATCCATCACTGTCGTCGTGGAAGACACCTTGCGGCAAACCGCTCTACCTGGGGCATGAGGGCGAGATCGTAATATGACAAAAAGCCTCATAAGAAAGATAGAAGCTGGGTGGTGTCTCTTAATGCAGCGCCGCTGTAGGCCAATCAGATAAGACACATCGCGTCACGCTGGTGTACAATACACACCTGAGATTCGGTGTTTTCATGCGGTGTAAGTGCACATTGTTGCCGTACCGAGGGCATTCTGCATGTCCCGCACCTCGTGCATATATCCTGTATATCAGGCGCCAGGTGTCTATGGAACGACCCTGGTCCTGTCATGCAAGTTGGACTGTAGCATGCAGTGCTGAACCGCCAGAATGCATCGCTATGTTGGTGGCCTTGATCTTGTTCATCGGCAACTATTGAGCCATTCGCGAATGTTTGTTCCCAACATTACGTGTTCACGCCAAGCCATCTTCCTACTTATAGACAGTGGGAATCTACAAGTCATGGCCTGAAGGACAATATAGCGACTAGACCATCAGCATAGTGTGAGATGTCGAAGAAACAGTGTCCCGCAGTGCCCCCTAACACACCAGGTACCAGAAATGCAACTCATGATTTGGCGCTTGAGGCGAAAGTCCAGTACGAACTGCCTGAAATCGAAGGGCATGATAGCACACATGTCTCTCCAGCATATACGGAAATGATGTTCAAGGCCGAGGCACCCTTGCGTCATCCCTTGCCCGGCTATCGGCAACATGCATGGCCCCGTCTGCCTAGAAATGCTTAGTATTGTTCGCTGTGTACATACACACTTTTCCAAGTATACTTTAAGGCCGCTTTAATAGTACCTCAAGACTCTCTCTCCCGTTCCGCCGTCAATCTTTGTTGAATCTCAAGCTGCGAGGTACCGTTACCAGAAACAACGCCCTACTTTTTGATATCAATTTATTACTGCTTTGCGTTTCTCCATCCTATACCCAACATGTCAGGTCGCGTTGCCGTTTTCTTCGCAATCTTGTCCTTGGCTACCTCGGAGGCCATCACGAATATCCTGGAGAGGGATGTGGTGATCCTTGGCGGCGGGGCGTCGGGTGCTCACGCTGCTGTCAGACTTCGTGAGGATTTTAACAAGACGATCGTCGTCATAGAGAAGAAGGACCGTCTTGTAGGTCACCACGCCCAAGTGACTATCGGACGTAAACTTATCCTTTCGCAGGGCGGCCATGTCAGTACATTTACTGACCCCGAGACTGGGAATCCCTATGACTTCGGGGTCAACTCATACACCGATTACGGCGCGGCTCGCGACTTCTTTGCCCGGCTTGACATTCCAGTTGCGGCTCCTCAACGTCAAGCCTTGATAACCACCTACGCCGATTTTCACACGGGAGGGGTCACGAATTACTCATTGCCAGCCTCTGCCGACACCACTGCAGCGCTTGAAGTCTACCTCGAGCTCTGCGAGAAGTACGAATCCAGCATCATCCCCTCGTATGAAAATTTTCCAACCGTCCCCGAGGGGATTCCCGAGGATCTGACGATGAACTTTTCCGACTTTGTCGAGAAGTACAAGATCCAGGCGGCGGTTCCCCGTATATACCAAGTCTCCGCGCTTGGCATGGAAAACTTTTCTGAATTGCCAACTTTGTACGTTATGCAGGGCTTCGGCGCACCTGTCACACGCTCTTTCCTGGGCATTGTCTCCTCCTTCGTGCCTGTGTCCAGGCGGAACCAGGATCTCTACGATGCTATCGCTAGCCTCTTGGGCAATGACGTCCTCTACTCCACGACTGCTATTCGTACTTCTCGCACCGATGAGGGCGTTGAAGTCCTCGTTCACGGGGCCGATGGGAAACGGTCTCTGATTCGCGCGAAGAAACTCCTTATATCTTTCGAGCCCACGATAGCCAATCTGAACGGCATCGACATCGACAAAGAAGAGATGGATCTTTTCTCGAAATGGGACTGGTCTACCGTCTACGTCGGCGTCATCTCTCATAAGTCACTACCCAAAGGGTACTCACTTACCAATAATGTACCCAAGGATTGGCTGTCATTCCCAACGATTCCTTTCGTCAGCCGCATTGACTACTTGGGCGACAACGACTTCCGCGTCCTTGTAACTGGTCCTACAGATTTCGACACATGCCAAGCTCAGCTGCTAATTCGGAATTCCCTCGCATCACTTGCTGCTGCTGCTGGGACGATACCAAGCTTAGGTACAGAGGAAATTGATTTCAAGGCCTGGTCGGATCATGGCCCTATGCATATTCATGTCTCTTCCTCGGAGCTGAAAGCTGGTCATATCACTAAGCAGTATGCACTGCAAGGCCGCAAAAGTACTTACTACACGGGGGCTGCGTGGTCAGTACAGTTTACGACCATCCTCTGGGAGTACAACAATCAATACGCTCTGCCCAAACTGCTTGCGGACTTTTGAATCGGATGGGGAGTAGACAGGGATGACGACGATGATTTTGTTTTACTCCAGGAGAGCCAATGGAGTAGCCAAGGGTACCCAAACATTTTTCTTTGAACCCTCTACTAAGCCTCTGCTCGCTCTTGCTCACCTTCGGCTCAAGTCAAAACGGCAACAAGCCAGTCCACACGCCCAATGCGGACTTGGGACGAAGTTCCTGTCGGACCCTTCCGGTTTCACTGGTCAATCAGGTGCAGCGGAACGACATTGGTAGATATGTACATTGCCATATATGTATAACTAGCATTTATAAGGTATTGGCTAGGGGCACACAAGATATTTGTACATGAAGCACTAGCCCATGATTAGTTTGACATAATAGCCTTGTAATCCCTGATCAGCTGTCGGACGCTCGGGTCAGAAGCGACGGCTTGCTGAGACTGATCGGATACACAAGTCCAGCTATCGGGGGAGTTGGGGTCTCCGGACTTGTACACATTGCGCGCTGGGTACTTGCAGTGCCTCCGCGTGAAGGCGACCTCACCGCCCTGCGTCCCGTTGACATACGCCGTTCCCAGAATCGAGTCCGGAGCGACACCCTCTTCGACCCACCGGACAATGGCCGAGAGAACGTTGTTTTCGGGGTCATAGCCCGCAGCGGACTTCGCCAGGTTGCCGATGAAGGTCGCGCCGGGACCGCCGCTGCAGTGGTTCATGCCGGAGATACGGAAGTACCGGTAGAACTCATCCAGCTGATCCGAGGTGAGACCCATGGTTCTAGAAACGTAGTTGTAGTAGCGCGCAGAGTTGTCACTGCTGATGATGGGGTCTTGGAGTCCGTGGTAGTGTAGGATCTTGGTTCCGCGGTCCTTTACGCCGGAGAGGTCGCCCTTCCAGGTCTGAATACCGGCAGGGTCCTGGATCGCAGCTGCAGCATAATCCTTGGGGCCGAGGGTGGCGGGGTCCCAGTTGGTGGTGTTGTATATGACGTTTACAAACCAGTCCACCGTGTACTGAAACGGTTGACCGCTGAGCAAATTAGGTGTGGTCTGGGCGCCGGGCTGGAGACGGGGGTAGACAAAGGCCCCGTTCTCGCCGTACAGGTCGCCGAAGACGGTACGGACCGTCTGGGCCTGCGTTCCGGTTAAGCAGTTTGTTGTCTGACCGGCACCGCAGATGAGGGCCTCGGGACGGTACTGGCACAGGTCCGGGTCCTCGATGATACCATCAACCTGGCCGTCGAGACCGTCGCACTGAGCCAGGATGTCTTTGTAAACAACGTTCCAGAGGTCGGCAGACAAGAAGGTCGATGAGTTTGAGGTACCGGTAGCCGTGAAGAAGTGACCGCTCCAAGAGGTGAGGTTGTTGAAGGCCACAGCGGGCGCGCCGGCCACAATGCCGTCAAAGTCATCGGGGAAGTCCTGGGCCTCCTTGAAGCCCTGTCTGCCACCGGTCGAGCAACCCAGGTAGTAGGACTTGGTGTGTTCCTTGCCGTAAAACGCCTTTGTGACCTCCTTTCCGAGGACGACACCGGTGTGCATGGAACGCCAGGCAAAGTCCTCGACGACGCCGGGATTGTTGAGGAACGGCGCCCCGACGGTGCCGTTATGTCCGTTGTTGGCGCCGACAGTAGCAAAACCTTGCGACGAGGCGTAATTCATGTCTTCGTACTGGATGCAACCGCCAGTTCCTCCGTTGCCGGTGCTCAGGAAACGGCCTGTCCAGTTGGACGGAAGCCAGGCCTCGAGAGAGATGTTACTGGTGGGCCCGGTGACTGTCAGCATCGATATGCGGCAGATGTCAACGTCAACGACTTGGCTAGGACGGGCGCAAGTAGGGTGGTTATCCGGGAAGGTGAGGTTGGTGCCGGCAGGGACAGCGGTAGAGAACCAGACGGTGGTGTTTGGCAACTTGAGCGTGTCGGCCATGGCACTGCAGTCGTCGGCCATGGCACCCATGGCATACTGTGCCGCTGGCACAAGCAGCATCACGGAGAGGTTGAGAGACTTCATGGCGGGGGATTGACAGTGAAGTGAAAAGTGTCGCAAGTCCATAGAGCCAGCCGGGCCTCCTTCGTAGCTTGAGAAGCCGGCCTGGTCAGGTTCTTATACTCGGCCGGTAGTAACAATCATTGGAAAGCCCAACGGTCGTCTCGGTCGATTGTCGGATGTAACCCCCAGGTCGAACATAGTAAGCAGGCGTCTGTCTTCACAACCCCTTCGTCGATCACGCCCACGAGTCGCGTGGCACTGCAGCTTGGCGGGTTGGAACGGCAGTTAATGGCGGCAAGATGAGCAGGGAAACACGCCCCGACTCAGAGGTGACATCCAGGAGTCATGACACCGAGAGCGCTGCCGAGTGTCCATGGCCTTCTCCCCACTACCCGAAGGGCCTGGTCTGTCTCCAGGGGTGCCCATGCATCGGCATGAGAAAATGCGGAGAAATGGACCGGGTTTGAACTCAGAGCTGCTATCAAGGGCGATGGTGGAGGCAAAACCTTCTTCCGGTCGGCAGACAAGACTCTTTGAACGGCCTGGCAATAGCATAGACGCCACCTGTCTTAACAGGGAACCATTGCCGTGATGGGATGGGAACGGCTCGGTTTATCCGTCAACTCGCAAGTGCATACAGCATACAACCCTTGCGAGGAGTGAATACAACCCTTGGTACAACCTTTGTCAGGAAACACCACGAGAGGAGAGGAGATTCAGGGCAACAGATGATCGAGGAGAGGAAAAGCGGAGTTGCAGTTGATCGTCGCGGAGGTTGGATCAATGGGCGGTACGGAATCCGGATACACCGCCCGCATTTCCCCGGCTTCTACGTGCGGGGAGACGGCCCAGATTTGGACACGAACAGGCTGGTCTGCGGAGCAAGGCCAAAGGCTGGGTGAGTGTAACGCTCCATATTGTTCGAGTAGAGACACGGCCGTCATGACCGTCGAGACATTGTCATTATCATCAAGACGAGAGAAGTTTGTGAGCTTCCTCATTCCCACGAGAAAATCGTCTGGCGTGTTACAAGGGTCCCTCTTACAACGCCGGAACTTTCCGACCTTGGGTTCCAGAAAAAGTTTGATGTTTCAGAAGTCGAAACAGCATGTAACGCCCAGAGACTGAGATGTGCTGGGAATGGGCGGTTTGTTGTGCCACTCGGATCCCTAGCTAGCGTCTGTTGAAGCGCGTACCTAGTGGCAGCGATATCCTTGCGTTGGTTGATTGCTATGTTGTGTGTGTAACTACGTAGTAGTCTATCTGTTATGTCGCATCGCCATCTCTAATTCGGCCCTTGTAAGGGGTCAACATATAGATTATTATTTTCCTTTTATTTAGCTAGGGAAATCCGTCCTAGAAATAACTAGCGCATTTGCGGCTAATTCTCTACTTGTGCCCAGGCGCACGCGGCCATTTTGCCCACTTTGACAGTAATATTAGTCCTTATCTACTCCGTAGAGTGTCAAATGATATCGGCGGTGCCGATCAGGCCCTTGAGAAGTCTGTCAGTTAGTTGTTCCTCTGCTTATTAGATCTTCCTCGTGTGGGACCCCAGACAAGCTATATTTGGCTCGTCGGTTTAATTCTTGCAATGCTAGGTACCTGACCACCGGGTGCGTGCGGCCCGTACTATGTGTCTTTGGTGCCACACCGATGCCGTCGGTTCCAGCGTCTCATCGCAAGGTCGCACGTATGACATATTATGGATCACACGAATCGACGTCTCTGCACATCATCATATCTGTACACGTATACCTCGATGCCACCATGCAGGGGACATTAGGTTGCTGCCGGGCTTTTCCGCCTTTGCCCTCCCACATTACGACGGTGATCCGAGAGATTTGAAGACTGCCACATTTATGGATTCCAGATGCCGTAGAGGGGTCCACTTCGGCCTCTGCATAATGGATACTTGTCAATAATTCCATAATGGAGCAGTTCATCCTTCGACTGCTATACGTAAATTCGGTACCCAGGATTTGTTTCCCAGTCTCAATGGTGACCTAGAGACAGAGACTCTGACAGAGCGACCGAAACAGCAATAAATGCATCTTGGATGCGCTAATTTTGGGTGCGTGACCTTTAGCTTGTATTAAGCTCTTTATGATTTGGCCGTCAAATGGCTCAAAGTACAAGCTTTAATTAAGCTTCAGATCGAGCAAGCTGCTGTTGGGTTCCGCCATCGAACTCTGATTTCCGTACTGATTCATTGGCCAGAGTTGGATACCAAGGGTTCCCTGCAGCAACCATGACAACCGTTCAGCAGATATTTCTCCGTATAATACCCATTGCATAAACCATCATGAGCTGTGCATAACAGCGCAATTGCGGATCCCATCATGAGTATTTGCCATCATCGCCCAGCTGGAATAGCTTCGCATGCCAACTCCCAACATGCAACGCGCCTGTCTGCCGGCTAGCGGTCCTGGCGATGGCACATATTCTCGCAACACCCACTGTTCTGCGACAAACCTGGTGTCGAGACTGCCGAGATTTTACCGCTTCTCAACACGGTGCAAGAGGAGCTGTCCAGGATGTTTTGACCGATGGCAAAGGTAAGCTAGGCAGGCAGCCGCATTGTCCATCAAGCTCACAAACATACCTCTGAAGAATAGCGTAAGGTCTCTCGACCGTTGCTCAAATTGTTAGCTGCGTCTCGGCGCTCGTCTTCCTCGGTCCCAAGCTCGACCGTAAGCCGGGATGGCTCGGCATCACCGTACACTACCTTATACAAAGACATGGCCACTGCTAAAGTTCTACGTACTAGCACCAGCCCCTAGCTAGTGTGTCGCCTGATGCGTTGGCTTTCTCCCTGGTGTCGCGGGCTTGGTCACGCAAGATGCCCTCGACCTGAGCCAGATTTGAGAGACGGTTGAGTCGATGGGGGAGGGAGTTCTGAGGGAAACTCGTGATGGGTGGCGGAGCTCATTGCTATACCGTGCCATGCTCATACATGGTGTGCGAATGAAAACGCTGCTCAGACCAGTTACCTCGGGCCAGTCTTTCTCATGCCGCTGCCCGTATTGATTGCCAACAAGGACGATAGAGCAAGGTAGAGGAACTATGGATGATTTGGTGACGTTGAGCGATAGCAGCTTGCTTAAAATAGCGACGGGATTCGCCGTGTCTTCGGCCAATATATGAGATCCCAGGTGCCGTCTGTACCGGCCGGAACGGAAGCCGGATCATCTGCATAAGACGATTACGAGCAGGAAATACCTGCTCACGTACGAGTTCAAGCCAGCCATTGACGACTGGGCAACAAGCAAGCCCATCCCATGCTGTTTGCGTTCTTAAGGCCAGGGGATCTTCAAGCGACAGTATTGGTCAGGCGAAGGACATTGAGTGATACTCATTGAGGCAATCTAAGAAGGCTTTTCAGAAGCTGAACGACCGAGATGAGATGCAAAATCATTATCATGCTCCGGGCCTCGGCAACATGATGCGGCATCAAGAAAACAGTGACTACCTCTTCAGATGGTACACGTCATCAAGGAGTCTGAGCAGAACTCCTATTAAGAGAGCCCCAAGGTAGCATATGCCCCGTACAAGTGAATGTATCCTCAAGGATTCTTGTGCCTTACTAACCTGTTCGTGGTAATACGCCTCAATAGTGCTACTCTGGATGTGACCTCGTCAAGCCACCGAGTTGACCACGTTAATACGGGGCTTCGGATGTGAATATCCGAGTATTAAGTGATTGGAGGAATAACACCCCTCACTGAGGTTCCGAGGCGGGGTTTCTCTCTCCCCATTGCGGCGATGGGCCCGTCCGCCACTCCAACTAAGTTCAGCAGCGCTGCCGGGCCAAGCTGCCAAGACATATGTATTAGGAGTCAATCAAGATCAGCAGTTGCTCCAGGAAAGGATGTGGCACGCCCCGTGTGGACAAGGTTGGGCGGCTGGGAACCAAGGCCCGCCTCCCACGACGGACGGGCACCTCACTTCACCCAAATCAACTCGAGGCGGACGCCGCGTGCATGAGGAATGGACGCTACAGTGACAGCGCCCAGGGGCAAGAGGTGGAAAGCATGGGATCCCTCCAACGACGACGCGAGGACACGGGAAACACAGCACGGGTTCGGCCGCGACGTATCGGGACGATGCCCGGATCGACACGATATGACCTTGAACATTGGAACGGAGGCTTGTCATCCGCGTCGCCTGTGGAAGACGTTCAACGGGTGCCACCAAATACGCGGGTGGCAATTAGCAAACCGCCTCCGTGGGCGACAGTATATAGATGCATACAGTCAAGAGCAAGCCAACATCCAAAGCACTGCGCCGTCAGCCCTCCCACTCACGATGGCCGGCAAGATGAAGTCCTCCCTCATGGCCCTCGCGCTGTGTGCCCTCGTCGCGCTCCTGACGCCCGTCCTTGGCGCCGAAGTGGTGCCTCGCGCAACCTTCACCGAGGTGAGGGACTACGGCTCCAACCCGACAGGCACGGGCATGTGGCTCTACGTGCCGCGGAACCTGGCCGCGAAGCCCGCCGTCGTGGTCGGCCTCCACTGGTGCAGCGGCAGCGCGCAGGCCTACTACCAGGGCACCCACTGGGCGAGCAACGCCGAGAAGTACGGCTACATCGTCATCTACCCGCAGACGCCGTACCTGCGCAGCAACTGCTGGGACGTGTCGAGCAAGAAGACGCTGATGCACGGGGGCGGCGGCGTGAGCACCTCGATGGCGAACATGGTGAGCTTCGTGATCGCGCAGTACGGCGCCGACGAGAGCCGGGTCTTTGCGACGGGCACGTCGTCGGGCGCGATGATGACGGTATGTCCCGAACGCTGTTAAGATTCTCCGTCTTTTTTCAATTTTTTTTTTTCGTTTTATGCGGGAGATCCGTGGCGTTGACGGAGGCGAACAGAACGTCCTCGCGGCGACGTACCCCGACGTCTTCGCCGCCGGCATCGCCTACGCCGGGGTCCCGGCCGGGTGCTTCATGTCGGCGGACGAAAGCGCCGACTACTGGAACGGGACGTGCTCGTTGGGCCAGACCATCTTGACGCAGCAGCAGTGGGCCGACGTCGCGGAGGCCATGTACCCCGGATACACGGGGCCAAGGCCCAAGATGCAAATCTACCACGGTTCGCTGGACACGACGCTCTACGTGCAAAACTACTACGAGACGATCAAGCAGTGGACGGGCCTGTTTGGGTACTCGACGACGCCGGTCTCCGAGACGCCCAACTATCCCCGCAGCCCGTACACGAAGTCCGTGTTCGGGGACAAGCTGGAGGTAGGTTCGAGGTCCGGGCGGGAGGCGAGGAGGACGCCGCCGACTGATGGCCCTTTGTAGACGTTCCTGGGCAATGGCGTAACGCATTCGATCCATGTCTTTCCCGAAGAGGATCTCAAGTGGTTCGGGTTCCTGGTAAGACGACCCGAGTAGGGGGGTTATTTCTGTAGGTCGGAGCGAGAAACCTAACCTTGATGGTAGACACCGGTGAGCCCCTCGTCCGCCGCGACGACGACCTCGGCAGCCGCCGGATCGGGGACGGCGCCGCAGTGGGGCCAGTGCGGCGGTATCGGGTGGACGGGACCGGCGACGGTGAGTTGCCATCCAGCGTCGAGTGATTGTCGGGAGCTACGGATGCTGACTTGTCGAATAAGTGCGTGGACCCATTCAAGTGCAACAAGGTCAACGATTGTAAGTGAAGATGCATCCCCAATGACGCGGACATGGCGGCTGACGATGATCAAAGGGTACTCGCAGTGCCAGTAGATGACGACGCAGAGTGACGGAAGTGCCGAGACGTGGGACGGCAAGGGTTCCGGGGCCGTGGGCAAGAGGAATGCAACGGCAGACAAAAGAGCACGAATCCGTTTTCAGTCGGGGCGCCTCGGCCTGGACCCCCAGAAGTTGACAATTGATGATGCATGAAAGGAAGCATGTCACGAAGCTGCGAGTCGCTTTTTCTCCTCTCCTACCGCCGCTCGCGGGTGCCATATTGTGGGTGGGGGAGGGGTGCTGACTATGCCGGCGATGCGGCATGCCGAGGACGGGGACGCGACAGAGTGCCGCAAGCGGTCATCGGCAGGGAGTTGACACTCGGGCTTCTCCAGGCACAGATATATGCCGTACACCAGAAGGAACGGAGTACGACCCCTCCCGATACGGCATGGCCTTTTGCTTGTGAGACAAGACGCATTCCAGCGGGAGACAGCAGAGTCATGTCTCGGCAGCGGGAGACGGCGGCCGTGTCTTGTTCTGTCTCGTCGGGAGGAGCGGAGCTGGAACTGGGGCTGGAATGGATGAGCGTCGTTCTCTGGCTCTGAACGGTTATGCAAGTTCGAGTGAGCATTGACGAACGAGGGTTGAGAGCGAAGGGGGGCCGTGATGCTCCATCGTGAAGGGGCGCTCAGCTGCCGGTTCTTCTGGTTGGCCGGACAATCACATCACGGTGAGTGACCGCTTGTTCGTGATGTCTATCGGAGAGGTTCCGACGTGTTTACTTTGTATGCTCGTATGCTTGCTTGTCCGACTTTTTCCCTCTCGCTGCTTGACTGCAAAATCTGAGTTTTCAGGGTCCCCCCTCCGTCCCCCCCCCCCCGTCCGGTGGCGTTATGCAGCGGCTCCGCTTGGCGAGAGAATTTGTTGCCAAGAAGCGCGTCTTGTCGACTTTACGCTACTGAGAGGGACAACGAAGCTTTTGCAGAGCCTAAAAGAGCCGTGACAACTGAGGAAAGGGACGGTTGTCTACGACATATCCCCAGGATGACGCGTAGGGCTAATCGGCGACAGACCAGAGACACACCCTACAAAGGAAAGGGTGTACCGTGATCTAATGTCTTGCCCGTTGTCTTACCCAAGCCTGGGGACAATGCATAAGCCAGCATAAGCCACGTATACAGAACGTAGGAGTGCACCAATGCTGCATAGCATCATGGACATGTGTCTCCTGGCCTGGCCACGGGAAGAGAGGCAAGCAAACCCAACAAGCTCTCGGCCCAAGCCTCACCGCCATCCATCCCACCAGCAAAATCTGCAAGTAGGGTCGGGCTGTTGTTCATTATCCTTTACTCCGTACCTCAGCACTTTTCTTTTGGTCCATGTTCTCCACCGCTAACCCGAAACCTGGTTCGTTCGTCTGTCCGTCTTATGCACCAGCGGCACGAGCCTGCACAACTCTCTCCACCCGCTCAACAACTCACCCCGCTTGCTCTGCGGACTGACGTAGCGACGATATGCACTCAGGCACCATAAAGCATAGGTCCAGCCCACCCAAGAACCTCCTGCGGTAGGCCCGGTTGGGTCTAGCTTCTGTCTTGCTGCGGTATCCTTGTCTCTGCGTTTCTTGTCTTTGGTGTGTCCTTGGCCGCCTTTGGGTAGGGGGGGGGGGAGGGGATGTTCTCACTTTTCTTTTCTCTTCTCCCGTTGGCTCACCGGCTTCTTCTCATGGTCCCGAACCCCACCCCCGCGATAGATCGTGACTTGGTCACGGCCCTTGAGTTTTGCGGCGCTCCTCGGAATCTGCTACGTGGACTCGACCGCCCACGCAAGTATCGCTCTATCTTGTTCCCGTCCCATGCATGAGTCCGCAGCGGGGACTGCAAGCGGCTCGAGCTTCGTGAAGTCATGCCCCACGGACACGCACTCAACTCCGACCTTTGAAAATACACCCGTTGAAGCTTTTCAGGTTTCCCTATTTCTAATACATTGTGTCCATTTGCCCCCATCTCACGATTGTGTACCCATAGTTGCAATTGCACCTTTGTAAAAGAGTCTGCGAGACCTCCATTGGCCGAGGCATCTGTAGTTTCTTTCCGTTTCGCCTCCCCTCTCAACCTATCTCTCTTATTCGCCGCTTCATCAACCACTATTCTGGACCCAATTGGTACTTTCCAGCAAGTCCTGGGTCTCGTTCTCTTCGTTCCGTTTCGGGTTGGCATCGTCGTTTTTGTTGTTGTTGTTGTTGTTGTTGTTGTTGTTGTTGCTGTTGTTGTTCTAGTCTCCTAGTCTCCAACGCCCTCCTCCAGCCCCAAACACCGCCAAACACCACCGCCTTTGACTCTTCCATCAAACGACGTCACGCCACCTTGGCATTACCGTCTCAAACCTTGCGCCCGCCATGTCCGACACGACACCTTCGTCCTCGGACGAGCGTCTTCGCACTGCCGTCATCGCGAACCACCTCCCGGCAGGCTACGGCACCTCCTTCGACGGCGTGCGGACCGCCTCCAACGCCGACCTGACCCGACAAAACTCCAACTCCAACTCGACGTCGAATCCCGCCGCCAACGGGAACAGGCTCGATCATGTCGACGTCGCCGCCGCCGCCGCCGCCGCCGCCGCCGCCGAGCGGGAGGCCTCGTCCCTCCTCCTCCCCGGTGGCGACATCCACCGCGACCTCTTCAAGATCTCGGCTCGCGAGCAGGGCGTCAAGCGAGCCCAGACCTTCTCCCACCCGATCCGTACCGAGTCCGGCCACGAGTCCGACCTCCCCGCCTCCGAGATGCTCTTGCCCCAGGGGTTTCGCCGCCAGTTCATCATGCAAAAGCAAGGCTTCACCGCCGCGAACCTGCCCATCACGAGGAACTTTGTCGAGTTCCTCGACTTCTACGGCTCCTTCGCCGGCGAGGACCTGGCGGACTCGGACGAGGAGGCCATCGAGACGGACGACGACGACGACGACGAGGATGCCGAGGAGTCGCGTCGGCGCCGCGGCGGCGGCGATAGAGGTCCGGCGGACGAGACCCGCCCCCTCCTCGGACGGCGGCGGTCCTCCCGGTTCGCGCGCAAGGCCGGCGACGCCTCGACGACAAAGACCTTCTTCACGACCCTCAAAGCCTTCATCGGCACCGGCATCATGTTCCTCCCAAAGGCCTTCAAGAACGGCGGCATCCTCTTCTCCTCGCTGACCATGCTCTTCGTGGCTGCCGTCTCCATGGCCGCCTTCCACCTCCTGCTGCAGTGCCGCGCCCGTTACGGCGGCGGCTACGGCGACCTCGGCAAGGAGATCTCGGGCCCGCGCATGCGCGCCCTAATCCTCTCCTCCATCGCCCTGTCCCAGATCGGCTTCGTCTGCACCGGCCTCGTCTTCGTCGCCGACAACTGGTTTTCCTTCCTGCAGGCCGTCACCGGCGGCGCCAACCCGCTCGGCTCGACCGCCCTCATCGCCCTGCAGGCCGTCGTCATCGTGCCCCTCGCCTTCATCCGCAACATCTCCAAGCTCGGCCCGGCCGCCCTGCTGGCCGACGTCTTCATCGTCGTCGGCGTCGCCTACATCTGGTGGTACGACATCTCGGCCCTCGCCACCCGTGGCATGGATCCGACCGTCCGCCTCTTTAACCCGAGCTCCTACACCCTCACCATCGGCGCCTCCATCTTCACCTTTGAGGGCATCGGCCTCATCATCCCCATCCAGGCGAGCATGAAGAAGCCCGAGCACTTCGAGCCCCTGCTGGCAGGCGTCATGCTGCTCATCACATGCGTCTTCACCTCCGTCGGCGCCCTCTGCTACGCCACCTTTGGCGACCGCACAAAGATTGAAATCATCGACAACTACCCGCAGGAAAGCCGCCTCGTCAACGCCGTCCAGTTCATGTACGCCCTCGCCGTCCTCGTCGGCAACCCCGTTCAGCTGTTCCCGGCCATGCGCATCCTCGAGGGCAAGATCTTTGGCCACCGCTCCGGCAAGAAGGACCTCCTGACCAAGTGGAAGAAGAACGCATTCCGCACCGCCCTCGTCACCCTCTGCGTCGCCATCTCCGTGGCCGGCTCGGCCAACCTGGACCGCTTCGTCGCCCTCATCGGTTCCTTTGCGTGCGTGCCCCTGGTCTACATCTACCCGCCGTATCTGCATTACAAGGCCATCGCCGAGACGAAGCGACAAAAGGCTTGCGATATCGCCCTCATGGCCCTCGGCCTCGTGGGCATGGTGTATACAACGGCCATCACCTTGGCCACCAGCTTCCTGTAGAGCGTAGAACCAAGAGCAGACACCTGTTTAGAGTAGGGGGGGATGCTGAAACCCGCTTGGGGGGGGGGCGTATGCTGTGATTGAAAAAAGTAAGAAATACAAAATCGTGGACTTTTATGACTAGATTCAATGCCCAGACCTGATCGTGCCACTTCATGACCGAGAGGGAGAGAGAGAGAGAGAGAGAGAGAGAGCTGCAACAGTCCCAGTAAAGTCCAGGCCACGTCCTAAAGGCATCTTGAATGTGGCCGATGCTATCGAGACCGACACTTACGTGAGGAATCCCGACTGATGAGACTGTCAACCGTTTGTTCTTAAAGCCCCATCAAGCCTGCTCAGCGTGCGTCAAAAGAGCTACGTTTCGTGGACTTGTCGATGTTTGGCACAGACAGACATATCAGCAAGCTGGAATCCAAGACAAGACATCGATGACGTAGAGCTCGTCCCCAACTGATCGACAACCTTCAACCTCGGAACTCTCTCCCTTTGTTTCTGCACACAACACCACGCCCAACTACTTCCCATCCCATCGCCGGCCTTCTTCAGATGCTACACCGACCGCTTGCTCTCCATCGCATCAGAATACTCGGCCGGACCACTCGAAAGATCCTCGTTACGCACCCGATCCGCCTCCACCACCTACGTCGCCTCCCGCAGACAACACCCTTTCACACCACCACCATGAGTTGGATGGACTCTTGGTCTCGGCCCTCCAAGTCCCAGGCCACGCCGGCGCCTTTCTACCTCCTACCCAACGGCGACGCGACGCCCTACTGCCGTACGTGCGGCCGCGTCATCTCGAGCCGCAGGTCCACGGCGGCGTCCAAAGCGTCCAAGACAGCGGAGGCGAAGCCCGAAGCCAAGTACTGCTCCTCCCGCTGCCGCGGCCATAAGCCCGGCCGCCTTGACAAGGAAATCGAGCGGGCCTTTGTGCGGTTCCTGCAGGGCGAGGAGGAGGTCGACGGGACCAAGACCAAGAAGGTCAAGGGCGACGCCCGCACCCTCGTGCCCTGCGACCTGGTCGAGAGCAGGGTCTTTGGCGATAGACAGGATCCGGACAAGGTATACGGGCGGAGGAAGAATCGCGCCTCGAGGGTCATCCAAGGCAACGCCAACTCGGACTCGGACGACGAGGCAATCGAAGTCGGCGGAGAACCGCCGGGCGACAAGCACGACGGCGAGGATCCGGGGGAGGAGGTCATCGACGAGATGCTTGGGCTGGGGCGCGCAAGGTCCGCGGAGATGGACCCCGGCGTGCAGGCCGGCCTCTCGGTGCGTAGCGGCACGCGCGTCAGGCCGCCGCAGACGAAGAGCCAGGTGAACGGCAGCGTGGGCGGGGAGAAAGGGCGCGCCGAGCGGACCGAGGAGACGGACGAGATGCGCGAGAAGCGGGCCGAGGGGCAGAGGAGGGCACACGAGCGGGAGATGGTGCGCTGTGCCGCGCGACGCGGCGTCGTCTTCGGCTTCCTCGTGGATGGGAAGGATGAGCGGAGGAAATGCGAGGCCGTGATGCAAGGAAAGGTCGTCGAGCCGAGCTATGCCAAAGGTGATTGGGCTGTCAGATGGCGGGAGGATTGATGCTCAACGACAGCTGGATGAGCAAAGAGGAATTTCGGCAAAGCGATGGACTGGGTGATTCGTCACAATATGACCCAAGAAATTCATTCCCCTTCTTGAGTTATGGATACTAGCCAAGCAGCAAAGGTTGATCTTGCTTGCCCTGCATCTCGACAAGAAAGTCTCGGCCAATGAATTTCTCAACTCGGATGCTCACCCTCGGTCTAGTTGCTCCGGTTGAGCTTCGTCGTCAAAATTGATCCCCCCGGCTTGCCTCTCCTTCTTCACTAGCTGCTAGATACAAACCGGGGGCTGTCTCGTTACGAAGATAGAGGGTCACGATCTTGGTAGGAGAGAGCAGGGCGTGTTTGCGAGGGATGCCGGAGGGCGGCTATTCCTGTTTGTGTGTACACCACACGCCATGCTGTTTACATGTGCGATCACAAGAGGGATATTGCGTTGACTACCCAAGTATCAGATGCTCTGTCTTTGTTCCACCTCCTCCAGCAACTCCCTAAAGTCATCTACATTGTGCTTTTCGGCCATTGTCTTGATATAAGGCAGCTGCTGTGCTAACCAGTCATCTTCGTGGCCGGCTTCTGGAATGGCCATTCCACCTTCTCTGATGGCCAACATCGGCGTAAACATAATCATAAGCAATCTTTTGCACTCGTCAGGTTCCTTGTACCCTTTGGTGTGTTCGGCATCGGGTTCTTCTAGAGCGCCGTTCCACGCGTCTTCGATGCTGGCTGCAAGCCTATCGAAGTCCGCCTTTGTTCGGGACGCCGACGTCCGCACCACCGCAAGGATGCGGTTACAGTTGGTGGAGTGCGGCTTTCCAGCCATGAAGTACGTCCCATCATCCGGTTTTGAGCTCTGGTCGCTGAAGCTCACATGCACGAAAAACGCCGGCGTGTTGAAAGCACTGCAGTGCAGGTTGGTGATGGAAAGGGCAAAGGACTGTCGCTGGGTTTGAGATAGAGGGTAAGTGTGGTAGGTCTGATAAAACGGCATGACGATCGATGTAGCACAAACTGAAGCGTTTGGTTTGCTACGGGCGAGTGGCACTTGGGGGTGGGGACGAGTTTCCTAGAGGATAAGACATGAGGCCGTTGGAGCTCGCGGCATCCTATTTATTGCTTAACACTAAGATGTGACCGATCTCCTCTTACTGGTGCATCCATAGTCCTTTGAACCTCGGTTGTGCTTTGGCGGACGCCGCGTGTTGGCCGACGTCAGAACTTACCCATCCATGCATGCATCGTGCGGGGTATTATACGAATTCTTCTTTTTCAATCTTCGTCCGCTTTTCGAAAATGGGCCGAGTAGATGGTAGAGGAATCAGGATGTCTTTTCTTCATGGATATAACTGAGGGCCCTGACGGAGGCCTTTGGAGGCCCTCCAAGCAAGACTTGGTGTCATATATTCCGTACCCAGCCATCGCATACGAGCTCGTAAATGCGGAGATAGATGTTGTGGCGGAGATAGATGCTGTGAAGGACCTCGGCATAGACGTCGCCCGTTGCGTGGGCGTGCAGTTGGTAAGCCATTTCTGAGGCGCAGGTTAACTCAACGATCCATAAGAAGCTATTCCCAGCTTGACAACGCAATGATAGAACACAACTTCACGATGATAAAAACAATGTTTGGGCTATACCCTAATGTCAACTACATGTTCTCTACACAACTAGCTTCTGTCTACCCACTCAGCAGCCCTGCCCTTCACTGACCAATCACGATACAGTTGACCCGTTTTCGTGTTGCACAAGATCAGATGCGGCCCTGTGGATTTTGAACGTCTTATGTTCAGAAATCCCGTCTGCCTCGTGTTCTACTGCAGGTTTGCATTCGGCAACTGCATGCTTGTGTTTCAAGCAAGGTGGGAGCCGGCCGCCGTGATTGTTCCCAGGGCAATACGTTTTGTCGTTCTTCAAGCGCCAGAGCAGGGACTCGTGAAGGACGGCGTCTTTGGGGATGTCGCGAGTATCTCCGCCATTGAGCGGGAAGCGAACATTCTGCCACCCACTATCCTCGAGCTCCCAGCGGGTGATGAAAGGAAGCCATTCTGTTGGGTTCGAGTCAGTATCAAACAACGGGAAAGGCGTGACGCGGCGGGGAACTCCTTACCCATGAACTTCCATAGCAGTACCCTGAAGAAAGCGGTGCCGCAGCCAAACGCAAGAGAATCGTGGATGACGCCTTTGAGCGCTTGCTTCTTGTACTTCTTGAAGCGGTCCTTGAACACATGCAGGCTTTCGCGCCATTTCAGAGCCGCTGATGGCTCTTGCTCGCCGACAAGCTCGACTTCACGAATCATCCAGGCCAGCGGGATGTCACTCATCTGCAAACGGTCGTGTCCCAACGCTTTGCTCGCCCCCTTGGTCTTCCGGCTCACCCAGAAGTTCTTGACGCGCTCCCAGAAGGTCATGTTCTCGCTCCTGGTGTCAAGGGGGTTATCGTCGGAAGCAGGCCAACCACCGCCGACGTCTCCGTGGCAGCCGGGAAACCAGACCTCCTTGATGTCCTCGTGCGTGTGGTCAGTGTCGCGCATGTCTTGGGCGAGGAGTGCCGCCTTGAACTTGACGCGGCGCTCGTCGACGGCAACGGCATGCCGGACATGATGTGCCGTACCTACGACAGGGACCGGGACTGGGGTGGTTCGCTCCAAAACCGCGACGGAGTTGACGCAGTCCCAGATGCCGAGAAAAAATACCTTGATGTTGGACTCTTCCATCTGTCCACAGTGCATCGTCCTCTCCTTGCGGCAGAATGTGTCACTAAACGCCGCAATCTCATCCCGAGCCACTTCGTATTTGTGACCGTGGGCTGCCGGGTCTTCGCCCTCTGTATGGTCGTCATGGAGAGGGTGCTCGTCGTCTTCCATGCCTGGGGCTGGGACGTTGCCATTGGATGCACCGTTTGCTTTTCCGCTCTTATCTTTCTTGGACTTCTTGGGGTGAGCAACAATGAAGTCTTCGACCTCACCTGCCAAGTAGCGCTGATAGAGACGGTAGGCGAAAGGAACCATCTCTTCGTTGCCTTTGCAGAGAAGACCCACGGTATGAATCATGCGCGCCAAAAACTTGGCTGTGAAGGCGCCGCGACTGAACCCAAACATGTAGATCTTGTCACCCTAGAGATTGGCCATTTAGTAGCTGTTGCTTGATGCAATAATAGTGAGTACACTTACAGAATCATAGTAACGCATGAGGAAACGATAGCCGGCAAGAACATGAGCGTCGAATGTCGTGCCAATCCCCTGATCAATGGTTTGGGAGATGGAGCTTCGCATCTCGCCAAACCAGCTTTTGTTGACAGACTCATCGTTAATGTCATATGTGCCGATACCAGCTGACGAGAGACGTCATGTTAACAATGACTCGTTGAGCAATTCCTCTCTCCTGGAGACACTTACTTTGGTAGTAGTGAAACTGGTTCGGATCATTGCGGTCTAACTTGCTCAGTATTTTCACCACATTGGTGTCGGAGTTGGAGCCAGTGAAGGTGTTTCCTGTTCCATCGAAGCAGAGAACCAGCTTTTTGGGAGCAGAACTCTGTTCCGTCCCTTGATTACCATTGCTCACGGCAGCAGGCATCGTGTAGAGTCAGTATTGTAACAATCTTGAGGACGTGTGAGAAGACCAAGACAAGTGATGAAGCCGTGGATGGACTATCGTATCAGCCTCAAAGGGAGGCCAGCAAACTTGATATATGTGGAATTTCGTATGATGTATTATTATCTGCCGGACCTCCGTGCGTATTGATCAATTAGCCCGGCGGTTGCGTAACGGCAAAACCCTTACTTGTTCCACCACTAAGACATATGAATTGAGAATGTCAATCATACCCAACTTGGTTCTGGCGCGGCAAGCCGGGAGAGACAGCTGTGTCAAGCCTCGAATCGTTACCCCGCGGAACAGCTGCACCCGTATGTCGTAATCCAGTTTGTGTATCCGTATTGTCGCTCCATTTATGCAGGGCACCGGCGCACATCACTTGCACCTTTGGCTAACTATCAATTGCATGTGATATCATACGCTAGGCGAGAACAGTCATGTTCGGAGAATCACGCCAACCTGTTGCGTCGGCCCCAACGGGCGGGTAAGAATGGATATCAGACCGCTCGCAACATTCCACTGGTTTAGGTTTGTCGCCAAGATAAATCGAATTTCTCATATCCACTGGCTAACTCGGATACTGCATATTCAAAGCCACCGACCAGGTGATGGACACTTGCGGTGAGTATTCACTTGTCCCGTTTCCGACATGTCTTTCGAATCACTCTCAGCCGCAACGCCCTGCATCTCCATTTGGGGTTAGCCAAGGACGATCAGCTAGGATTACAATATTTGAATGATTGAAAAAGGGCATTGGACCTTAGACACATATGCTTAAGCTCAGCCCACAAGTCTGCGGGGAAGACATACAATGTCTCACGCTGAGGTACAGGATAGGTTCACTCACATGCAATGTCTTGGATACACCGCAGTGCAACATGCCAGTTCACAGCAACTACAGGGATCCACTATGTCGGACAACCCGAACACCAACCAAATGGTGATTGAAACCTGGGTATCCCTTCATGCAGATAGACGGTGCGGTCCGCTCGGAAACGAGGTGATCTTCGCGCTATCTCGTTAGGTTGCATGAATCAACAAGTCAACCAGTCAGTCTCCCTGGCTTCAGCTAGGAATTTCTTTCCCCCCCCCCCCCCTCCCCACTTCCCTTGCCTTCCGGTCGTTGACTGGCATGGCGAAGTTCAATTGGCTGAGGATATTTGACAAAGACTGTGGCACCTTCTTGATCCCTAACTGCCGCTTTGTACGGCAGCAAGCATAACGGCTTCTTCGTGTAATGTTACATAGGAGCCTATGGAAGACAGCCTTGGCTACATATCTTAGTTGAGAATCATGACCGCCGACATGATATGATGCCTCTTTCGTCCGCATCCCCCTCACTGTGAGACACCGCCATCTGTGTGTCTCCGGCCAGCGCGACAAGTCAATCATACTTGGCTGGAACATCAACACGCCGGCATGTCTGTTGCCGCCATGCTCCCAATCTCTTTGGGTAACAATTTTCGCCACGGGGTTTACAAGGTTACTCTCTTAACTCGTAAAGAGCCTAATGGCGATGCATCGAAAAGCCTCTTGTGTACAGGTAGGCAGATGCCTCGATCGTCTGCGGCATTTAACCGCCACCTACATGCAGATCATGAAATGAGGGGTTGCTCGAAAAACAGGAAATGAGGACACATGTCGTGGTTATCCCTTGAGATTGTCGGGAAGAGTGTCATCAGCTGGTTGACTGTATTTTGTATAAGGTGAGCAACATGTCAGGCAAGCTTGCAAGAGAATGAGAACGAGAGAGGCAGATTCAACCCAGTTCTACCTTCTACAATTTTGACATACCCAAAGTTCGACCGCCTATGAAAAGCCATGTCTTTCGACCAGAAGTTCATGGCTGGGGAGACCTATGGAGATGAGAGGAAGAGCTCTGCCAACTTTTTTTCTGACCCAACAAAGGTCGCTACAGACCTACTGAAAGACTATGCCGGCTTGCGTAGTCAGACATCTCCAGCAGAGCTCGCTGGCCTCATCAAGGAGTTGCTCCAAAAAGGCCAGCCTCTTGATGACAAGAAGGGGTAAGTGCAAGATCGTGCCATCTCTGTGCATCTATGATGAACTAACTTCATCCAGAACAACTGAGATCTTGATCGGGATTTTGACATCCCTCCCTTCCACATCGAGCACCAGGGTCCAGCTGACCAACAAACTCATTGATACGCTCTGGGGTACCCTCCAGCATCCGCCACTGAGCTATGTTGGTGGTGATGTCAAGTACGAGGTCGTCAACCCCAATGAGACAGCATCGAAGGACAAGCAACAGACCGAGGACTCGATCGAGTTCAAGGCCCCTGACAGCGACGTGATTCTACGTGAGCAGGTACCTCGCCCACCTGATGGACTCCACCACTACAGGATGCCGGATGGAAGCTACAACAACATCCTCGAGCCTAACCTGGGCAAAGCCGGCACCCCCTACGCCAAAACGGTCAGGACCAGCAAGAGACTCCATGGTGTCAAGCCAGACCCAGGTCTCCTGTTTGACCTCTTGATGGCCCGTGACGATAGCACCTTCAAGGAGAACCCTGCCGGAATATCGTCCATGCTCTTCTACCATGCGTCTATCATCATCCACGACATCTTCCGGACCAACCGGACGGACATGAACAAGTCCGACACGTCGTCGTATCTCGATCTTGCCCCGCTTTACGGATCCTCACTCAAGGATCAGTTGGAGATCCGTACCATGAAAGAGGGTATGCTCAAGCCCGATACCTTCCACGAAAGACGTCTCCTCGGACAACCTGCCGGTGTCAACGCCATGCTGGTTCTATACAACCGCTTCCACAACTACGTCTGCGACATTTTGCTCAAGATCAACGAAAACGGTCGCTTCACTCTGCAGTGCCCTGCCGACGCCAGCCCCGAAGACAGGGCCAAGGCTGTGGCCAAGCAGGACCATGACCTTTTCAACACAGCACGTCTGATTGTCGGTGGATTGTACATCAACATTTCCCTCCACGACTACTTGCGTGCCATTACGAACACGCACCATTCCAAGAGCGACTGGACCCTTGACCCTCGCGTCGAGATCGGTAAGCAGTTTGACGGCGAGGGCGTGCCCCGCGGCGTTGGCAACCAGGTCAGCGTCGAGTTCAACCTGCTTTACCGCTTCCACTCTTGCATCTCAAAGAAGGACGAGCGCTGGATCGACAACTTCTTTGCCAAGCTTTTCCCGGACCGCAAGCCTGAGGATCTGCAGAATGTCGGCATGGCCGAGCTCGGCCAGGCTTTGATGACGTTCGAGCAAAGCATCCCCAAGGACCCCAGCGCCCGTACATTTGACAACCTGGAACGCCAGGCGGACGGCAAGTTCAAGGACGAGGATCTTGTGCGCGTTCTGAAGGAGGCCATGGACGATCCTGCTGGCTGCTTCGGTGCACGCATGGTTCCCAAGGCTCTCAAGATCGTGGAGATCCTTGGCATCAACCAGGCCCGTAAGTGGCAGGTAGCCAGTTTGAATGAGTTCAGAGAGTTTTTCGGGCTCAAGAAGTACGACAAGTTCGCCGAGATCAACTCGAACCCAGAAATTGCGACCCTTCTCGAGAAGCTGTACACAGACCCCGACATGGTTGAGCTGTACCCTGGCCTCATGATCGAGGATATCAAGCCCGCCAGAAACACGGGAAGCGGCATCTGTCCTACATACTCTGTCGGTAGAGCCGTTCTGTCTGACGCAGTCACACTTGTGCGGTCGGATAGATTCAACACGCTCGACTACACCGTCTCAAACCTGACGGCTTGGGGGTACAACGAGGTCCAGCAAGACTACAAGACGCTCGGGGGCTCGATGCTTTACAAGCTCATCCAGCGTGGTCTTCCAAACTGGTTCCCGTACAATTCGGTGGCCGTCATGCAGCCCATGTATACCAAGAAGGCGAACGAATCCATTGCCAAGGAGCTGGGCACCCTCCATCTGTACACATCCAATGACCCGAAGCCGCCCCCGAAGATAGTCGTCGTGGCGACCAGCGTTGCCATCAAGCAAGTTCTCGGCAACTCCAAGCAGTTTGTGGTGCCATGGCTCCAGCCTCTCAACGACTTGTTCACGGGCACCAAGAAGGACATCAGCTGGTTCATGCTTGCGGGCGACGAACCCAAGAACTACCAGCACCGCGTCAACCTCCTCAAGGCGATGGGAAAGATCCCCAACCTGCACAACGCCGTTCACGAGTTCGTCGACCGTGTGGGTGCAAAGCTTATTGAGAAGGAGACGTTCAAGTTGAAGGAGGGTCTTTGCCAAATGGATATCATCCGCGATGTCGCCATTCCGCTGAACGCTCAGCTTCTCGCAGACCTTTTCTACTTCGACATGCGCACCGATGAGAACCCGAACGGTACGCTCAGCGCCGCTGATCTCTACCGACACCTGCTCAACATTCGCGTCTGGGGTGTCAACAACAACGATCCCGCTCAGGCCTGGAACCGCCGGCGCCGAGCGACAGAGAGCGTCAATGCCATCATCGATTCGACCCGCGGGCTCGTCAACGAGGTCGTTGTTGGGCGAGGTTTGGGTTTCGGAATCGCGTCGACAATTTCTGGTGTTGTCGGCCGCAAGTCCAACTTCAAGAAGGATTCGCTGCGTTCCTGTGGCCACAAGCTTGTCGAGGAGCTATTGGCGCAGGGTAACTCTGCCGAGCAGGTTGTAGACAACATGTGGCTTACAGCATTTGGAGGCATTGGTGCTCCTGTGACGGCTGTAAGTATATCCACAGATACCTCGTTCAGCCGCCTGCTTTGTGCTCCGAGCTAACATTTGCCCAGTTCTACGAAGTCTTGGAGTACTTCCTGCGTCGCGAGAACGCCTCTATTTGGGCAGAGGTCCAGACTCTTGCTCAAAAGAATGACGATGCCGGGCTCCACGCCTACGTCAAGGAGGCCCAACGCCTTACAAGCTCGCAGCGCAATGTCCGGGTGGCCACGGTGGCGGCTGAGGTTGACGGCAAGCAGGTCCAACCTGGAAATGTTGTGGTGATGCTTCTGGTAAGCCCCCTTTCAGTCATAAAGAAAAATGAACAAGGGCCGCGTTCTGATTGTGATTTCAGGGCGATGCCGGCCGCAACCCGAAGGAGGTAGCGAACCCCGACAAGTTTGACGCGAAACGCAAGACGGATCCCGTATCGGCTTTCAGCTATGGCCAGCACGAGTGCCTCGCCAAGGACATTGCGACAACGTTCATTGTCGGCCTTGTGAAACTCGTGGCCGATCTCAAGCAGTTGCGCCCAGCCCCGGGCCAAATGGGTCTGGTCAAGACAATCCGTGTTGGTAGCGAGAAGGCCTACCTCAACGACAGTTGGTCCTACCTGGGCTTCGATGCAAGCAGTAAGTGCCTCCTCAGAATGTGTGTTCGCAACGCTAAAACCCCGATAGCCTGGAAGGTTCACTTTGACGGGCACGGAAAGGGGAACTTTGAGGGTGATGTTCAGCCCAACAAGCCTATCGACCTAGGCCAATACTACTACCTGCTTCAGAAGCGCAAGGAGAAGCTCCTGAATGGCAACAGCAGCAATGGCACAAATGGCAGCTCATGAAAGCTCCCGCAGAGAGAGGAAGGCCCCGGGGAGTTTGAATCGGCTGTCGTATACTCTTTCCCCCGGTCACCGACCACTTCGTCGTTCATGTTGTACGTCAAAAGTCTCTTGGAAAAGGACTACGGATCTTCATCCTTTGCAATGGAATAGGCGGAGGTGAAGCAAAGGCAGACTGCTGGTAATCTAGATTGAGGTATGAATGCGGAAAACTCAGTTCTGCTTCGTCTTAGAATTCAGCCAGTGGACACCCCATTGTCACAACTTCGCAGACCAAGCCCTAAATATACCAAGCTCAGTCCAGACTTGCCCTAGATGAGGTAGAACTCTTCATCAGAAGTATCAACCAACTAAGCTATTCGTTTTCCGCCCCTGAGAAATCTGTTGTATGGCGCCTGAGGCAAAGATATGTCCAGTCGTAAACACAGATGCATTGAATACGTTTTGCATCAACACATGTTATGCGGGGAAGCAGGCTTGGACTCTGAATCCCCGATCTTGAAATGAAAAGATCCCCCGATAGGAGAATCTAGTGAAGCAGCGAGGTGCTGGATTGCCCTTATAGTAAACTTTGTCGAAAACCGGGGGAAAATGTGAAAGGCCCAGTGACGCACACCCGTCGGCGCAATTTGGCGGCAACATTACCCGAGGGCCGTAGACGAGATGAACTCAAAAGACCAGTTGTCTTAGCAGACGCACCGTAGTCGGGCCGCTGATCACAGGTGAAGCTTGAAAGGGCCAAGTCAGTTTGATGTTCAAACGCACGTCTTGTATAAATCGAATGGCATAGCAGCAAAACCTAATCTTAGCCTTTGGAGTGACAATTCGTGACAACCGAAGGAAAAGTTTACGGGATGTATTGAACGCTAAGCTATTTCAATTTGGTTCGTTGGCATGACTGCATGTGGTCCAACTTAGATTATAGCAAACCAGCAAAGTCATGGAATGCAAGCTGGACAATAAAAGGAGTTCACGGATGCCACTATGTCCGATAATGTAATACTATCCAACCGTCGCGCACGGAGCTCGTGGACCCTATGCCTTGAGGCCCAGGTCACCAGTTCTCCGCCGAATCTCAATGCTGGCCTTGGGGTCAACCTCAAGCGCGAAGCCAAAGTTAATCGGCTTAGGCTGAACCTCCGCTGCCAGTCGCCAGTCGTACTTGAGGAGAAGATGGCAGAGGATGATCTTAACCTCGTTGGCGGCGAAGAATCGGCCGGGACAGGCATGCTGGCCATGGCCGAACCCAAGGTGTTCAGGCGAGGTGCTGACGAAGTGGGCGGCCCCGTCGTTGCCAGCGCCGAGGGACTCTCGCATGCGAAGGTAACGGTGTCCGTCGAAGCGGCTGGGGTCCAAGTAGACGGAGGGATCGTGCATCCGCTGGCAGCTGACAGCAATACGGCTGCCCTCCGGAAGTTCCAAGCCGTTTGAAAGGGTCATAGTCTTGGTAACCTCACGGTGCATGGAAACTAGAGAATCCTCACATCAGCATCATATGGCAGATAAAATGGGAGGGGAGAAACACTACTTACCAATACCAATGGGATGGAGACGTTGAGTTTCTTTGCAGAAAGAGTCCAGGAGGCGCATTTTGTAGAGGCCCATGCGAGACCAGCCATCGGTGCGAATAACGTCGGTGATTTCTTTGCGGAGTGGCTCAAAGTAATCGGGATACCGGGCGAGGTCGAGCATGACTTGTGTGATCAGGTCAGAGGTGCTGTGAAGAGCGGCGAAGGAAAGCCCAAGCTGCATCATCGCAGGATCAGAGATGGCGTCGTCCGACGACTCCTCGCACCACTCGATACAGTCATTGTACTCGGGCTCTTCTTCGCCGCGGTCCAGTGCCGCCTTCTTCTCCCGGCGGCGCTCCTCTACAATGGGATTGATGATTTCCCTGGCCTCCTTCACCTGGGCTTGGAGGTTGCGGCTCAAGGGGCTGATGTAGTGGATGGCGCTGCGGAGCGGCTTGGGGAAGATCCGAAGGATTTCGGAGGCCAGAAAGCTTGTTCTTGCGTACTCGGAAGTGATCTTCAACCAGGCGGGGTTGCGACAGAGCTTCTCACCGCCAAAGACGCGGGTGGAAACTCGGGCTACGACTTCGAGCATCTTCACTTTGATCGCAACAGTCTGCCAGTCTACGTCGGATCAGTCAAGTTCGCTCGTGCCATCGTGTGATCCACTTACCCTCTTCCTCGCCAAAGGTATCATTCAGCGAGCGTGTTGTCTCGTCGGAAACGGGAGCTGTAAGTTTGGCTAGGGTTTCGTTAGTAGTCATGTTATGTGACTGGATGGGGTTCACTGCCCACGTACAGAGGAATTGGGTCAGTCTTGTACGGATGACATGTTTGAGAACCTCTTTTTGCGGATTGGCTTCCTTCAGTGGCTCGAAACCAGGCAGATAAGCGTGGAAATTCTGAGGTTCACAGCTTGTCAGTAATATGCTCATCTTGCAATTTGGGCACCATGAGGGAAGCCTGCCTTATCCAAAACCCGGTCGAGGCTGAGATCTTCATGGTTGCGGATCTCGTTGGCGAATGGCACTGCGGGGAGAATCGTCACGTCGCCGGTATCCGTGAGAAGCTGGTAGGGCTCATTGGGGCTCGCTTTCGTCCTCTCCTCCACAAGGCGACGGGCGTGGAAAACGAAATCCCATTTGACCTTCAACCAGGTGAAATCCCACTTGTGCCGCGGGTTTAGGATAGGCAGATCAGTGTGAGGTGTCTGCTCTGACTGCTGGACGGAGAAGTAAAAGACGAACAACAAAAAGGCTGTGATGAAGTAAGGTACAGGCTTCTCCAGAGGGCTGGGGAAAGCCTGCAGCGACTCGAGGGCCCCCCAAGACGACTGGTTAGAATAAGAATCGTTGGTGGTGGCCATGGTCGTTCAAGATACACTGGTCATACGGGAGCAAGTTCTTGCTGGCGGGTTGGCGGGTTGTAGCTGGAAAAGTGGAAAGGCAACAAAGGCCGAAGGAATCAAGGGAGGGAACTCTGGAAGAAAAGGGAAGTCGGCCAGCGCACAATACGCCGTCGCGGGCAGACTGGACGGACACATGTTGGCCAGGCCCGCGAAACGTCCATCGGAACAGAACGACGAGCCCGGGAGCTTGGGGCGCTGTGCTCACGCCTACTAACGTGGCGGCTGGCGTGCGGCGTTTGGTTTCAAGGGACATGCAGCCGCACAGCCCGTCAGAGTCTGTAGTCGTTGACCCGGCGCATGGATCGCATTCTCGGACGATCTCAACGTGCATCTGAGGCCTTGAGCATCGAGTAACACGGGGTAGACAGGTAATGTGGGTTCGAGTCACAGGTGCCGGAGACGTGATGAGTAGCACGTACGGGGGGACTCTTGGGGTAGATGCGACCGGACTGTGTTGCTTACTGGAACCATTGGGATATGATACCGGTGCTTTGCCGCAGAAAGTCTGCAAGGGAGAAACAATCGATGGGGGCCGAGCTCCATATGGCACGAGCGGGCCCAGAACAGGTTTGGAATGGTGTAGCAGCGAGTCCGAGAAGGACTCCGGAGTGGCTTCCGGAGATTGCGGTGCCATCCCGTCGCGGAGTACTGTTGAGCTTCGGTGCCGGGATGGGGTCGATCTTCGGTATTTATGGGTTAGTGATATTTGCATCTGCCGCCCCGGCGTTCAGGTGCGGTCCAATCATCGCCCGTAGCCTACATCTTGTTTCCTCTTTCCTCTCTCTTGATTCCTTAGCTGAATTCTTCAGGTTGATCATCCCACAGCCTAAACTGAGTTCGTTGCAAATTGTTTATGTTTAAGCTGGTTTCGTTCACCCCAAGCCATGTATTTCATCGTGAGAATCAAAATGCCCAACCATTTATCCGTCAAATATAGTTGTTAACGAAAGAGCCGCTCGAATTCGTTGGGAGTACTTCTTTTGACTCGCAACGCACACAGCCAACAAGTATGCAATGTGACTAGTCGTGTTGCTATCAGAATACCATACCAATAATTCATATCGGCGCCAAGATGGGTGGGTTATGGAGTAGGATTGATTCGGGAAATTGTGTGATTTCACTCGGAGACAGTTAATGGTTTCACAAAACAAGTGAAGCTGCAAATATAATTGACAGCCAGTTGATGTGATAAATGACTAGATTTTATTTTTCATCGGTACGAACTCATCAAACACAGTAAGGTGGTCATCGACGTCATTCAACAGTTGGATAATTGTATAAGCTTTGATGTCATGCCCATCTCAGGCAAATCCACTCTTCAATATTGACTTGAGGCGGATTACTTATGGGCCATTCTACTTGTAGAGGCTTAGGCTGCATGAGCTTATCCTGTTTAAGTAAATCGAGCGGCGGAGAGCACTGAGACTGAGAGCAAGTGTTGAGTTCAGCAAAGACTCAGGCTAAATCCTGGTTGACAGGAGTACCCTGGGTTATTTACCTTTAGCCTCAGCGAATGGATTCCACCCAAAAACGAACAAGGACTCGGTGTTTCCACTTAAGTTCGCAATCGGCCCCGTGTCTCGGCTTTTGTTTGCGAGGCGTTCCTCGCTATCCATGCTGAGGGAAGCATTCCTACTAATCCACACCGGGCATCTAGTGACTTTATGAGACTGCCTTGCCACCTTACAAAAGAGACATGCTTGGTACCTATATAGTATCTGCGTACGCCGAGTTTGGGTAATTTGTGCAACATGACAATTCGGACGAACAGGAAACACCGCCCTGGATGGGACCTGCTTGGCCGTTTGGTACCAGTACTTACGACAGCCATCACTTCAACTGTATTGAGAGCATTACTAACCTCCAAATTGTAAGGCGGTTGGGTTTGCTGATGCAACTTTGGGGGCTGAGGCCGGGCCATATGACGGCCTGACTCGATTCCGTTAACGTTTGTGTAGACATGCCGACGTGGGCAATATTTACTTTCTACTGAGACTCGTACATGGTAATCCCCATTAGCCAGGCCATGAACTCAAATCGGTACACCGTCAATCCGGACGAGGGGTGCGGATTGAGAAGTTTGGCTCTTCAAAGGATTTAATAATCTGTGGCCAATCCTCCAAGCCAAGGTTTTCCGGTTTCCAGGCAATCTGTTGGAGAGAGACAGGTTGTTCTCATTTCCTCTCCCCAGAGTACATATGCTTTAGTACAAGTTGCCATATATACGTTCGTCATGCAGCTCACAGCTTTCATTTCCATAGCCATGGCCTCACTGGTATTCCAGCTGGCCAGTGCTCTTCCTACGCCTAAAGCCCACATCAAAGTTGCACCAGACGTGCAATCAGGCCACCCAGAGGCGTACGCTGTCTTCATGCGGGCACCAAGACTTATTCTTGACGATGTCGCCCGGAAGCGTCAAGCTGTACCTGGGGACGGCCAACCCGACCCGAACCGAGCCCCGATAACGCCCGATAACATCTTCGTTCTGCAGTGTCCCGACGCCGGGTTCTTAGGAGATTGTATATCCTTCGGCGCACCACCCGGACGATGCGGTAAGAACGGAGTTCTGGGGTCCCACGGAATAGCTATAAAACGCATGAGGAAACCGACGATACTGATAAGTAGTTGTGACAGTGGGCTATTCTAGCTTCAACACCAGCCAGGCTTTTCTGGACAAATACGACAACCAAACGTCTTCTCTAAGCACAAATACAGGGGGCCAATGCCAGTTTTACAAGTGAGTGTGGTGAGATGATATAGCAGAGCCTGCGGAGCTAATGATTTTCAAATAGATTTACTGGCTGCGGCGAAAAGGGGGATGATCGTGGGGTTGCTCTCAGTTATAAGTTCAACCTTGGTGTTGCCGATATCGGTTATGGCGGTGATTACGATAATCAAATCAGCTCTTGTGAGTATTCTCATTCTAACACCGTCTTTGGTGGGATCATCTAATTTGTCATAGGGAAATGCTGAACTCATGATCGGAATCAGTTGTTTATAGAGCCAGACGAATATATTTGAGCTACAGTCAGACATTAAGCTCTTTGCGCGCAATCAAAGGCCACAGACGGCGACTGTATGAAAGCCGCAGGTATATGTTTTGAGAACTGATTAGTTCCAGCAGCTGGCCATATTCTCGTTACCATGGTGCTAAAACGGCCAGCAAGTTCTAATGATACCGAAACAATCGTCTTATGCGCCTCCGCCAAAACGTTGTCTCCTCTAAAACGTTGTGGCCTCGCTCGTGCTGTTGATGCCGGCTGCCAAAGTCGCATTCAGCTCTGTGACGACGCCTTTTTCGACCGGTTTGCCCAAATTATCCGAAAATGGTCTCACGACATCACAACGCAGTGCCTGGGCGGTACTCATTCTCTCCATATGGGTGTTATTGGTTTGCACAAACAGTCTCTCACGGCCATCTGGACCTGTAAAGATGTTCCACTCAGCAGCGCCCTCCTCGCGATCGGTGTTTGGGTCCAGATTGCGGACGAAAGAAATCCAGTACTTGCGGACCTGCGAGATGATCGGCTTGTTACTGGTAAAGTACGAAGCCGGAGGCTGGCCGTCGGTACGATTAGGGCCCCAGAAGGCGTACGTATTCACCGTGTGGTAAGCTCCGAAACCCTCGGCTTCGGACTTGGGATCCAGGACATCGTATTTATAGTTGTAAGTGGGCACCTTGTCGCGGGCAAGGTAGTTTTGGATATTGCGGATGACACAGTGGGTGCCGACGTCGCCAATGGCGTTGGCGGCCTGGCGCCATTTCACTCCGGAGTCGGGAAAAACTGGCTGAGGCACGTCGATGTATAGCGTGTCGAGTATGTCGAGAGACCCGTTTGATAGGGAGGGATCTTGATTGAGAAGATACTGGTTTGCCTCGGCGGTAGAGTTGGTAGACTGCGGAGCAGAGTACAAGGTGCCCTCCTGAGCGCAAGAACCCCATATGGTGGGAACCTTTGTGTATTTTCCCTGTTGGAAGAGGTTGACCATGCTGTCGGTGAAAAGCTCACCGTCAATGCCGGGGTTAAACCAGCAACTGGATGAGCGGATGGCGGACTGGTTGATAGCACGCAGACAAGACAGCGAGTCGGCCGAATCGAAGCATCCCTTCTCCTTGGCGAGGCAGTCGTACTGGCCTTGACCCTGGTCCATCGTTCGCATCGTCGCCCAGCCACCAGACTCAGCGATTCCGCCGGCAAAGAGCTGCTTCCCACCGACGTTGGCTGTCATCAATAAACCAACAGCAGAGCCACCAGCGCTGATGCCGTCGAGGACAACCTGCTCAGGGTTACCGCCAAACTTTGCAATGTTGGTCTGGACCCATTCGAGAGCCTTGATCATGTCCCTGACACCAGCGTTGAGACTGCCACCGGCGCGAACCTCCTCACTCTGCAAGAACCCGTACATGCCAACGCGGTAGTTGACCTGCACAACAATAACGTTGCCATCCGAGGCAATCTCGCTGGCGTCCCAGTTTGCGTTTGAGTCGGAGGTGAACCCTCCACCTTGGAGAAAGAAGAGGACGGGAAGCTTGGAATCGGCCTGCGCCTCGGAAGGGGCTGTGACGCTCAGATAAAGGCAGTCTTCATCGACGGTGAAGCGGGAGCTTTTGCCCGTCACGGTGTAGTCGGTGGGTTGCTGGGGAGGGCAGATGGGACCGTGAACGGTAGCGTTGACCAAGCCGGACTGCACAGGGTCGGCCGGTGCGGCAAACCGGAGAGCTCCAACAGGCGGAGCGGCGAACTGGATGCCCTTCCAAGTCGTCACTCCCAGCTGAGCATCAGTCACGGCTCCTTGGAACTGGGCGTATCCAAGATCCACGAGCGTGTCGATAGCCTGGACACCAGGAGCGAGGATATTCGTCGCGGCGAACAGAAAAGCAAGACGTGCCCCCTGCCACATTTTCGTCGAAGAGATTGACTTATTGAACGAAATGAAGGCACTCGAGGAACGAAGGAACCGGTCGACAAGCAGACAGGTGAAGCGAACGGAAGGGCGTGGAGCCAAGTCTGTTGCAGAAGCCTTCCCAATGCCCCTTTCCATCGCGGCCGATTCTTTCGCACTCGTTATATACTCGATTGCTTTTAGACTTTTTCAAGATAATTAGGTAACGTCCCCCCCTTTTTCCAGTACCGAAATTTCCGTCAGCGGCAATCTCGTGTTCCATGTCACTAAGTCAGGCTGCTTGTATAATTGAAACAGTGTGGGCAGTAGGGGGAAAGCAGAATGCTGGTCCCTCTAATGGGATGTCACCCCATTCCACATCACCCTAGCCAAGCGAAAGCTTAATGGATGGGACGAACGTCCATTGCCGCGTGTAGGGGCATTTTTTGGTATACTCATTTCCCCCGAAGCCAAGCCTCGATCAACGGTCGTGACATACGGGCCATGAACAGACTGTTGCCAAGCGCGGGACTGTCAAATCCAAGACGTGGATCATGAATAGAGAATGGAAACCCTGAGTGCGAGACCTTTGCATGCGGCTGTCTGCTTGGCTGGCTGAATGGCACTTGGATGACAAGCTCAAGGTTTCGTGTGCCCACCAAAGCGACCCGGAAACATTGGGGGCCGAAAAGGCAGGTTAAAGTCGTTTAAGGGTAGCGTGGGATGCTGGTATGAACGTGCTGAATTCCTAGGATATGGGTAGTTGGTTTGTAATATTGACGCTCTCGCACATTTACACATCTCAAGGGTGACATATCAGCCAGGCAACGATCGTCATCTCAGGCTTAAAACCCACTCGGCGCCACCCATCTCTCTACTAGTCATTGTTAGATCCGTAGTCGTATCCGTATTTACTGAGATAATGACACTTGCCCCGAGTCAGTTGTTGGATAGAAGCTGGTGAAGTGCTAGATCTTGTACGAACAAATGCCGCAATACCGCCCTCTTTGACTACCATAATAGCTGCGTGAGGAACTGATCTTGATCTTGACGTTTAACCGGAATGGGTCGTTTCCAACCATACTTGGAAGAGCTGAGTTCCAGCAACAGCTTGACTTTTGTGCGCGTGAAGCCAGACAGCACGGTGGTTTGTGCATTAACATAGGACTAAAGGAACACACACCCTTGCGTTTTATTTTTGTCCATAGACCTTCACTATGTATTTGTAGATGAAACTGTCTTTCAGGCTGGCTGTCTTGTGTGTCGCGACGTCCGATGCTTGCCAGAACCTCACCTGCCGACTCACCCCTATCCACTAGAGAGTACGAAGCAGCACGACAGCAGATACAACGGGGATATTTCCGACCAGACACTCGTAGCAAGCTACTGGCATCGATCTAACTGGGGACTCATCGGGTGGACTTGGACTATGTTGTATGATAACTGCAATCAATAGCAACAGACCAGCAAGTACATGATCGTCCAAAGTCTAATGGACAAACTCCCAGCAAATGTCAATGGGCGGGCCAAGTGCGCTAGTCCTTAGGGCGACTCAAGCCCTGTTCAATCGCAACCATGGAACCGAGTGACACGTATGAGCTAGCAGACTGCTCCACGATCGAGGATCCAGGCACCGTTCCTAGCATCCTTGACACTTTTCACATTATGAACAACCGAGTCGCGGTAGCGCGGGAAGGGTTATATTCACACTAATGGATGTCATCTCCTACACACTCCATGGAGCACGAAGACGCCAGGTCGGCAATAAATCGAACTCAATGTTCGGGCCGCGATTACACCCCCCGCCTGGTCCACCTCTTTGCGGGGACCGGCCGAATCTGGCTTCTGATGCTTGCGTCATTATTGAGGAACTCGGATCCAATGGATGGGTGACCTTTTCGAACGGGAGGGGTTGAGCTGGGAGGGCTTGTTCCTTGCAGCAATATTCACGACACCTTCGGTAGACGCTGATTTCCACACCGAGAGCACGAACGGCCTCACGTACAACATGGGCAACAACGAAATGCAGCGCTGGCAGACGCGCCAGGACGGGCTCGACAAGCTCTTCCTCGCCACGGCGCCCATCCCGCGACCCGGGCCTGGCGAGGTGCTCGTCAAGATCAAGGCCGTCTCGCTCAACTACCGCGACACGGAGGTGGCCATGGGCCTGTACAACCACCACAAGACCATCAACCCGGGAGAGGCGGAGCCGTTGGTCCCGGCATCGGACATGTGCGGTTCGGTCGAGGCCGTGGGCGACGGCGTCGAGAGGTGGAAGACGGGCGACCGCGTCGTCTCCATCTTCAACCAGTCGCACATCAGGGGCCAGATCAAGGCGGCGGACATGAAGTCCGGCCTTGGTTCCCCGTTGGAGGGCGTGCTGCAGCCCTACCGCGTGTTCTCTGCCGAGGGGCTGGTTAAGGCGCCGAAGCACTTGAGCGACGAGCAGGCGGCCTGTCTCCCGATCGCGGCGGTGACGGCTTGGATGTCGATCAACCAGTTCCGGCCGCTGGGTCAGCCCGGCGGCAAGGGAGAGGTTGTCGTCTGCCAGGGCACCGGCGGTGTCGCGATTTCGGGACTGCAGATTGCAAAGGCGGCCGGCGCAACGGGTGGGTGAAGATGCATTGCTAGACAATGTGCGCGCGCAAAGACTGAAAAGAAGACTGGCTAACCGCCGTGGCAGTCATCATCACCTCTTCATCGGACAAGAAGCTGAAGAAGGCGAAGGCCCTGGGCGCAGACCACACGGTCAATTACCGCACCAACCCCAACTGGGACGAAAAGGTCAACGAGTTCACCCAGGGCGAGGGTGCCGACATCATCCTAGAGACGGGCGGCGCCAAGACGCTGCGCCAATCCTTCGAGGCCATCGGATTCGGTGGCACGATTGCGTGCATTGGGTACCTGTCGGGCAAGGTGGACGGGGAAGAGGACCGGACCAACGTGAACCTGCTGGCGCTGCGCAAGACGGTGACGCTCAAAGGCATCATCAACGGTCCGCGGGAAAGGTTCGAGGAGATGATTGGGTTCTACGAGGACAAGGGCATCGAGCCGGTTGTTGACCGCGTGTTCGACTTCAAAGAGGCCGACAAGGCGTACCAGTACCTATACAGCGGAGGTCACTTTGGCAAAGTCGTCGTTAGGGTTCCATGACGCCGCCGATTGGTCGCGGCTTGACAGATGGATGGGTGGGTAGTGGATAGATAGATAGGATTCGAGACCAACGGGGACGAACCCATGAACAGATATGATTTCCCGATGACAATACAATGGGTTTTGTTTTGGTAGGGATGACAATACGCGAGGTGAACGCTCAGGTCGATGAGCCGAGGCACATGTTCGACTGATGCACGCCCGCTCGGGGTCCTCGGACAATCAATGTCACCTTCTCCAATGACGGAGCAATCAAGATGGGGAAGACAGAAACTCTAAGCTTGGCGCGAGTCACGGATTCTCCTGCTTTCCGGATGCGTTTCTCTGCGTTAATAGAGGCTTACATGTCAGCTTCGGTTCCGTATTATAAGCCTGACGCCAATGTCAGCTTATGGTCTGTCTACCCAACTCACATTGAGGCCCGGACTACGTCTACCTATGTTTATCTACTGCTACAAAAACCGGATAGACAATCCGTTCTCGGGTTCTCTCTCTCTCTCTCTCTTCCATACTACGGAACACATAGCGTCGCAGATAGGCCTGCGGGCACACCTCTTTTCCCCAACCCTGCGCCCCAACCCCTCTACCCGGGAACCCCGTAAGCACCAGGTCCCAAAGAGAGAGAGAGATAGGAAGGGAAACCAATCATCCCTACCCCGACCTTGAACGTGACCATCCCGCCATTTTGCAACAAGCAGACGTCCTTCCCCTCTGCGGCCGTGACAGCTCAATCCAATCTCCGAGGCCGAAAGAATCCGGCAATTCGTCCGGCCAGCCGAGGAGAAGATAATACCAAACAAAATATTACACGGCATCCTTGTCCTCCCCGCCTTGGGCCCGGTCAGCCAGATAGATACAAAGCAGGGCCAGACAGCGCCATCAAAACCCCGTGGAGAGCTTCGACATGCCGCCTCACAAGCACTACCACCTGCGTGACCTTGTCCCTCTGCCCCAGACGCCCCTCCAGACCCTTGCCGCGCTCGCTGGTATCGGCGCCTCGGCCTGGTTACTAAAGCTAATCATACGACACATCCTCCTCCGCAGTCCCGCCAAGCGCTCCCGCGGCTCCCCCTCCTCGTCCGGTCCGACATTCGCAGCCATGAACGCCGAAAGGAAGAAGGAGCTCCTCGAGCGGCCCGTCATCATCGTCGGCGGCGGACTGGCCGGCCTGGTGGCGGCATTCGAGCTCTCGGAGCGCGGCGTGCCGACAATCATCATCGACCAGGAGAACGAGAAGAACCTCGGCGGGCAGGCGTTCTGGTCTCTGGGCGGAATATTCTGCGTGGACTCGAAGGAGCAGAGGAGGATGGGCATCAAGGATTCCAGGGAGCTCGCGATGCGCGACTGGTTCGGCTCGGCGCAGTTCGACCGTGAGAGGGAGGACACCTGGCCGCGCCGCTGGGCCGAGGCGTTTGTAAACTTCGCCACCGACGAGATGGAGGACTACGTCAAGGCCAGGGGGATGGGGTTCCTGTTCAACGTCGGCTGGGCCGAACGTGGCGCCGGCATGGCCGAGGGCCACGGCAACTCGGTGCCGCGGTTCCACGTCACCTGGGGCACGGGGCCCGAGGTCGTGAGGGTGTTCGCGGAGCCCGTGAAGCGCGCCGCCAAGAATGGCGTCATCCAGTTCCGCTTCCGCCACCGTGTCGACGAGATCATCACCGACGAGACGGGCCGCGCCATCGGCGTCCGCGGCAAGGTCCTCGCGCCCGACGACTCGCCCCGTGGCGTCAAGTCCAACCGGGACGTCGTCGACGACTTTGATATCTTTGGGTCGGCCGTTGCCGTCACCTCCGGTGGCATTGGCGGTAACGTCGAAGCCGTCAAGGCCGCCTGGCCCGTCGACCGCCTGGGTCCCAAAATCCCCGAGAATTTCGTCGTCGGTGTCCCCGACCACGTCGACGGCCGCATGATCGGCATCTCCGAGGCCGCCGGCGCCAACGTCATCAACCGCGACCGCATGTGGCACTACACCGAGGGCCTGCAGAACTGGGACCCCATCTGGCCGAACCACGGCATCCGTGTGCTCCCCGCGCCCAGCTCGCTGTGGCTCGACGCGACGGGCAAGCGGCTGCCCCCTTTCTTCTTCCCCGGCACCGACACCCTGGGCACGCTGAAGCACATCTGCAGCACGGGGTACGACTACACGTGGTTCATCCTAGACCAGAGCATCATCGCCCGCGAGTTTGCGCTCTCCGGGTCCGAGCAGAACCCCGACGTGACGGGGAAGAGCGTGTGGCAGCTCCTCACACGCGTCTTCGGCAAGAAGGGCACCGTGCCGGTGCAGAACTTCCAAAAGCACGGCAAGGACTTTGTCGTGCGGGACAACCTCGCGGACCTGGTGCAGGGGATGAACGAGCTGCAGCGCGAGCGCGGCGGGCCGGTGCTGAAGCTGGAGGACATCCGGGAGACGATCGAGCTCCGTGACGGGCAGTTCGACAACACCTACTCCAAGGACGCGCAGGCGATGCTCATCAACAACGGACGGACGTATTGGGCCGACGCCAGGAGCCGCATCGCGCCGCCGCACAAGCTGTTGGACACGAAGCACGGCCCGCTGATCGCGGTGCGGATGAACCTGCTGACGAGGAAGACGCTCGGCGGCATCGAGACGAACCTGGAGAGCAACGTCATGAAGGCCAACGGTGAGAAGTTCCCAGGCCTGTACGCGGCGGGAGAGGCGGCCGGCTTCGGCGGTGGCGGTGTCCACGGCTATAACAGCTTGGAGGGGACGTTCCTGGGAGGCTGCATCTTCTCCGGAAGGGCGGCAGGTCGCGGCATCGCGGATGAGCTGCTAGGGCCTGCGGAAGCCAAGGGCCCAAAGTCGTTCCTGTAGCGTCCAGCTGAAGCAAGTATGTATAGCAGATTGAATGTTACTTAAGGGATGGCTCCTATTACCTCGTCATTCTGTCATTTATCGTTGCGAACCGACTGCAGCGATAAACGGCAAAGACCTAGAATGTGAGTGACTCTGGACGGAATTAATGGTATTTACTATCAGACACTATCGAGGCCTCATGACTCTGAATGACCGAGGACGGTCGACGTCCTCTCCCTTTCCAGCTTGACTTCGGTCGTGACCCGGATCTGCCCATCATGAGCCCAGTCTCCCTTCACCATGTCGTCCGACTTGCGCACCTCAACAGTCCTCACTGATACCGGCGATCGAGCATGCCCCGCGTATCCGCGCTCCTCGTCGCCCGTCATGTCGCTTTGCGTCTCGAAAGCCTGCTTCTTCGAGTGCTCGGTGAGCTCCACCTCATCATCGCCGCGGCGTCTCTGAGTATTTTTGGAGCCGGTCACCTTGGACGCGGTGTTGGTGGCTTGCGATACCGTCTTTCGCACGAAGCTCTTGAGCCATGGTGGCGTGTAGTAGGAGATCATGGGGCGGAAGTGGGGGAGGCAGGCCGCGATGATGTAGGTTCCCGTCTCGATGATGCTCCAGCCGACGAGGCCGACGGATGCCCCTGCTTCAGTCAGTACGCGAGAGGGCCAAGTACCAGCCGCTCAATGGAACTCACAAGTGCGATCAGCAAACGCCGACGTCTGGAAGAAGATGTAGGCGCGGATCATGGATGCGACGACACCGCTGTGAAGCTGTTAGTCATGGCACCACCCCCTTATTCGCGTTGTCAAAATAGAGGTTTACGTACAAACTGCCAACCATGAAGATGCCGACCAGTGCGAGTCTCTTGTGCAACGGCAGCTTCAGGGCCCAGATGGTTTGAAGCGGCAGCGCCATGATGATGAAGTCCAACAAGAAGCCAGGGATGGCCTGCCCGTGGAAGAAGGCCTGCACGTCGATACACTTGCCACCGGGGATCGTCCGGTCCCACCAGTAAGCGATGGGCTGGCATTGAAAGCACGCCGTGACGACGAAGGACACGCTGGTGGCGGCGAGGGCCGCGAGGATAACGTAGGCGGCGGTGCGCATGGCGCCCTTCCAGTTGAAGACACGTAGGAACAGGCACACGATGCTCATCTTTGGCAGCGCCACGGACGTAAAGTAGATGAGCTCGAAGGCAAGCAGGGACTTTGCCCACCCTGCCAGCAGTTCGGGGTGAAATTCCTCGAGGTACTCGACGTGTCGTCCGACACCACCAACCTTTACCATGACTGCGAAGACGCGCGTTAGAGAAACAGGCCATAGAGGTAGGGGGGGAAAGAGAAATAGAAAGAGATGGAGAGATGGGCTCAAAACCATACCTATGCCTACGGCGCACATGCCGAGGTTGACGACGTATGCCGCCGCCAAGAAGTAATCGTCGATTCCATAGCCGCCCGCGGTGAACCGTTTCGCAAATAGTCGCAGGGCGAGGAACACAGTCGTGAGGCAGGCGAAGGCGATGGATATCGAGATGAGTTCGTTGCCAGAATCCTCCGCCAGATACTCAGGCGTCAAGGTGCCGGCTGCTCCGCCTTGGCCTTCTGCAGCCATCACGAGCCCGGAGGGCATTGTGCGTAGGAGTTCGTCGATGTTACGCTAAGCCGATCTACGGCCGAAAAGCAACAATGTGGGCATGTATTTCCGTCTGGTGTAAGTCCTGAGGAAGAAAACCACAAGAAACAAGTAGACAAAGAAAAAGCCAAGACAGCGGGAGGAGAGCCAAGAAAGCCAATGTCTATTTCCTCTCGACGATCCCATTCCCTTTTCTCCTTCAGCCACAGCCTTATATCTGCCTTGGCTTCCGGCTCCCCCGTCTTTTATCCCGAATTAGCACCTTACCTGGAGGCTGTCCCCGTCGACGATGGAGAAAAGGGGGGCAAGGGGCGTCGGTGAAAACACAAGGACTGGTCAATAGCCGGCGACGAGAGGGGGGTGAGGGGGCAAGGGAGGGTTCTCCATCACGGATACACTGCCATTACAAGCAGTGAGATCTCAAATACCATGGTTCAACCATGCACACATCCAAGATAATGGTGCCGTTCGTCGCCATTGGGTGGTAATTATCAGTATTGGGTCATAGGCCTATGATTGCCTCCTCCACTCATATCGATACAGCTTCACCGGCAGGTTCATTCCGCAGCTTTATGCGTATACAATGTACAGGCATATAATGAGTTCCACTCTTCGGACACTACCTAGTTTAACTACCCTTGCCTTGCAGAGCGGACGCATAGTTGCCGGGCACGCCATCGCCTGGCGGTCGTGTTTACTTAGTGAAGGCCGACAGCAAGGGCGAAGAAAACAGCGTTGGAAAAATACTACGTATGTCCACAAAAGGGGGGGGTCTCTTCTGTGCCGTCGTACCGTGAGGGCCTCAAGCTCGGATGAAACGCATCGTTCTAGAATGGATTGAAAAGAGAGTTTGAGATAAGCATGGATGAGCCTGGTCGTCAGGGTCTCATCTTGTTAAAGATCCAGGACTGGGCTCTAATCCTATTCGTCATAGCAGGGAGCGGGCAATATTACCGAGGATCTTCAACAGGGCACCTAACCCAGGTCCGCACGCACGCATAGACAATAGCCCCCATAGACTGGCTTGGTTATAACTCCCACCTGACCAGGAGCAGAGCGGTAAACGGGATCTGAATCACACTACTTTCAGATGAGACGCGGAATCTCAACGGAAGCGGCGCAGCAGGAGTTCTTGTTCGCCGGTCGTAAGTATAGTAGTTAGGTATGGCGATCAATCGGCAGTCCAGGCATCTAAGGGAACAAACATATACTCAATGCATGCCCCGGGTGTTTCTCTGGTCATGAAAAGTGGTACATCTTTGTCCGTGCATTGGTTTCTTTGCCCCCCCTCCTGGGCGGTGATACTTTGCCAGTAAGTCGTGGTGACATTGATGTGGCGTCTTGCCCCCCATCATTGGCCACCTTGTTTAGCTTTCTATGCCGCCAGCGAATAACAATCTTAGTAGATGGTCGTGTCTGTGAGATTGTTCATGCTCAATCTTCTACATACCGTAGACACTCGATAGTTAGACATTCCACTCTTGTTCGGGCTAACGGTATCCGTATAGATAGAGTATAGCGTACCTGTCCAAGCTAGGTCTATAATAGAAAGCGGTCAACCCACCTATCTAGCCTAGGTATCTTCCTATCTTTGCTGGCCCTTGCTACCCAGCTTGCTGCTGACGTACATGACTAACCCCTGCTTTTGCCACCTCTAGATCCCTGCTTTCTGCCAGCACGCCAACCCCTTTCCAGCGGCCGCAATACCCCATACCGTTAGCCTGAGAAAGAGTGGAATGTCTAACTATCGAGTGGCTACGGTAGTAGTCGACAACATGTCGAAGAGAAGGCCCCCCGGTAGCTCGACAACAAGGTGCTTGAGAGATCCTTGGCGATCCCTCGAGTTGTGGGTGCAAGATAGCCGGATACTTACCACTAGGTACTAGCTATTCACGGGTGATCTCTGATCCAAGCCCCGCTGTCTCGTCATGCCAACTCCGGCCAGGATGGAAGACGCGGAGCCCTTCTTTCATGCCTTTAAGCCCTCATGCCTTGATGTGCAACCGAGACCACAAGAATACCACCCAGTTCTCGGAGGCACCTTAATCGGGCAGGATTGCCCATCAACGAAATGGTGCGATGGTCCAAAGGATAAATAAACTCAACGAGAAGAACTTGGATCCGCCGAAATTAGGTGTTCGCTTGAAAGATTTGGTGTGTGTTTCGCTAGCACGGTAGCCCGAAGGGATGAACATGTCTGAATGACCCGCAGTATAATATGTGACACATGTGATGCGCGAACTCGTCCGCCTCTTGAGGTATTTCAAATCCATTACAAGGCACCGATCATCAACATCGATATTGGAGGTTGTTATACGGTTCGTCTTACGAAGAGCCGGGTATCCTCGGGATTGCTCGCGAAAACCTACCCCGACACCTCAAATCCGTGGTTGACTCGCTCATGGTTTTGGGATCGTAAGGATCGTAACGTGGCGCACGAGGCTATCCCTCCCTCCCCTAAAGGTGGGATGACCGTCGCGGTTCGCGCTCGGCCTCACGAACCGCAAACAACATCATGAATATGCTGCGAGAGCAATAGCCGGTTTTCTTTGGTGGGCCTATGAGTCGCCATCTTGGCAACAGCCATCACCCTTCGGGCTACGACGACCCCGATGTAACCATACCGTTATAAGGTCGTTTCACATTCCCCCGCGACCTTTGTTCCTCGTCTTTCGAGTATCCAAGGCAGCCCACCATGTGCCCTGTTCTCGATGTAACCCTTGTCGGTGTAGGCCGTCGTGAGCCTTGATTTCGACTACTACATGGTCGGTGTACGGATACTTCGTAAGCACCACTTCGCTTTACTATGTAGAACCAGGTCCCTTTGCGGGTTCGTAATTTGCAATGGCTGCAACCCTGTCACCGGGGTACTACTCAGACTGTCAGACAGCTCCTGAGCGCCAGGGGGTCGCGCTCGTCGTCGACAACTCACATGTTTAAGAATGATGCAACAGTGGGCATTGAAGCTAGGGAGCTGGGGTAGTCCGAGCATGGCGGGGTCCTGCGCTCTGCGACCTTGGTGACACTAGAAGTCTAATGCCAGGCATTGTGGCTCCCGTGGTGGCCCAGCGATATGGCTGAATCTTGGTTAGTGATCGCAGCATCGTCGCTTTCGCACAAGCTGAACTTGGTTACATGGTGAGAGCAGGCTGCGGAGGCTCATCGCCGGGAGAAATTACATGACACGAGGATGGGACCACACCCGAGCCGGATTGTCCAGCTCGCTGGCACGGGATTCGTGCGCGATCATGGGGTTCGAGATGCCCGCGTTCCCCGGGGACAAGACACAGCTGGGCAGAATTCCGCTGCCATGGGCGTGTGACCTTTGACCTTTGGCACATGAGGGAGGCATTACTTTTTCTGCCCCTTTGGCCCTTCAAAGCGTCTTGATTGGCACCCGACTACAGAATTGAATTAGCATTGTGTGTCTATGGCGCCTCCTATCGCTGTTGATCATCGTCTAATCGGAACCTATGCTGCTTCACTTGAAGTGATATACCGTGTGTCGAACTGGCCCCAAACCGAGTAAGATCGTTGTGTATGTTATATGCGAGTGGCACGGGCTCGATATGCTTCACCGCAGGCATGGTATCAACGTCGTTTGGCGCGCGACTGTCATTGTAAAAACTGTAGTTAGGCGAAGAGTTGTTGGAAAGAAACTGATAATCAATCAAATGGCTTGATGTCTCAAAGATGCTTCAGGGCGAAAGGATGAGAGATCGATCAACAATCTATTCGACGAGAGTGCGTTATCGTTATCGTTATCAACCATCACCAATACAATAGATCGGATGGGCTTATTCAACGTTTCCCTCGGGAAACTTCAGCGCGGAGAAGATAACCCGGCATCGAGAGAGCTTCCCTGAGATAAGGGCGAATACAAACAGTGTCCTCGGCTAGGCTCTTTGATGGTCTCGTCAAGTGAGCGAGACAGCAATTTCTGAGATATGGCGCCCGAGGCTGACACGGATTCCTTTTCCTCGGAACGCCCCTACCGCTCCCACCTCCGCCCGGCTTGTCTCGCCTGTCGGAAACGCAAGTCTCGGTGCAATGTCGATCGGAACGGGGGGACCTGTCTGACATGCCGGGCACACGCAACATCGTGCGAGTTCCCTCCGACCCCGGCCGGCACCTCTCCGCGGCCGAAGAGTGTTTGGAGACACGGCCGGGGCCGTCAGTCAAAGGATTTGGGCCACCGCCCGTCATCGCCGCCGCCCCAGACACAGAGCCTGGCCTCGGATCTTCATTTTGATTCGGACCACACAACTCATCTGTCTCTTGCTGACCGGAGTCTGCCGGCGGGTGGGGAGTCGAGGTCCTTGGATAGACAACTCCCGCCAGTCGCACCCCATGACAGCAGCTACCCTGAGCCAATCGACGGAGGAGGGGAAGATGAGGCGCAAATTGTAGGGCCGGCCGACATCGAGGATACCCAGGTTCTCTCTACTTATCTGTCCAATGACTCGTCCATCCTCAATAGAAGCATCCGGACTAGGATCTCGGGGACGAGCCCGCGACAGGACCACGGAAGCGACAGCAGCATACGGAAACCCGTCGTGTTCACGACCGTGAGAAAGCAGCCGCTGGGTGTTCCAGACGACCGGAACCCGGCGTTTCTGAAATGCCAGATGATAGAAAAACTTCTTGAGCCGGTGCTGCCTGACGTTGTCGATTTGTAAGTCTGCTCCTCCCCCTTGCCTGGCTTCTTCATGCACCGGTATTGCAAATTGACTCTGGTCCAGGTTCTTTGAGAAGCCCAACCGTTGTTTTCCCCTGTTGGACAGGAACTCGTTTGAAAAACGCTTCGCCGAGGACCGGCGTCACATTTCGCCGGCCTTGCTGTCATGCCTCTATGCGCACACGACGACCTACTGGGCCCAGTCGCCGAGACTTGTGACGCACCATCGTCCGGACACGAGGTTCATGTGGAACCAGGCCAACGACGCGCTGTACTCGGAGATTCACCTGTCTCCCGGTATCTCGACCTTACTCGGCATCCTGCTCAATATTTCCGGTAGGCCCCTGACCTCCATCATCGGCAACGGTCTACTGCTTGGCTCGGCCATTTCCCTGTGCCACTCACTGGGCTTGAACCGAGACTCGTCCGACTGGGACGTTCCCGAGGCCGAAAAGCTCCTGCGGACGAAGATTTGGTGGGCAATATTCGTGTACGATAAGTGGTGAGCCTTCGATAACACTCCCCCCTCCCCTCAGCAAAGCACCGAGGCTTACAACGCGAAAGGTCGAGTCTGGCATACGGCACGCCGCCGCAGCTGCGCGGCGGTCAATACGATGTGTCCATCCCCACGGTAGAGCAGCTCTGCGGCCCCGCGCCCAACCCCGTCGACTTCGAGGCCACATCCGTATACCTGGCATTCGTCTCGCTGTCCCGGTTCCTCGACCGGTACCTCGAGCACATCTACGACCTGGAGAAGACGTTGCCGACCGGGCCATGTGATCTGGATGTCATGCTGACGCAGTGGGAAGACTCACTCGACCCTGGCCTCCGCCGGATCGTCATTCGCGGCGGCGACCGGCTCGATGTCCCCGGGTCGGCGAACCTCCGCCTGGCGTACCTCTATATCAAGCTGCTCCTCCGTAAGCTGGATCTGGACGCCGAGAAGGCGGCTCACGCCGACCAGCCGTCCGCGATCCCCGTGCGGTGCTACCTCGAAGTCCGACGCGCCGCCGAGGACATCGTGCTGCTGGCCCAGGAGCTCAAGGACCCCCAGCTCGGCGACTACTGGCTCCCCCTCCTCACCTTCGCCTTCACCTCCACCACCAAGTGCCTCCTCCGCTGCGCACTCGAGACAGAGAACACCGTCGGCGGCATCGCCCAGAGCATGTCGCTGAAGCTGGCGCGCGACCTCGTCGGCGCGCTGCAGCTGCACCGCCAGAAGGCCTGGGACGTCGGCGACCTCTGCATCGCGCAGTACTCCGAGGTCGTCGAGAAGCTGGCCACGTCCACCTCGGGCTCCGACGAGTCCGCGGAGCAGCCGGTCGGCATGCCCGATCTTCAAGAGTACGTGTCTACGAGCGTGCCGGACGTCGACGAGCTGTTCCCGAGCCTGTGGGACATGTTCGGCAACGCCTGAGGCCTCCCCCTCGGCACGGCTTGCAGTGCGTCGCGCGACTCCCGGTATATGATATTTCTACCCCGAAGGCGCGTTTGGAGGGATCTCACAACATGCGGCAGCCAGATTTGGAAGCCGTTCGTGACATGCGTGCTCGCGGAGGGGTCCTGAAGCCCACTCATCTCTCGGCTAACAACATGGTCTTCGCATCTCATCCGCCGCAAACCTCCACGGCGCCCGGCAAGCTCTAGAATATACCCAAAGTCCTCGGAGATGGTTTCTTCTTATCGTCACCCGCTTCAGCCATCACGACGGCATCGCCCCGTACAATGGGGTGGTGGCGGTCACTACCAACTCCAGAGTCATAATAGAGGAAGAGGAAAAGGACCCGGCTTACGGCCAAGCTGCGATGGAATGCGAGAGGGCGGCTGAGCTATTATTGGCAGGCCGAGCTATTGTTCGCCGTTGCCCTGATTCGTATTGATGTGCGCCGCTTTGATGAGTCCCCAGGTCTTAGGTTTGCTTTGTTCGACGTGAACATGAAACCCAGCAAGTTGTGCTACGATGGAAAAGTCGGCTGTGGACGTAGTTTAACACACAGCAGCAGAACGGGGCCGGGGCCTAGACGGGATAGAAAGGGCTATCTGACTTCGATGGCATCCGACGCCTTGGTCTGGGACTATCCCGAACTATTGAGACAGATTCGGCGTACTTCATCCACGTTGAAAGTTTCCCGGGAATGAAATTCCAAGAAGTGCTGATGGCCACATTAATACACGGGTACAAGCGCCCTAGATAATGGGGGCGTTAATCGCCAGAATTCAACCCTAAGAAATGTTCGCGAGTTGTGATGTTATAGGGCCAAGGCATAACAATTCCACAAAGAAGCCCATGTAGACAGCAAATGTACATCACGTTACCTTAAGCAGTCACGTTGAGAAGGGGAGAAAGAGATGATGTACGTAATACCGGTCAATTGCAATTCTCGCGAGCAGCCTCATATAGCTAATCGTCGAAGCCTAACGTTTCTTCATTCATAATGAAGGGAACCTCATATTTTCCCTTGTCCCCTTGACGCTTTGCCCGAAATCCATGTGTCCAGCCTTGCGTCGGTGACGAGTCCAAACCAAGCCAGGTATCCTCTACTAGAAGACCAAAAGAGAAAGAGTACTGAACGGGGAAGGAACGAAAGCTCAGCCGCGAAGATTCATGACAGACGCGGAGTCGACCTTGGCGAAGGTGTACTTGATCTCGGGGTCCTCGGTCTGAATGACGGTCGAGGTGACGGTGACGACGATGTCACCCATGTCAGTAGGAGTAGGAGTTGGGGTCATGAGACTATGGATGGTAGTCAACTCCATCCAAAGCTCAGTCTCCTGGCCGGTGAAGGTCGTGGAGGCGTCAGTGCCGAGAGTGGTCATCTCCAGAATGGGCAGGGACTCGGTAACGGGGGAGGGCTTCATTGTGGCGCACTCCTTGGGGCGGCGTTCGACAGGAGGCAGGATGCAGTGGGTGAACCAATACTGGACTTGGTCGGCATAGTCGAGAGCGTCCATGGTCGAGACAGGGGAGGAAGCCTGGATGTGACTGGTCTGGGCGGGCATGTCAGACATGTTACCCTTGGTTCCGGAGACATAGGTGTCGAAGGTAGCAGGGACCGCCTCAGTCATGTGGATGGCGAAGGGGTCAGTGAAGGTGCCATTGGCCTTGATCTCAGTGGGAGCCGGAGCGCCAGAGAGAGAGGAGTTCATGCCGATGACAGAGACAGGCATCTTGATGCCAGGACTCTGGATGTTGTTGAGGCGGCGATGAACCAAGCCGTAGACAACGTTGGTGCCGGTCGCACTGGCCTGAGCGGACTTGACGACAGCCATGTTGGCGTTGTCAACGATGGGGATACCGTTGACGGTAGCGGCAAGAGTGCCGATGAGGGTAACAATGATGGAGCTCTGTGAGAGATGACGGGTGAGCTTCACAACTCTCCACTTCAACCAAGAGAAATGAAATGAGAATGGGTGTGAAAACAAAGACTTACCTTCATCTTGGAGGTTGACAAAGGTGCAATCTTTGCTTGGTTGTTCTTGTTTGGTTGCTGGAAGGGCAGAAAGGAAGCTTTGCTTATGGATGCAAAGTTTGCAAGTTGCTTTGAATGGTTGTTTATGTGAGTGTGTATGTGTGTTTGTAAAGAGAAGTCAAAGGTTGATGTGAGAAGGTTTGCTTGTGTGTGAGAGGAAGAAGGGTTGGAAGAAGGCCTGGCAGGGCAGGGCAAGAAAGAAATAATAAGCAGGGCAGGCCAGTTTTTTTCCCTCTTCTTTTTCTTTTTAGGCAGGAATAGGAAGGAACAAAGAAGGCAGGCACTGTTCAAGTACGTGAGCTGGTGTTTAGATGGAATACGCGTCGCGTTGTGGTGGTGAGGTTGTTCAGAGGGGGGCATCTGATTGGGTGAGGCCAGGAAAGGAAGAAAGATGAGAAGCAGGCAAGGCTGGTCTAAACCTCTGAGTGACCTCAATAACAACACGCTAGTCTTGCACTTGATGTCACTCTCCGGTTGCTAGGGAACTGAACTGTTAATGGGGCTCTGTTGTTTGGTTTGCTGTTGAAAAGATCACGTGGCTTGAGAGTTTGCTACGAGGAGGATGAACAATGTTGACATCACTTTTGACGCGCCTTCCTCCCGAGTCTCTGGACCACCGAGAAATGGCTTGGAATATGTCTGATGTTGCTTTCATGGAAAGTGTGTCTTGACCTATTCTCGGAGTGAGGCTTGTGGGTTTGATTAGACATGTATATCAAGGCACAATGGGGGTATATGAGAGATGGCTTGGGTATGAGGCAAACTGGCGGCGGAAGATGAATTACTACATCATCAGGTGTAATATTCCTTTCTGAAAGCGACACTCATGTTATGTGGCGGCACAAGACGACGATCTCGTAACTTTCAGTAGTGAACGCTTCGCCCCCGACTTGAGTCCGCGGAACAATAACAGGGCAAGTTGCCAGCTCAGAGATTTGGGGAATCGAATTGACGGCAGTACATATCACAATGCAAGAGCCAAAGGGTGGGTGCACTGCTAGTGTCAACACTTGCTCGCCATTAAGTCGTCAGCCAGTATCAGACATATGACATCTGTCTGCCGCAACTACTATCAGCAAGTCACAATATCAATTATTGACGAGGGTTGCTTCAGCCTCTAACAAACCATCCACCAACGCACTTGCATCATGATTTGCAGTTTGTTGAAATTGGTTGAGTCGTTTGAGTCGTTGAAATGGAAACCCTGCCCCAACGCACATCACCTTAATGGATGCCCTGCTACGGGTGAGAGTGGTCATGTAACTAACTATCTTCTTCTTGCAGAAGCCTTTTCCCTGCTCATGTCCTCCTCCGTGATCGCCCTCAGAAGCCCCTTTAGCGAACTGGTGCCAAGACATGCATAGATTGCAATGTAAACGACGAGATCCACTGCTGGTTCCAGGACAGGGTCATGGCGCATCTGTCGGCAGTCCTCCCGTGCGTTATTTTTGCTATACTTTGAGCACCTGGCGGACATATCCGGCCAGGGTACTCCGGCTTGAGAAAGCAAACATTTACGGGCCGGCAATCGACAGAGATGAGGTTAAAAACCTTCTCGAGTCAAGGTTTATGCGCATGCAACAAGCCAGAGACGAGACCGCTCGGCCGTCAGGGTCCGCATTGCACCACCATGTGTTTTTCCTTTCCTAGCTCATCTGCGGCAACGGAGGGCAAAGGGGGCCAATTAGCTGTTTACGCCAAATAATTCGCTGTCCATGCCAAGTCTCACAGACCACCCATATTGAGCCGCAGACGAAGCCATCGTGGAACCTGGTGGACGACTCGCGCGGTTCCACCTGGTCCAAAGCCGCCAGTCAAAGATGAGCTAGCCACATAGCCATGCCATGTATGTCAAGGCGCTGCGGGGTAGCCGTCCATATCGCCAAGACTCGGCCGGAAATTTCCAATGTTCGGCAATTCCTTCTCATCCCTTGCCTCACCGGCTTTGATCCGCACCAGCTTGTCCTCGCCCATTATCCCTTCGTAGCGTACCGGTCCCGGCTAGTGTGAAGGACCGAGCAGAACGGACAAGCTTTCGGACCGGCCGTAAACGACCCCATCCGCTTTTCACCGGGCCCAGCGCTTGGCAGATTATGAGCTAGAGAGAGAGAGCCACACCGCAGCTTCATGGCCGTTGACCAAGTGAGACAGGACGGGGAGCAGCATAAAGACGCCACCCGCCCGTCTTTTTCCACCGTCGAGGAGGCACCCGAGCCACCATCATCATCTCCTACCGGCCCTCGCTACGGCTTCTCCCAGTTCTTTGACGGCATCGGTCTCTCCGGCGGTAGCTTCAAGGTCCTCCCCTCCATCCAGCAGGTTGCCCTCTGGTTCCAGGCCGCGAGCATGTCTCTCATCAACGTCGACCTCCACGCCCTGGCGACGGGCGGCGCGGGCTACCTCGCCTCCATCAACGCCGCCAACCTCAGCACGCCCGCCATCTCGCTGCTCTCGTACCAGCCCTCCTTCGTCGACGTCGTCGGCGCCAACGCCACGGCCCGCAAGATCGCCGACCTGGACTGGCAGGCCTTCCACGAGGGCGGCATCTACAACAAGAAGGACAACTCGCTGTACATCTCGTCCAACTACCGCTCCCTCCAAGACAACATCAACATCACCGTCGTCTCCCTCGACGACCTCTCCGTCCGCAGCACCCAGTTCCCGGACCTCGCCGAGGCCAACGGCGGCTCGTCGTACTACCCGCCCGGCGCCGACCAGTCCGCCACGCCGCCGATGCAGGTCTGGTGCGACCAGGGCGACTTCCAGGCCTACTCGAAGCTGCTCGCCGTCGACGTCAACACCAACAAGTCGGAGACGCTCATCATCGGCTTCAACGGCCGCAACTTCAGCGCCGTCAACGACGTGAGGCAGCACCCCGTCACCGGCGACCTCTGGTTCACCGACGCCGAGTACGGCCTGTTCCAGCACTTCCGCGGCGACTCCCAGCTCCCGCGCCAGGTCTACCGCTTCGAGCCCGCCACCGGCCTCGTCCAGGCCGTCGCCGACGACTTCCACCAGCCCAACGGCATCGAGTTCTCCCCGGACTACAAGACGCTCTACGTCTCCGACACGGGCGCCCAGCGCTACGACGCCAACTTCACCCGCCCGGCCACCATCTACGCCTACGACGTCGTCGGCGGCGGCAAGAGGCTCGCCAACAGGCGCCTCTTCGCCTTCGCCGACAACGGCCTCCCCGACGGCGTGCACACCGACACCGACGGCAACGTCTGGGCCGGCTGCGGCGACGGCGTCCACGTCTGGAACCCCGACGGCGTCCTCCTCGGCAAGATCCACGTCGGCGAGACCGCCAACAACTTCGCCTTCGCCCCCGGCAAGGTCTTTGTCTTCTCCAACTACAGGCTCTGGGTCGTCGAGGGGATCAACGCTCTCGGCCGCGAGGTCTGCAAGGACTTTGGCGCCGACAGCGACCCGAGGTGTGCCAAGTAGAGGTTGGCGGCCCGCAGTAGAATTTAGATTAATGTTCATAAATACCCATTTCGATTTTCTGGTTCAAATACTTTCTGCATCCACTGGTTCTTGTGATTGCAACTATTCATTGTTCAGGAATGACAAGGGTCTCTTTTGATCAAAGGCTCGATTGTATATAACCTATGCTTTGTGATATTGGCACTGCCTTTCCAGTAAAACACACCGTTTCCATCTTTTCCATCCCTCATCAACCAACCCACAACCATTTGCTCATCCTTTATCTCATAGTGCCAGGCCTACCCGGTCGTTCCCCAACATGTTTCAAATTTCACCATCCAGCCTAAGCTGGTTCTTGTCGCCAGCAACCTTGCTTGAGACAAACTTTGTATGTGTAAAGGCGCATGATGTCGTGAAGCCTGAGTGCTCCCGTGAACATGGCGCTTGGCGGTCAATCATGTTCCGACAATGCCGCTTGTAGTCTGACTACTGAAGATTTCACTATAGGCTTGTTAACCACAACAACTTTGACATCCGCCATTGCAGCTGGAATTACCTCGGCTGCTGGCAACAGACTTGCCATCCAATTATTCCTCATTAAGGGATTTGAATTGTTCATTGTTCTCATTCCAATTACAAGACCCAAAAAAGCCACCACATCATTATTTGTTAGAACCTGGTTTGTAACAGACGCCTGGCAGGAGATGCCGCATTTGAATGGTCGTGGGTGCCGCAGAAGAGCGCAGAGAGCTGCGAAGGGAACCAGTCCCCAGGGCGAGTTGCCGGTGGACTCAGAAGCTGGGGGCACTTTGAAGAAAACAATGGCTTTGGTTTCGTTGCGGAGGGGCTGTGGGACGCTTAATCATGGCTGTGTGAACAAGGGAGGCCTTCACCGCTTGGATGGCTGCCATTCAGCTGTGTAGCCCTGGTCTGGGCATCAGTTCCTGGCCTTTGTTATGAGATTTGATGTTAAGTCTCACCGTCATAGAAACAGGTCATTTAAACCATCTTGGAGCAGCGCAGCCACCCCATACGAAGTGCTCTTTTTCGGAGTCGCCAACAGAGGCAAGATTGGACTGGGTACTCTGGCTCTCTTCCCCATGTTGGCTGCTGTTCTGGGCATCAGTCTTGGCCTCTGTCATGAGATGTGATATTGAGACTCACCAGCATAGAAACAGGGTATTTAAACCATCTTGTAGCAGCGCAGGCGGCCCATACGAAGTAATCCCTGTCGGAGTCGCCAACAAAGGCAAGAGTGAACTTGCTACTCTGGTTCTGTTCGCTCCGTTGGCTATCCTGGCTGCTTGGAGCATTTTCGAGGAGCAGGAGGCCTTGGACTAGAAGCGGTTGTTTCGAACAGAGCCTGGCCGATGAAGAGGCTGTTGAAGCGAGTGGTGTCCGCGCCGGGACCAACATTCGAGAGGAGAGCCGGAACCACACGGGCGTCGTTGGCCTTGGCGGTTCCCGTGGCTTGAAACTGTTGCTGAGTTTCAAACAAGGTGACATTGGAACGTTATTGGAACGTTGTAAAGTCGAGGGTTCTTCGAACGGTCAGGCTGGTTGCGGGGGAGGAATCAGACTGCCGTTTGGCTTCGTGGGATTGGCCTGGGTCTCGTCAACAGCCGTCTGATTTTTTGAGAGCGACATGGCCCCATTCGCTCTCGAGTATCTCTCGAAACTCGTCTTCCGAGAAGCCAGGGACCATGTCGCCCATGTGTCTGCCTCTGTGTTAGTTACAATCTACTTGCGTCTGATTGCTGTAACTCACGAGGGTGCCCTCCCCCTCCAGCCTCTGTTCGAGTAGAGGGAGGGCCCCAGCCACACCGCCATCGTTGGCCTTGGCGGTTCTTGTGGCTTGAAGCGATTGTTGAATTTGAACAATGTTGTTATTGTAACATTGTTATTGTAACAATGTTGTTGGAACGTTGTTGGAACGTTGGTTGAGGGTTTTTTGAGCTGGGTGAGGAAAGGAACGGAAGTCTAGCAAAGACTGTCAGAACAAAGACCTAAATAGAAAACCGGCAATCTGGTTTGAGGCGGTGAATTGAAAAATCACTAGGGTGAAAGACAGCGTCTCTTCCATTCCCCTCAAAATCTGCAAGGGTGAAGGGTTGGTCAGTTTGCTTACCAAGAGACCATATGAGGCCATCCAAGTTCACACCTCATCCAGTGAATGAAATCAAAGACAGCATAAACCATGGACCTGAGGCTTGGAATTGGAGCGTGGGATGGAGATTCGAGCAGGAGGTGAAGGTTGCAGGTGAGTTGAGAAGTTGTGTTGCCCTCCAATTAGGGCAGAAAAAGGAAAGATGAGAAAAGCTTTTTTTTTCCTTTCCCCCCATTCTTTCCTTTTTGGATAGTTAGTCTGCCGGAAGGAACACAATACATAGGAGCCTGTCAACCTTTTCTCCATGCTCCCCATATGGCTTGCATGAACAGAGTCTTCCATTTCCCTCTTTGGCGAATTTGAATCCAGGCAAATTGCCAGGCTATATCCCAAAGCCCCCAGAAGAACTAAAACCGAAATCAAGAGAAAATACTACAGAGAATAGTCCCAAACCAATGGAATTTCCACAAACCCTTACATCACCTTGTAACTGAGGAAACAGGAAAAGAAGAACAAGTCACCACTCACCACACAGCGGACGCCCTCACATTTCCCAAATATATCTACACTGCCAGGTACTGGGCATCTGTCGTTAAAATGACCTTCCCCGACCACCTGGCAAGGGTCCTTCGTTGGCCATGACAACAACAAGCCCTGGGCCGGTCTTCATCTACGGCACCTTGTATGCAACCCCCCCTCTGACCGTTAACGCTACCCAGACCAAAAAAACTGCACCGTTCAACTGCCCTGCCAAAGTGGAAAAGGTATTGCCCGTCACTCGCTCCACTGCTGCGACTATCCGGCCGCAGTGGAAGGGCGTGGCTCGTCGTCAGACCAGGCGGCGACAAGGTACTTATAGATGCCTGACGAACATGTCTGCACCGAAACATCCCTCAGAACCACGCCTGGGGGTCGAGATAGCGCGCCAGCGTTTGGAGATGGAATTGCCGGTATTTCTACGGTTTGAAACGGACATCCATCACCTGAACTATCATCGGCTCTGGTCGTTTCAGGGACACGTGCCTCTGTGCCGTTAAAGGTTGGCGAAGCCATCAAGAAAAACGCCGCGTCCGCTCCATCCAAGTAGAGGATTCCAGTGAGGGCCATGTCAGTATCTGAGTCGGTAATGAGCGGCGAATACCTGGTGCTATCAGCTTTTTCTGCTGCTGATGTGGCCAAGGCGAAGAGCACATGTTTCCCCGTGCAAGATGTTTCTACTCGTCAACGTCCTCAGCGCAGGTAGACTGTGGCCGCGGATGAAGTCGGCGGCATCACGAGCGATGCTGCAAATAGAATTGTTAAGCTTTGGGCGAGCAGTACAGAGACATCTTTTTCGTTGAGCATCGGCTCAACGTTTGATGCCACCAGTCTGGGTTCCAGTCCTGCATAGTCACTTCACAGGTAAATCCACAACGGCTTTGGTCCTTAGCGTCACAGGATACATTTAACACGTGTATTACCAGTCGGGGGGATGGCCTCCGTCGTCCAAAGTCCGGCGGCCTAGGTGGAAACAAAATCATTGTCCTGCTATGGCGTGGAACTGTGGCCCCGGGCCACGTGATGAGGTTACCTAGATGGTTTGCTTGGGCCCGCGGCATTCAACGCCTCGGGCCGGGGGCTGAGAGCTTCGACTATTCTGTTGCCGGCGGCCATAGCACGCAGAAGAATCTAGTAGAACACCTCTTTCTCCCATGGATGGGTCTCGAGGCCTCCTACCCACGGAGCAGCCTCCAAGGTTCCGGCGCTTTACGGCCAGACCAAATCTGGCTAGTACGAGCATCAAGCTCATCGCACCACCATTGTCTCATCCTCGATCCTCAGCCCCGAGGACTTGGAGGCTGTCTCTCCCGTGCAGGCACACCCGGATCCGAGCAATTAAGTTATGTAATGATGGGGGGGGCTTTTATCTGGGTCCTGGGGTGGACTAAACAGTGGTGGACGGTGGACGGACGCATCCGGGTGTGTGCAAGGACGTGATTTCAGTCCCCTGCAGGGCGGCCATCGATTGTTGGTCCGAACTGGATGGGCAAAACGTCGGGGAGCCCCTTGCCACAGCTCTGGGTATTGCCTGGCACAAATAACTTGAGCCATGCGCCCTCAAAAGGGACAAAGACGATGACATCCAAAGTGACCATCACACCATCCCGTGCGACTCTCAACAGGGAGAATCGAGCCGGATTATGCTGCGCAGGGGAGACGACAACGACGACAACGACGACGACGGCGACGAAGCGCGACGCAATGGCATGCCGGGTGCATCAATATGCGTGCAATACAATTTCTCGCAGACAGTGCCGGCATCCCTGGGCGTACCGATGCATATTAGGCTCTCGAGCGCATCAGATAACGCCCTCGTGACGGTTCATGGTGAACGCGACGTGCTGGCTTGGAGTTTGCGCCGCAACGTGGCGCCTCAGCGCATAGAAATCGACATCGCAATGGACTACGTGACGGGCATCGCAATCTCCCCTCACGGTAGTGGCGTCATCGCGCTCGCATTCCGGCTCGGAACGAGGTACGAGGTGTGGACGTATGACTGGGTAAACCGGACGGGCGAAGCCGTAGCGGCGCCGGGAACCGACTTACATTCCATTCAGTATTCGCCCGACGGTCGCCTGCTTGCATGGATATCAGGCGGGGGCGTCGACATCTGGGAGACGATACTCAACACACACGTGAGAACCCTCCGCGAGAGCATCAAACGAACGAACGGGCTGCCGACGACCAGGTTTGCATTCACGCCCGACTCGTGTCGGATCGCAACCGCTGACTGGTCGGGGCGATTGACGGCCTGGACGGTTGGGTCGTGGTCGTATATCGGTGAATCAAAGCCCAAGAGGGCATGGGATGAGGATGGGCGGGAAGTGGTGCAGCTTGTGGCTTGCAAAGGGCGCGTTATAGTGGTCTCTTGCGAGGTGGGAGAGCCGCAGACATGGAGGCTGACGACATGGTGGCCAGATAACGGCGGTAGGGCATGGTTCGAGATGAAAGGTTGCGCATATGGATGCGTTCCTTGCGATGGCAGATTCGTCGCAACGGTGCAGTTGGACGGGGGGAAACTTCGGATTCGCGACTCAAATAGCGGCGTGTGTCTCGACCAGTCGACGCAGGGCATAGCCAAAGTGGGTAAGTCGCCGTCAGTGATCACAGGTGTGGTGGCATCGGATGGCGAAACTATGGTGACGCAGATTGTCACCGGGAGGACGACAATGTGGCAGTTGGTGGCCACCAGATAGAGCCCAGCGCAACCGACGAACCCGGAGCAACGAGCGAACGAACGAGCGAATGAGTGAATGAACGAATGCAGACAAAGCCAATGCAGCAAAGCCGAGGAAACCCAATAGCGGTGACGGCCGCGGCGGCGGCGGCGTTGTCGAGAAGCATAGAATAGAGGAGGCGGTTGCAGGCTCACTCAATCAGGATCCAATCCGAGAAGCAAACCACAAACAGCAACTCTACTGAGGACAACAGTGTTCGCTGCCTCAATATGAGTCGCACATCTGCACATCAGATCAGCATCCAGAGTAAAACCTCTTCGTTGGAAGGGTGGCCGAGTTGGTTATGGCGCCAGGTTAAGGTCAGCTTAACATCTGTTTCCTGGTGGGGCAACCCGCGCGAGTTCGAGTCTCGTCCCTTTCAGTAACCTTTTGCCGGCCCCCATACAAGTCCCTATTCCTTGTCGTTCAAACTTGTGACGCCCGCCGCCACTACGCCTTTCCCCCCTGTGAATAGTCAGTCTGAATGTGGGACAGGAAGATACAAATAAGGATAAAAAAAAAGAAGGAAAGATACCGAGAATTGGTATCCGTAGAGCGGCCGAGGTAATGGGTCATCGACGGCCCCCCTTGAGTGTGTGGGCTTTCGGATACGAGGAGCCTGTGAGAAGTTTGCATAAGTGGGACCGGAGCCGACAAGGAGCCATTGACCAACCAGCAACGGGGTTTGAGGATGCACAGATGGTACTCTTGCCCCACTCATCCCCGAATATGGGTCCGGCCGTGATGTTGACCTTTGTTCCCCATTCCGCGTGTCCTCCGACCGATTCCTACACTAGTAATGAAGAGCCTCTGTCCACTCACTGTTCAAAGAGGTCGGGAGACGCTAGCGACCCACGCACATGTTACACTCGTTGAAATTGTTGGAATGCGCCATCATTGAACCCGGGCATGGCAACTGGGGACCCATGACCAAAGGAACGCTAGCACAGGGGGGGCTGAGTGCCCTGTAGGTTTGTGCAGCGTACCGAGGAGAGACGTTGGTCCGTTGCGTAGGGCACAGTAAGTTGGCGTATACGAAAGTCGTCTACGGATACTGGCGCCTTTGGTTACTTGTGGTTCTGAGCCTGTGTACATACTCTATATGGGGTACGGGTATCGGACCTTGGCTTACCATTGCTGTTGATTCCTCTCTCTCCATTTTTCTCTTCACAGATGGCCTTGATCGCTGCATTGGCGCCTTATCATCGGTGATAGGAGTCGACTGTATTATGTACTGTCAATGGCCATGTAGTCAACGGCCATGCTGGCTGTTCGTAAGATAAGCAGGCAACAGATAGTACCCCTGGTCTGTCGATGACCCCCCACGCAACATGGCCGCCGCCCCTGGCTGTCTTCACTGACCACAATTTGTGTGTCTACTATGTAAGGCTCCAGGGACCTATCCGTAGACTGAGGCGGAAAGGAGGGTGTGCTTCCCCGAATGCGAACCTCTTTGGCCTGTCGAGAGGCCTTGTGTCCGTTAGGCCGACGAAAGCCCTATCTAGAATAGTGTAGCCAGAGACGCTTCTAGTCTTGTCAGCCATTGCGGTTTTATGGCCTTCATCTCCGCGACAGCAGTACCAGGGGCTATGCGTGATGTCGCTGGGGCACTCCCGGCCCGTCTCTGTCCTCTTGGTCGCCTAATTTTGCGTGCCGCACGCCTATCATTGTGCCTTGCGTGTGCTTCGTCAAGAGTGTCTACTGTACGTGGATCTTGGTCAGTGTTATCGCCGCGTGTCTGGGGATAGAAAGGGTCGGGGAGGGGCTTTCGTGGAGAGACCGGCAATGATCTTTGAAAGAAGGCTGACTAGGTTTAGAGTTTTCTGGGAAACTGCCACGGGATTTTCGGACATGACTAGGGCAACCGAGGCTGCGATTATTGAAGGAAGAGGACGACGAAGAGGATGAGGCCGACAACGACAACGATAACGACGATGATGATCAATGTTTGCAAAAGGTTGAGAGAATGTCGAGGGAGCAGCGACGACGGCAGTGTATTGCCAGAAAGAGCATCGGAGGGAATGCACGATGCGCCCCCGTTCCTTCCTTCCTTCCGCCTTCTCATCGCTTGCCTGAATACGTACCTACCTTACTGTCTCCTTCCCACGATGAACGTCAATATGTACCAACACGTGATGTCCCGTGACCGTGACGATCCATCAGCGCAGACAAGACGACAGCCAGAGGCAGGTTTCCCGATGCTCACGATCCCGTCATCAACAAGGCGTTCGTCCTCCTCTCTCTTTCATCACTATCACCAGCATTACCGTCGCGCTTTTTGCAGTGCACCATTGGCCGTCGTCACCTACCCTCTTTTCTCCCCATTCTCCGCAGTGCCTCTTCCCAACTCCACGTTGCATCCCGTCCTCATCGATAGCTGTCCTGGTCTTGGCGCCTCTATCAACCTTTCTTGCGGATACTCAAGTATGCAAGGAGCGACGGCAGGGTCTCATAACCTACATGTACGTTGCCCTCCCCCTGGCACCTTGCCTGAACCGCCCTGGCCGTCTGCATCCCAATGTATTGCACTGCTGCAAGATAGGAGAATATAAATGCAGATCTTTCTCTACTGTTGTTAGTCCCTCGATATCGTTGGTTGTCGGCACACGGACAAGCTCTCGCTAACTTGTACCCAGCTGCAGCTCACTAGCGCTAACTGTGTGGCAGGACGGGAGCGAAGAATGAGAAACACAGATCCGGATATCCTTGCCGACATCGACGTCGACGGGCGCAAACGCGCACAATACCCGGCCCTATGCAAAACAACCTAATTCGAACGAACCCCTCGTGGTTCCAAATCCCCGTCGTTCCATGCGTACCGACTACAAGACCATATTCGCGTCTGGTTCAGAAAAGTCGTGACACTCTACACTGTAGATGCAACCCTTTCACCGTCTGCCTTCGTCATTCTCACCGCGCTCAGGGCCATCGTCATGGCGCCGCGCCACACCCGCTTGCTTGCTTTCACAACGGCCACGGTGCAACGCGCACCATCCAGCAGCAATACCTATTGGTTGGGGCGCCACCTAGTTGACCATGATGTAAGGCTATCTATCTAGTTTGGTCACCCATCGTAGCCTTTCCCCGGATTCGATACGTATCTACGTATCGGGCGTGTGCCCCTCCCGTTCAGCTGCGAACAAGACAGGGCCCCCCGATCCCCCGAGGGTCTCAGCGGCCAATTGCGCCATCAACATGTTTTCACCACAGTTGGCCGACCCGAAGCGGTGGGACAGCTTCAATATACTGTACCTGTCGCGCGCACGGCGATCGAGGGGGTCGTCGCTGGTCTCTTCCTCTCTCCTTCGCCAAGCTGGGTCAGTTGTTACTCCAGTATGGAAGATCGGCTTGCCGTCACATTTCGCATTCCAATCACGGAATCTTGACTCAGCTACGCTTTCCGAGCCTGGCCACGACCGGCCAATAGTCAGCCACTGACTGCCGTCGACCGCCAGTACACTATATTCGTACACCACCCGCGTTAAACCGGGGCAAGTACGGAGTATCCTTTTACGTACGACTCGGTTTAGCTCCAACCGTGTGAGGCGGATGGGTGGACCATCACCGGAGTCTTCCCTATGACATCAGCACCATTCCAGGACCTCATCCAAATCTCTTGCTTCGGCAACTGGCAGGCCTCACGATCCTAGTGGGCTTGGTTTTTTTTGTCGTCAGGGTATCGTGCCCCCCTGTTCGGGGGCTGAAGTCAGCTTTGGGACCCCTTATGCAACATTGGGGGGCCCCTGTCAGGTATTCCAAAGTTCTCCCATTCCTCCCCGTTGGCTCCTCACCCAAGAGTGCCCACTTGGCTCTATTCTTAACGCTCACTTGCTCCATTTGCGACCGCCAACAATCTCATCCTCCACAACCGTCGGGTTCAAGACGGCAAGACGGGACTAAGAGACTCCACGACTTGCACTGGGCGAATTAACGGTCTGCATCCGCGTGGAGAGCCGGCCGCGCTAGTTGGCAAGTTGCACCCACACCACTACGTCATATCGCCATTGTTGAGCAGGTTGCCGCATGAGGACAGATGGAAGGATGGATATTTTATCTCTCTTTACTTTCTGACGCATCACGGCCCCTGTTGTCCCTCTCATCAAGACCCCGAGTGTGCTAGTTCGTGGGGCTCTGAAGCCTCATCCGATGCCTCATGGCTTAACGGCTTTTCTCGGCGTTGCCCTATATGACCCCGACGGGAGAGAGGGAAAGGGGGGGACAGTACAACGGATTTCGGTGGAACAGCGATCGAAAGAAGTCGTCTCGGGATACCGTGGCATGCCGCTTGCCGAGAGGTTATTGCTCGTTGATTGGCGCCCAATTCCATTGTGGCGGACAGCGCGCATGCGAAAGAAGCGGCCAAGAACACGCGAAGAATCACACCCTCCGACAGTACCTAGTCGGCTCCTTGGGTACTGTGGTCCAGTCAAGGCTCAAGTCTATTTCCCCAGGCTAATCCAGGTCGTGCGATGCACAAACGCGGACAAAGCTCCCAATGATGCGTGGTTCCAAACGACGGATAGTTATTACCTGACAGGGAAAACAAATATGCAATAAGGGACAGGCCATACAGCCAAGCTAGAGCCAGAGTGAGAAAGGTATTGCCGACCTACGTTGGATCGGCATGATGAACTGGCCCCAACATGCTTTGGGCCTGCTTTCGATAGCGCAGGACAAATTACCGCAACCAGGGGCCGTACGCACGCTCTCTTACAGGTTGGACGAAGAGGCCGGTCTTGGCACTACATCCAGTTTCAATACGGATACCTACCAAAGCACATGCCTACCTTTCCAGCTCACTCTCGGCCGCTGATCGTGTCGCGTGCTGCCGCGGCATTCTGCGTCGTCTTGTCACTACAATGCCGCAGGGCGAAGTCTGCAAGCGAGAAGAGCCATCTCATCCGCGCTTGCTGGCCTGGCCTGGCTGGTGCTATGCTCGGCAAGTCTTTATCAGCACAGGCTATTGGCGGCAAAGGATTGCTGTGGGCACCAGTCGAATCCACCGGGCACCCCAGGTCAGATAGGAGTCCAACAAAGAGAGAGGCTCGAGATAAACAGCAAGTTGAGGGAACCTGCGCTAAAACTCTGTCAACCCGCCGCACCCACGCCCGACAGCAGCAGCTAGCCCACTGCATACATCCAGATACAGGGAACAGCACTGATAGGACAAGAAGTGCCAACGCTGACGACAGGGGCCGAGATGGGGGGCAAAGGAGGGCATGGACATGGGTATGGAGCGAGGGGGGGGGGGGGGGGGGGGGAGTGTCGAAGACATTCAAGGTACTCTTTTGAGGAGGCCCCGCAGCCCACGTTGTCATCCAATGAGGTGGATGTCATTCTGGTCATCCCCGGCGAACGCGACACCAAACAGAACGAGAAGAAAGTTGGACGGACAGTGAGGACTGCATCAACTCAATCGAGTCCTTCCCTGCCGCCTTCCGACTGCTTGTCTGGCTGTCAGTCTACGGCAGCCTGTCCGGCTCGTCCCTCAATTGTTGACCCTTGCCAGATTTTTGCCTCTCTTTTTTTTTTTCCCTGCTTTCTTTTAAATCCTGCATCTTCCCATTTCCTCGGCACTGGAATCCTTCAGTCGAATCACACACCAGGACGGTCCTCCTTCAGATTGAACTTCCAATCTTCCCCCCGGCTTTCCAACGACACACAAGGCATTACCGTCCCTATGTCACTTGGATACGTCGTCTCATCATTTTAACCTTCCCCCCTCCCCCACTCCCTTCTGTCGCTACTGTCGTCCTCAAGTCCCATTTTGACTTGAGACTTGCTCTTTGACAGACAGTCGATAAAAGCCGACGATTACGAAGGGCTTCTCTTTATAAGTTCTCAATCATGGCGCAGGTGGTCTCTCAAGATCCCGGTGCTCGCGAGCACGATGCCGGCTTCGGTGTCAAGGGCGACATTAAGGATGGCTTCGCTACTCGCCCCTCCCGCTCTGACGATGGCGGCGCCGACAACATGCTGGAGCAGCTTGGTTACAAGCCCGAGCTTGAGCGCAGCCGTTCGACGCTGCAGGTCGCCTTCATGTCCTTCGTCCTCGCTTCCATTCCCTACGGTCTGGCCACGACCCTGCTGTACCCCTTGGCTGGCGGCGGCCCCGTAAACATCATTTGGGGTTGGCTCGGCGTGTCTTTGATCATCATCTGTGTCGCTGCTTCGCTTGGTGAAATCACCAGTGTCTACCCCACTGCCGGAGGTACTTACCGACTCTCCCTTGCCCGTCACGCCCGCCTTGCGGCTCCCGACCCGGTCCCGATATATATATCCTGGCACGCTCCGGTGTGCCTCTGCCGGACTCGACGCTGACCGTTCAAAACAGGTGTTTACTACCAGGCCTTCATGCTTGCCTCGCCCAAGTACCGCCGTGTGGCCAGCTGGATTTGCGGCTGGCTCTACGTTGTGGGGAACATTACCATCACTCTCGCCGTGAACTTTGGAACTGCCCTCTTCTTCGTTGCATGCATCAACGTTTTCGAGTCGGCGCCTGGTGTCGGCGTCCTCGCTGGCGATCCGTACCAGGTGTTCCTCATCTTCCTGGGCCTGACTTTCCTCTGCAACGCGGTGTCCTCGCTCGGCAATAAGTGGCTCCCCCTGCTTGATGTAAGAATGACTTTCGGTTTTGTCTCTCGTGGGATAATGTGAGGGATCGTGCTAAAATGTTTTTGTGTGACACAGACCGCCGCCATCTTCTGGACATTTGCTGGTCTGTTGGCCATTGTCATTGCCGTGCTCGTTGTCGCCAAGAACGGCCGCCATGACGCTACGTACGTATTCACGCACTTCGAAGCCAACTCGGGATGGACGCCTGGGTGGTCTTTCATGGTCGGTCTGCTCCACGCCGGATACGCCACTTCGTCCACCGGCATGATTATCTCGTAAGCTTGGCCCAACGCGATGAATGGATTGAAGGACGTCCCACGGATGCTAACCCAGGCAATGCAGCATGTGCGAGGAGGTTAAGAAGCCCGCGACCCAGGTCCCTAAGGCGCTCGTCCTGACCGTCATCCTCAACACTGTGGCCGGTCTGCTTTTCCTCATCCCCCTCGTCTTCGTTCTCCCGGACATCACCTACCTCATCAGCTTGGCCAACGGCCAGCCCGTTCCCGCCATTGTCAAGGACGCCATGGGCACCTCGGGCGGCGCCTTTGGGCTTCTCTTCCCGCTCATGGTTCTCGCCATCCTTTGCGGCATCGGCTGCACCACCGCTGCATCCCGGTGCACCTGGGCCTTCGCCCGTGACGGTGCCATTCCCGGTTCCCGTTGGTGGAAGGAGGTCCACCCCAAGCTGGACGTGCCTCTGAACGCCATGATGCTCAGCATGGCTATCCAGATCATCCTCGGTCTCATCTACTTCGGCTCCAGCGCGGCCTTCAACGCCTTTTCCGGTGTTGGCGTCATCTCCCTCACCGCCTCGTACGCCATGCCCATCGCCATCAGCCTCTTTGACGGCCGCAGCCACTTGGTCGGAAGCCCCTTCAATCTGGGCAAGTTTGGTGTCGCCGCCAACGTCATTGCTCTCGGTAAGTGAAATCTGCGCGCCGCTTGCCTCTGATACCATGAAGCTAACGCTCTGGCAGCTTGGTCCGCGCTTGCTATGCCTCTGTTCTGCATGCCGGTGTTTGTTCCCGTTACCGCCGCGACGGTAAACTACGCCCCCGTTGTATTTGTCGCTGCTTGCCTCATCTCCGGTGGATGGTACATTGCTTGGGGCAAGAAGAACTACGCCGGCCCCCCGACCCAGGAGGCTGCTGCCTTTTAAGCTTTCTCACTCGCACAAAGACGCTCGAAGAAGCCTGCTACACCAGAAGGTTTTTCAAAGGCTAGAATGCCCTTGAGTTGTTTAGCTTCGCTCGGGCCAGACTCATTCGGAGTATCAGCAAGGATTCAACATAGCCGTACACACACGACTGCATGGGCCTCCCTTCACACTTGGAAACAGTGACACGAGTACCTCATGGCTTGTCTGTTATACAGGACGGCGCTCGCGGACCATGGGCGCATGTGGCAAGGCTTTCAAAAAAAAGAAGGAAAGGGTGGAAGGCAGTTGTACATACAAATGATACCCCAGTGCTCAAATTTACTTGTTTAAAACGATGCAATACTGTTGCTTATCACCAAGATCGAAACATTGCTCCAGAACCGACACAGCCTAACCGATGTCCCGATGGAGCAATCGAATCAATTCCCAGCAGCCTCATAGCCCTCAGAGCCAACTTCCTGTAGTGCATTAGGATAGCCAGCCCTTTCAAATCCCAATGTTGCCGGGCGAAACCCGTTGGAATAATGACCATGTCTAGCATCGTCCTATATGATGGAGGGAGAGTCTTGCAGCCCGGCATTGAACTACGGCCCCCCGGCGACGGCCGACCGCCTCAAACGGGGCGGAGATCGGGGTGAACGGAACTTGTCCGGTCACGGCCGGTTCTGCAAGCTACTGACTGGCACACACCTTGGCTGGCTTGGCCGAGTCCAATCAATCGAGGAAGACCCCTCCTTTCTAACAGCAGAAAGGCCCAGGTGTCCACTCACACACATAGGGGAGAGGGGCTGTGCTGGGCTTTGCCAATAGCCTTCCCCCCCCCCCCCCCCTTATTCTTTTTCCCTTTGTGTGTCCTACCGCCCACAGGACTGGTCCCTAGATAACCGGACCCAAGGAACAGAACATAGATGTTGCAACTGGGACCCCTTAGACGTGGCGATTCTGAAAGGGGAGGGAGGGGGATCGATGACGTCTTCCGTTGCCCTTCTGGAAGGTTTCTGTTTCTGGAACGTCATCCACGCAATGGAGACCGATTGGCCAGCTCCGTAGGGCTGATGCGTTCACCCATAGTGGTGGCCTGGTAATACTCGGACAAGGGGCAAAGTGTTGGCGGATGACGCGAAAAAGATCAATTCACCAAGCCAGTGAGTGATGACGCTTGGTGGAAAGGACCGGAAGCCCCTTTTATCATCAGCAACACGCTGCTGTGCTCGGATAAGCTGCTGGGTCCCAGGATGTCTGGATTTTCAACCCTTTTTCGCGGTAATCAGCGAAACAGTGCGAAGCTACTGGCAGGATGCGGGCAAAGATCACACAGCCCGTACGTCTCCCCAAGCTTTTTCTGAGCAGCCTTGAGTTGAAGCTGTAAGAGAGTCTGGCGGCCCTAGCCCCGTCGGGCCGCGCGTCCCACTCCAGCGTCAAGCCGAACTCATGCTCGAACGTCTGGGTCCGCGTGCAGTTGCACAGCGGCCGTGGCGCGACGTTCTGACTGAGTATCTATCTGGCCTTGTCGTCTTGGTTGGAGTTAACCGTTAGGCCGTTGTCGTACATGCAGTTCCCGTTGCCGAACTTGGCACACTTATACCACCGGTTCCCTCGACGGACTCGGCGGCGAAGAACCCAGGTGATCCAACAGTTGGTGCAGCCGGTCCGGTGCCAGAGGGCCCAGGAGGGTTCGTGGGTTCTTACAAAGAGCGATAGCAAGGATTCAATGTATTTCTAAAGAGACCATTACTCGTTGCTAATCTACCGTACCAACTGGTGCAGGCAAACCTACCGGGCAAAGAAGCAAGATCAAGGCGTCCGCCTCCCTAGCATCGCAACAAACTGACCTCAAGCCTTTGAGTCCTTGGTGATCGAAAGAACAGAATCGCACCTCAGTAATCATGGGCTCCGACGGGGGCATCTGCGCAACTCTGCCACCACTGGCCTCGTCTGTGTTGAGACAACGCACGGTGTCGTAGCCGCAGTCCTGGTTCGGCTCCAGCATATGGAAACTGAGAACCCGAGTGAAGGTGGCATTCGAGAGGATAGATCTTGCCTTGACCAGAAATCCATACGCGAGGGCTAGAAGCTTTCCCTCGGCTTGGTGAATGACGAGACCGCATGCGCCGCCATGGAAGCTGCCGGTCGAGAGCATTTCAGTCGTAAAGTCGAAAACTCCCCAGTAGGAACCAAAAGCTGACCAGAGCTGTTGGATGTTGTTCCTGTCCTGAGGATGAACCAGACCAAGAAGAGGCTGACTTGCCTTGACACGATGCTGTTGTAATTGTCACTGAGCATTCTTGGGGCATAGACATCAATGTATTTTGCAAATCCCTACCAGATGGGGAGTTTTTCAGTGACAGAATTCCTACACACCATGCCCTTGGTGTCTCCAAGGGGAACAGTTGTGAATGTCACAAGAGGGTAGACATCCTTGACGACTGTGGCAAGCGTCTCGACGTGATTAGCCAAGTGACAAATCCTGAAGACCTCCTCTGCGCAGTCTAGGTTTGATCCAAACATTTCCCAATTATATACATCTATCGCAGGAGGCTCATGCATGTGTGGCGGATGCCGTTAGCCACACCACGTGCCATGTCACATGGACGAGCTCGAGGGCCCCCTTTATATGGGCCCTCCACCCGTGGGATTCTTCTTCCTACAATACAAGTCTTTTCTTCATTCATTCGTATGACCCTATCTGCTGTGTGCTCTAGCTCGTGAGAATATCCTTTGTTGTGGGTCATCAAGTAGCCAGCTTGCTTGAGGTAGTCGACGAATGCCTGGGACACATTTGCCCCGATGGCTGCGTTTACAGCTGTTGAGGAGTCCTGGAAATCCTTTCCGAGACCGCTCTGGCCTCCAACTTGGACCATAAGGATGGTCTGCTGGTCTTTGTCGCTCTGGCCGATGTGCTCCATGAGCGCCCGAAAGGCCTTTTGGTTTGAGTTGGCAAGCTCCGAGCCGGACAATGAAGGGCAGTTGGTTAGGTGGACCGTCTTTCCCATGGCGTCATCCCCATCATTGCAGACGTCTTCGCAGCGCTTTAATTTGGAGGAGCACTTGCTGTCAAGTGTGGCCCAGGTTGGGGCGTAGGTTAAAAGGTCTGTTGTAGGTAATGTTAGCACATCCACCCCAACAGTACGAGGAGAAAGCAAGGATTGAAAACGGGAGGGATTCGTTCTCAGAAGGGTTTTAGTATGAGGCTGAGGATGCGAAGAGGGATGGGAAGGAGGATGATAAGGACATCATGAGAAGATCTGTGTTTGTTCCCGTTGTCTTCACCCTCTGCCAGATGTTGGCGTTGGCTATGTAAGCGGCTGGAATGATGGACGAAGGCGTGATCTCGTTGCCAACAATGAGGAAGGGTTTTCCATCAACAACCAGATGAGAAGATGATCCAGCTTTGTGGAAGAAGGGGAGAGCCAGGCGGGTATCGGTGAACAAAGAGGCATCTATTGTTGCCGGTTTCGAGATGCAGTAATCTAGAAGGTATCAGTGAGCAATGACGCTACGGGATGATGGATAAAGGGAAAGCGACGTACTGAGAAGGCAGACTTTGTGCGCTAATGGGAGTATTCCTCGAGACTGTCAATTAAGTCTGCCGGTGGAATCCGAGTTGATGACCAGAAGGTTGGGTGTCGGATACGACTATGCAGTGAGTTGAAAGAAGGCCAGATGAAGCGATGGAATTACCTGGACTTCTGAACGAATTATCGAGTTGAAAGTCTTCGTTTCTTGATGCGTATAGGGACGATGAATGGGATGTCCGTTGGTAGAGGTAAGCAGAAGAAACCGCTGATGTATGAAGAAATTTGGTTCCTGCTAGTTGACAATGCGATGAAGAGGAATCTGGGGAAGTAACACGGGGTCTGAAGGAAGCGAAAAAGATGAATATCAACAATGGAAGATGGTAAGAGTTCAGACTCCTGGTCCTTCTCGGCAAGAAGAGGGATATTGTGCACCAAAAGGCGAGAAGGTGAATGATTAGATCAAAAGTTCAGGTCAGGGAAGGAAAGAGCTGACGAAAGGAGGAAAAGTCACGGCACGTAATGTAGACCAGGTGAAGTTGTTGCGCATTCAGGTCTACGTGGGTTGATATGGTACACATGCAGAGAACCCATCCAGCCACACAACCACCTGCTCACTCCTGTTTTTCCAGGCCGTTCCTGCCTTGGTTTCTCTTGCTGATTTGGATTTGGTGTTGGGTTTAGTTTTCTACAAGGCTTCACACCCAAACTCGCCAAGTCAGGTGTATTTCTTCAAAACCACCACCACACCACAGCAACAACAACAAAAAGAGCACCGCCAAAGTGCTCATCGCAAGAAATCCAATCAGATCAAAAACAATCTGGAGGTATTTTTTTCATCTGGGTTTCTGGAATCCGTTACATTGAGTTATCCTGACTTCTTTGGTGCAGAACACAATCATGACTGTCCCAACGACCGGCTACAAAGCTTACGACGCCCTCACCCTCCAGCATGCCTTGAATGCTGGTGAGAGTGCTGCAGCACTCAAAAAGACAGTTCAGGAGCTTCAAAGAATTATGAGAGGCCAGATCCGCGATATCACCCGCAGCACTGGCGAGGTGGCCAACGCTGCAGCCAAGGCCGAGCAGGCAAGACAGCTGGCTCTCCAGGAAGAGCTCAAAGCTGTCGAAGTTCGGTCAGACAAAGCACAGAACAATGCTGCGCAGGCTATGATGGTGGCTGAAGCCAATAACGAGAAAGCCGTCGCATTTGCTGCCCGCGACCCTGCCACTGCTGGCTCCAGCAACGTCAACCAGCAGCAACAGCAGAATCAGCAGCAGAATCAGCCAGTTGCCTCTCAGGGTCGTCGTCGCCACTGCCGCCGCCCCCGTGACCCTAACCACATCCCCAAAAGTGGCTACACGCTTCACTGCATTCATTGCGGCGTTCGACGTAGCCGTAATGATGAGGTCCGCCGTCACCTCCGCAAGGAACACTACCCAACTCTCTTCCCAGGCCTTGACCGCAACGCTCTCTTGGCGCAAGCAAGACTGGACGCTCCTTAGTCTGCTCAACAGGAAACAGTCATCCCTCACCTCCCCCCAAAGCAACGTCAACCATTCATAAACATGCATTCGATATTGGGTGGAACAAGAGGGATAGAGTGGGATTGGACTGGAACCTTTGTACTTGCTCTTCTTTATGCAAGAGTTAACTTCAGTGGTGTTGAAGCAGAACAAGAAATAGCTTGGTGAACGGTGTTCTTTGTAATCTTGGCACAAGATACCATGGGCAGCCCAAGTAATAGATTGCTTCACAAACTCGTTGAACAAAATCACTCAATATGCTCATGTGTGAATGAAGTGCACAGATAGTGCACATGGTATTGTTGCTTTATTCAAGTGACACCCTAATTGGGTAACCAGGCGCATTCAACCATCTCTGTTCAGGGTTTGAAGTAAGATACATCTTGATCTTTCTCCTGCACTTTTCGCACCCTTTCATCATGAATATTAGCCAAAAACTCGACGTACAGTCCATCCTTGTTGGACTTAGAGAGAACCTAATCTTCATTGAAGAGAATGACAGTCAAGAAGTCCTCGATCTACATAGTAGGTCCAGGCACCGAAATGAGACTCACTAAAATATATTCTTAAGCGAAGTTATGAAGAAAATAGGTACCTTGCATCTGCCAATGACTGTCATCCTCTGATCCTCTAACGTACCCCTCGACGATGAGCTGGTCTGACGGCTTGAAATGGACCATTAGCTACTGTGTATCGGCATCAACGGCACCGGCGTCTTGCCAATATAGACACAAGTGTGACAAATCGAATCACCATTGCTACTAAAGTCTTAGTGCTATTTCATCTAGTCATGGACCTAAAGGGCGTAGCGTGTCTCGGTTCTGAGTTGTCTCGCTCAAATCCTCACGTCCGTTCAAGCACCACCAGGGTAACGCAAAATCGGAAGGGTGCGAAACGTTTTATCTCTTCGGCTTGCCACCACTGCATCGTATCCTAAAGCAAGACAAACGCAGGTCGACTGCAGTTGGGGCGAGTTATGCAAACAAAAGCCCCGATTTTAGTGAAGCGAATCCCAACATTTTGCAGGCCCGGAGCAAGTCAACGAATCGCTCAAGTTGCCTTTCCTGTCAAACGGAACCATCCAGTATCCGCAACGCCGAGTCAGTTCCCCAGGTCTGGCAGCGTCGTGCAACTACCCTCAAAGCAGGATTTTCTCGTATTGTACTCCGTAGTGGGGGGGTTATGTGGCTCCCGGCAGGCAGCCTTGCACAGCTGCGCCTTGTAGTGTACTGCGGGTCAGCTTTTGGTGTCTCATGACCCTTTGCATAGACTGAACCGAATTCTGTGGATGAGCGGATAACGATTAAAGCATCAGGCTTGGGGTCAGGACTGCAGCGAGCCTCGTGACTGAAAACCTTGGCGATGGCCGTTTGGAAACGGGCTTTTGGTAAAGCAGTCAATGTATAAGGAGAAGACGGACGCGAATGATGGACTCTTGAGTCGAGGCTAAGGTCGCAGTAGCGTAGCTTACTTTGTGTGCGTGAGGGAATGGCTAGGCTTGGTAGACTAAGTACGGATAACTAGCTACGATATCCGTCCACGTGTACTCCGTACATTTGATCACCTTGCAGTGGGCAGCGCTTGGCAGGAGGTGGAGACTATTGAAAAGCCGTAAATTCTGGCGTCGATCATCTGCGATATAAATGATCGTGAATCGATCAATGACTCGTTACTGCGTGTGAGAGAACTTGTGGGACACTCACTTACGGCACAGGACAAAAGGTCTTGAATTCAGGGTAGGACAATAGGATGTGATGAGAGCACCAAGCTAATGGTCCGTCCGAATGGCTTCCAACATTAGTTCCAGGCAGGCTGTGACTGTATACAGCCACAAAAGCCCGAGGCGTCCGGGAAGATCAAGACCGCGTGGTATACATAGAAAGTAGCCCGGACGAGGAAGGACTAATGCGGATATCTCCACCATGATCGTTAGGACGGTGCCACGGGTATCATTGTTATGCAGTCGCTTATGTAGTCTTTCGCAAACTATGAGGACAAGCCGTTTCTTCGTAAGGTTGATAAGTACACCATATCCACTATCTACACCATCTAGATACACTATTCGTTAAGAGGACGCAGACCCAGTAGGAGAAAACCGCCCTTGTATTATGTCGCGTTAAACTGGGCGGTCCACCTACTGGGGTAGGTGATGCTTGTAGTCTTCCCCTGTTCAGGATTCTCTTTTATTCTCGGATACGAGCCACTGTTTACTTGCATAGCGATTCTCGCCCGCGTTGCGGATATAAATACTAGTAGTTGCGGCCACTTGTGGGTAAGGTCCGGTCCGCGATACTTAGCCCATCTCACCACTTACCCTCCTCAGTCACCTCAGTCTTACGTTACAATGAAGGCCTCCACGGTTGTCTTCCCGCTCACCATGCTCCTGGGTAGCGCCCTGGGTGTGGATATGAGCAAATATGAAGCCGAAGCAGGCGTTGAAGCTTCGTTCAAGCCCTTCCTCCAAGCGTGAGTCCCAATTCGACCTCCATACGCCTTTAAAACCTTATCCAGAACATCTACCTCAAGGACGCCCAGCTAGACGTAGGAAGCTAACAAAGAGGCTTGCAATCATAGTCTGTATGCGTCTGCAGAAGACTACCAGTCCACTAACACGTTCACGGACTTTTTCGTCCCTAAGACGGGCCGTCTCATCGTGCTCGAGAACAATGCCGAGGGAGCTCAAGCCATTGTCCAACTCAAGCAGGCGCTGCTCCCGACGACTGGCACCAAGCACTGGAACCACCTACCCAACATCACCTCGGTGTACTCTGAGACTACCACCGAGAAGACATACAACGTGTTCGGTCTCATTCAGTCGATATTTGACGGTGGCAACTGTTCAGCCGCATAGTAAGAACACCCCGCACACACATCATAAAGTGAACCGCAAGACTTTCTCAGGTAACTAACAGAATCTTTTCAACACCAACAGCTACTCTAGCCGCTTCACCGTTCTGAAAGACAGCAAGGGCAACGTTCGTAACCAGCCCCACAGTGGTAGCCTCGTGGCGTACGATGATTACGTCGTGAGCCCTTCCAAGTCGCCGACAGACATTCCGTGCTGAGTAGAGAAAGAGCTCTATCAGTTGGGCACTTTCTCTGTACGCTCAAGTGCCCACGCCCTTTATTAAACGGCATTATATCTTTGCTGAATAGAAAAGAGTCTTGAGGTTACAAAAGCTTATAATAGATAATAATCCTACCGCTGTTGCTCCTTGCGCCACAAGAGATTAGATGTCAATAGAATAGGTGCATACATGCTACCAAGTCTCAATGCGGACGTGTCTTTCTCAGAGTACATAGGCGAACTTTCAGGAAGTCGGCTCATATTCATTATCATTGTGAGGAAAATATGACCAGATGGAGGCCTGCGGCCCTCAGTGGGTATTGATGATTTCTGCGCTGAAAACGTAATAGCAAACAGGTATATCCCCACTAAATCAACCAACTCAATCAGCTAGATATGTAGAATCTGGTCGTATGACAAACCAACTAATGATTTCTAAACAAAGCATCTTGTTAAGTAAAGGTTAGAAATAGGCTGGTTGCTCAAACAGGAACAGTAACGCCCCTGCCGCGAGCCCATTGATCGTGCCCATCGTCTCATGATATTCCATAAATTTGCAAAGAACCTATTTGATATCGTTCTGCTCTGGTGCAGACTGAAGGTGCGTCTTTTCGAATGTGACGCCTTTGTCTTTGGAGCCCTGATGGGCAGACATATTACCCCAGATTGTGCCATAACGATGAGTGATGTTGCATCGGAAGTTGTATTAACAGAATGCACCAGCTACAGCGAAATCTTTGTCAGTATACTAAGACGACAAATAACTAGCCCGGGATGGAATGCTGACATAGATAAATTGTAGCCCGGATACACAATCTGAAGCTTGGTGTTTGAAGTTTCGAGTTCTTGATGATGCTCAAGTCAACATACTTCATGATGTTCTTTCCTTGCAACCCAGTATGGCTTCATCCATCCACGCCACCTTGGTGGCCTCCACAAAAGAGAAATCTTCACCGTAAAATCCTCACCGTAGGTGGAAAGATCAAAGAAACATTGATCTTTACATAAGACACTTGTGACAGCCTCTGCTCTCAATGGGTTGAGCGGAGGAGCGTTTGAGCTGTTTAAGTTTGCAAGGGTAAGTACTAACTAATTGAGGATGTCAGCGCCTCCTTTACAGTTTGTTACAAGGTCGGGGGTATGACTGAGCAAGAATTACAGAGAGAGTAGCACTGTATTAGTCGCCTCAGTTACGGCATCGATGTCAGTTTTGCCTTGCTCGTGCTGTGTCCTATTTAGTAAGGAGACGTAAGAAATTTGATGATAAATATTTTTCATCTGGCTATTTGATATTCTTCATCATTCCCGTAGTCTAGCCTAGCTTAGATAGTGAATGATATGTAAGTGAAGCTGGCTTGGTCGGATCAGCGCGTTATTTCGACAAAATACGGAACTCCGTATCTGAATCAGGCAAGAGGTACTGTAGCAGTTGTTTAGACGATTTCTGCCGCGATCTTCCATAAAGTTAATGAGGCTGGGACAGGATGTTCGGCACCAGAACCCAACCGAGATCCACTCGGAAAGTTGATTTCGGCAACCCCCTACGAGGGAACAGCTGCCGGGATGACCCGAACCTTGCTCAAGGGGCAGATTTGAGTATGAATACGCCAGTAAAATACTCCGGGGGTTTGAGATATCTGATCCGTGTTCGAAACGTATTTGAATCTTGGAATTCATGGAAGTCAGTGCGCACACATTATGGTGGTCAAGCCTTGACCACTGCTTGGTTATTCCAATAGTTAAACCGCCTCTCCGGTACGGAATGAACTTCGACAAACTTTCGCATTGCTATTCTTAGGAGAGCGTCCGCATTTCACCACCGGAATCCGCTGAAGGGTATCGGCGGAAATGTTACAAAAACAAGGCATTCCTCGCGTGCAAATTGGTGGTTCACCTAGCCCATGTGCACACCCAAAAACTCCGGAAGCTTCCAGCTAGTCATGGAGTTCTTTCGCGAAACTGCATTTGGTCACCTTGTGAGATTCGTGACGGGAGAAAGGATCCGTCAACTGCAGTACTTCGAAGAGCAGAGCCCCGATTCATGGCTCAATTACGTTAACCAGGAGACATGCGCGAATGCGAACCAATGCAGCCTAATCGAGGAAGCCGAGAGAGATTTCGACAAGAAACGAGCAGAGAAGAACGATGTAAATTTACAAAGTAGAGATGGTAGCGTGGATACAGGTCGGACTTTGGTTCCAGGCGAGGTGGGAGAGAACCTCAAAAATGCCAACAGCACCAGCATCAACCTCGAAAACGGGGGAAGCAACCGAATCGTAGAGTTTCTACCGAATGACCCAGAGGTGGGTGTCTCGAGGCTCTAGAGTTGTTGCTCACAGTCTGATTCTCGACTAGAACCCACAGAACTGGCCGTTGGTGAAGAAGGTTTTCGTGACCTTTCAGATCTGCCTTTTGACGGCCAGCATCTACATCGGCTCCGCCATCTACACGGCCGGGCTGAAGGATGTGATGCTGGTCTTTGGAGTCAGCCAAGTCGCCGCGCTGCTTGGTCTCACACTCTTTGTGGCTGGATACGGCCTCGGCCCTGTGCGCCTTCTTATCTTTGTGCCAGAACGACTTTACTGACTGGAAACACAGATGATCTGGAGCCCTCTCTCTGAGATCCCGTACATTGGCCGCAATCCTATTTATATCGGTACACTTTTTGTCTTCATCCTGCTGCAGATACCAACGGCCTTGTCAGTCAACTTTGGCATGCTCCTCACTTTTCGCTTCCTCTCGGGGTTCTTTGGGTCTCCTGTCCTCGCAACCGGCGGCGCCACGTTGGCAGATATCTGGACGCCAAAGAAAAGAGCGTATGCAATTGCGTGTTGGGGTATTGCCGCAGTAGTAGGACCTACGTTAGGCCCTGTCGTTGGCGGCTTTGCGGCCATGGCGAAGGGCTGGACTTGGCCTATCTGGGAGTTGATGTGGCTAAGTAGTTTGGTGTTCGTCTTACTCTTTTTCTGTCTGCCAGAAACAAGCTCGGCAAACATATTGTTCCGCCGGGCGAAACGGCTTAGAAAAATTACGGGCAACGACAAGTTCAAGAGTAAGCCTGAGATCTTGGCCGAGGAGATGACAGGCAGGGACATTGTCATGACGTGCCTTGTACGTCCATTCACACTCAGCTTTACAGAGCCCATGCTGTTGCTACTGAACCTCTACATCGCCTTGATATACGGTCTACTTTATATCTGGTTCGAGTCATTCCCGATCATATTCACCGGTATTTATGGCTTCAGCGATGGATTGGAAGGTCTGGCCTTCTTGGGTATCATGGCCGGAGCCTTCATCGCCATACCGCCTTTCTTCTGGTATGTACACAAATACCTCGAGCCGCAATTCGACGGAAATGGCAACATTCAACCCGAAAAGCGTATCCCGCCCGCTTTTGCCGGCGCATTTGCAATTCCATTATGCCTTTTCTGGTTCGGCTGGTCGGCGAGGGCAGACATCCACTGGATTGTGCCCATCATTGGCTCCTCATGGTTCAGCATTGGCTCCATGTTTCTGTTCAACTCAGTGCTCAGCTATTTTCCTGATGCGTACCCAGACTATGCCGCGTCAGTTCTCGCAGGCAATGATTTGTTCAGAAGCGCCTTTGGTGTGGTTTTCCCTCTTTTCGCGAACACAATGTACGAGAGGCTGGGTGTGAACTGGGCGAGCTCCCTATTGGGATTATTGGCGGTTGTGTTTATCCCTATTCCGTTCGTCCTATACAAGGTATGTTGTGTCCGGACCATTCAACTATGCTTAGAAATGCCTAACGTCATTCAGATTGGAGCCAATTTGCGCAAGAACCACAGCAAGTACGCAAGAAAGGATCTTTAGTTATGTTAAATTAGTTCACGTTGTCATATCGGATACGTTAGGTGAGCAAGTCCGACTCATCATTACGTGGTCCTAGTCAACTGTCTATTGCACTCATTGAACCACCTTCATCATCTATATCATTATGTATCCTGCGTTCATGGGCCTATCTCTACTGTGACTCAGGACATCAAAGTTCGCAGGATTAAAACTCGGTCACATCATTTCAGTGATATATATCCCTGCCGTGCTTGGCCACAGATGGAGGATATATAAATAAATGGTGCTGGATGACGAAAGTACTCAGGGCCAGTGCAAAGGAATTTCCTCTTTAATAGCGTTAGCCATAGTTACGTGCACCCTAGGCTTGGAGCAGAAGACGGCCGAGTAAAACTGGGCTTCTTGCCCCCCTCACAATCCTCTACCTTAGGTTCCAAGTCAAAATGCCATATTAGCTTTGCTAAGAAGATGCGCATCATACCATACGCAAAGCTGGACATTTCTCATCAGCATGCGAACCCTTTCAACACCAGTATACATACACTTAAACTTTGCCTAATCAATTCGTCGAGTTCTTTGACCAAGGTTGGAAGCTCCTTTTCGATCTCCGACGAAACGCGGAATCACTGGCAGAAGACTTCAACCTGGCTTATCACGGCCGTCTTATTAGTGCTTACTTGCTGGGATCTTATCGGCGGCATTACCTTCCTCCGAAATACGGAGAGCTAGGATTGGGTTTCCCTGGGCAACTAATATGCTTATATAACTTCAATGACGTGGAATTTTCACCAGCAGCATCCTCGTAAAGCTTATCGGGCACTAGAATATCGACATCCGATTCGTGTTGCATTGAGGACAAGCCGAACGGCTTGCATGGCTGCCCTCTGCACCCACAATGGAGTCCCCAGCGGAGCGTCGGCGTCGCCGCCGTAGAGTTCCAGACGGAGTCCGCAAAAGAGCGTCGCGCGCTTGCGATCGCTGCAAGATGCGCAAAAACAAATGTGTCGTGACAGATTCTGGGATATGTCGGAGATGCATTCAGAGTTCACAGATCTGTCTATTCGATGGAGAGCCAAGTCTAGAGGAGGCAGCACTTCGAGGCTCCGTGTCAAAGACGAGTCTTACTGAACGGACAGCACTGGCAGAGCCGAATGATGCAGTTGGAGATCGTGGTGAGGGGGAAGGCTGCAACATTCAGAACGACCTCTCGCCAGCGGCCAGCACGGCTTCTGAGGCATTCATGTGGCCACGATTCCTCTCCCGGCTCCGAGACGCATTCTGCCTTGATTCTGAATCAGCATCAGACGAGCAGGATGCAATGGGACAGGGGAAACGACAAAATCACTCATCATCTGAACCTGCGGAGCTCCGTCGTGTCAGGAAAACCATTGCGGGATTCCCCCCCAGGGCCGTTGCGGACTTTTTGGTATCAGTTTGCATCGCTTACGGGACTGATGTCTTTTTCTATTTCGATCAGGCACAGTTTGTAGCCGAATTGGACCAGTTCTACAATGAGCCTGCGTCAGCAATACGACTGGACACCAGCTTCGTATGTCTCAGCTTGGCGGTATTCGCTCTAGGAAGCCAATGGACTGCTCTTGCCCGGCCAGAAGCCTCAGGCAATATGAAGCAGAGAGATGACCAGAGGTTTGATCCCGGTCGCATATTCTACAACCAGGCGCGTAGCTTGATTCCAGACGTTATCGAACGTTCTTGCGTCAGGTCTGTGCAAGCAACGTTTATACTCGGTGTATATCTCATGCCAGCTAGCGCTATCAGCGCATCCTATGTATACATGGGATTAGCCTTGCGCAAAGCGCTTGCCATCGGCCTCCACCAGGAACCCGACGAATCTGCCTTTAGTCCGGAAGAACAAGAGGCTAGAAGAAGGTTGTGGTGGTCTATATACTCTCTAGAGAGGTTTGTTGTTCTTCGACTGCATCTGGATTCCTGACGCTAACTATTCTAGAACTATGACTATTAAGCTCAACCGCCCGCGATCTATCAGCCAGGACATCATCTCAGCCCGCCTCCCTCGACGAATGAGCCGAGACTCAGTCCAAAAATTCGACAACGTTCAACACCAGATAGCCAACGCAACCTTTGTTCTCATCATTGACAAGCTCTCACAACCAGGGTAAGTCTAATTCCATCGGGTCGACTTGCAGCTTGCTTCTAACAAAGGACCTAGTGCATGGTCACGGATTAACCAAACTCCTTCAGCGTCAGAGAATTTCAACTCTTGGAACAGCGCCCAGGATTCCCTAAAGAAATGGAAGAAAGATCTGCCGCCCTCAATCCGTCTTCTAAATGTTGACCCCAAGTCTTCCAGCTACAGGACCGTATTCCACCTTCATCTTAACTACTATTTTGCTTCAATAGATATGGGTAAAGTCTCAGTCGTCACTGTCGTCAAAGCCCGGCTTCGCGCGGCTTTTCGTCCCCAGGATGAGCCTCAAAGTATCAGCAAAGATGTTGAACGGTCCTCGGATGCGTGTGTAAAAGCAGCGAAGAAAATGATCGAGCTCTTTGAGTGCCTGTATCGCAGCGGCAACTTGGCGCGGTTCTCTTTTACGGACTTCCAGGGCTGCAGTATTGCCACGATCATCCTGTTGCTTGCAGGCATCCTGACCCGAGACTCAGGGTATGAGGGCCGTATAGCCTTCGGGCTGGACTGTCTTCGCCGGATGGCTTGTGGCGGGAACGTTACGGCGCAGGTGGGAGTTCGCTTTATTGAGACTTTGCGCTCCATCACCAACGAAGCAAGGTCCAAGTTTATGGCAACACAACAGGGTCAAGAAAAGAGCTCTGATACATCAGCGGAAGAGACAGTTGATTATTTGTGTTGGGAAGAGTGGCTTGCCAATGCTAAACGAGTTCACGACGCTTCGGAAGGCGAATCTGAACAAGAATTTCCCGAGTTAACAGTCAACGTAACGAGACCATTGTCACTGCGGCATGGGATGCAAACCGCTCCATGGGACGAGTCCGAGGCATCGCAGCTTGAAAACGTATTGACGTCAGGATTCTCTCTGCCAATGGACAGTACAGCGTCCCTTCACACCCAGCAACCGGTGGCCGCACAATCTTCAGAAGATCTTTGGATGCCCTCATTTACCTGGACGAATGATCAGACGTATCTAATGGGTTTGACTGGCATGGGTGTTTTAGACTTCACAGACCTGTCGTGAGCGTTGGTCACAGAACAGTGAAGATTGACCCCGAGGTCCGTGTACAGTTTTGCATGCGTATTATCAAGGTTTTTGTAATAGGCAAATTTGATGCCATCCGTCTCATAACGCTGCTTTGACTCTAACAGGCACTGCAGCGTCCTCTATCATGCCGTTCCAGCGACTCTTATGAATCCTCCCCTCCTTGATCACTCCAAGAACATGTGCTTCGGGGTCATCAAGAATGGAAACATTCTCGGCCGGGTTGGCGTCAGTGACGACAATATCCGCCTCAAATCCAACCTTGATCTGACCCAACGAGCGTTCTTTGCCCACCATCTTGGCAGGATTGATGGTCGCACTCTGCAAGACAGCAAGTGAAGGGAGAGCCTTTCCACGTAGAGTAAACTCGAACGACTGCGCCGCACCGAGCGGGCCAAGGAGATCGGTGCCAAAGCAGATGGTGACGCCTGCGTCGTATGCCGTTTTGAGAGCGACGAGCCCCGCGTGGAGAACCTCCTCATTCTTCGACATCGATTCCGGCGGCAGATAGCCTTTCCATTTTGGCGATGCCATCTGGGCGTATGTGATGAGCGTCGGTGTGAGATATACCCCTTTCTCCGCCATGATCCTCGCCGTCGGAGCGTCGACAAAGTTTCCATGCTCAATACCCCGCACTCCGTTGTCGATGCAATGCCTGATGGCCTTTGCCGTGTAGGCATGTGCCGTAACATACGTACCAGCATTCTCGGCGCATTCCACCATTGCCTGAATCTCGGCATTGGTGAACTGAAGGTGGTCGATCCTGTCAGTGGGTGTGGAAACGCCACCGGAACCCATAATCTTGATAAAGTCCGCTCCGCCGCGGATCTCCTCGCGAACGGCGGTCATGCACTCCGGAACGCCATTACACAGTCTGCCGAGACCATTCGTGGAGCCGCCGCAACACTCGCTATGGTCGTGCACGCCGCGAATGTCTCCGTGGCCGCCGGCTTGCGACAGCGCATGACCAGCAATGAAAAGTCTCGGACCGGGAAAGACGCCGTCGTTGATGGCTTCTTTCAGAGCCTGTTGCGCGCCCCCACAGTCTCGTACGCTTGTGAAACCTCTGTGCAGCATTTGCGCGCAAACGTACGGCTGGCGGAGAAGTGAGACATCGTTCGAGTTTCCGAAAGCCTTGGAGAGGTCACCGAAGCCCGGGACGGCTACTAGGTGGACATGGGCGTCAATGAGCCCCGGACAGATGAACTTGCCGGTGCAGTCGATTTCCTCGAAGCCTTGTTCTCGAGCGGTGTTGATAACGGAATCTGTAGAGTCGAGAATCGCGTTGATGAGGCCGTCTTTGAGTTGAATAGCCGCGTTGGAACGGAGAGAGCCGTCTGTCACGTCCACAATGGTGGCGTTGGTAAGGATGTATTGCCGGACCGGGGCTCGCAGCCAGGGCTTGAGGTCTGCTTCCGTCACCATTTTTGGGGTTGAGTTGATTAAATTGAACCGTCCTGGGACATGGGGTAAGAAATAATGGAGGGGAGGCAATGGGTTGGAAATCTACGTGACGCCAATGCTGTGCATCAATTTAGTAGTTTAGACGATACGTGCCTCTCTGAAGCTAGTTATTTATCCGATTGGCCTTGTCACCAAGGAGAGTGTCATCCCAAGACTTATTGGTGACTTTGGTCAACGGAGAAGACTGTGTCGGATGCATGTACCCCTATCAGCGGAAAACTGTCCTAGCAAAGCCATATTACCGATACCGGCATCGGGTATCTGTTCCAGCAGAGCGGGCGCAGTCGGTAATGTGGCATGCTCCCCACATTTGTACCGCTGCTATCATCCGCCGTCAGGGCCTATCGCAAGATTATGGGAAAACACCCTGATATGCATCCTTGGTGGGGGGGACAGGGATGCAACCCCGGGTTGATAAATGGACATGGCGCGTGGTACGTGGATCTGGCCAGCTCGTTGCGACTTAAAGCCGGCTCTCCTGCTCTTGCTCGGCGTTGGAACGGTGGTCCCCTTTGATGGGAAACGGGGAAGACACTGTTCAACGAGAGCTTGGAATTCAATAGCAGAATGGCTTCTTCCAGCGCCACCGACGAAATGACCAAAGAGCGGGCCGATGGCAACCCACAGGAAGGCGTGGAGGAGAAGAATGGACAAATTGTTGACGTAGGGGACGGGTATACCCCCGAGGAAGAGAAAGAAGTCCTGCGTAAAATCGACCTTGCGATCATGCCCATGGTATGAACAGCCATTATTACAATTAGCAATCCGTTTTCCTCAGTCAAGCTAACATCACCGAAAGATGTGCTTCGTTTTCTTTCTACAGTACTTGGACAAGCAGAGTCTGAGCTACGCAAGCGTATGTTTCTCTGCTTCTCGAGCGAGCGAGCTCCTAGTTCTCACGATTATCATAGGTGTTCGGTTTGATAACGGACCTCAAATTGACCAGTACTCAGTACTCCTGGTGTTCGTCCATCTTCTATGTCGGTAAGGAACTCAATAGTATACTGGATGACATTGTTACCAAAACTTACCATATTAGGTCAACTGGTGTCTGAGTACCCATTTATCTACCTTATGAGCAGGCTCCACCTGACGAAATTTGTCGGAATCACAATGTAGGCCACTGTCTCTTTGCGAATCACCAGGTCCCAGTGTATCTTGCTGACTTGTTGATTCTGTCTTTGATTTCAGTGTGATCTGGGGAATGATTTGCATGTGCCTAGCCGCGCCGAAAAACTACGCTGGCTTTGCTGCTGTGCGGTTCCTTCTCGGATTTGCCGAGGGGGCTGTGTCCCCTGCTTTCATCACCATCACCAGTATCTGGTACCGAAGCAACGAACATGCTCTTAGAACAGCGTAAGCACATGGCTTCGAAATTGATTGATGTGGTAATTCAATAGAAACTGACACAGTAGTAGGCTGTGGATTACGATGAACGGGGTTGCCCAGATCTGCGGTTCACTCCTCATGTACGGCATCGCCAAAAACACGTCGCTCTCCCTTGCCCCCTGGAGAATTCTCTTCCTTGTCTGCGGTGCCATCACCTCAGCGGCTGGCGTGGCATTTTATTTCTTCATGCCCAACGGCCCTAAGGATGCTTGGTTCTTAACGGCCCGACAAAAACAGATTCTTGCCTTGCGCATGGCCAAGGACCGTGAAGGAGGCGACAAGACCTCTTTCTCTATGGCGCAACTCAAGGAAGCGGCACTGGATATCAAGACCTGGTTCGTGTTCTGGTTTGGCGTTTTGGTGACAATGCAGTCTCCTGTTTTGACGGTGAGTATTCCAGCCCCGTTGCGTTCAGACTTTTTCTGACCATCTCCAGTTCGCATCACTTGTGATCAACAATATTGGGTACAACAAGTATGAAACCATGTTATACACTGCTCCATCAGGTAGGCAATGACCTTGACTGCGTCCACAAACTTCAACTAATTTAGCCACGTTCAAGGCGCTGTTCAAATCGGCATGCTATGGATCGGCGTCTGCGGCTGCATGGTTTTCCCCAAGAACCGAACCCTGGTTGCCTTGGTTCTCATTATCCCACCGCTTGTGGGCAACGTGCTTCTAATGAAGCTTTCTACCGACTCAGGATGGGGTATGATAGCTGCCTCTTGGATAGTAAGTCTCTCTGCTCCGGCAGATGCCACCATCGCTGACAAAGTTTCAGTCATCATGCATCACTGCGGTTTGGTCCATTCTTCTCTCCCTTACTGCTTCCAACGTGAAAGGCAACACCAAGCGCGCTATAGTCAACGCTATGTTCTTCGTTGGTTACTGCGCCGGTTGCATTGGTGCTCCGCAGCTCTGGACCAAGAAACCACGATACTTCAACGGCGTGGTCACAGCTATCGTCACTTGGTGCCTGCTCTTTGCTGAGATTGTGGCCTATCGGTACATTTGCGCAAGAGACAACTCAAAAAGAGATGCCGCTCTTTCTAATGAACAGCAAGTCGCCCAAGAGAACCAAGGGGAAGTGATTCTGGATGCTGGCGGTGCACCTGATAGTGACCTCACAGACAAAAAGGATAAGCAGTTCAGGTACAGCATATAGAACAGATTAGAGCAACAACCATGTTATGGTGCTATAGGAATTCTCGATGGAATGAACAAGGGGAATTGGGTGTTAATGATGGAGAAATGCTGATTCCAAAGACCGTCAGTCTACAAGGGTTGTTTTAATATGGGCACGAATCCTACGATTTTATTCTTTTAAAGTTGCAATCATCACGCAGAACCTGATCGTAGGCGTGAGCCATAGGAATCACGGGTAGACACTAGAAATCTAGAATCTACCCCGCAAGAGTGAGAATTAGATTAAAGGCAGTGACAACCTGTTATCATGGCCGGGTGATTGGCCCGCTTGATTGTGTTGGCCCCAGAGTGAGTTGGTCGTATAATATGAGTCTCACATCAGACATCAGGCAAAGTTGGCTGCCTTGTCGATATTCTTCTAGGCAACTAACACACTCTGACCGCCTTTTATTTGAACAAGACTTGGAAGAGAGATATTGGGCGGATGCAAATTACGCATGATATTCGAACAAGCTGAAATGGCCCACTCCACCATCAATTCACCGGCTCTGGACCCAGTGGCTGTCGCCGACTTTTATGATGCCCTCAAACGATCAAGACGTATGCTTGCCGTTATAGGCGCAGGGCTGTCGGTATCTTCAGGGCTTTTAACCTTTAGAGGGGTCAGCGGATTATGGAAGAACCGGGATGTGAGCCAGGTCGCGTCGCTCGCGGGGTTCCGTCATAACCCTGGCCTTGTCTGGCAGTTCTACACGTACCGTCGGCAGGAGGCACTTCGCGCGAAGCCAAACCCGGTTCATTATGCCCTGGCTGAGCTCGCCCGTCAAGTGGCCGGCTTCAGAAGCCTATCACCGGCAAGGTACAAGATGAGAATAGTTGAATGGTATAACTTGTTACTCTGGGAGTGCTTGCATGCAGAAAAGAGGAAAAATCAAAAACAGCAATATATTATTAGCCCAAGTTTTGCTCTATCGCTGAATGTCTCTGTCGATAATCCGCATCGCTTGCAAACACTCCTCATCCCGGAATCGAGGGGCCACTACTTGAATGGCACATGGTGCTCCATCACACGCTTCGGGATCGTCTAGAACAAAAAAGAGAAAGAGTCAATCAGACGGTGCAACAGAGTTACAGAAGCTTGCTGGCCACTCACAGTCTGCTTCAAATTGCGCAGTTGCCTTCTGGTATTGAGGGTCCTTGTCTTTCGAAGCGAAGCCATACGGTATGATACCGGCGGGATACTATGAGTAGTCAGCAATGGGGGCCCATACCATTGTATATATGGCATCTTCTTACGTCTAACACGTTCCACATCGCGGTGTACACAGGAACGCCGTAAGTATCGTGGGGCACAGCGGTGCTTGTTGCTCCAGGCCCGAGAACAACATCGAGCTTATACGTCCGCCAAGTCTTTCGCCAATCGTCGGCGTAACCATCGCGAAGGTTGAGGAATTCACTCAACCGGTGTGCTGTGTCCAATTCCGGCGAGACGAGAGGTCCCTCGTTTCCGAATGGATGCACATTTGCCCTGACTGAAGTAATGAGTGGCTCTCCAATCTCGCTCTCCAAGGCATCTAGACCAGAGAAACTCAGGCCGTAATAAGTAAAAGCTAGCTTACCCCCCAAACTGGCACCGCAACAAGGGTCCAGCGGAAGGCGAACAACATTGTGTCCTGCAGCTTCGAGTGAAGAGACTGCTTCGTCAAGGGCGCGGCGAACAGGAGGATGTAACGGGTAATTGGGATCTTCGGGAAGGACGCCAATGGTAAGGGCCTTGTTGGCATCATCCAGAATTCTCCATGGTGTATCAATCGCAGATGCGTCATACTCCCAAGGGCGTTGTGCGAGTGTCGTTTCCATCAGCAAGACGAGGTCGTCGACTGAGTTGGCAATTGGCCCGATAGCTGGTGATATTCCAGGGATCCGTAGCTTGGGAAATGGATAATACACCTTGCCAGCGAATGGGATCCGGTCAGCTGTGGGTTTGAAACCGTAGACTCCGCAGCAGAGAGATGGGATTCTGACAGAGCCTGCAATGTCAGTCCCCACGCCTAACACCGAGCCTCGGAATGCCACGAGGGCTCCCTCTCCTCCCGTCGAACCGCCAGCAGTCAAGGAAGTCTTGCGCGGGTTGAGTGTTCTCCCGAAGATGTTGTTTTCCGAATCGGCCGTCTAACACGAGGGGGTCAGAATGTTACTCTGGCTGCCGCGGCCAGTTCCAAAAGCAACATAGCGTGTACTTACCATCATTGTTTGAGGAACGTTGGTTTTGCAGAACAAGACTGCTCCAGCATCCAGCAAGAGATCCACCATGGCCGAGTTGGTGGTAGGCGGCGGTCGCTTGAGAAATTCAACATAACCGACTGTCGCGTAATGACCTTTTACCACGAATGAGTCCTATCATGTGTAAGCTGTTTGGAAGCACATGTCTGGCCTTTCCGAGAGAGGTCTTTTTACCTTGAGACTAATAGGTAGACCATGCAGCGGACCGATCGGCTTGCCAGTAGCTTTCAGATGTTGGTCAAGTTTCCGAGCCCTCGCTATGCCCTCATCGAAGAATATCTCGGTCAAGCAGGAAGTCTATAGACGGAGTTAGGTTCTGTTACAGGAGCCTTAAACTGCTTCCAATGCCACTCACAAGTTGCTGAGCAAGGGCAGCACGCTTGCAAAACGCCACTGTTACTTCCTCAGACGAGAGCTCTCCTGTGTGAATTCTTTCGAGTAATTTCCTTGCATTATTACTCTCCGTGATCTTGAGCTCTTTCTCAGTAAGCAGGGCAGACTTCCTTGCTGCTTCCAGGGAAACCAGTCGTCCTTCATTGGCTGTTCCGGTGCCGTTTAATTCCTTCAGCTTCGAATGTGGAATAATCCAATCTTGCGGAATAGCCTGCTGTTGCTTATCTCGATGACGAGACGCAATAGCCTCCCATGTAGTAGCAGCAGACATCATGAACAATGGCAAGTATGCTGTAAGAGTGGACAGGACCTAAAAAGAGTGATGCTTCATCCGATGTTTCTCGAGTAATAAATAGCGATTCTCAAAAGATCATGTTGGGGTGGATGTTTCCGATAAGTTCTTGGCTGTACAAGAAGAGATACCTATACCTGAAAGAAGTGACAGCTTATTTATTATGGGCCAGAATATCCCAAGCACCGCACCATGCTCTGATAAGCTGGAGCATTGTGAGGAGTAAAGTAGCGGCGGGTGTGACATCCTATAGAGGAAGGACTAGCCGCCGGCCGGCTGTTTGCAAGTTCAAACACCGTGGGTCGCAGTATCGCGGAGTCAGTCAATGATTTTCGACCACCAATCAGAATACCATGTTCTGCCGATAAGGCCGAGAGGGACTAGGCATAATAACCATACCCAATCCTACCAGCTCCTCGCAGCTGATCACAGCGAGACCATGTTGTTGACCTCTTATTGCCGGCATGTAAGAAACAAGAATCAAATAATTAGCGTATGCCATATGGCATTTAACACAGAGTAACTGTACATCACACTGTGTTCACCTTGGACAACTCTTCCGAGGCAACACATCATTACTAGGGTTGATGTGGCAGGCCGACACGCCAATCACACGACAATGATGCCTCCCCGGTAACGTGTTCTCCCCGAACGGGGCAGAGGTACCACAAATGCGCATATCACACCTCGATTTTGTCTACCAGATAGTTTACAATATAGTCCTTGATTTTTACTAGATACCAAACGTCAGTAGCAGTAGGATCACGCGGCCTATACTACCCATCTTGGACGGATCTATCAAGGAGCCTAGAATCCAAAGTAAGATTATAGAGAGGAGTAGCCCCAACTAGTTACAACGCACCAGCGTGGACCACTTGTGTGTGAACCAATGCATCGATGATGAGCAGGCAGCGCATTCGGAGGTATCAAATGGATTATACGTGAGAACTTGTTCTGCTGGGTGCATTTTTATCCTTCGATCAAACTAGCGAGGGGATTCCTCTAGGTGAATTTGGATGCAGTAGCGACGAGAAACAACACGAGACTAATATTTACCTATCACCTAACCACCTGGCCACGACCAAGAACCTACGATGCCATGATTTTGACACAAGTCCTGTTGACGATCACCCCCCGCAAAGAGCTGTTCTTATTTGATATTGGCCCTTCTTGAAAAAAGCGCCAAGAGTTGACCAACGTAATAATAGTGCAATCTTTCGCATTAACTCGCTTTGCGCTTCTCCACAAGTCGCCAATATCGAGGCGCCAGAGCGGCTCGGATCCGCTTACCCCAGATAATAAAGGGGACATGTAGAAGCCCAATGAGAAGTGATACCACTCCGCTCAGGATATGCATGTTGGTGAGGCCCATGCTCGACATCCAGGGAACAAGGGCCGAGGGGACACCCGCGCTGACTGCATTACGAATGAACGCAATACCGACAAATGCCTCTCCGGTGAGCTGCGAATATGAGTGTTAGCGTCTACCGCGTAAAAGGAATCAGGCTGAATGACCTCTTTATATGTATCGATAACGAGGGTAAAGGTAATATCACCGTTCGCACCAAGCCCAAAGGCAAAAAGCGCGCCGCCGATGCTTGGGAAGATCCAGTGCATGCCCTGATTTGTTAGCAGCTTCCAGTTTCGAAGAAGCATCGCCTCATAGAAGGTGTTTCGAGCGACTTACTCGGTCTGATGTAATTCCGAACATCATTATCCCACCTGCCATGCTAATTACGGGTAGAAACAAGAGATACAATCTCATTTCGGGCTCATACAGCCATCCGTTCTTCTTGGAAAGACGCATGACAGCCCAATCAGCGAACGGACCGCCATATAAACTACCCAAAAGGTTCCCTACAAAGGGACCCAGAGTCATAAGACCAACTGACTGAGTGTTAAAGTTGTAAGGTGGTGCCGAAAAGACGACGGAAACAACAGACATGTACATAATAAGCCAAGAAACACCCGAAGCAAGCTGGAGAGCAGTAAACATGACATGCGGGAGTGTGATGACATGGAGCGGCAGGATAAAGAGTTGTGTCAGAGATTCTGGTGTAGTAGACAGAAGGCGCATCCTCTCACGGTATGTGTTGATTCTCACGCTTGATGCGGCGTAGAACTGCGCATCATTCAGCTCGAAACTGCTCTCCGCTGCACTCATAACCTTCGATACATCGTTTTCGTGATCTTGTGAGGTGACATTGGTCCTTTGATGCTGGCTGATGACGGCTGGGGTGTATTTGGTCTCCTCGTACAGAAAAGCAAACAGGAGAGAGAGTATCGTAAGTGCAATAGAAAGATAGTAATATGACCAGCGCCATCCCTGGGTGGCGGCTTGTGCGCCTGCGACCAAGGGAGTGAGGAAGCTGCCTATCATAACAGCGGTGAAATAAAGTCCATTAGCAGATCCTCGCTGATGTAAGAAAAACAGATCGGCAATCTTGTTGAAACAAAGGAGTTAGCCAGACTTGATAACGTCAGGGGGTGAATAAAGAAAGTTGTGGATTTACAGTCATCTGCACAGCAGTCTCGTTAATCGCGCCGGCCAGTCCAGTGATGATGTTTGTGATGATCATCTCAGTATATGTGTGCATGGAAGCTGTCCACCATGCAGCGGCTGCTAATACGGCAGTGGAAACCAGATACGTAGACCGCCGACCGTACTTGACGGTAAACGGTATGAAGAAGATGCATCCAGTTGCTAGACCCGCCAGTTGGGCTGACTGCCCCTGGCTGAGCCGACTGATTGAAAGATCAAGATCAACTGTCATTTGCTGCCAAAAGACGGTTTGAATGGAAAGGCTAGTATAAACCGAAACTGTTAGTCTGACCACGAGATATATGATACAGCGGAGGCGTGCCATTTACTTCGTGAAAGCGGCTACCGTTACAGCCATAATCAAACCGTAGTTCACACACTTTCTCCATTTGGTCCAGTTCTGCGATACTGAAATGTCAGTGCGTACAAAACATAACATAACATCAAATAGGTTGGCTGTGTCAGCACCGACATACCAGAGGTTCGTTTGGGTCCGAGGTTGGAGTAGGCGAAACAACGAAGGAGGTCGATTCTGTAGCCTCCCCATCTATGTTTGGGATCACCTGTCAACATGGAGTCCACAATATGGGAAACAAGCTTAGCAGTCTCACAATTGCTCAAGAGGACGGTCCCCGGTGGCAGAGAGGAGGCATTATGGCTGAGTGCGGTCGTTGAAGTGGCCATTGTGAGCATACCCGAAAATGCCGTAACTTTGTTGTCGTCAATGCTGGGCCAAAAATGAAAAGCATCGCCAGACATGACCGTGAGGGAAAGTCAGTCATTTAGATACTTGGCGCTGGAACACAAATTGTGCCTCTACAAAGGCCTCCCATGCCGGCATGACTACCAGATAATCCCCGTTCCCAGAGGTTATTGACAGTTATATTTTCAATGATACTCATGTATCCAAGTCAACCCCCGTTCCCAGAGGTTATTAACAGTAATACTTACATATAATCATGGGTTATCGTAGTCACCTGTCCGGATGGATAAAAGTTTAGAGATAGGATTCTCGTCAAACCTAACTTATGTGCCATCAACGTGTAGAGTGGTAGCAATTGAATGTACTGCACGCGTTAGCACTGGCTGCCCAGTTACGAATCGTGGCCATTGGTACCTACGGATTGTAAATTGGACACAGGGACACCCACACATCCGGTTGAACTACCCTAGTCAACCGGCTGTCACAAGACACCCTACCCCTCCCTGTCACTTGCTAGGGATTGGACGAGTAAGTACGGAGTACGGATATCATACGTGGGTTAAAACTTTATTAATGCTAACGTTTGATGCCCCTGTATTCGCTTAACCTGGAACATCGGCTTGCTACAACCTTGGACCCCGATGTTGTATCCGTGCCATGCCCTAAGCGGCATATATATGCGACGGCCGCGCTTGTTGGACCTCTGTTTGGGAGGGGTTCAAATTCACCATCCACAAAATAAAATTATTGCGCCGCCTTCAACGGACTTGGCCAACGACCACGCGCGCAGAACCAGATAAACGCACGCAGAGCCGGTACCACCTACCCCATGGTTCGCTCGAGGGGCGGATGTCCGAACTGCAAGCGACGGAAGCGGAAATGCGACGAAACGCGACCAGAATGCCGGGCATGTCAGACAAGAGGGATCCAGTGTGAAGGTTACAACACTACGCTTAAATGGACCAACGGAATAGCCTCGAGAGGTCGGTTTGCTCGGGCAGCGGTCCCTGAGCGTGCCGCCCGCGATCCAGATCCAACCCCGGCAACGTCCTCATCCTATCCGCCGACCATCGATGATCCACAACCCCGCGTTAGCTCCATCTCTTCATCGCCTGCATCCCTTGGGGCCCAAGGTCTTCAGATCCGCTCCGCTCCGCAACTAGATACTCAAGGGTCACAGCTAAGCATCTCTTCCTTGACATCCTCTTCCACCGGCGACGTCATCGACCCGAAACAGCAGCTGTTCCGAAGATGTAAGTTGTCACAAGCTGCCGCAAGCTATATCATCCCTGCTGCGGGTTTCTCTTGAGTAATGACTCGCGAGTGTTGTCCACGTTGTCATCAGCGTTATCATTATTGTCACCGTCGACTAACCTATGTCCCAAGTCATCCACACAGGAATGAATCGGCTTTACAACACAGACAGTCAGGGGTGGCTTAAAGGCCATTTTGTGGCAATGGCTGAGAGAAGTCCAGCCTTTTTCAACGTCTGTGGAGCCATCCAAGCATATATCGAGGACGGACTCTCAGTGTCATCGATGGAGCTTGTTGATCATGCCCTTCAAACGTTTCGATCGGAGTTAGAAAGCCGACATGAGTCTTATGATGCATCTACCGTATCGGCCGGCCTTCTCATTTGTACACAATGTGTAAGCTTCTGCACTACGCCACTGCTGTCTTTGCCAATCGTTGCCAAAAGAGAAAGGCACTTGGCTTCCCCGTTGGCTAATTGCATCAATTTAGTTACTCCAAGGTCGACCATGGACAATATATCTTCAGCTCATGGCCGACCTCTATCATTTAGAAACGGAATTGGGCCGCCTTTTACCTGCAGCTGATCACAACCCCACAGTCCAACACACCATTGAAGTTTTATCGGTAATGGACATGCAGCCCATGGTAATTGGGAGAAGGACTCCGAGCATGGGCATTTGGCGTCACCTCCGCAAAGTACAAGACAGCTGGCAAGGAGGCAGGATGGGTGGCATCGAAGTTGTCTCAGGGATGCCGCGGACTCTCCTTGATATTCTCGCCGACATAAGGAGCAGCGACGCGCAAGAATTAGAGGCTCGTTTATGGGATTGGCCGGGAGAAGTTGGGCTATATGCCCAATGCATTCTCTGGGACTGTTGGAGGTACACAGCAGTCTTACACGTGAGAAGAATTGAGCGAATGGAGAACAAGATGAGGCCATCTGTCGAAGCAATTCAACACGTGGTTGAAGCCGGAAAGACGATACCCTTCCCCTCACGAGAGGTCATTCTATGTCGCCTAGTGGCATCGGTTTATGCTTTGCACCGAGCCATCGAACTGCCCGCAAACAAACATCTGCTGGTTCACAACGGGCTCATTTACCCATTGGTAATAGGCAGCTTGGAAGTCCCACTTTTGGTTTCACACCCAGAGTGGAAGCAGGTCTTTGACGATGTGCGGACATTGTTTCTAGAAAACGACTCTTCCCGCCTCATCAGCTCGGTTGTCGAGGTTCTCGAAGAGGCATGGAAGGATGGATCAGACACATATGATATCGAAGAAGCAGCTCAGTCCCGCGAAGTTGAACTTCCGATCTTTTAACTAGGTTTGATGACGGAATCACGGTGAGGGACAAGGTAGAACCACAACCTATATTGGCGATGATTGGGACTCATTCGCGGGCCGAAACCCCTTCTATATTTGTACAAAGAGCAAAGACTTATTCACCCTTGGCCCTTCTAATATATACCAATCCAATCCTCTTTGGTATTTCTTGGGCGGATCGTGACGATTGAATTGCGGTTCGAGACCACATCGAGTGACGGATGCCCGGTTTAAAGTAAATTGACGCCACATTCAATTGACTGTATCGCCTTGATCAATATTAGGTGAGGTCTTTACATTCTCCCGCTGTTCCATCTTAACTGCGTCAAGCCCGGGAACGGCCTTATCCCCAAGTCCATATCCCTCCGTCAATCGCACGAAGCGGATGGTCCATAACATCAATCATTCTAGTGCTCTCCGGGCCTCTAATAAGCTGTGGATTGGGTATATCGGTACGGCACAGGATAAATTCATGATTGAGAACGTTTCCGGGCCGACTCCGAAGAAGAAGGGAAAGATACCGATGCGACAGAACGCCGACTCAAGACGATCTGATCAAGTCTGACTTGTATTTGATGCCAATGATGATGTTGATGCCGTGCCTACAGTGATCGGTGGCACTCTGCCAGTCATCTGGAAACATGACAATACAAAGAAAGAGAAGGAACACAACAAGCACTGTCTCCCGGCTGGTCGTAGTTCTAAGGTGCCCAATGACCTTGTTGTATTGACTGATGGTGAAAGTCTTCCTCTCGTCTACACGAACTGTGCCAAAAGAGTTCTTCAAGTAACAGCTGGATCCTTGAATGGGACACCCGACACCAAGCTTCCAGAGCTGGAGCATATGCAGAGTCTAATTAAGGCCTAGCATCCATGATAAAATAAACTACCCAAACGGAAAATAAGATCCAGCCAATCGGCTAGCTACTGAAACCTCAGAGAAAAGTACGCGGTTGCTATTGACGTCTGTGTATTATGACATTATGTTGAATGGACTCTCTCTGTACCCAAAGAGAATGCACTTGTACGATCGTACCGCGTATTAAAATGTAGGGTGAACCAAAGATATGCATGTCTGATTCATCTCTCTAGTTAAGAGTGTGGTCGCCCGTACGTGTCCTTTATACTTGCTGTGCATCCCTTCTTGTTCTCGTACGGTCACGTGGAAGTGTTATTCCAACACATCATTTATTTCTCATCAATGCTAGCTTATCGGCATTCTTCATTTCCTGCAGCTGTGTATGATGTTTAAGCTTCCGCAGGCGCTTATGAATGGTAAGAGGGCGGCGACTGTGGCGGACTAGGGCCTAGACCCAGCTGCTATCCAGACCAAACTCCGAGTTGTTGCTTTCTACAGTTTCCTCGCGCTTCGTCCCTAGAAAACCTTTTCCAACTTCAATACCGATGCGTCACTCTTTACCGGAGCCTGACGTGAATCGGCATGCCGTCTTTAAGGTGTGGAGTCCCCCGGCCAACTTGGAAGCAACCGTCTTTTCCGCACACAGGCCTTGGTGTTGTGTGGTTTCTGTACGATAAACAGAAGATTAGCAAGATAAAAAGAACTGTGGTTAAGGCGATGAGGATGATGACTTACCTCTTCGCATTCCACTTGTCCCAGGCACAATCGAGGTCAATCTCTCTCGCCATGAACACCAACACCATTTTCATTTCTATCACTGCGAGCTCCTGTCCGATGCAGTTGCGGGGACCAACACCAAACATACGCCATGCATGCTTTTTTGGATGTAAAGGGTCACTTTCATTTGTCGTCACCCATCGTTCAGGCACAACCTCTTTGGCGCGGGGCCACAGCTCCTCAGAAAGGGACCTTGAGCGCATGGCGTCCCAGACGATGAATCCGTCGGTTGGATAGCGATCCCCAGTTTCCTTGTCGATTATACTATAGTGCGGTTGACCGTCTCTCAGAGACGCTGGGCCGGGGTCTAGACGTAGAGCCTCTTTGATTATGCCGCCCGTGTACAAGAGAGAGTTGATTAGGTGCGGCGACTGTCTAAGGTTTTCAGCCGCCATCGCAGGGTCTTCCCCGAGGATCTTATTGTGTTCAGCGCGCAGCTTACGCGCAACCTCTGGGTTCTTGGCAATGCAGTGCAACACCCAGCAAAGAGTCGTCGCCGTGGTGTCATAGCCGGCAAACATGAAAAGCTTAAGTTGGGAGATGACAGTGTCGATGAATAATTGATCCGTTACAGGTGCCTTCTCTTCATCAGCTGCGCTCTTTATCGGTTTCAGTGCTAGGTCTATGATGGTTTTGCCAGAACTCTTCTTGATTTTGTTCTCACTCAAGGACCGTTCAATGGAAGGCAACAGCTCGCTGCGCATGGCATGTGTGTTGCGAGCAATGGCCGACAACCGCCAAGGGCTGTACCATTTCCATATGGTCACGATGTTTCGACCCGTGACGAAACGCGAGATCTGATCCGTAAAGTGTTTCTTGAACCTGCTGGGCCCCGCAGTCTGCTCGTTGAGCTCGATATCAAGGACTGCTCGGCCAATGACATCGATTGTCAGGTTCGTCGTAAGGTCTTCAAGAGGGAAAACGTCGCCCCAACCTCCACCGACACCAGCTTGCTTGCGCAAGAGATCTGTGAAGACTTGGACATCCTTGATCATGCCGGGAACGAGGGCAAGCACGTTCTTGTTGCTGAAACTTGGGTTGAATCGCGATCGCCATGTCTTCCATGTTTCGCCTTCTGAGCTGACTAGGTCCAGGCCATCAGTAAGTGGTTTGATGATTGATTTAATGTAGTCGCTGCGTGGGATGCTCGGCTCGGCTACACCCTGAGCCGCGACATCCGGATCATTGGTGAACATGATGGATGGACCCATCGGCCACATGTCAACATAGAATACGGGCGGGCAAGACGTCAGTCCAGGAAACAGTGTTTGCCAATTTTCGAAGATGGCTTGGGATATGTAATTGGCGTGGCTGTCCTTTGGGAGGTGAGAGATGAGCTGGCTCAAAAGTCGAAGGTGGCCAAATAGAAAGGAATGAGGCATCATCGGCTTGTCTTGCATGAGCACATTTTGACAGGTGAATTGGGAGAACATGAACTCACTAATCCCTGACGTTGAAGCTTTCGGAACTTCATTCGCACTTGGAACATCCGAGTCAAGGTTAATCCCATCCCAGCTACCACAGCTAGAGCGCAGATACGGAGCACCATCTCTGCGGGGCTCCTTGCCTCGCCAATAGCAAGCACTCCCATCCTCTATGGTGCCGATACTTTGAGCTTTCGATGAGTTCGTCGAAAAGCAGTGTCTGATGAGGAATTTCTAAGTCAACCAGCCAGATTGATGTTCTGGTGTCTGTGCTTGTTTATATCTTCACTTAAGGGTGAGGGGAAGGTGGTATGACTGATTACATAGGCCAAGACGAACTTGGTGATGACTGCATACGCTCCAATGAACAAAGGTGGGTACACCTATCTTATTTAGCCTATCAAATTCTTTGGTGACTGTCGGAAATGTTTGTCTTACTCCTCAGCAGCATGGATGCTGCACCGAACCCTGTCGAGACGGCCTAATGGAGACAGCTCGGCCGATAGATCCACGAGCTGTTATCAACACGGTATTATTCTAAGGATGCAGATTTAGAGATATTAAAGGGTATTCCGCGCTGCTTGACCATAGAAGGAGAGGCATCTAAGGTATCTACAATAAAGTTATAGATAGGTTTAATACATATGTTGAAGTCCTCTAAGGATAGGTTACAGGCGTGCACAAGAAACTAGAATACAAGGAGGGATATAGAAATTTAATAGAAAGTTACTAGCACTCTATCTTAACCTCTAAAAGTACAACACAACAAAAGAATAAACAATTAGGGCGTGTAATGAAAGACAGTATTTATTACTATGCTTAATGTATAAATAAATAAGAAGAATTCCAAAGGAATAAGGCCCTAACCAGGGATCGAACCTGGGACCTCTCCCAAACTTCGATGTTAGGAATACCCTAAGGGAGAATCATACCGCTAGACCATCAGGGCTTATCACAGTCAAGTTGTGTCGAAATGTTGAGAGAGACTCAATCTTGGATGGCTTGCTCTTACCCAGCACCTAGAACCTATGCCGACCATTACTTTACTTTAAAGGCGGTGTATATATCTAGAAACTAGAACTCCTTAATAGTAACCCTAGGAGACTACATGTTAAAGCGCTAGGTGTTATAGGCCTAGTAATGTTACTAGCTAATTACAACAAATGTTTCTTACATGTCTAGTTGTTAGACTAAAGGGGTTGAATATAGGATAAGTGTATCTCCGTGCTTTTAGCAATTGCGTATTACTAACTTGGTTAATGTCAGTCGGCTCTTGTATTGAAAAGACTGAGCTTGGAGACCAAGTATACTAACACAAAAAGGTCATTGACAATTCGCATGCATGCCGTGCAGCTTTGGATACTTGCAACCATTACATTGGCCCCTATGGCATCGATTCCTCAAGGTTGCATGCCAAGCATGAGAGTCTTAGTCTTCCTGACATGGCTGGATCAGCCACCAAATGAGGCACGACTGAGGTACAACAACTGACCAACCATGCGTTAGGAATTCCCGAGATCATTAAAGAAGATTCCGAGCTTTTTATGACCTTGCCCGGTTGTGAATGTGTCTCGAGTTCTAAGATCCTAGAGATGCACCATTCGCGTTAGTACAACGGGCCAATGGAATGCTGTCTGTAATACTGCCTGCAGAGAGTTCTCACCCTCGGGGTTTTACGGCTCAAACAACGCCAAGAAGCATGCTTAGCAATCCAGGTGTCGGACGCGAGGAAGGACTGTCATCTCTTACTATCAAAATCCGGTGCTGCCAACCTCAACGTTCTTGGCTTCGGCATCGAGGAAGGCTAACGGTATAATATCTAGCGACACCTCAAAATCATAACCCCAACCATGGCATGCACGTATGGGATCCTGATCGCCCTGTCGGCAGCGGCACATGCAACGAAATTGCAGTCGCAATACTGGGATACCCCGCCAAGGTTCTCTTCCATCGTGGTATTTGGTGATTCTTTCAGTGACAATGGTGAGTGTCGAGCGATCAGATGCTTTCACAAAGACTGAAAGAGTAACCGTATATCATACGTAGGCAATGGATCGGCTCGTGTATCAAACTCTTCCTGGCCTACAGACTCATAGTAATACCTCCAGTAATATCGGCCACTGCTTGGACTGACTCTCTCCGGCTTCAGTTACAACGGCCGCTTTTCTGATGGCATCGTCTGGCCCGAGTATGTGGCCGGAAACTTGTCGATCCCGCTTTACGACTATGCAGTGGGAGGCGCCACTACGTCCAACATTTTGGTCCAAGGATACACCGGGGCGGGCGGAACGATTGCGGTGCCTTCAGTTGACGATCAAGTCGCCACCTTTCTCGGGAGGGCGACGCCACAAGGCCAAGTCTTCACGGAGTTGGAAACAGTCGCCTTGGCCTCGCCATTGTTTGTTTCGTTTGCTGGGGCCAACGACATCTTGTTCAGTCCCAACATAAGTGCTTCGCAGTCTTACCAAGCTCTCCTCCAGGCGGGAACTCAGCTACAGGCTGCGTATGATACGGCCAAAGTTCTTACAATTTCACCTCCGGACCTATCAAAACTTCCCTACGGTTTCTATGTGGACATGATAGCAAAGGAGCAACTGCAGAGTTTTACCAATCTTCTGGGAGACCTGCTACGTCGCTCACGGTTTGCGGCTGTCAACATAGATCTTCGGCCGCTTTTTGAAGAGTTTGAATACTACGCCGCACCCCGTATGTATGGTTTTCCGCCCCTGGGAAAGTATGGGAGTTGTTTGCAAGGAGCGTATGGAGAGACACCAAACGTGACGCTGTGCGAAGACGCTGCGACTATGGTTTACTGGGACGAGTATCAGTACGTGCCGTGATACCCTTTCATCGTGTTACGTCCAGACTGCCTTCTGGCTTTATCTCTGACATCTCCGCAGCCCTACAACTCAAACACATTCTTGGATTGCTAAGCAAGTCCTCGGCGTGCTAGGTGGCCCGTTCTGAGGTTTGACTGCGGCCAGGCCCAGGGATATTTCCCGAGGCTGTCGGACTCGACCTGGCATGAAGCGTAGAATGGGAGTTTGAAAGGACGTTGGTAGAAGGCTGTAAATACAAGGCGTCATTGAACACTTGGATCAGACGGCAGCATTTCCACTGGCGAGTTCTGGACTGAACCAACACTATGTCTAAGACGAGTTGACAGGGCACCCTTGCACAGCTTGACCCTCACCCACGACAGCTGTCCCAGAAGCACAGACGAATCTTGTTTTTGGCTCTGGCTACTGGTGGTTCCCAGCAATCGGTGATATAAAACTGGCTACATAGGTACAGTGCACAGCACAGCTGGCAGGGTACAGGTAGGGATCAGTGTCTAGCTGAAAAAGAAAACCTGAAATAATAACGACTGAACAAGCCACCTATACGCGGTATATCCCAAGGTATATGTGCAAGAACTGTACTGTAACAAGCTCCACCTGCTGACCTGTCTCGGCCTTCATGCTCCGTATTGCATACCGCATCTGCGACTGCATAGATTAAGAAGGAACATCATGTAGAACATTGCGCACGAGAGGCAGTGCATGAACCTGAAAGGTTTTTCAGAAGTAGATGATGAGCTCCAAACATGCAGGCCGCGCCTTGTTCCCTCACTTCCACGTGGCAGGCTTGAATGACGTGCACCAGTTCAGGCTTTTGCAACTGCGGCGTCCGCTGTCCAGGCCGGTGCGAAAGTCATGGCTGGTTGGCTCCTACCTGGTGATGCGAAGGGGCCTGTAATAGGTGAACAGGCACTGGGGTGACAAGGTAACGTTTAATGAAGATGGGATCATCGTCGGAAGTACAGTTGAGCAAACTGGCGGGCCAGGCTTCATCCGGCGATCCGTTTTTGTTTCCGAAATGGCAATGTCTATGTTCGCCACTTTGACCCGACCAAACATTCATCGCCGAGCCTGTTTAGAATGTGGGCATGCTCCCTGGCTTCGTTTAGACGCGACGTGCTATTGCCCGATGACGAGCAACTCATAGGCCATGGCCTTACCTTGTCAGTAACGACGAAACTAAAGATGGAATACATGGAACATGTCAGGACTGATATCAAAAGCAGATATAGAGCGATTTTCAGGGTGAGTAATAACGTGCCGCGGCCCTTGCGACAGTTCTAATATACAGCAAACCCCCGTCGCCGGGGAATAAACAGGGGAATAGTGGAGAGACCATATAGGCATAGGTATCACTTTATCCTCGAAACGCACGGTTACGATGGGCTCAGCTCCGTGCCTCCCACGGGGATCACTGGAGGCCATTCCTTTTTGCCCGGTCTAGATGTTTCTTACTATGTGAGGAGCCCGTCAACACGATTGTCAACACCCGCATCTGCAACCCGCACTATCGGCTCAACTGAAATCCATCCCCGCCCCCGGGCTACGTACGCAGTCAAGTCATAATGCTTACGCAACTTGTTTATTCCTGAGAATCCACCGGTTGGATATTGACAACGTTTTGACACCCATGTACTTTACGGCCCCTCCTATCTCGAACGAAACGCGCTAGAGGGGCGGACCAACAACTCTCCAAGCTCTGACTGAGCCGCAGACAAACCGAATAGTGGCAACTCGTTCCGGGACAAACAGGGTTCTTGAGCTGCAGAAGGCTCATGGCTTGCCATTCTGGGCCGATCCACATGGTCCTATTTCGATCTCCCCCTCAGCAGTTGGCCTGGTTGACGCCATCGCGGAAGCTCATGAGCCCAGATTGATAGGCGTCGAGTACGACGGCCAAATTGATATAAGCCGTCGGTTTCCTCCTCTCAAAGATTGTCTACTCCATCCTCACTCCATTGCATTCCATTCAATCTCAACCACTTTCATTTTACTCTGAAGCTAGTCTTCTCTTCCGTCCTTCGACACTGGGCTTGTTATTCATTCGCCGAAACCTTTTTTCAACCATTTCTTACGTCCTATTCCGACAAACAGTTCCCTTCGACCCATTCCCCAAATCCGATCCAAAATGAAGGCCAACGTTATCGCCGCAACCCTCCTCGCCGCCTTCTCGGTTGGCGCTTTTGCCCAGCGTGATGCCAACGTCCCTGGCGGCCCCGGGCCCGCGGATGGCAAGTTTCCTACCGGTTTCCCTATCGGCCCCGACGGCCCGAAGCCCACCGATGGCAAGTTCCCTACCGGTTTTCCTGCCGGCCCTGGCGGCCCGAAGCCCACAGGCTTCCCCGGTTTCCCTGTCGGTCCCGGCGGCCCGAAGCCCACAGGCCCCCCCGGTGGAGGCTTCCCGGGCTTCCCCCCTCAGGTCCCTGGCGCTGCTCAACCTTCTGGTGGCTTCGGCCACCACTCCGGCTTCCGCATCCACACCCGCAAGTCTCCCAAGCCGACTCACTCCGCTTAAGGGACATTGACGATAAGATATTTGTCGGCCTGTGGGTTCAACATGGGCCAATTGATCGAGCAAACAGCTTTGCAGGGTGCTTGGATTATTCGAGATCAAGATCTTTTCTCATTGTTCCTACTCCAAGGAGCTTTCTTTGTATAAATTCAAAGGCCGCATGGTGTAGCTGGCCGGTACATTACATACAGGTGTCTGCCTTTTCACAAAACCAATAAGAACACCTCGTTTCTTATTCTTCTCGTGATCCAAGTGACCAGCTGCGCACCATGACTGACTACTGACCTTGTTGTAGCCGCGACTTCTCATTGATACGTGGACTGTAGGCATTCTGTGATACTATTCGTTGAAGCAACGGGTATCGCCACTGCCTTTGACCAATTGTCAAACTATGCTATTAAGTTACAGTTCTGAGTTGCCTGGGTTGTCTAAGCCCCAGTCTGGGTAAGGGAGGTAGACTTGTAGCTTGTCGGCAGCGGAAAGTGCCAAGGCTCGCTCTCTGGCCCAGTGATGCCAAAAGATTGAAAGAGAGGAAAGAAAGGAAGAAAGACCTGTAATGCAGTCTGGATTTGCGCAGAAAATTCAAGTACAATCATCAAAGCATATACAAGGACAAGAATGCCTTGCTCCTGTTGAAGAGCAACTTCTGGGCGTAGGAATGATTAGACGCGACATCCTATCAAATCATTTGATATCTGCTCTTGTGTTGTGCTCCCTATCTCTCTCACGTGCACAACACGCTGCGCATGCAATCTGAGCAGCCACTTTCGTGCATCCAAGACTCACAGCTGGGTGGCTATCCGCATCACAGGAAACAAAGAGGAGGGAGGATGGCTGGGCGCGAACAGGCTCATCCCTCCAAGACTCTTGCGTCTACCCTGGTGCGTCCAGTCGATAATCCATCTGACAGTGGGGCATCTTTCCTTGCAGTCTTGCGGTGTGGTTATGCTGTCCCCACTGCCCATCATCGCCCAACCCCCTTGGTGTCGCCCTCGACGAGATCTGGTTCGTCGCAGAATGCTTGTGGCGGATCCTCAACAAACCACCCATGGTGCCCAGCTCTTAGAATTGTCTTGAGACGAACCACACAAGGCTTACCGCCAGAAAACCACGAGGAACCCAGCCCACAAGTGCATGAATAAGTCAGATGCAGTGTACGCTAGTCCCATACCGGCCGGTCTTCATCGAAACAGACATCTTCGCCGATGATGTTTTTGCAGGGTATCGTGAAAATAAGGCAACAAACCCCGACTGGCTGAGCAAGCGACCACACCCACCGCTCCTTTGACAACCCCGGATTGGGCCACCGTTGGCCGGGTTATTGACACCGTCTATTAAAGACGTGTTTGTGTCCGCAACCCTTGAGAAAGTTTCCCTCTTGGAACCCATCCTCTTTCGAGGCCCCCCCTCGATCACCACCCCCAAACAACCCGCACAACATGGCCCAGGCCTCGCCTTCATGGCAGAGGCTGTTGGGGCTGCTGTCGGTGCTGCTGGCACTGCTTCTCGGCGCCTCGGCCGGGTCGCATGATGCCGCGGCCGCCGGCTGCCCCGCCGACATTGCGTTGGCTCCGGAGAACACTTGGTCGTTCGAATTTGAAAACGGAACCGACGTTGCTGAGAGTAAGTGACCCTTCGTCTTGTCGGTTGCTCCATATATTCTGACGACTGTTGCAGCCCAAGCAGAGAGCTCGCATGTTAGGAACCAGAACGTCGAGGCCCATAATATTGAGGCGACCAGCTTGCACGGCATGGGTATGTTGCACTACATGACTTCTCCCAACCTCGAACCCAGCGACTAATGATCTATTAACAGGCGCCCGATCTGCTTTCGAGGCTCTTGCCGTCGAGATCCCGGCCTCATGCCGCACCCCGAGCATGATGAGCTCGCTCATGGAGCTGCCCATCAGTTTCGCCAGCCTGCACTTGCATCTGCAGAACATCCGAACCAAATAACCTCGGTGGCGGTTTGTTCATTTTTTCAAACCGCCGACACGAGACTTCAAAATCCGTGTTGGATCGACCCAAACGACCTCCGACACAACCCAAGCCCTTATGTCGGGGTGTGCTTAGTGTACCAAGATGTATGCACCAAGCAAGTCCCGAGCCGGCTGCTCCCAAGTCTGGAGCTGCCTTACTACATGACTAAAACGACATGACGTTACGAAACGAAACTAAACGAACAAAAACAATGGAAAAGGAAATAATGTCACGGAAAGATCCCCCTTGGCCACACAAGTCTGGTCCAGAAGTACGATGAACGACTTTTCTTTATGTCTCTGATACGAAAATTTCTCCCTCTTCAGTGAGGCTTTAGCCATTTGGCTCTTTAAATACATCTCATATGTCTTTGTAGGACAGTCACAGCATTCCCGTGATATACCTGATCCGCGTTCATGCTCATTCGTCTCTCCACCTCGATGAGTTTACTACCTGCTCGATGAAACATCCAAGATCAATTTTGATGGGCAAAACCCGAGATAGACCTCTTGTTCAGCTAGTCGTACGCATTTTGGAAACTCTGAGCTTCAAGTCTCGTCTTGGGGGCCGCTCCTGTAACGGAAAGTGCAACGATCCTTAGAGTTGACGTCTGTATTCTTCTAATTGACAGTAGGATTGGAGCAGCTTTGTTCTCATGGTAGTAATGCACTGCAAAATTTAGAGAGATTATGGGAAAAGAGGCAGCAGTCATGGAAGGAGACTGCTTGCAAACGGGTCGAGATTTAGCAAGCCCCTTGTAATTACTCATAAACCGGAATGCGCCGGGTTGATTCTGGTTTGTATACTGTTGTTGGATGTGACTTGATTCCTCTTCTGATGCTGGAACTATCGGTCTATGGCCTTAATAGTGCGCAGTACTGGATTCAATTACTTGAAATGATCATGGTGGCTGGCATTGCTTATGCAATGGAGTCTGAGGTTTGAAATACAGAAGCTCTGAGTTATCCAATGCTTTCAACTATTCTGCTCCATTAAGTGACAAAGGGACTCTTGATCACAGCCAAGTGTCAGGACTTGGTGGTCGTTGGTGTAGCTATCTGAAGCAGATTAGCAGGTCCAAGACTACCTGAGCTGGCTTTAGAATGTAAGGTATATGTGAAGGTAGTTCGGTGAGAATAGACTGTCCACTGCACCTGGAAAGAACGAGGAAGTCATCAACCTTCCTTCAGACACTGCAGCTTTGATGAATTAGTGTAAGGGAAGAAAGTTGTGTAGAAGATGGTGGAAAGGCAGATGCTTATGAGATGCATACCCGAGACCACAAACAGAATGAGCAGGAGCTGCTTTGAACAGTATTCTGGAGTCTTTTTTACATTATCCCTTGAGAAAGTTAGCGGTACTTGAAACTAATAATCCCAGGAGATTATGGACATGCTGAAACGATGTTTGTCAAAGGAAAGAGATTGTTCGGCCAAGCAAGAACCGAAAAAGCACAAGCAGACGAATTTGATCAGCCACTTTCAGGCGCTTAAGTGACTACTGAGAGACCGCTCCTTTTCTCTCCATCAGAGTCGGAGCACCGATATAGATCGATACCCCAGAGTTGGTTAATCTTACCTAGCCACAGAGTCCATCGCGGATCTTTTTTCCCACGACAACAGCATACACATTGTTGCCATCGTATGTACACCAATGTGGGCGATGTTGAAAACCCGACCCTCATCTAGCTCGGACTTCTGTGTTAGCCCGACCAAGTTCTGAGATTGCATCACATGAGAGCCTGCCTGACCGTGCTGACGATGGTTGTCAAAGATTTTGAGCATTAATAGTGAAAGGGGCGACATTTAGCATTACGGTCTCTGAAACCGAGTAGAATCGTACCTAGCTCGTCATCACGCAGCCTTCAGAAACAGCCATGACGAGCGTTCCCATCCTTTTGCGCTGCAGTATCGGCTTTTGATGGTAACTAAGACCGAGTCACTGACAAAGACGATGATCCTGCTCATTGCTACCTCGGCGTTGCTAAACACGGTACTAATCAGTAGCCTCACCTAATCATTCTGCACTTTGTCGTTACTGAAACCTTTGAACGGAGTCAGGCTTATTTTCCAATAACTTAGTGTTACGCGTACTCTTGAGAGCCTGAGTATATGAAATGTTCTGCGCGGAGCCAGCGGTCAATAAGCTCTCAATTAGCACGTTGTGGTTCTGGTTATCTGGGCCGCAGGCTGTAAGATATCCCAAACATTTAGATTTTGACGAGGGTCAGGATATACCAGGTCAACTGCAAGTCATTTGCGTTTATTGTTAAGTTACCTCGCGTACTGCGCCTATTTCTTAAGTCTAACTCATCATATCATTCATTCATTAATTTCAAACCGGGTATCCAGCCACCTTTTTTTTTATCAGGAATCCCGTCACGAGATTCGCTCGCAGCACCTTAGAAAGTCAACAACCATGCACCAGCAAATGCAGCGAGGCCAATTTCAAGCGAAGGGGCAAGACCGTTGGCGACGCCAGGCTTGGCGGTGCCGGTGACGATGGTACCAGGGGTTGTCGATGTGGGCATGGTGTCGTTCTGGAGCAGGACGTAGATCTCGCCGGTCGAGTCGGATGTCATGAACAGGCGGTTCTGGGCGTCCCACGCCAGGCCGACGGGGCGGAAGCACTGGCCGGGGCACGCGCTTAGGTCCTTATTGAACATTATGCTCTTTAGGGCGTCGGTCGAGTCGCTGCGGGCGACGGGCTCGCCGTTGGAGAACTCGACGGCCGTCAGGGCGTAGCCGACGGGGTCGGGGCGGTTGACTGGGATCCCGGTTAGCTACCTGGAACGACGTCGAAAGAAGGGAAGAGAAGGCTACTTACAGCTGCCGCGGAACGACATAAAGGCTTGCGAGCCATCGTTGCTGAACTTGAGAAAGACTGGGGAGGTGTGCGACTGGAAGGTCAAACGCGGCGCGACGTATTCGATGTGACAGCGGGTGTCGTTCATGGTGCTGTTCTGCTCCATGGAGAACTGGTCGCCGACCTTGAGCGAGTGGTTGAGTGGGATGCTGGTGTCCCAGACGGCGAAACACCGCGGGTAGCCGAAGTTGCCCGGCTCGGTCTCGTCGGCAACGGCACCGAGAAGGTTCAGCTCATCGCCGGGATTGTTGTCGTGGATATCGACGCCATTGCGCGTCATGTCGTCGATGGAGTTATCCATGACCCAGACGTTGCCGGTGACGGGGTCCTCGGCGACGGCCACGGCGTTGCGGATGCCCCAGCCGAGGAGCTTGCCGTCTGTATTGAAGTCGAAAGGGTCGTTGCGGGACTTGCTTAGGTCGAAAGCCTTGACCTGGGCATGACCGGTGGACGCATCGAGGGCGTCAATGTCAAAGTTCTCGTCGACGCCGCGGGAGACGACCAGCCAGTCGCGGGAGGCCTTGGACATGACCAACGTGCGGGTAGTCTGGTCGTTATTGGCCATGTTATCAATGACCACGGCGGGCTCGGCGTTGACGGTGCCCGTCTCTGCGTCGTAGGCCCAGGCGAGGACCTGGTCCACCGAGGAGGCGTACAGAGTCTTGCCGTCCTCAGAGAGTGCCATGCCATGGGTCAGCTGGCGGTGTTGTCGTTAGCTATGCAGCCGGGATGCGATGCGCCGAGGGAGACTTCTTACACGGGTGTTGTTGACCAGGATTTTGCTCTCCATGACCGTGAGACAAGTTCCGCCATTGTCCTCGAACGTCACGCGGAAGACGCCGACGGCGGCGTCGAGCACGAGCAGCGCGCCCTTGCTATCGACGTGAATCGTGCGCGGCTTCTTGTAGCCCGTTGCCACGAGCTGTGCTTGCCAGCCCGGGGCGACCTGAGGGGCGTTATAGCTGGGTGTGAGGACGTTGGCACATTCCTGTGCGAGAACCGCCGTGGCGGCTGCTCCCGCAAGAGCGAGGTTTCTGAACCCCTTCATATCGAGACCAATTGGGCTGAATACTTGAACGGATGACGACGACGACGACCCCGCTTCCACCTTGGGGGCTGCGTTTCCTATTATGTAGCCGCCGGATAGGACAGAGCAGCAGTTTCAAAGCTCAGTGACAAGGTGAAGTAGAGGGTCGTGGCAAGCTTCGAAGCGGACAGGAAGCCTCCCAGCGGGACGGGTAGCGAAGCATCGGTCGGCCTTTAGAGCAGCTGTGTCAACCCCACTTGGACATGAGAGAGACATGCTCCTACGTGGACACGGCCTTGTGTCCCCTCTCGCGTGTGGCGACTGGTCGAGATGGAGGCGAGGGGGCAATCCTCTGTCCCTCTTTGGGATTCTGGAGCTTCTCTAGCGCAGGCGGGGGAGGGCGGGTAAGACGATGGAGGGGCAGGATGGGCCCATGGGCCGACGAAAGATAGTGGGCTTTATCGGTCGTAGGTCGCCAGACAGGTGTGCGGGAGAGAGAGACTGTGTGAAATGGCTGCATTAATGGGACTGCTTGAATGGGCAGACGGCACCGTATCTGCCCATATTGAATCCCCTTGCGTCGGAACCGATGCACTCGCATTGCTTTTCCCGTCAGCTGTGTTTGAGAGACTGGCTGGCCATCACCCGACTCCAAGAAGGCAAACAACGAGGACATCGTGAGCCGTAAACCCAGGTCAGGGTACTGGAACCGGCTTGGATGATGGAGGGGAGCTCGCTGTCGGGGACTATTGCGGGCTCCGGAGAGCCTAGCGCCATGGGAGACTTCGCCAGAAGCAAAGCAAAGACGTCGAGCTTCATCTGACTGCAGTCGCGGATCAATACTATTGTGCTTGGTGCATCCAGGCGCAGCGGGACTGCCCAGAACCGGACGTAGCGGCATATTACCTGGGCGGTGACCCGTCGGAGCCGGTGGTTGATGTGGGGGAATAAACATGCAAGATAACCTTAGCTGCAGCGACCGCCGGTGGACACAGAAGGGTTATCCATCTTCCAATGATGGCGAGACGAGGCAGGACGATGGTTGGGAGGGGGGGCCTGTCCCCCTTGGGTCCGTCCAGATGGAATGGATCGATCACATGGATCGCCGTGTGGCGACGAACTGGGTGCCCAAGCCGCTTATTGAATGCCAAGTCAGGCTTGAGCTCGGCAAGGCAAACCATTCCATACCAAATTACTCCGTACAGTGTACCGGTATAAAGTTCGTCAAGGTTTCATGATCATGCCACGGCGAGAGGGTTCTTGGAAAACACCCATGGCTGTTTAAACAATGGGTTTCAAGGCCCTTGGCAGACAGACCTACCCAGTAGGTTCTCCGTGTTCGCCAAGAGACGAGTCGAGTTCAGCCGCAGCGTCTTGAGCCAGTTGCCAAGCTCCTGATGCCGGGAAACAGTTCTGCAGGACGTTACTAAGAACCAAGTTGTATCAATTTCGTGGTCTCGAGCGATGAGCCAGCAATGCGCGGTGTTTATGAGTGTGCCGAGTCGAGAGGTACAGCTGCAACATCGGCAAGTCAGCTCAGGGAGTATCAGTGGCTCCGCGACCGCTAATCGGTCATGCATGCGCCTGTGTCTGTCTGGGCCTGGCTCTGGTTGCATTGAGTGATGAGGGATTTGCTGGACATTTGGTTAGGTACTCGGCGACTCAGTATAGCTTTTAGTATTACTTGTCGATGGGAGGCAGTCAGTCGGAGGGGGAGGGACAGAAAAGACGTACGCATCGTATCAACGACTCTTGTTGTTTTTCTTCGCCTCTTTGCCTTTATTGACATAACCGGCCGCGCCAGGCCAACGGAAATCTTCGGCCGGGGCTTCACGCCATCACTGCACGGGGCGATACGTATGGTTTCTGCCAAGAAGAACAGAATTCCGTTGGCATCGTCCTAGCAGACTATTCATAGAAGGGGGCGAACTCGTTATCGGAAGCCAAGGTCTCGGCGGGAGGGGGGTCCTTTACCAAACCCCCTCTCCGTCCGACCTATCCTTCGCGGCCGCAACCGTCCCATCACTACGGACCATTGTTTCCTTTGTAGAGCGGACATGACCAGACCAGTCTGGTGTTACACTAGTTACGCTACAGCAATCCAGACACCAATACGGTACGTACGTGGAAATGCCGTACGCACACGGCGCAGTGAACCGAATCGAGAGAAGCCGACCTTCTACGCTCCCCAACAGCGACTAGAATGGAGTCGGACCACCGCAACCACGATCTCTCTCAAGTGAGTGACCAGGTACGACTTCGCAGGGGGCTCACAATTGGTGCTGCTGACTTGCTCGATGAACCCAAGGCCTTGGCCCCCCTTATCACCATGTTCCCTGTCATCCACCACCCACCATTCGTATCGCTCCAACTCACCTTTGGCAAATAGGGACCCCATTCCTTGGCTCGTACAGCCTTCGCTTCAAAAAGGTTCAGTCCAGTGTCAGGGCCAGGAGGGCGCACCACCATACATAGCACGCCAAGAGTGCTGTGCGCGTGCGAGAGTAGCCAGCGACGTATGTACATACCTATATTTTCATCTGCGTTTGTCTGCTGCAATGCCTGGGCCAAATCTCCCGGCCGCACGGATAAGCAAGCCCCTCCCTTACGATTCTTTCGGTGCTGCACTGTACATAGTTACTATGTATGGACGTGTCAATAGCCTATCTGTCAGACGTCAAAATCAGGGTCCATCTCCTACTGTTACATTCTCTTCCCACATGAAGAACATGCCCGGCCGGATGGGACGAGCTTCGTGTCAAGACCAAACGAACCGACTGTGTTTCCAACAATCAATCCTAAGAGAGAGAGAGAGAGAGAGAGGATGGCAGGGTCAAACAAGGGAGGGAGTCAAGAGGTCCGCGTGCACCCGGACTATCCAAGGCCTACCTACAAATTCATACCGTACATACGGAGTACATACATAGTAACCGGTGTTCGTGTGCCGTGAGACACGCGCCCAGCACGCCAATGCCGCATCAACAGTGGCGCTCTGGGTTTCCTTGGTGTGAGCTGGCAAAAAGTCTGGAGCCCTGCCGAGACACGAATGTTGCCAATCGCTCTCCGACGCGAACTCGTCCCACGCTTCCAGCTTTCCCACTCTACGGATACTCCTGCAAAGTTTCGTGCGTGTGTGTGAGTCCTCATCTTGGCTCATGCCCTCACCCTATTACTTACTTCCTTGGCGTTCTCCGCCCATCATCAACTGCTTGCCACGCTCCCGTGCCATGCCCGCGATTGTCTCTTGCCAAGCATGCTCCCTCACGCCCAGCATTCTCCTCATTGGTGCCGACGAGAGCGCCGCGCCTCGCCAAAGGCGCTGGAGAGCGGGACATGCGGAGCACAAGAAGACAGGCCGTTCCACTCGTTTTCCTCCCTTTCCCTTTTCCCACTGGCCTGGCCTCGAGTTCATCCTTCTCTGTCCGTCTTCCGTTTCCCTCCAAGTCTCTCTCTCAAGGCTTTGAAGCTTCTTTGCCAGCCACCCGACAGCTAAGCTGCTGCTGCTGCTGCTGCTGCTGCTGTTGTTGCTGCCAACGCCGCCTAGGTCACCATCATCACCAAAAGACTTGTATTTTCATCTTGCGCCGCGCCTTGCTCGCAACGACGTTGAAGACCGGGAATTCTGGACTGGGACGGATATCCTCTCAACTTTCTTCGTCTTGCTCGTTTGTTGCTATCCATGCCCTTCCAACTCATGCTTGTATGACGCGTCGCGAGACCACACCAGCCGGCACACCCGATTTTCTGGGTCTCTTTTCTTCTCCTGCCTCGTCTTCCCTTGCCTCGGTGCTGCACATTGGTACTTGAGATCTAGCAAGGTACGGGACGCCGAGCTTGTAGGCCTTGAGTAAGAGTGGTCCACCATCAGGTCATCTTTTTCTCACTTAACCCCGGCCCTTGTCGAATCGTCTTTTGAAGACCTGGTTTTTATTTTTATTTTTATCGTTTTGCTCCCCGAGCTTCTATAGAGGCCCCCCCCTTTTTTCTTTTTGGATATTCCTCTCACCCCATCGAGACCATCGAGAGAGGACTAATACAACGACGGGTTGTTTTGGAAAAGGGGAAAAAAGACCATTCCCATGTCTTGTTACCGGCAACGTCTATGCCCCTCCGACACATGAAGCATCACCAATCGCAAGACACAGAGGACAATGTTCGGAACTATTCAGCGGACATGGTTGTCTACCTTGGCGGCGACAAGCCTCTTCCTTGCATCGATAACATCCGCCGATGTCCAGCCCCGGCAAGGTGACATACCCGTCAACGACTGGATCACCATCGACTCCAGCGGCCGCGCCCGAACCATCACGCCCTCCGTCGTTACCAGCAACGGTGCACTCACAACCATCAGCCCGCCGCCGTACTCGTTGACCGGGTCGGTCTACACCGTCACCGCGACCGGCGGCGGACTTACGACTAGCACCGGCGCGCCACCGCCGCCGAAGGCCAGCAACGCGCGTGGTTACGGTGGTGCTTTCCCGGTCTGCAACAACAGAGTGGGCAATGACTCGCCGTTCTGTTTCCCGCGACGGGGTAACACTCTGCACGTGGAGTCGACGTACTACAGTAAGCTTAAATCTCTCCCGCCTGGTGTCTGAGTTGCGCGACCATGTTGGGCCTGTTTATATCATATACGTCGTATCCAAACAAACTCTGACTCCAAAAAAGTTACTTGGGACACCACCTTTTTCGCAGACCCCGCCACGCCCATTGTTATTATCGGCTTCGACGTTGACAACGGCGTCACCGACAGCGCACCCGCCTTCTCTGTGACGAACCTCAACGGCGGCGATGGCTGGCTTCCCTGGACCCCGCGCGTCAAAGACCTCGAGGGGCGGAAATCCAACAACATGACCATCTTCCTCGTCTACAGCGACCCCTTGACAGGCAGGGAGATGAACAAAACCGGGCCCGTCTTCACGCTACAAGCTGCACTTGGTACCGAAGCATTCAGCACGAGGCCCGACCTCCTCCCCATTCTCCTCCCCGTCATCTTGATCTCCCTCGCCATCGCCACCGTCATGCTGTGGCTCTACATCAGACGTCACAGGCGCCACGCCGCCGCCGCTGCCGCCGCAGAACATCGCAATGCCACCTACGTCCCGGGCCATACCCGCGGCATGTATGGGCAAAAGGGTAGCGCGGATATCATGCTAGGGCCGACAAGCCCGCCGCTAGGCGAGCCTCCAGGGAGGAATGTTTTTCAGGACGAGCTCCGTAGACAGGAACGCGAGAGGAAATGATGGCGGTTGACAGCGAAGAAAAAGGGCTTTTGGGTAATGCAAACACGTGCCCGGCGACGATGAGACACCGCGATCGGGCACGAGGGCGATCCGCTTGGTAACGACCTTCCGGCGATGATTGGTCCCATTAATGAAGGAACGGACTATACGACTACATATGATGAATCAATACGGATGAAATACGTCCAAAACTCCCAACTACCCATCCGCATCGTCACTTGGTGCGCTTAACGGCCCGATGCTGAGGTGGCCAATACCCCCCAGAGCCGCCCCGGGAAGCCAATCATGAACCGTCTTTGGGAGACTTGGGGCTTAGTCGGCTCGGCCGTAGCCCGTCATCTTCCATCTACCGGCACCAACTGGTCCGTTGGCTGAGATAGCATAGACGTTACAAGCACCACCGTCAACATCCATACTGACCGTTCCGCGTACTGCCTTGCTCACCCTGTGGAATCATCAATCCAGTCAGCGGCAGTCGCGCAAGAAGACGACATCGTGTTCCACCGTGTCACGGGTGGCCGTGGAGCGCCCTTCACCTTATGGGGACGTTGGCTTTCTTAATGGAGTTTCTGGACACAATGGCCTCGGAGTTCGCGCAAGTGCGGTCGCTTGGAGTGGATATTAAGCTTAATGTCCAAGTCTTTTACAATGGTGGGGTGAATTGCCGTTACGTGAAACCTTGTAAGAGCTACCTATAATGCGAGGAGTTATTTCTAGGATATATTGCAAGGCCTGGGTCCTTGACAGCGGATCAACGTTCAAGTTCCAACCAATCTCTTCTTTCCTTTTTTTGACACACTCAGAGCTTCGCGGATACTCTTCCGGACTGCTCCCGCGAACACAAGCCATCAATCTTCCTGACCAACTCTCGCCTGAGAATCTTACCAGTTGCGTTCCTTGGGATCTTGTCGACGGCCCAGACACCACCTCTGAGCTTCTTGTAACCGCTGACCTGCTCATTCACAGCTCGTTGGATGTCTCTCAGCTTGGCAATGACTTCTCCCTTGGCCGTCCTCCCATCATCCTTCAACACAACCCATGCGGCAGGCACCTCCGTCAGTTGGCTCTCATCCCATAGTGGCCCAACACCCGCCTCATGGACGTGGGGGTGTGAATTGACCATCTTCTCCAACTCCATGGGACTGACCTGGAAGCCTTGATACTTGATTAACTCCTTTGTCCGGCCAATAACCCACACGCGACCATGTTCGTCTATACGACAAACATCTCCAGTATTATACCAGCCTTCCACGGGGAACGCAGCTCGCTTCGCGCCTGGGTCGAAGGCGTATCCGGGTGTGATGTTGGGCCCGCGCAGCCACAGCTCTCCTGGACCGCCGGGTGGTGCATCATCCGTCGTTCCCTCTCTCTTCAGAGCGGCTTCGATGCCGGGCAACAGCTTACCGGTACAGCCATCCGGTACATCCTCGTTATGCTCTTGATAAGCCACGTAACCCGAGGCCTCCGTCATGCCGTATGCCTGCAGAAGTCTCCACGGAGCCCGGCCCAGCAACCTTGAGAGCTGTTCTGGCTTCAGTGGCGTCCCGCCGGCGATGATAGTTTGCGCCTTGGAGAAATCGTAGCGCTCCGTGATATCGGAGTCGGCGAGGGCCAGCATCACGCTGGGAACGCCTTGGAACACAGTAGCTCGCGTGGACTCGACGAGTCGTCCAAGTTCTTCGATGTTGTACTGCGGCATGGCATGATGAAACATCCCCGTGTACGGTCCGAGGAAGACGGGCGCCGTCGTCATGGCGATGTGAGCCCACGGCGTGAAGGCGACCGTTCGCGATGACGGGTTGAACATTCGGCGACCGCCATCCAGGGCAACGAGCTGCATGACGTTGGAAACGAAGTTGAAATGCGTGAGCTCAGCCCCCTTTGATTTTCCTGTTGTTCCGGAAGAGAGATGAATTGATGCGAGGCGCACAGAAGTATCGGGCCAGTGAGGAATGGGCAGCCTAGTCGAAGCCATAAAGTCATCAGGGATATGCTTCGCACCTCGACATGGCTCCACGATCGACATCATCAGTGGTCGCTTCCAGATTATATCCTGTGCGCCGAGGTCCTCCGTAGCCACGTCCACGGCCTCTTGCACAGCGGCCATCGTCGGGCCGTACGCCACCACAAAGTGCGGTCTCGAGACAGCGAGCCCATGGCCAATCTCCGAGACTTTGAGTGCATGGTTTATGGGGCACACGACTCCTCCTGTCCATAATATCGCGTGGAACAATTCAAGAAACTCCACGCTGTTTGGCAGCGCGATAACCCAACGAGCCTGATCCGGGGGGGCCAGTACGTCCTTCAGCCCCTTTGCAATTCTCCCTGCGCGATCCCTGAGCTCGCCGAGGCTAATTTTCCGGTTCGTAAGACTATCCGCCGCGATGACTTGGGACTCTGGCAATGGGGCCACACTAGTGTGGAGCAGCTCGGTGAGGTTCAAATCTCGAGGTATATCAATGGGCCGTGATGTGTATATTTTCATGGTTGCGACAGCCGGCGGGTGTACTGCGTTCCCGATTTCGGATCCTCGACTCAAAGCATGGCCGACTTGGTCGTCTTTTGGTTATCGCGGGATGCTCAAAATGAAAGGGAACACGACGGTTGCATGGCGGTATGGCCATTGCTGGCCACGCTTGATATGGATCGACTCGGAGACGAGTCGGCTTTGCTCACATCAATCGTGTAACAAGGGTGTGGCAGCTTATTGGACATATACATCGCATGGCAGCCATCGTCCGTAGAGGGTGGTACGACATCTGCATGACAGGTGGCAGTGTGGCCGAGTGACGGAAGCCTTACATTGCCACCGTGGGTAGCCGGAAGGGCGAGCGCATGCATTTCTCATGAGATCGAGGACACGTTTGTTTTCTTATCGCCCTCTGGGCGGTTTCGTCGCCGTCGTCGTCGTGGATCACGTTTCCCACGATCATCCTTGCATCTAGTGTGTGATGAGGCAGCAGTGTCAGGTCAGTACGGTTTTGGCTTCGACTCGAGAACCGGAATTTCGTCGGTACAGAGTAGGATATTGAGTTGGCATTGCTTTTTCTGGTAACAAAGGGAATATATTGATACTACTCAGCTGGGCATTGCCCAATGAAGTTCACAATACCTTTGTGTCTGTGCCTCCAAAAGTCAAAGCGGCTCTCTAGCCGGTAATTCCTCATGGACGACGGATAGACGGCCCCGGCGGCGGCGCTCTTGTACCGGCTCCGCGGTAATTACAACCTCACCCCCCCCCCCTCCCACGCGGACGAGGCCTTGAGCCAGCGTGCCGGCTTCAAGGGATCTATTCCCCAGCAGCTCGGCACCTGGATCATAGTCGCACATGGTCTGCTGCAGACGCTGGGCGGCAGCAATCCCCGCCGCTTCAAGGCGTACGGCGCCAGATTCAAGAATGTCGTCTACCCCGGTGACACCCTTGAGACGCGCATGTGGGTTGGCCAGAGCACGGAAGGGGCACGGCATTGAAATGCTGTGGCTCTGTGATTGATCGTTAGCATGCATCCATCCAGATCGAATGGCCATGCCAAGATGCTGCAAGCAAAAGCAGGCCTTCCACGGCTGCTTGCCAGAATAATGCGACATCTAACAAAACCAAGATATGTTTAGCAGATTAGCTAAAAAAATCCATTCCTTAACACTGTTTAAGAGGTACTATAACGGCCTGTCCCCAACAGCTCTGTATCCGTACGACAGCCAAAATTGTTTCACCAGCCTGACGAATATAGATGATAAAGCAGCCATCATATTGGCAAAAGTGTGAATGCGCCGAGGGGGAATCGAACCCCCGGCTCCCCGACGCTGCTGGATGGCAACGGAGAATTTTACCACTAAACCATCGGCGCGGTGTTGCTATTGTCAAAATGTTTTGATGTGAGACTTATATCCCGATGCATGTGCTTATTTTCATAATCCCCTTTTGATCGCTGAGAAGCGATATGTTAACGTCCGTCTTCAGATGTGACGCGAAGTATTGCGAGTTTTTCTCTTCATGATATACTGCAGGATCTCTAGTCGCGTTCTTGCTTCTCAGCATCGCCTCCGGCATATCCTTCACCGAGCCCCAGCTGTGCGCCTCCTCAACCGACATCGCTCACCACATTAGAACGTTACCCAGCCCATCGTTCGGTGGTTGCCGATCAGCATCCGGCATCGAGGCAACGCGCCGGCGAGAGCGGGATACTGGTTTTCTACCCGTCAAGGAACTGAGTTTCTGGTACTGGGAGCGGCCATTCCTGTAGATGAATGTGGCTGTTGTTAGTTGCTTGGATCGTCTATTAGATCCTACGAATCCCGCACAGCTTTGGGTATCATCCATACATGGTGTAGGGGCGGTAGCATTTCCACCAATCACTCTTACCAGGTTGACTAACGAACATTTCTAACTGGGTTGGGTTTATGCCTAATGCACGCCGTCATTGGGTATCCTGGCCAATGCGCAGTGACGGGTTTCGAACGAGCATGAACACTTCCGCTCAGTGATTTCCATGCCCACTTGAACACGCCATGCGGAATTGTATTTCCAGAGAGGCTGCGGGGGCACGGAACTCACGTTTGCCGTGCTTCACATTCCCCCACCACTGCAACTCTGGAAACGTGTCGAGGGAAATATGATTGGACAAGCGCATCAAAGTAAGAATCATTGGCCTGAAAAAGAAGAAGAAAAACATACAGCCGTCACCGTCAAGCGCAGGGCCAGTATGCGTGCCATGCGGACGTGAGCCTTACACTTACATACGCTCTCCCTACGAACTGCAAACAGTGTAATACCGTGACTTACCGCACAAATCTGCAAGATCTTTACACCAAACCTTGTTGGGTCACGTTTCCGGACACCCCAGCAATTCCGTTATTCATGATGACATCCTCGCCAAAGCAGACGTCACCACCGGCGACACCGGAGTTTCTCAAGCTCTCCTATCCGGCACCGCGTGTTCTTCTTGTGAGAATGGACCGACCAAGGGACCTCAACGTCATGTCCACAGCAGCACAGTGGGAGATGAACTCAGTATGGAAGTGGTTCGACCAAGAGCCCAATCTTAGCGTTGCAGTCATCACCGGGACAGGACGGGCGTTCTCGGCCGGGGCAGATCTGAAGGAGTGGAGCGCCAGCATGGCAGCCAACGCCGACCCGAGTAAACGCATGGGCAACGCTCCCGCCTTCACGCCCTTGAGCCGGCGACTGGGCAAGAAGCCCGTCATCGCGGCCGTCAATGGCCTCGCGATGGGCGGTGGGTGCGAGTTTGTTGTCAATTGCGATATTGTCGTAGCCGCAGAGGATGCATATTTCGGACTTCCGGAGGTCAAGAGAGGCATTGCGGCCATCGGCGGCGCTCTGCCGCGGCTTATACGGACAATCGGCCTCCAAAGAGCAAGTGAGTTTGCACTAACGGGACGCAATGTTTCGGCACAAGAGATGGCAGAATGGGGGGTCGTGAACAAGGTGGTGCCCAAGGAGAATGTTCTTGATGAGGCGGTGCGTTATGCGAAAATGATTGCGGCCAATTCCCCAGACGCCATCATCTGCACCAGAGCAGGGTTGAGACAGGGCTGGGAGACGGCATCGGTAGAGAAGGCGACCGAATGGACTTTGGAAAACGAGTTTGCGGAGCTGCAGAAGGGCGAGAATATCATCGAGGGTCTCAAGGCGTTTTCCGAGAAGCGAGAACCCAATTGGAAGGGCAGTCGACTGTAACAATATAATTCCAAAAAACAAGCCCACCAGCATAAAGGTTATCAGACCCTATATTGGCAACCCGACTAACCACTTCTATGTATATTTTCATGCTCTGCTCAACCCACACGCAGCACTTCGTGGCGAGCAAGCTGATAGTGTAGACTTGGCGGACTGCCAGCCTTGGCGAGTCAATCGACGAAGCTCCTGTGAGTTGGCATGACATATGAATGCTTCTATTGCTGCTCCGAGTACATGAAGTGGTGTATATTGAGCAGTAGCCGTTTCCAGATGAGACGGCTTCCCGGACCAGCTCGGGATATGGTTTCAAAGCCCGGGGAACTCTTTACCACACCATCGTTCCCAAGTCTCAACCAATCCCATGATTTGACACTGAGCTCTCAGCTCTGCCACCCCTGCAAAACATGTGCCACCAGCAGACACCTACCTCAACTCGTCCAGTGTTCTTCCCTGCCGGGTCGCGCAAAACAGCGCAGAGAGAGGCCTTCGTCGCCTAAACCGATTCCATGAATGAGTTTCGGAGAGGTTCGAGCTCTCCGGGGAAGACCTTGCTTGCGCACACAAGCTACTATGTACTATTAATCAGGAATGACTAGGGAGGGAGTGGCGGCGGGCCGAACACAGGCTCTGTGCCCTCCAGTTCATCTCAACACAGCTTGTCATCTATCATTTTCTGTTGCTGCTTATACATTCCTCCATGTTCGTCCTTTTTTTCTTTTTCCTTTTTGCAGATCGACACCTTAACTCAAGGGTGTACAAGACTCGAGCACGGCCTCGTTCAAGGGAGCAGATCTCTTCATGGCGGTTCGACAAACTCGATCCTCTTCATCGAACACCTGACAACAATTCCGTGTGAGCTGGCTCCCGCATATCAGTCCCCTGACTATTCGTCATGGACACCACGAAGTCTGAGTCCTACCACGAGCACGATGGGACGTCGATGAATAGGTATCGCGATCTCGACCTGTCGATCGACCGAGATGACGCCTCCTCGATATGTTCGGATGCGCTGGGAGACGATCTGCCTCCTGGATACTACTTCTCTCCCCAGTTCTTAGGTGCCATGGCGGTCAGTTGAATTTTATGTGATTTCCTCATCCAGTGACTTATACCATGACAGGGGTTTTGCCTCTCGGCGATATCAGCCTACATCTTTCTGATACTGCCAACCAACGTACTGACGTTTATCAATGCCGATATTGGTATGAGAATTCGCAATGCTTACCTCTCATTCCTAGAAGCTAATTTCGGCTATTAGGCCCGAGCCCGTATATATCCTGGGTAAACATCGCGAGAACGCTGTCGTTGTCATTTACGTATACGATCCTCGGCCGCTTGTCAGACCTTTTCGGCAGACGCTGGTTCTTCATTGGCGGTAACATTGTCGCCATGCTCGGTATCGTTATTTGTGCTGTCGCAAAGAATGTCGAAACTCTCATTGTTGGCGCCGCCGTGTATGGCCTGGGTGAGACGGTTCAGCTCAGCTTTAACGTTGCTATCGGAGAATTAGTTCCCAATAAGCATCGTCCCAACGTGCTGTCTCTGATATTTCTGACCAACGCCCCTATTCCGACCTTTGGTCCTTTCATCGGTAAGCATCTGCTACACGACAAAAGCGCCATTCTTTGCTAATACCGACCAGCACGGAAGTTTGTCGAAAACCCCAACTTGAGCTGGAGATGGTGCTTTTACATCAACATCATCGTTGTTGGTCTCGCCATCGTTCTACTCTATTTGTTTTATCATCCACCCACTTTCGATCTGCTCCATGACCGCAAGACCAAACGTGAATTACTCAAGGAACTTGACTGTGAGTCAACTCCCCACCAACTTACCTGTTATAATGCTGATATGGGGAAAGATGTTGGGATCTTCCTTTGGACGGTAGGTCTTACCCTCCTTTTGTTGGGTGTTTCTTGGGGAGGAGTGATGTTCCCCTGGGACTCGGCGGCCACCATCTCGACTTTGGTTATCGGCACTGCCCTCCTCGCGGCACTTTTCTGCTGGGAAGCGTTCGCGGACCTCAAATATCCTGCTATTCCGGTCAAGTTCTTCGCCAACCGGGGCTTTATGTCGCTGGTCTGCTGCGCGACAGTTGCAACCGTAGGTAGACGCGGTATCGGTCTTTGTCCGCTTTTGCTAAACATGCGACAGATGTTTTACTACTCCGCTGTCCTTCTCTGGCCGCAGCAGGTTCAGGCGCTCTACACAACGGACATTACATACGCTGGCTGGCTTTCGGTAAGCGGATCTTCCAATGATGCACATACCTGTTCATCAACTTACCCTTTTGCAGACGACTGTGGGCAGTGCGACAGCACTAGGCCAGATCTGCGCAGGAGTAATCATCAGATGGGGAGGAAATGCCCGATATTGGATAGTATTCTCGACATTTGCAATGGTTGGCTTCGTTGGCGCTCTCGCGTCCTTGACCCCCGAAACGCTAAATGCCGGAATCGCCTTGACAATACTGGGGCCTTTCTTCGTCGGCTTTATTGAACTGACATCTCTCGCTCTGGCTCCGCTATTCTGCAAGCCATCAGACATCGGGCTCGCGTCGGGTCTTTTGGCGTCGATCCGCTCTGCTGGGGGGTCTATCGCCGTTGCTGTGTATACCACTATCCTGTCCAACCGCCTCGCTACCGAGATTCCCGCGGCCATAAGCGGCCCGGCTGTCGCCGCGGGACTGCCCGAGAGTCAACTCCCAGGCCTTATCAAAGCGGCAGTGGCAGGAAAGCTGGCAGCTTTCCCCGGCTTGACCAGCGCTGTGAAGGCTGCCGTCACGAAAGTATTGCCCGATGCGTACACAAAGGCTTTTGAGACTGTATATCTAGCAAGTCTAGGGTTCGGGGCTATTGCCATAGTTGGGTGCTTGTTCGCCAAAGACGCGCAAGAGCATTTAACGGACAGAGTTGTACGACGGATGGGGAATGGAAAGAGATCATGATGACTTTTTGTTCGTTGGGCCACAGTGGTTCAGAGGAAAGGTTGAAACTATGTACTAATTAATAGATCGCATCCGAGCCTATTTCTGAGAAACTATGCTTGCTTCAATAACTGTCAGACGTTGAGATGTATCAGACCACAAGATGAAGGCTCGCGAGAGGTTGAGTTTCTGGAGCCTCAGAGATGCCAATTTGACATTTCGACAAGATGGTTGTCGGAGCAAAAGTTCTGAAAAGTTTGTTGAAGGTCTCGCATCGACGGCATGACCACGTCGTCAAAGTGGGGGGAGACATCAAAACCGCTTCTTCGACGATAACCCGGAGCTAGAATGGGTATGGATATCGATATGCTGGACTAGTTGTGGCTTATTCCAGTGTGATGAATAGATCGGAGCCCACGGTCATGAGCAATATACCGATCTGGCTTGAACGTGATCGGCACTACCCATGACGATGTGGCTCAGATTCGGGTACAAATCATGATCCTTTCTCGAAGTCTATTGTTGAAATGTCAGTTAAGAAACCAGCCGAAGTCGGTTGGGCGATGCCAAAAAATGTCCCTATTCGTCTTGTGGGATCTGTTTCGGCATGTGGGAGTGTTCCCAGAGGAAAGGAGGCTTAAACGACGGCGACTCCGCCTTGAATAAAAGAGCTTGCGCGTAATACCACATCCGAAAGCTTGGCTTGGCTCGCCCACTACATTGTGCTTTTCGGGGTGCTGGAAGGCAAGGATAATGTAAAGTAAAGTATATGGAGGTAGTATCCGCGAGGGGGTTGGTTTGTTATTCTTGGGTCATGGCTGGTTGTAGGCTAAGAAGAACCGGTTAAGATCCTGATAAGGTATTTGGATCTATAAGGGTTTTACAATGATCTCTGTGCCAATGAAACTAGAGTATGCCCCAGATTGGGCCAGTTTGTTGTCGTCCTCGATGTCGTCCTAATCCCGACTTAATACTATGTACTACCCATGTTGGTGAGAGCACCGAGTTCCCACGGTCATCTCTACAAAGGGGAATGCTGGTGTCAAATATATTCAGAGCCAGGCTTGTCTATTCTGCTTTAAGAACTCTGCCTCTTTTGAAGTCCAGGAAATTAGAAGCCTACTGGTTCCATCGCCCACACATCCCCAGTGAACGAGGCTTGGGAAGATCGATGGTGGGTTTGTATCCACACTGCAAGCTGAGCAACGAACTTGCGTCAACGTGGTGACGCGGCTCGTGGAGGGATTCGTATGTGATTAGAGTTCAAGTAGGGCCCCATTGATTATAACAACTCCAGATCGAAGCCGGCAAGAATAGGATAGATGCTCATTATCAGATCACACTCACTCTTCAATAACACGACTCCCGCTTCCTAGAGCCCTTCACTTAAGCCACTGCCCTTCTTTCATAATTCAGGAGACCACCGTTAGGATGCGTTTCTCCTCCGTCGCCACCGCCCTTGCCCTTCTCTCCAAAGCTGTTGCCCACCCCGGTCACGACCTCGCCGAGGAAATTGCTGAGCGCCGCGCTTTCTTGAGCACTGTCAAGCCTTCCAACCTCGGCCACTGCGCCAACAAGCTCACAGCCCGTGGCTTCACGGCTCGCAATATCGCTCGCCGCACCTTCCAGGTCAAGCAGGCTCGCCAGAAGCGTAACATCAAGAAGCGTGACTCCGCCGGCGTTCTTCCTACAAGCCACAACGCGACAAACCTCGGCTACACCCTCAACACCAAGGCTGCCACCCTGTTCTCCGGCAGCAAGTCCTGCATCTTAACCCCCGAGGTGACTCAGGGCCCTTACTGTAAGTAAAACCCAGGTAGCGTCTTGGCAGACAACCCTCCGTGATCTCATGTGCTGACTGGCACCCCTATCACAGACGTCTCTGGCGAGTACGTACGCCGCAACCTCATCGACGACCAAGAGGGCATAGATATCACCCTAGACTACCAAGTCGTTGACGTCGAGACCTGCGAGCCTGTGCCGAAGGTCTATCTCGAGATGTGGCACTGCAACGCCACCGGCGTCTACAGCGGCATCGTCGTCTCGGGTAACGGTGACTCCTCCGACGAGAGCAACATCGACAACACGTTTCTCCGTGGCATCCAGCTCACCGACGATGACGGTGTCGTCCAGTTCGAGTCCATCTTCCCTGGCCATTACACCTCCCGCACCACCCACATCCACTTGCTCGTCCACACTAACGCCACAATCTCCGCCAACAACACCCTCGGCAGCGTGAACACTGCTAGCCACGTCGGTCAGGCCTTCTTCGACGAGGAACTCATCTCTGCTGTCGAAGGATTTGCCCCTTACAACACCAACACCCAGCAGCTCACCACCAACGCCAATGGTGGCATCTTCGGCGAGGAGACTGCCACCAACGGAGTTGATCCGCTGATGGAGTATACCCTGCTCGGCGACAGCATCACCGACGGTCTCTTTGCTTGGATGGCGTTTGGTATCAACACCACGCTGTTCAGCAGCGTCACCCCCGCCGCTTTCTACTATGCCGGGGGCGGTGTTGTCAACTCCAACTCTGGCGGCGGCGGTGGCAGCGGCGCTCCCCCCAACGGCCCCGCTACCGGTGCCGCCTCCTCTCGAGTCGCCGACACCAGTGCTGCCCCCACAGTCGATGCCTCTTGTTGATAGAAAAGATGCTCTTCTGCAACAGTCTCATCGACGGAATTGTCAGCCTGCATAAACCTCGCATTGTGTCTGTATTCTATAAACATTCACTACGCATAGCTATTCTGAAGATGGATGGCGTATAGAGACGGCTTTGTTACACAGCTACCGCTCATCTCATAAACCAAACCAACTTTCTTTCCGTCAATCAACCTTCCCTGGCGGGAGGAGAGTAGGCTTATACTGGTGAAATGTCATGTGACTAACATAGAGTCATCCTTGTACGCTGGCAAATCATTCTCAGCAATGTAATAGTTTTCCTTCACTGAGCATATGTTAAAAGGTCATTCGCTAACTTGGCGGAACGATCTACCACTGATGCCAACCCTAGTTATTTTGAACACTGGCTGGACTTCAACATTAAAGACTACTAACATAATCTACAGGTGATCCTGACTACTTTGCCCTAGACGACATATCCTCAGCATGTCGCTGAGCACTTATGCAGTGGGAGTTGGCAAGCATGAGCAGGCGGAGCTCACCCTAGAGATGACGTTGGTTGGGCAAGCCTCTGCGGCATACTGGGGAACAACCGCAATATCCGCGATGAAGGTCTTTGTGAACTCCCCGCAGAACGCCTGGCTCTCCTCTAGCCGGCCGGGAACGTTGGAGGCCCTCAGGGCGCGCAGGCAGTTGTCGGCGCTGCAGCTCTTGGGCTTGCACTCCTCCCTCTTGGTCATCTTGACCAGGTAGCCACCGCGCTCAATCGTGTTGACAAAGATGAAGCCCGACTTGAAATAGGCATACGAGGACCACGTGCCGGAGAACTGTATCGCACCACCCCCGGGTAGGGAGTCGTCCTCGGGGTAGATGTCAAAGTATGCAATTTCGCAAACTGAGTTACCAGTGGGGTCTTCGGGCACTGAAGAGATGTCCCACACACGGACGCCGGCGCCGTAGTTCGACTGGAAGAGCAAGTCCCCGACGACATATTGGTTGTGGTCGATGCCCTTGACGGTGCCCTTGAAGATGCCGGTCTGGCGAGGGGCCTCCAGGGATCGGATATCCCAGATGTAAGTCACCGGGTATCCGTCAGCAGCAGGGCCCGCCAAGTCATCCTCGTCGTACTCGTCATCCATGAAGAGCCATTCTACCAAAATGTCAGCTGGGCTCCTTCCAGTACTTCGGGCACGCATTACCTTGCCAGTTCAAGTCATTAACCCAGCCCTGGTGGGTGAAGGTGGCGCCCTCGTAGCTCGTGCGGGAAATGATCTTGGAGTTCTTCTTGTCAGAAACGTCGTAGATGGTCAACGTGTCCTCGTTGTAGCCGTAGCAGATGTCACGGCCGTTGTACTTGGCATCGGGCCCCCGGTAAATGAGACATTGCGCCTGAAAGAATGAGGTGAGCACACAACTTCAGGAGGCGAGCCTCTCAAGCGAATTTTATTATTGTTCAAGAGACTTACATCATGAACGTAGCCGTCTTGACCGTCGCAGCCCAGGAAGACGGGATTGCTCGGGTCCTCGATGTCGTAGAAGTGAAGACCGCCCATGCAGCCCTCGTTGCGGGGCTGAACACCAACGGCGACGGCGTACTTGGCTTCTTCGTTCACCACAACATTGTGACTGCGGCCCAGCGGAAGAGACTCGATGAAGTGGCCGGTAAGGTCATCCTCGTTTGTGAAAAGGACCGGCGCTGCGGCGGGTTCGATATCCAGAAGCTTGTGGCGTGGCTAGTTAGCAAGGTGTGCCACACTGGACATGGAGAATGGCTCACCTTCTTCATATCAAAGATCTGGACGCCATGGCCCTCAAGCTCAGATCCGATCAGCATATAATGCTGATAGGGCCGGATTTCATGCCAGTAGGCTCTGTCGCCAACAGGTGAGTAGGTCGGCCTGGTGACTGGTTAGCCATCATCGGTTGCATCGTCACGTCCGCAGCATGTGGTTATTCTTACAAGAATCCAAGATTCAGCATCTTCCCTTCAGGCAAGATCTCGATGAAGGCGCATCCATCAAACATGCCGCTGACTATTTCTACTGGTTAGAATGGATGGTTGTGGTTGTTACGTGGAGGAGTATCTCACCGATGAACTCTCGGCCGGAATCGGGGTCAGTCCAGCCCCAAGAGGAGCTTCCACTCTTTCCACGATAATCTGTGTTGGGCGAACCCAGGGTGGCATGGTTGACAAAGTCATAGAGATCCATCTGTGGGCGGGCGACTGCGTCAACATCATTGAAGATGAGCATCCTCGCAGCCGAAAAAACTTACGTTTTTGCACTTGAACTTGTGCAGAGGGCTGTCCGGGATCGCCTCGGCGTATCCGTTGACGCATTTGGTGTAGCCGAGTCTAGGCCATTGGGACGAGTTCATGAGGCCAACGGCTTCTTCGGCTTCCCAGTGTGCCTTGAAGAACGATTAGCTTCTATGTTTGAGTGGACGAGGGTGCCCGTTTACAATCTTCATAGACATGAGTCTGTCGTGGATCACGCCCGAGTCGTAAAGCTCTGCTATATATTAGCAAGCCACTCTAAGCCATATCCATAGACATTCCGTACCGGCTGCGCGAGCCTCATCCTTTGGGAGCTCTCTGGCTTGAACCGCAACGGCTGCCAACGTCACGGCGCTGGTTACCGAGTTGAGGCGCATGCTGGGAGGAATTGAAGCGAAAGAACTGAATTTAATCTACACGAGACAAATCGAGGCTCTGCTGCAGCTAAAGGAATCCTAGGCACGCAGAATTGTGGTGAGTTGAGACTGAACCAATAAGCCAGACAAGGTCGAATGCGCGACATGGCCAACTTCTTTAAATGCCCTCGTTCTCCAGTGTCTGGCATCGTTCTAGGGCCGTTCATGTCTCCACGATTTCTCAAAAAGGCAGGAAACGAAACTCTTGGCGGACAGCGGTGTTTACCAAGTTCCGGGAGTCGAGCCGTTGGGGCCCTTGGCTGCTCCGTTTCCTCCAGTCCCGACCTCTTTTCCAGAACCACTCCGCCTCCGTCAAGATTGCTACCCCGCGTGCGGACCGGCCTTTGGACTCGGGTCCAGGATGGATCTGGAAGGAGGCAAGAGATTGGTTCGGCGAGCCAAGACAGCCAAGCTTTGTCCAGATAAGCACAAGTTCTGCCCGCTGGAACCCGAATGCTACGCTCCGGTTAATTGAGCAGCAGACATCCCAGTTCACAGCCAATACCAAGAGAACCTGCAGGCGGTTGGTTCTTTTGCGGCTGGGCGCCACGCTAGCAAAAGATTTGCATCGCGTTGATAGGGGCCGAGGTTGTTGACGGACCTCGTCTTTTGACAAGGGTACCTGCAGGAGTCAATAGCTGTGGTGAGCGGAAAATCGCTATCGGCCTACTACTAGATCCAAAGATGATACAGAGAACGCCAAAGGTTGGACATAATTCACCACTCATAATTATACAAAAGATCGTTTCGTCCTTTGACCACCGATTACGAGACCTGGTCGACGCCGGGACAGGGGAGGCTTACCTTGGCAACATGTTCTGGAAGACCTCGCCTCTCCATGGCTTCGTGGTAACTCATTTAGACAGAATTGCCTATGAGCCCGATGTTTTCTGGGATTCTTGGACAAGGAATGACTAATTAGATGTTCGAAATTGCTTAGGACCATCAGCACTACTTTGAATTGAACAGCCTCTGCGTAAATGCTTTGAACAAAACCAAGAGCTCGAGCACAATTTCCCACAATCATCGACATCACTACAAGCGACTAGAGAACGAGAAAATAGCATCCAGTTAAACCAAGCCGGTATGTAAAGGCCGATACTACATTGCAGTCCCTGGTGTCCATCATCGGTGCCTTGCAGGGTTGGCTGACGGAGCTCCGGATATGAGTGAGGGGAACTCCGTAAAGTGCAGCACAATCATTACGGAACAATAAGTGCCACGGTTTCTCCATCTGCATTCCATAATCTATCGATTGCTTGTGTACTTTGCATTTTGTCTACTCCGTACACCATCATGAGTTGGGCTCCCGGCAACACTTTGACGGTCCCCTTGGGTATTTCCCTCAAACCGATGATGGACCCATGATCGGTCTTGCCAGTCTTTGCATCATGTATAACGAAGTCCAGCCCGGTCTACACAAGTACCGGCCGATGTTCACAACATCGGCCGTCCCGTGTTCGCCGGGCGCCTAGGTGTAATATCTTGGTATCGGCCCGGAGCAGAGACTACAGCCAAACCTTATACGTATAATACACCCTCTAGATTAAACAAACTTTCGGCTTATTACCGCCCAGCTTCTTGCTGGACTCCATCACACAACCTTTTTCAGATGCAGTCCAACCTGCACCGTTCTCGCGCAGAAGAAGACAAAAACCGACGCCAACATCACGAGGCCGCAGAACAGCTGCAACCCCAGGTAGCTGCCACCCTGCGACGCGACAATGGCGCCGGCTATGGGGCTGCCCGTGAGCGCGCCGAAGGACTGGACGGCAAACGCGGTGCCCGTGCGGATGCCGATCTGTCTAACGTCAGAGATCTGGGCGATGCAAGCCGGAACCAGCGAGATGAAGCCGCCAGAGGAGAAGCCAAAGATGATGAGGAAGACGATGATGGCCGCGTTGTTCTTGCCGGGGATCCACAGGCCGAGGCAGAAGACGGCGCTGACCAAGGTGATGAGGACCATGACGTTATACCGGCCAAATTTGTCGGCGACAATGCCGGGGATGATGCGGCCGAGAATGCTACAGTTAATTCGTCAGCACGACCGACCAACCGAGGGAGAGGCTTCGTTCGTCGGACCCCGAGGGCACTGCACTCACCTGGTGGCATTCATAATGGGGAGCAGGTAGATGACCAGGTTCTCGTTCATCCCCTTGGCCCTCGCCTGCAAGATGACAAAGTTGAAGGGCAGGAACATGCCCCAGAAGAATAGGAACATGGCGCACACGGTGATGGCCATCGGCGGCTCCCGTAGGCTGTCGACGTACTCCTTGAGCACGAGCGGACGGGGCCGCGGCGGCAGCCGCGACTTGACTGTCAGACATGAGACGCCCAGCAGTAACAGGAAGAGGAACGCGACGGCGCGTATGGCCCACGGGAAGCCGACCTGGGCGATCATCTTGCTCATCATGATGGGCAGGACGACGCCGCCGACGGATGAGCCGGACACAATGATGCCGAAGGCAGCGGCGCGGCGGCGGAAGAACCACGACGTCACCGACGCCATCGCGGCGTTGAAGCACGCGCTGGAGCCGACGGACGAAACGATGCTCTGGGCCAGGATGAACTGGTAGTACTGCGTCGACAGGCTCGTCATCATGAGGCCGAAGACGTAGACGACGGTGCCGCCGTACATTAGGTACTTGGGGCCGTACGAGTCATACAGACGACCGAACTGCGGCGGCATGTTAGCGAACGCGCACGCGCTGTCACAACTTCCGGTGGTGGCACGGAACATGGAAACTCACCACGACGCCCATGAAGGTCTGCGTCCACACCTGCATACTGGTGATCCACGCGACCGTCGATGGAGGGTACTCGCGCAGCGGGCCCTGCATGTAGTACGCCTGGAACACGCCGACGCAGTTGATCAAGCCGAAGGTGCAGAACAGAGTCAACCAGCCTCCAAAGACCATGCTCCAGGCTGCGGCGCCGCCATCGGGGAAGTCGGCCGGATTTATGCCCGGCGGGGCGGCGGGAGCCGGCGGCGCCCCTTCGCCAGGCTTGGTCTCGGCGTCGGCGTTGGGGCCGACGCGATGATGCACGGGCGCTAGGCCGCCCTTCTCGAGGTCGGTCTCGGCAACGTTGGATGGTTCCGGGTACATGTTGGCGTCCGTCTCGCGCTGTTGTGAGGGGACGCGGTCGAGGGAATGACGGGCTGAAGACGAAGAGGAGGAGTCGTACGGCAACCGGTCCGCCTTCTCGGCGTCCGCCATCGTCGCCGGGTGCGACCTGACCATGACGGTTGACGAGGCGGACGAGGTCGATAAGCCGTCGTTGGAGTGTCGCATCCTCTGCTTGTGTCGGTCCGTTGCCTTCACCTCAGTGTTGTGGTGTTTATGTGGCCGTCTTCCTGCCGGTTCCTTCTTCTCCTTACTCTTCTTTTTCTTTTTCCTTTTTTTTCTGTCTGAGCATGTCCCGTCCGCTGTTCGAAAAACCCTCCCGCAAAGGCGATTTGTCCTCTTGAACCCCCCCTTTCCGGCTGGTTGATGTTATTCCTATTTACCGCTTTGGAGCAAAATGGGAATGAAACGCTCGATGAGGGACACCGTACAGGGAAACGTAAGTGGGGCGAAACGGTCGCGTCGTTTTCAGTATCTTCGTGTTTTCGATGCAACGTTTACTCCTGGTTGGGTTCCTCGCTGGCGAATGGCTCCGGAGATTTGATTACGGAGTGGTGGCCAAGTCTTGTTATTTTTCTTATTATTTCTCAACGGCGGATGGATGCAGATGCAAGAGTCCTGGTCGAAGATGTGTTCAGACGACAAGACTATTGATGGAATCCAAGGGGAGGGAGTGTAATATTTAACGGTAAAAGATTGACTCGCTTTATGTCCGCGGTCTCGGGGAATTCAGTCTGGGACCGAGAGAATATCGGAGAAGAGCAACTTCAAACAGCCCCATGCTTGAATTTGACAACACGCCCTTCAGGATCGACGCAATTCCTGATCCCCATATCCTGCATGGGGAGGGGCAGGAGGAAGGGATGCAACGGTGGCGATCAACTCTCGAACCGGCACCCTTGTTCTTCTTCTTTCTTACTGGATAACTACTGAGAAGGACTTGGGAGACTTTGACACGTCTCTTCCGCACGGTTCAGTTTAAGCTTGTTCAGTTGGCGCAAGTGACGAGATTTGCGTTGCCGTTGGATGACCAGTCCCCAGGTTTAACCAGTGATGGGGATGGGATCCTGGTGTGCTGTAAGTCAACCCTTTTCCGCGACGATAGTTGCGCTGAATCGGATCACGCGGCAGGATCTCGGAAGCTGGCGTGGTTTAGCCTCGTCTTTTTCTTCACGACCAAGGCGGGTTTTCCAGTAACAAGTGACTATGAGTCGTCGCGGAAAAGAGTTGACTTACAGCACATCCGGCGCGGGGGATCGGCATGTCTTGCTACTCGGCTTTTGAACAAAAAGGCGAAGGCCCGAGGGGCCGATTTTTGGGTGACCAATCATGTCGCTTGATTCTCGCGCGAGGGGTGTACTCGGCGCTCGGGTCAGACAAATGCTCGACAAGGTAGCCATGGCAGCCGTGAATGACAGTCAAGGCCTGCGGGTTTAACTGACGAACATGGGCTTGAAGTCCGTGATCACCACGTGGTGGACGATGTGCTTGCTGTCAGCGGGAAGCTTGTTGCAACGAAGCGGGAGACCTGGCTGTTGGTTGTGGCTGGTCGGCTTTAAGGACGCCATTTTCTTGACATATCCGAGCCTACTGTGCGTTGGCAACAACATGTGGGTGTTGCTGCGTTCATTCCCATACAAGAACCTCGCGGCTGGCGCTGACATGTCTCCAAGCCGGTCTGCTCTACATGTGCGCATCATTGGCGGTGGTGCTAAGACCCGTCCTTGTTGTCTATTACACAGTAGATTTACATTGGTCAGTTCCGTGAATGTCGGGTTCGTCTTTAGTCATGGTCCTGCTTTTTTGGCCCGGATGCACCGGCTCCTTGTTTCGCCCTCCAGACCCCTCCTCTACCTCACAAATTCCTTGAGGTCCTTTGCATCCTCAAAGTTGACCTTGCCGTCCAGCGTGACACTCGCGACGTGAATGGCCGAGGGCGCCTGCTCCTTGAATGCCGGTGTCGCTTCCATCTTGGGCTTGGTGGCTAGCTCGACCGCTTCAGGGACCGTCCCGGCCGGCGCATCAGCGATCTCGTTGACCTCCTTGTTGGTGAGGGAATCGGTGATTCTGACGCCCCGGCTGGACATGAGCAGTGTAGTCGGCCCTCGGAACTGGAGAAACAGGCGGTCGCCCCAAATCGTACGTCTCAACGTGGTGCGCAGGGAGTACATCCATCTCGAAAGGGTCTTGTAGGTGCTCGTGTCGCGCATCGCCTTGACGAAGTTGGTCTTGGGGAAGAAGCCGGTGATGCTGGGGACCTGGAAACGGAGAATGTTGGACTTTAGGCGCATCGGCAATGGCGGGTTGCGCGAGACCGAGTACGCGACCACGTGCGATGGGTGCGCGACGAACTCCTCCCCCTCGGCGAGTGTAACTTCGTAGACCTGACCTGGCGACGACAGCGCGGCCAATCCACGGCCGGTGAGGTGGGTACTTCCCCAATGGGCCAGCGAGAGACCGCGGCTGATGCGGGGAGACACAGAGAGGGTGTGGCCCGTCCATGCCAGGAGCGCGTTGCGCTGCGATACAATGTAGTCGGTAGTGCCATCGAGGTGGAGGACGGAGAAAGTGGTAGTGGGCGACTTGGTTGATATCAAGGCCGTCAGCGACGTCGAAGACGAGATGCGTTGATATAGAAACGGTACGCCGAGGATGGCTCGTGTGAAGGGGGAGAGGATCGAGAGGGTCGATTGGGCCTATTTCGCTCGTTACTTTAATACTTTCTTCCTCAAGTATAGCGCTAGCATCGAGTCTTACATTCTCAGCCTTGCCTGCGACGCCGACTAACGTCCCGCGTCTCGTGTAAAGCTGCTGCGACGGCGACAAGGTGACGGAAAGCAGCGAGTACGGGGAGCCGAGGACCTCGAATCGAGCATCTGAATCCCGGAGTCTCAAGTCAGCATTGTAAAATCGGCGATCGCAACGGGGAAACATGACAAAGGGCATACCGGCAGCGTCCCGCCATGTATCTCGAGCACCGAAAACATCCCCGCCGACTCGCGGAGCTTCAGTCGTCGGCGCAGCGCTGATCTGGATGCCCCTGCATTGCCGGCAGACGTACGAAGATGCCTGGCCCCATCGTGCACCTCGTGTCGACCGAAGCAAGGGCAATTGGGTGCGCATGACGGACATCAGAAGAGGCTGACGACGTCGGTAGTTCGTATCGGATCGTGACCTTAAAGGCTCTCCAGAAGCTCTCGCAGCTTTCTCAAACAGGGACTGGGAGCTGAGGCGGCGGGCGGACCGCCATCACGGTAGAACTCCGGGTAATCCGAGGCCCGTTGCAGCCACCCGGGTAAACGTGGCTCCGATCAGCCTCCGGTACGTACTGTCAGAACCATGAACCTACTCCAAGACACGTGATGCACATCTGACCGCATCAGTCCTGTTTGCGGACGACCAGCGTCTGTTGCCCCGACGACGGACCCTCGGACGTGATCCCTGTTCGTCAACGTCTTGTGCTAATTCCTTAGTTATCCAGTTCCTTGCACAACAATTCATTATACCGATACATCGAGTCCTGCAATCTAAGGCCACCCACACTTCGACCGAGCGTCACGCCAAATTGCTTTTCAAGGATCTCGACGATCCATTATTACAACCATCGCGTCCGACGTCTCCATCGCGTGTCCATCCGATCCCGACAAAGTCCTCACTCGCCCTGCTCTGGTCTGTTGTGTTCGACTCTGCTTGCCAGGTTGCTGTCACCCACCCATCCACATATCGGATCGAAAATCTCTCTGTACTAGCTGGCTGGCACACCATGTCTGTTCGTGTGGTCGCGCGTATTCGTCCTCTCCTCGACAAGGAGCTGGATAAGGACACCATTGTTCGCGCCGACAGCACCGAGGAAGGCAAGCCGGCCACGTTGGTCAAGATCCCGAACCCCAAGAACGAGAGCGAGGAATTTTCCTTCGCCTTCAACAGCGTCTATGACCAGACGACGACGCAGGACGAGCTTTTTACGTCAGAGGGTACGAAAGAAAAAACACGCTCCGCGAGACGCGAGACGATGCACAGCCACATGACTAACCAACTATTCCAGTCGCGCCCCATATCAAGGCGCTCTTCCAGGGCCTAGATGTCACCATCTTTGCATACGGAGTCACGGGAACTGGCAAGACACACACGATGCGGGGCGGCTTGAAACTGGTGGACCGAGGTGTGATTCCTCGCCTTTTGAGCGGCGTGTATCGACGCGGCAAAAAGATTGCCAAGGACACGGGTGGCGAGACGAGTGTCGATGTGGCCTTATCATACTACGAGATTTACAACGACAAGGTGTTTGATCTGTTCGAGCCCCCGGATAAGCGTCAGCCCTCGGGCCTCCCTCTCCGTGAGAAGGACGGCAAGACTATGGTGGTGGGTCTGTCAGAACGCGCCTGCGAGGACCTTCAGGATTTCTCGCGTCTCTACATTGAAGCCAACAACAACCGCGTCACGGCCGCCACCAAGCTCAACGCTCACAGTAGCCGAAGCCATGCCATCATGCGGGTCAAGGTGACCCAGACGACGGGCAATCAGGTTCTCGAAAGCACAGCGTCGGCCATTGACTTGGCTGGCTCCGAAGACAATCGTCGGACGGACAACGGAAAGGAGAGACTCGTCGAGTCAGCTGCCATCAACAAGAGCCTCTTTGTCCTGTCCCAGTGCATCGACGCCATCTCTCGGGGGGACAAGCGGATCCCCTACCGCGAGTCCAAGATGACGCGTATTCTCAGCCTGGGTCAGAACAACGGCATCACAATCATGATCCTGAACCTGGCCCCCATTCGCAGCTACCACCTTGACACCCTGAGCAGCCTGAATGTTAGTTCCAGAGCCAAACGTATCGAGGTTCGAGAGATCGAAAACGAGGTCGTCTTCAAGCAGGCCCCGCGTACAAACACGGGCAGCTCTACGATGACGCAGCGGCAACCTCTGCGTCCCTTGGCCAACGCCCACAATATCCACAGCGGCGCCATTGCCTCAGCCAAGGCAACCGAAAAGGCCGACGCCACCCGTCCGGTCAAGCTTTTTAACGTCTACACTGATCGTAGCAAGCCGGCGGCTCCTGTACGCCCGGCTGCCAACACTACCCAGGTGCGGAAGCCCCTCGCAGACCGCGAGTCGGCGCCCAAGGCTGCCAAAGCCACCCGGCCCCCTCCACCCGCGCAACAGAAGCTTTCGATATCCGCGGAGCAACTGGAGGCCATTGTCGAGAAAAAGGTGAGCGAGATACTCGCATCTAGAGAGAGCAAGACGACCGAGCCGGCTCCAGCACCCGCCCACCCCGACATAAACGACGCTGTCCGCCGACGGTTGGAGGCACTTGAGCGACGCATCGAGAGTGAGGAGCGGGAACGTGACGATACCCGGTCGGAGGGGCTTCGTTTCTTGTTGGCGGCTAGGCAGGCGAAGGAGGCCGGCAATGATGTTGTCGCGCTGCAGATGTACGAGCAAGCACTGCCGTTTTTCCCTGGCCAGGCAAAGCTCTTGGGCAAGATCGAAAAGTTGCGCTCAAAGCTTGGAAACAGGCTTCCCGCCGAAACAGCGTGGGCCCCGGCATCGACTCGTGACAAGCATGAGAAGAAGCGGAGGAGAATCACGGACGAGAGTGACGATGAGTGCCAGCAGCAGGCCAAAGCTGATGAAGACATGAGCTTTGTGGACGTCTCGGCCAAGATGAAGAGCCGAAAGGCCAAGCCGACCAAGACCCACAAGATGAACTTCCGGGAATCCACGGGACCACCATCTCCCCAGACCCTGAATTTGTTGAGCATTGTTAACTCCCGGGACCTTGCGAGGATTAAGGGATTGCACGGATTTGGGTCCAAGAAGGCCCAGGACCTTGTCGACTACCTTGACACAATGTCGGAGGAGAAGAACGCCCAGGCCGAGATCGAATCATTGGCGCAGCTCAAGACCATCCCTGGAATGGGCGGTCGGACCGTCGAACGTGCGTACGACGGGCTTGTCGGTGCTGTTTAGAGGGATTGATATTCTGGCACGGCGCATCAGACGGCATACGGTGCATTGGGTATGGTGTTTCCTTGGAGTTAAGCATATGAACGGTCGTAGCCTCGAAAGATGGGCCGTTTTCAGCATGTGGCAAATTGTGCCAATGCCAGCATATACCTTAATACAACACTTGGGCCTGGCCTTTTTCGTTTCTTTGCAACTCGGTGACGTTGGTCCCAAGCGCTGCTGGCCCTTTCACACCAACTTTCACTCCACACTGCATGTTAATTTCAACTACCAGATACGTCAAGAATGCTTTCAGTCAGGCAACTGCCGACTCCAACCACTTCCAAAGGTTTCCTTGATGACGCCCCTTTTCATCAGCCTGGCAGTCTAGACGCAGGCAAACAATGTTGGCAGTTGGACTGCGGCGGCTAAATGACTCGGCTGTCTGATGTCAATGGGACGGATTAGCGCGTTGCCGCAGCACATCTTTCGACAGCCACTCGATTCCGGGAGTGGCGACCGGTCTTGAATCGGTGTCGGCGATGTCATGACTCGGACCGGCCCTAATGGGGAGAAAGCTACCGACTTCAAAAAGTTTGTTCAAGCAGCAAGGACCAACCCCATCTTCCACTGATACGGTGCCAGCGGTCGTCGGGATCCGACACAGGTGAAGATGGCAAGGCAAGCCTTGAGGCGGCCTATGAGTCGTGGGCATAATTATGTGTTTGACTTGTCGGCGCCTCCCCGGCCCCGATTTCGTGTCCAACGATCTCAGTCTCACTACTTTTTAGAGTTACGAACCAGTGTGAAACGTTCTAGGTCCGAACCTGGGTTGCTGACCACATGAAGCCCTGGGCTGGGCTTGAACCAATCTTCATTCCCGATGGGACAACACCAGCTGTGCTGTGCTCTAGATCGCCGATGCCTTCTGCATCACAGTTGGTCGCCGATCAATATGTCACCTCCACTTCATTCGATAGAATCCTTGCGCCGAGTCTGAACTACTGGGTACAAGTCGATCATGGCTGCAGTCGGGACGGCCAGTCAGCGACGACCGCAACACGGAGGAGAAGCATCATGACGATGACAGAGAAACAGAGATCGGCAATCAACCAGAGGCTCACATCCACTGGTATGTTTCCGTCCATAATTACAGACGAACTGTGTTACCCAATGACGACGTCAACTACAGGGTAAGTCAGCCCGGTCGTGGGAGACGACCAGCATAATGATGTATCCCAAGGCTTGAGGACCGTGTCCCAAGACACGAAGTATCTTTCGGGCATCTACCTAGTGTTGGTAGTCACCTGCGTCGTCGTCACCGGTTGGCTGATGTTCCTCTACAACTCCATCATCGTTACTGCGAGGAAAGACTCGATCCGTGAGATCCAGGTCTCGGTGTCGATCGACCCCTCACAGGCTATTCCGGCGATCACGGACGAGTTCCACTCCCTCCAAGACATTGGATGGTACGGTAGCGCCTACCAAGTTGCCGATGCTGCGTTTCAACCGCTGATGGGCACGATAGTGGCTGGAGTAGGAAGTGCCGGTATCATGAGCGGCGGCCTGACGATAATCGTCGGATCGGTGCCGCTCGAGAAAAGACCCGGTACGCTTATCACAGTGTCATAGGTTCTGGAACCTATCCGACATCCCCCCTTCACAGCTCTTGGGATCTCGTCATTGGTCGTGAGTTGCTTCTTCGGCGTAAACGATGTATGAGGTATATGGGAAGCGAACGGGCCTGTCGAGTTGCCAAAATGTCAACTTGGATAGAGTTCGTCTCATCGTGCTGTCGCGCCGCCTACGATTTCTGACTAGTGGGAGTGTATTTGGCCCTGTTCTTGGTGGCGTGATCACGCAGTACGGCACTTGGCGATGCAGTAAGAAAGCTCTGCGTAATAGCCGCCCCATGTCGAAGCTACTCGAATCACGCATGAACTCGGAGAGGCTTCTACATCAACATGTCCCTCGACGGCCTTGTTCTTCTTTGCCTGTCCCAGTGCAAAATCCCCGACCAAGTCCCCAAACCCAGGCTGATGAGGTTCTTCCCCAAATACATACATACCTTGACTTCGTGGGGTTCTTATTGAGTGCTGCTGCAGTCGTCGTGCTCCTCGTGGCCTTGGAGCTCGGCGGAGATGCATTATTTTACAAAAGTCCCGTTGTGATCAGAACCTTCTGCGGCTCTGCGGGAGCGCTGGGAGCGTTAATCGCTTGGAACTACCATAAAGGGGATAATGGACTGATCCCGCCGTCCATGGCCGGTAAGAGACCTGTGTGGTGTGCGGCTGCCACAAACTTCACTCTTGTCGGGTCAGCAATGATCCAAATCTACTTGCACCCGTGATACTTCCAGACGGCGGTAGGGGCGTCGCCGGCTCAGAGCGGCGTTAATGTTCTGCCAAGCATCCTGTCACAATAAGCTTTCGCCTATGACGGAGGCTCACAGAGTACGTAACGACTCTTTACCTAGGCGTTCTAGACTTGCCAAGACGAAACCAGGCGCCGCTAACATGTATTATGGTTTCATGGCACAGTTGACAAGTTCGGATACTACTAACCGTGGGCGGCGGATGGGACTGCCGTGACAATTATCGTAAGCGCGCTCTTTACGGCACCTTACGCCGACGACTACAGTCACGCAATGGGTCATCTATCAGATCCTTGCAGTCGTTGGGCGGGGTGTTGTGTTGCAGTTGGTGAGATGTCTGCCATTCCTCGCTGACTCTCAACATCGTTCCACTAACACTACCCGGCCAATCATCGCCGTTCAGGCCAACCTACCACCCGAGCAAATCATGATGAGTATCTCTTTTATAGCATTTTCACAGTTCATTGGAGCCACAATTGCTCTGGGCATTGGGTATCGCCATATTGGTCGAGAGGCTGAAGCAGAGCCTTGCACATAACTCTGCAAACATCGATGTGGCAGCTGTGATTGACGTATGAGCCACAGGGTTCCGCAAGGTCATACCCGCGAACGACATCCCGGGAGTGATCGCGGAATATGTGTCTAGTATCACCCGTGAATTTTACCTATCTATGGCATTCACGATTGCCGCGTTTTGCCTCTCGTGGGGGGGGGGGCATAGGATGGAAGGACATCCGGCCCAAGGCCCGGGCTAGGACAACTGGGATGCTCGAGTTCAGGCCTGTCGATATTAACACCCCACTACGAGAGACCACGGAGATAGGGGAATAGCTTATGAGAAATTGGCCCGAGCTGCTGGAGACCTAGATCAGGGTTAATGATGCACTGATTGCTAAGGTGTTTGTGTATGGGTTTTCGTCGTCGCCGATGATTATACTTCTCACAGGATTCATCGACCATAGAATTAACGTTTGCCTCGTGGTAGGTAGCTCCACTGGATTCGTCATTAGGGATGTGCTTCGCGTAAACTTCAACAGACATGACGAACTGGCATTGCCGTATGGGATTGCCGAAACCCAAAATGGCCATGTGAGCCGCTGAACCGTATACATGCAGTCCGATTCATGACGACGATATCTCTTGTCACCCCCATCCCCCGAAGACTAACTGCGGCCTCTTCCTTATCTCCTTACACAAATGATTTCGTCCTCACCGCGTCGCAGAGCAGATAAGCTCCAGGAACAGCAGGTTAATGTCGGAGCATTTCTCAGGAAAGGCGACACCCCCCACGCTTTGGTACATGATTTTGGGATAATGTTTCTAGCATGTCAATCCACGGTCTATCCCACCCCGATACGGCCCACGCGTGGATTCAAAGGTGTGTATATAGCATAGAAGCAAAGGAACAGAGGTGACAGGGCCCACTGGCACAGCAGCAAGAAACAAACAAAAGCGCGTTTGCAAGAGCATCCAGGGTTAATCACCACGGCCCAATCCTTCCTATGTGACGTAAGGCGGGCAGGTCAACAAGTCCGGGGGACAATCCTAGCCAGCTCTAGAGTAGCCTCCAGCATATCTTAGACATCTCAAGTAGGACAAGCTTAAAAGTTCATAAGATATTCCGTTGCTTGCCCAAAACCTTATATATATTACGCATGGCTTATGCTGCATTTGAGTCTGAAGCTTTTGGCCGAGGGCAGTAGGTACAGAAGAGCTGACTGCAAAGATAAACAGAGGTATCCTCATCACCTTTGAGGGCAAGAGTTTCAATTAAACTATTGTTGGCGCGAAGTGGGTGCGCACCTTGAATCAAACCCCTGCGCCAGATAAGCCCGAGGGCCCTAGCACAATCTTCGTTGACAACGAAACGAAACAACCTACTACAGTTGGCTGAAAGGCCAAGCTCACCCGGTTGTCTCCTTCATTCTTGTTTTGTTTCTCGAACCTCCAGCCTGGTCGGCATTTCCAAACGCCAGCCAGCCATTTGAATTCGACTATTACTACCTGAGTAGTGACTTAGCACGCCTGTGACAGTGGCGATACGCAGCACTCGATTCACAGGGAGTCCATAGCTTATAATATGAGGAATCAGGTCCAAGATGGTGTAGTATCTAGACTCATTAACCCTACACCTGCACATTATCTTGGCCTAAAATCATACAATAGAGAACAGATAACGATTCAACAGAAAACGAGAGGTAGATACATGTGGGGTTTTTTTTTCTTTCTTTCTTTTTTTTCCTTTTTTTTAAAAAAAAAAACTCTAGCGCACTTAGGTAATGACTGGTACCTCATTTATAATATTAGGTCGTCCATCTCCAGCTTCGACTTTTCTGCGCGTTTGTGTAAGCCACTATATCTAAAGCAGAACCTACCGGCAAGATTTGCGAATACTCAACGCCACAACAACCACACTCGACTGAACGGTGGTCGAATCCCACAACGATGTGCACTAAAGTGGTAGCTGTACCCGGCGGCTAATCGGTCAGACGCCTATGCAGTCGCTGCCACCCCTGGGAAACACCGCGACTAAACTCTTTCCTACAACGTGCCCTCCCTCGTTGGCAGGCATTTCACAGTTAAGCTTTAGCCTTGCGTCGGGCAGTTTTCAGTGTTCCAGAATGTGCTGAGTTTCCCAAACCTGCCTAGGTACGCATCTCTCTAAGGGTGCTGGTTGATCGTTTTTGGCCCACCCTCTCGTCCCGGGACCGGGTTGATGCCAGCCTTCTGCTCATCTTCGGGATTTGATCGTCTTGGCAAATCGATCCTAGAAAAATAAACCATGCTGACCGAGGATCCACTCTTGGCATTGTCTTGTTTTTAGAATTATTTGTAACAGCCACGTCTGATTGACCAGCGGAATGGCAGAGCGCATCAACTTCCAGCCCCCACGTGAGGGCGAGAGGCGTCCACAAGATCCGACACACTTGATCCGAACATCAGTTTGGAGAAAGCATACCTACCAAGACCCCGTACATCAATCCGGGGTAACCAATGGCATCTCAGTGACAGCCATTCAGCCCATCAGGGACTTATACCTACTCTTCAGTTCTGCCAGACATGACCTATTATGATAATCCCGTACCGGGTTAAGATTGGGGCCCTTATGGTCGAGCAGACTACGTACGTAGATAGGAGATGAGAGTCAATGGTCAAGTAATCCCCGCTGCACGACTGGGGTTAGGGGCATCACGGTCGAAAGAGAGTTCGAGGCGACATTGTCCATGTTCCAGGCTGCGAAAGTCTCTGCAGAACTTCACAATACATGTCCACATACCCGCCGCTCCGCTTCTACACAGACCAAGCGAATAAAACGGCGAGGCTCTGCAAGTTGCCAAAGTAATGCGTGCAAAGTCGACTTGACATAGCCATGGTCCGTGTAGGAGTCCTGAATCGACACGTCACACGTGCAAAGTTTCTCAGAAACTTTATAAGAAGCAGTTCATCCATGCGCATGAGGGACAGCCCGAACAGCAATAATGGAGTAAGTTCAGCCGAGGCATCTCATCTAGATCTGACGTCTTACCCCCCCATATCCCCCATACCACTTGCCGTGAGTCAACCGGCACAAGGCGTCTCGGTAGTGACAAGTTAAACCAGGACCACCTCTCTACTCAGCTCACCATATCAGAGTTGAGAAATGCAGAACTGGAAGCATATAAGCTTCGTGTCCTGACACTCCACACTTTTGATCGACTTTTCTCCTTCCCAAGCCTCTGAGTTCTTTACAAACATGCTATTCTCGCAAAGAAGTGCCTGTGACCGGTGTCGCGCGCTGAAGAGCCGGTGCTCAAGAGAGAACGGCGCCAAGAAGTGCGAGAGATGCCAGCGTCTTCAAATCGACTGCTTCTACAGCCCTCCCCGCCGCATGGGCAGACCGGCCAAGAAGCGCTTGAGCCAGGAGGTCACCACTCAGTCAACGCCCCCAGTCCAGTACCGCCGATTGTCAACAATGTCCAACACCACATTGCAAACAGCCCAGTCTGAAGGGTTTTCACCCAGCGTCACCGAAGCCGAAGACTTCCAGTACGGTCTAGGTATCATGCCCAGCCCTTCAGCTGGAGGCGGAGGACACGAGTGGACCGACAACTTCGAAGACCCGTTGCTCGGGTTTCTGCAAGAACACAACACAAAGCTTATGGCGACCAATTGGATGAACACTGGCTCGTTGGGGTTTCTAGGCCATCACGAGAATGCTCTCGCGGCTGGGCCGCACGACCTGCCCCTAACTCCAACGACCGTCGGCTCTCTGCCGAACAACACGGACGACTCTTGGACATCTGGTAGCGATCAAGGGCCTGCCATATGTCATGCCGAATCATACACCGGCGCCACGCTCCCGCCCTCGCCCGATATTAACGTGGGCTCGTCCGAGCCAGCAATCAAGCGTCTTCTCGACCTTCAGTCGCTGTTGATTGCGAGGCGCATAGCAACCTCACAAGAACAAGAGGATCTATCAACCCTCATTAACACAACGGTACATGCGACCGAGACGCTTATAGACGTCGTGGAGAGCTTACCGCCACTGAGACCGAGCCCGGAAGCAACACAACCGGCCTCACCGGTATCATGCTGGGGCCAGGCACTAGATGCTGGACCCTTCAACACTAGTGCGCCCACACATGCGGCACCAGAACTGCACGATCCACATCAGCAACAGGGTCAACGTCAGCAGTACCCCGATCTCGCACTCACGATTTCTCTCTTCACGACAGACCATCTTCTTCTCCTAGATTCATACGATAATCTTCTCGTCGCACTGAGGGCTCGCCTGCAATGTCCACGGCAGAGCCGACCGCCGAGCCCCGGGGGTGACTTCAACCTGCCGCAGCATTTTTTCAACAACGCTTCAGGCGGGCCCTTGAACAAATTCAGCCTCGTCAGCTCCTTCGACCTGGATATCAACTCGGTCGTCTTTCTTTTGTCTCGAATGATGAAGAGGCTACAGAAATCCATGCAAGACCGCTTTACCTACGGACCAGTTGCGTCTACTTCCGACGCACAGCTCAAGGGTCGCGGGTTCCCTTTTTCCAACGCATCTCTCAACTTTAATTTCCAAGACGGTGTCAGCCATAATTTGGATGTCGCCTCAGAGTTGTCTCCGACCGGGGGCCACCCTCCGATTGCAAATATGGGGGACTATGCCTCGTGGGAGGCCAGCAAGAGACACCAGAACGTGACGGAGTCGCTCCGGGTTATCAGATGGCTAGCGGATGAATTATGATACTAATTTAGCGTATGGACATGGACTAGCAATTAAAAACTTCCCTCAACTTGGAGAAGTACAGATGACATGTGTGCCTATCAACCTGCTGCTTTCGTATCGGTGACTGAGGCCCAGCCGTTTTGCCTGTAAATGCCAAGAGTTCCAGGCATATCAAAGTTAAGCCGGCCACAATGTTCCTCCCATTGCCTCTGTAGATCTGCGACTTTGAAGTCCACAGCAGAGGCTTCTCAGTTGGAATGGGTATGTGTCGGCAATTTTAGGCGGTTCCAAACATTTGCGATTTCGTCTCGTACCCGGTAGGTTTGGTGCCAGACTTCAGGCCACACCCCAATCCTGGGGTTGAAACACGCCGCTGGCATGTGGGCGCGAAGCAGATACCCAATAACCTGGTTGTTGCGAGTACCCAGGTAGATAATGTACCAACAGTCGTCCTTTGATTGGGACGAGTTTCAGCCGACTAGCAGCCGCAAAGTTAATTACACGTGCCATATAAACAACAGCCATCATTAAGCGCCTGCCACCTTTATAGGCTTGGCAGCACGATCTTGTAATCCTACCATCGTCTGCAGCCGCAGCGAGCAACTTTCGAATATACCATATTTCATTACCGCCTCAATTCTAACTTAACCCTTTGTGCCAAGTAAAATCAACACTATTAATTCAAAGGGGGGTTAATTAGGTTTAGATAAGGCAATGACTGTGGTTCGGGTAGTTAGAGTTAGGGTAATAGAATAATATTTCTAGCTGAGACGCTGGCAATAATGTCTACTTTCTGGCTAGCCCAGACAACGTCAAGCTACTAAACGCCCTCCGTCTTTTTACCCACTACCCAGTGTCCTGGTACTAGGCCCTCTAGCACATAAGGGTCAACTAGTCCACAACTCCACATCGTCAGTCTGTGAACTTAATGTTTTGTTAGTGCAAAGTCTCAAGCATTTTTGTTATGTGAGGTCCAGTATCTGCTTCCTTGCATTCGTGTGCCATGTGCCCCTACCGACTGCAACCTCTCGCGAGATGAATCTTCCGTCAAAGCCAATAGTTTCCCTGGAATTATCATGCTATTGTGATATCAGAAGATGGTGATCTGATTCTCGGAAATGGTTCCTTGATTTTAGATATGATTGCCCGAATGGTAGTAGTGTCTCACATGGCGCTAAAAGCTGACTTCAATCGACCAATGACAGCCATCCTCTTGGACACCGCAACCATTGTCAACGTGGCATCAATTTTACATTTCAAAGCTGAAGATCACCGTACTGTTCTGTATATGTGTATGTGAAGAACACTGCTTGATACCTTCCGGGTTTTACAACATTTCACCATAAAATCTATGTTTGGTTTCTCTGGCTCATAAGTAATGAGTAGCCCACAGATTGATGATGGCCTGATTGCCCATCTAAAAATGATATATCGCTCGTATCGACATACTTCCGAAATTGACGCCAAAGGGGCATTCTTTAGCTCATCTTGTTATCAGATCTGCCGCCCGAATCCCTCCTTTGCCGCTAGCAACAGAGACACTATCGTCGGATACCTGCACGATTACGCCCCAAAACCCACATCGGCAACAGAGGCAAACAATATACCCACTCAGAAAGGCTTCTACACCATCAGACCACTTCGAGACAATGAGTACGAATTTGGGACGGACGAACAGGTTGCCCCAGCTGGATTTGCTTCAGTGGAAGAGGTCCGGAGTCAGGCTTTGCGGGAAGGGTGGGTTGGCATGAGAGTTGATTTGTGGGACGACTCCGCAGAGGGACAAGTTAAGCAAGAGAACAGCCTTCTGGTGAAAGTACAGTATTGGTGGAGAAAGGAAAACGATGTCTGGATTCAGATATTCCACGATATAATGTACATGGGTCCGCGCGACGGGACAGAAGGATTGGATGGTGAGATTTTGGAGTAAGTCTCGTAGCTACCTGGTGAGATAAACTTATTCATATTCTGGGAAGCAAGGTGTATTGCTGCTTACTTGGAAAGCAATACAAGGTTCTTATATATTCGAATATAAAAACTGAGTGTGCTGTTTGACGACGGCCCCCGTGCCAACATGCCAAAAGGCATTAACCATGAAATGAGCAGCAATCGTAATTCCACTTACGTTACCGTTTTGTTTCTCGAAACTCTTGGCGAGGCAGTACTATCGCATTCAAGCCAAGTGCAAATTATCTCGGTACACAGTCTTGCCACATGAGTCGAGTGTCTCAAGTCCTCGCTTATGCATGATGCACGGCTGGTTCATAAGCCCTCCTTCGTTCAACCCCATGTCACATTACGTTGCACCAACTTGTGTTCCAGACAATGTTTTTCAGACTGTTTACTGTTTAGTGGCTAAGGTACAGACTGGCCGCTACAAAATTTTGTTTGAAAGATAGGATTTAGTGACCGGACACGAGAGGTAATCTTTCAGCGCCGTCAACTTTGCGCTTGCTTCGTTAAGCGATTGTACCAGAGACTGCCCCGGAACGATCCGTTTTGAGAAGTCAATTCTCTAACGTCATTCGTAAGTTCTAGTATGAAAGCCTGACCAACAAACCTCACGTTGTCCAAGAGGTCACAATATCAGTACGTCGCTACACGAAAGACTAGTGTTTTGTTATCTCTTGAAAGAACTTAGTCGCACGAACTGAGACATAGCCCCGGGTACATGTAGCAACCCTCAGGGTATGGAATATGCCAATATTTAATGTGATGTTCGCAAAGTTCTTGACGATACTAATTAGTCGATCAAACTAGTCATGATACACTCTCGAAAAAGTGTACAGGCCGCAAACATCCAGTCTCCTTCATTGAAATCCAATCATGGCGATACGAATCTTGACGACTTTGACTTTAGGAACGCTTAGTCTACTGACTAACGCCCAAACCTTGATTCCCGCGGAAATAGACCCCTGCCTTGACGATGGCTTCAACATCAGTCAGTGGGTTGCAGACAACGGCATTCCTCCTAATTACGTCCCGAGCACGACTGAAAACAGTCCAAGTACGTTTTGGTTATGAACCCGGCTTCTATTGATAGCTTGAATACTGATTCGCTTCCCAGTCGTTGCCCAAAGAATCCTAGATCAACCTGTGACATCGGAAACCGGGAGGTCATATTCGACCACCTTCAACCAGACCAGCGTGCTTTACATGACTGGAGTTACTGCCGAACTTATCCAGGCAGAAGTCACAAAGTTCGGAGCACCCGAAGACCTTGGCCGATCCCTCGGAATTGGCTACAATTCAGCCATTTTGGCCGTGAGTAACTCTACCTGCCCCATCAAGCTTCCCGTCATGAAAATGCTGATTGATCTTGAGACAGGGCGAAAGAACAATTCTTCGGTTTTCTGGAAGAATCGAAACACACAACGGATCGATAAACTTGTACGCCACAGGAGCCGGGACCTCGGCCACTCTCAATGCCCCCCGACTGTACAGCAGTGGCCCTGGTGCTATCGGGCTTTACTCTGTCCGGGGTGCCGCTCTTACTGTCACTGACTTCCGCCACTGCTCGGGAGGCTTCCGGTCGCCCACTCTCGCTGGGCTCAATATAGACAGCCGTGGGGGTGTTGCCCACACCACCGGTCCGGGCTCTCCGTTGATCTACTCTTTGGGGCGAACAATGTCAAACAACTTGACCGGGTGGGCCGAAAATTCCCCTGCCGTTATCATGGAAGGACCCCAATACGTGCACCTAAGCGGTAACACGATCACTTCAGGAGCGATCAGTGGCGTCCTCTTCTTCGATTGGGCTGTCACCGCAGAGCACGGTACTGGCACGATGGAGGCGACTTCTCTCCGGCTTACGGCCCGCGAGGGCCCAGCCTTTTACCTTGCAAGCTTTTCCGCAGAGATCACATTGGTGGATGCCAGGATCGATAATCCTTCCGGAATCCTGCTTCATACAGATACAAACACAGTATCAAGAGATATCGAGAGGATCGAGCCCCAACGCTGGAGCGGGAACCCCATCGCGTCCAACTCATCACTCACCATCATGCAAACATATGCCGTTTCTGGCGATATTGTCACGCAAGGCGGCTGCACTATACTTGTTCAATTACTGACCAACAGCACCTGGGAGGGTGGAGCAAACGCGTCTCTCATCAACAACCGTGGGGGAGTGACCGTGCGGATCGATGAGACCAGCACCTGGGTTGTTACCAAGGACTCGTTCATCCGAGGCTTGTCGGTCATCCGTGGTGATCTTGAACGGATTGTAGACAGAAATACAACCGTAGTGTATGACAAGTCGGCGCCAGAGAGCGCATGGCTCCAAGGGCGGACTTACACCTTGAAGAATGGTGGACAGCTACGACCTTGGAACTAAAGGCGCTTTTGTTCCTTGGTTAGAGACGGAAGTGGAGTTTTCTTATGAAGAGGAATAATCAGTCACTAGTATCAACAATTTCGGGATTGCAACAGAGTGGATTTGTCATCGGTACGATGTGGTTTAAGCAGCAAAGGCATAGAATTGCCCTTGTTTAAAGAACTTTTAACTTTGCGTATGGACTTATGCCTCTGTTGGCCTGTGATAATGATGGTTATGATGGTGATGCTCACCATAATGTAAATCTTAGTGGTGCCTAGGAAAATCACATTCGAAAGACAGCGTACCGTCATATATCTTTCAGAGTGAGGGGTTCATCGGCACTGAAAGGGATAAAGTAGCCCAGCATGGGCGGCTCTTGTTATCAAAGCCCATGGCCCGGCGACGTGAAGGCTGCGCTCAGAAGCAGACGACCTTGCCCCCCAAGGCTTAACTGACTTGGCGATCTGCCGCTTCGGGAGATATCCACCATGCCTCATCAACTAAACAATCAAGACAGGCCGCCAGCGAGCGAAGACCGACGGGCTGCGCAATGGCGATGCCATTTACGTTGGCTCTCCCAGCGACGGCGCGTCCGAAGAAACATTGAGCGAGCCAGTCGTTCCGATTACCGAAGGAGACATGCCCCCCTTTGTCTTCACGACGCAACCCAACAGCGAAAAAGAGGCATTCGATGAGAACGACCCGAGGCTGCAAGATATCCCGGCATATGTGCGTCGCATCGTGTCCTTACACGACGACCCAGAATTGCCGTGTCTCACAATTCTGAGCTTCCTACGCACGATCGTCTCCATCATCCCTGGAGCCTTCTTATTGATGACGAGCCACTTCCGGACGACGTACGCGCCGTACTCTGTATTTTTTCGTTCAGATTGCTTCCAGCTACGTTGGCCGCCAAAATACCTCCGGCTTAGCAAGTCAGGGCCCCTTTCACCAGGCTTAGCTTCAACCTTAATCCAGGTCCCTCCAGCATTAAGAAACACATCCTGGTCACCGTTTCCGCAGCGTCGGGGGCTACGTACAATCTCGGCTAGCTCTACTCCAGTATCAATGGCTGAGCTGTACTTCAATTCTCCGTTTCATCCTGCTGCGGGTATGTTCTTCATGTGGGGGATTGTGTGGACCGGATACTCCTTCGCGCGGTTGGCACGACAGTTTCTGATCTCTGACCCCAGTTCCCATGGTTCATGTCACTTTGCCAAACAGCCCTCTCCGAAAAGCAGCGCGAAACCCCGACGGCCGAATCCCGGAAACAGACCAGAGTATTCTTCTGGGCTCTTCTTAGCATGACTTTGTAGCAGTTCCTTCCGGGCTATGTTTTCCCCATGCTAGGCTCGCTGGCCTTCATCTGCCGGGTTGCACCAAGCAGCCCAGTGGCTAATTTCGTTGACGCAGGCTTCGGTGGGTTGAGTATTTTGAACCTTTCGTTGGATTGGTCCACGACTTCCGCAACTGGGAGCTTGTTCTTGACTCCTTGGTGGACTCAAGTCGTGATGTTTACCGGCTTTGTCTGCAGTGTCTGGATCTTGATCCCGGCTGCCAAATGCGGCAACCTGGGAGAATGGCACGGGCATTAGATGTCGAACCGACTGTTTCTGGAAACGGGACATCTTACCTCATCACCAAGCTTCTGACCCCCGATGTTGCTTTCAACGAAACGGCATACCAGGAGTTTGGGCCTCCTTTCGTTGGCACTCACGTCCTCTTGACCATCTTCTTTAATTATGCCGCCTACACGTCTGCCATGTGGGCGAGATGGAACCACATCCTGGCCGCCGCTTTTGACGGAGGCTTCAACTTCAACATGATGTTGACGTTCTTGGTCTTCGGCGCTGGGAAGATTGTGACTATGCCATATTGTGAGTACTCCTTTCTACTGTCCATTACCTGTCTGGTTTTTATTTACATTTTGCTTACGTTTTGGCCCAGGGCGGGGCAACGAGGCAACTAGTTCCGAAGGTGTTTTGCACTCGAGTAATATAAGAATTACTAGTATCGCGCAAGTGGGAGGAAATAGTCAACATAGCTTATGTGGTAACTCAATCATTCAAATTGGCCCGGGCATATCTTGCCGATTGAATGCTATATTGCCTGGCTCTTCTTCTCCGACGGGTATCTCGACAGGCTGTGAAAGCTAAACTTACTTTGAACTATCAATTACTATCTCGCCTTCTGACTAAGGCCTTGTTGTTATGTCCGCGATTCTGGCTGGCGATTTGACTTGGATTTCAAAACTACTGTAACTAAACCAGTATGCACCTGACCAGATAACCAAGGTCCTCATACAAAGCGGTCTCTCTTGAGGTCGCACAGGTACACAACCCGACCAGATAACAGCAATGGCTTGTTGTGTGTGATCAGCGGTAGGGCTGGGGGTTGGTGCCACAGTGTGACCTGGGTATTCCTTCCAACTCCCATGGATCTGCTGCTATTTACAGCACTTCCCCTTGTTTGAGGCGCACATCCGTTGCCCGCGCGACCCGGTATCGGTGATGCCGATGGTGGACATCATTTATCTCATCTCATCCTGCCAAGGAGAAACTTTATGCTCAGAATTCTACACAAGTACGGAGTACCACACACTGGCATCAAACTAGCCCCAATGCTGCGGCCTCACATCGCCTATGGTAGGAAGCTACTCTTTTCAAAAGGCAGTTAGGTTAATCTACCGCCCCAGTGAAAAGGATGCATTCAAAGAAGGCTCCGTACCCCGGGACAGCATTCACAGATTTATGCCATGCCCCGTCGATACCCCATGTTTGATCTACGGCATGGGCGGTACATATTATAAAACATCTTCCCGGGCCACTGATCTGTCCGTCAATACCGCTTTAATATGTTAGCATTAAGGCTACCAGGGAGTCACGACTCGCGACTAGATGACTGACTCGGTTCAGAGGGTTGTACGGAGTAGCCAGGATCTAGTAGGAAACCCAGCACCCTTTTTGACAAGTAAATGACCGTTTGTTTCTGCTACTCACGATTCTGCAAGATGCCGGCCAATCTTCAACTCTTCAACAAGGTATACCGGCCATCCACGTGCCACACGTGTGTTGTTCATTTGACGACGCGAGCGCATTCGTTTTACTCCTAGGCATTTCCCGACGTATTGTTCGACCAGCTCGATTACCCAGCGCAGCTGTTGGTGCGAATTCCCGACAATGATGGCGCCTACGGGACAGCAGCGGGATACGATAGTTCTCAACGATTTAGGCGAACACATCAGACCCTCAGGAGGCGATTCCTTGCGGCCATGGGCCCGCCGGAATGAATCGCAACCCCAAGACGACTGGCAGGACTTGGAATTCGATAACGAGAGCCCCGGCGATCGGACGAGATACAGCAAACCCGGCGAAAAACCTGATGCATATTCATCTCCCCCGGGCTCCGCCGTGCCTTTGAAGCCTGGCTCAACCTTCCTGCATCCTTCGACACCAGACGGCCAGAAGTCTACATTCAGTCGAGTGGATGATGACTGCAATGACGCCATTTCCCTCACTGCAAGATCGCACAGGAGTAGAATCAACAAGGCAAGCCGGTTCGTGTGGTGGACGATTGGCCTATGGTTATTAGGAGCATTGATGATGGTGTTGACGACCGTGTACTCGACTGGTTCGGCGAAAGCTTTGATGAGGTTGAACTTCTTTGTTACGTCGCCAAAAAACCCCATCTTGATTTTGCGCGTATTGACAGAGCTCTGCGCCATCACCTTGGCGGCTCTCGTTGTGGTTGTCGTGGAAGACCTGCAATGGGCACTGGCATCTCGTCCAGGCGGTATCAGCCTGTTACACTTTGTCGGGTTGGACTCCGGCACAGGCGTATGGGGACTATTGCGTCTCTTGGCGACGGCTGAATGGAAGCATAAGTACTCTAGTCTGTTTCGGTAAGTCTGGTTCTCGAGGTTGGCATATCACGGCCATGCCATGATGTTCTAACTCCGTCTAGTCTTCTCGTCATCTGCTCAATCCCTCTGCCTGGCGTTATTCTGATGGGTAAGCGGGCCTCTATCTGGGCCACCACCCGAACGCTTCACTTACATGGTACTCAGGCGCTATCTCTATCGACATGGTCACATTTCCTGAAAAGACATACAACGTATCCGCTGGGGTTGCTCCATTCAACACCTCGTACGTCTACAGCATAGGGCAATCCACGGCGACAGCACTATTGGTGCAAATGGGTAGCCCTACCTGGTCAGACAGAGACTCGTACTCTCTGGACCCTTTGGATCATGATTCAGGGAAATGCACCGACGCGAACGGCCATTGGGCAGCTTGTGATGAATCGCACATGCTCACAGGCGGTATTGTATCCGTGGCCCCTCAATCAGACGATCTAAAACAATATCCGGACTCTACGACATACGTTGTTCCTAACACTCGGGTCGTGCAGCTCGAGTACGGCACGGTGCACGATCTACAAAAGCTTCGCGCAACAGGCAAATGCGTGCTGCTCGGCGCTGCCAGTGCTGCCTCGTACTGGTGTACTGCTGTTGGCGAAGATAAGGAATTTCTGTTTGGTGAGAGAAGAGAATGCATCTGACGTTCCTGTTGCTTTGATGCTAACTGCTATTATCCTGCCAGGCTCCGCGTACTGCCCAATCTCACTGCAAACGACCAACTCCTGCATCAACAATACGGATTGGACCGACCCCCTGGAGCTCGCCTCCTCGCTTTTCGTGTATTCTCGTCTTGCCACCATCACCTACGATCGCGGGAACTTCTCTATACTCTCTGTGACCGATTTGTCAACACCAAAGCGGGACGTCATTGCCCTTGACGATTACATGCTCTCACTATCCGTAGTGATCCCAGGCTTCAACGCGAGCGCCGACTCGATGAAAGGCGATAACTCAGCTCTTGCTATTTATGCTGTGACAGCACTACCGATCAATGACAGCGAGGTGGCGAAGAAGCAGTCGTTGAAAGCTATACGCAAGGCCATGTCGGTGCCGTTCCACTACTTCCAGGCAAACTACGAGTCTGTCGGACCCTCGGTCTGGGAGCTTCCAGGGCCCCGTGAGGGCTTGCCAGAGGATATGTACACCACCATGTCTATATCCATTCTCAGCCATGAAGTTATTGCGGGCCAAGTGAGCAGGTGGCTTTTCGTGCTCGTGAGCGGGCTGATCCTGCTTTTGGCGGCAGCTATAATCGTGGCCACGTCAAAGGTCTGCGGAAACAGACCAGATAGATGCGGCTACCCGACTCTGGACTTCGCCGCCGTGTGCGCGGTAAAGGGAGGAATACCGCCTGCGCCGGCAGACTGGGGAGATAACCCAGAGGCGGCTCGCAGTGAACCATCTCATGCGAGCAGGCTATATCGAAGCCTGACACAACTGGGTCAGAAGCCCAGACGCTTTGATGTGGCTAAGAATATCAAAAATGACAGGGTCATTATCGGTTAGACAAGGGACGATCATATATCATGGTGTAATGACTAATGTTTTTTATGAAACACAATAATGTAGAGACCCAGTCTATCAGCAGGAGTGGGCGAATGCGTCTTATGTACCATCTCGATTCTGGTTACATGGATGTCTAGGTGCTCTAGTGACGTTAACATATTCATACTGTAAGAAAAGGATATGGGAACTTGATTAATGTCATCAACTGGATCTACTACCATATTACCAACCATTAATACGCCTACGGCAAAACTCTTGTGAAAGCAGTATTTGATTAACAGAAAGGAATTCCGTTTGCAACAAAACATAGCCTTGATGCCTGTATCATACTTGCCCACTTATCCCCGAGCGGAGCTCCTTTCGCAGACCCTCGTAAACTGTGAACTAGCTTGACGTCTCCATCTCTTCCACTCCTTACGATATCACTACAGGTGGAGGAGCTGCTGCATGCGGTTTACAACCTTCAGGGCGGCGGCTCCCCTTTCCCCTTGCAGAGACGGTAGAGACTACTTACCTCTCCCACCAAGGCTGCTACCACAGGCTCCGCGTCCCGTTTGAGCCGTAAGGGCACACAGGAGGTGGATGTCAGGTGGCTGTGGGAGATCCGCGCAAAAAGGTGATACTTTTTGCGTAGATATTGGCCAAGGTGACTAGCAAAAGAGATGATTGCGCCGAGGGGGAATCGAACCCCCGGCTCCCCGACGCTGCTTGATGGCAACGGAGAATTTTACCACTAAACCATCGGCGCGTTGCTTAATGCGTGATGTATGAAAAGAGCGTTGTCGTGGATCATGATTCTGTGGTCTGTAGGTGCCGGTGAATATCCTGGTATGAGCAGTTGGCTTGGGTTCGCTTGTTCTCATTGTGAACGGTTCGAGGTCCAATGGCACATGGAGACAAAGCCTTCGGGCCAATAGGCTGTCGAGGGCTTATGGTTGTTGACTATTTACCCGCGTCGCAAAATAGAAGCCGCCTATTGTTTTCCCCCCTTCTTGTCTCGATCAACAGCGGGTTTAACACTTCTATTTATCGTCCCTCTGAAGAACCCACCAGTAAAAAGCCCGAGTGCTTCACCAGCATTGAAGGTGGTAGTTGCTTCAGAGGTACTTGACCCGTGTCCACACTCCCGACGTTGATCGTATTTGTAGCGTTAAAACGCGCCGTGAAACTTGAGTGCTAACGAGCGCTGGTCTATAAGCCTTTCTAGCCAGAGGAACCTGAATCTCATATTGTTGGCGGGGCGTCGGTTACATAGGAGGGAGGCAACTCAGGTGACCGACAATTTCCCTGCCATAGAGGCGTGCTTCAGAAACAATTACTTCTTTCGCACCTTAAAATGAACGCAAGAACCAAGAGCATCGGTGCTAACCGCTGCCAAGAATGATTGGGCTCACACGTCTGAGCCATGTGTGAGAGAAGAATATTTGGATGTTCGTAATTGACAAGTTTGTTTGACCGGGCGATGTAGTGGTCTAGAGACCGGAGTCTTGTGGAATATCTCTGTGAACTGTTGGATTCCAGCATTTTCAACTCAAAGGGTTTAATACTTAGACCACCTTCGATTGCTGTTTCATATGCCAGTTTTTCTCTTGCGAAATCGTTATCAGAGCGTGGGCGAAGTCGATCTGTAGCATGTATAGGTTCCCGGGATCCCGAGGACGCCGTTGTTGGATATCTAAGGAAGCCATGGCTCTTGGAGACTTGTAAGAGGTTCGCGGCTAGTTGAGCGGGTGGGTTCATTGTTGAATTTCAAAAGGTTCAAGTCATTGGTATCGACGCAGTCTACTAATATTTCGCGCGATATTGAGCACTGTATGAGCTCTGGAAGGGTCAGCTAGTTATGGTCTGAACAACATTGAGATTGGGTAACGGAACCATTCTACGCACCGCTGAATACGTACGTATATCCATGACACTGGTCTCAATCTCAGGAGCGGCGTATGAATATGGTCAAAAAAAAGTTTAGACGCTGTCAGGTGTCTTGGCCAAGTCGGGTGTGTCCGGCATGCAATGGCAGGAAGTCACCCAAGTCGACGCTGTTCTCCCCAAGTGTTACCTGCACCGAAAGAGTTGCACCAAAGTCATAAGAGAGATGTGCAAGTTTGGCTGCTTGCTCGAGGACCAACCAAACATAATCTTCACAGTCGTCATCCCATGAATTGCGGTATTGGCCCAGAGAGACCAACGAGGGTATCTCGGCAAATTTGAGACGGGTAAGAGAGAGAAGCAACAGACTCAAGATGATTGAGCGTTCTGGTTTGGTAAACAGAGGGGCCAAGAGGATGGCACCGTCAATTCGAGCGACGAGGTAATTTTCAAGCTTTGTCAAACGCTGTTGTGCCGCTGTCATGACAAGGCTGCTAGACCCAGCAAGTATGAAAGTCGCTGTCTATGAAGTAAGTCCACAACCGTGACGGCGATGACACTGGAACGCTCCAGTAACAAGCAGAATCAATACACAAGCTACGCTGATCCTTTATGCGTCATGGCAAGTTTCCAGAAGAGAGGCTAGGTAGCTAGTTGAACGTCTAAAGACATTCAACTTTCCGAGGGGACTTCTGCTCAAGAGCCTCACTGGGCCCGGGCTTCAGATCACGCTTAGATTGGTTTAGCAGAGGGCACGAATACACATACCATGCCGCAGCAAGCCGTATCGGTCGTCGATACTTCTCCAGACCGATTCGGTCACCAACGAGGCTGACATGGTAGACACTCTCCCCATCTCGATGGAGGGCCGCAAGCCGTGGCTTACTTACCTGCCACGATACCCCCCCCCCCCCTCTCATAACAAATTTCCGGCGCGGTGATCCGAAAAAGCGCACTTACGGGTGTGTGGCCGACGAGCCAATGCGTGACCACAACCTAGGGTGCAACGAAGCCTGACACACGGCCGGGGGTGTGCATGCCGCCCGGCGTAATCGAGCATCTCGCCGAAGGGACGACAAACCAGCAGAAACCGTGCCGCATCCAAAACGAAGACGACGTTCAAAGCGCAGACAAGAAGAACCCCATGCAAAGAATACAGCCACTGAAGAGGCGGGATTGGCGCCATGTGCGTGGTCTGATGGCGGGGGACTCGCCGGCCCCCATCTTGTTCTGCAGACTGTGGACGGGGCTTTTATCTGGGGAGGCAAGTCGCGTCGGGCGCTGGGGGACGAGATGGAACGAGAGTGAAGACGGACGTGCATCAGCTTTCGGGTAAAATCGGTGACAATTCCTCGGAAGAGGGGGAGAGAGGGCACGATGGCGGGCGGGAAATGCCTCAGTTGGCTGGCCCGGCCCGTTCAGGCTGATGTGGTGTAGGGGTGTCGGGCAGCCCAGCGTCCAAGTCGAACGTCGAGGGTACAGGTTCGATTCGGCGAGGGGGGAGACGTTGAATGGAAGCATGGCATTGGGCGTTGACTTGGGATCGGCCTGCCTGGTCTAGGCCCGCAGGAAGTGATGGTGGAGATGGGGAGATGGGATAGACGGACTCGAATGGGATTGATACTGACGGGGGGGTTAAGCTGTCCAGCCGGCGGGTGTATGGCACCAAGCATGAGGGGGGGGGGGGGGGGATGACAGACCGGCCCAAGACCACGATGCTCGGTGCCCATGGGGTTTGGTGGATACGCCGGGCAGAGAAGACGAGCCTAGACTCTGTGGGATGCGGAAGCGGAGGCGCTTGCGCGTGGACTATCAGTCTGTCCTCTGTTCTATGCAACGGGGAAACGCTTAAGGCCGGTCCATACGTGCCGTGCCGTACATGGTAGTGTTCAGACGTCGACAAGAGCCGCTGGCGATCCCCGACCCGGATTCCGATGGAAGCCAATACGAGGCCTCGCCGTGTCCGGCCAGAGATATGGGTGGTGATCATGGCAGGGAGAGTTCAGGTTCGCGTCTTGGCGGCAGACGAGGCACTCCCTCCCCTCCCCGGCTCCCTGGTCGAGCGAAGGATGGCTGGCCAGAAACGAATTGTGCATGCAAAGAGTTCACCGGCGTGGCTGCAGCAGCCGTGGTAGTGGTGATGATGATGACGATGGTGGTGGTGGTGCTTCATCTCATACTCGGGCACCTGCATCGTAGGGACGAAGAGTCAAATCAGGCACGGGCACGTCTCGCTGGCCATCCGCGCTCATTACCCTCCAAGTGAAGATCGGGCTGGAGTGGCTGAATGAGATGGGCTGTGATTGTTCAAACGCTGGTCAACCAACCCCCCCTTGAAGGCTACAACGAGAGATCTAGACGCCCGTTTCCTCTGTAACATGCTCTCTCCCTCCGCCTGTGAGCCTTTTCTGTGCGTAGAGTGAGTGCACTTTGACGTCGCTCGACGGCCCCGTCCAACGTGGACTGACAACGATAGGCCCGGTTCATCGAAGCTTCACAGCACACCACAGCACACCACAGCACAAGACATCGCGCGAGCCAAGTCGCATTGCAGCAGCAGCAGCAGCAGCAGCAGCAAGGTTGTGAGTTAGCACCCCGCGACGGGCGCTCGGTGTTGGTCCCCGCCGCCGCCGCCCAGGGCGTCCAAGTCCGGCCTCACGTCCGCTCACCGTCTTTTCAGCAACGCGAACTTTAACGATAACCCCCCCTGCCGAGGCCGGAGCGACACGCGAGAGTGAGGCAGGCAGACGCCACAGAGGTCTGTTGGCTCACAGAGGGAGAGAGGGAGAGAGCCTCAAAAGGGGGCCACTGGGAAAGAAGAGACCGGGAAGTGCCTTGGAGAAAGGCGAACGCGAGGGAGACGGAAGACTGAAAAAAAGGGGGAAGAGAATTGCCTCGAAATTACGTCAGGTGGGCCGAAACCTTTCCCTCGCAGTTTGAATTATCATGCCCTTTATTTTATCACATAATTGTACGGAGTATCCGTATTTCAGCTGCCAAAACCCGATGATACTCGTTGTTCTGCCTCGCTGCACCCCCCCCCCCCCCCTCTCCCGGCGTCGTTGCCATGCTTTGACCCGGGGACGACGGCGGCGCGGGCTCAGGATGGCTGCCAGCAGTCTCTCAGCAGGGCGGAACACCATCGGACGGGGGCTTCAGTTGGCTGCTTTGCCCTTATCGTCGTGCAAGAGCCGAAGACGGACAAGTGTCGGTCACGACGCCACGCCCTCAGGTCCCTCGCCAGGTGGCATCACCAGTGGTGTTCTGGGACGTTTTAGTGCAAGACCCGTTGCGGCATGTCAGCCGAGGGGGGCGTGTTCGTTAGTTTACGTCGAATGGGCTGCTTTTACGGATTAAGTTACCCTAACTCTGTACTCCCTCCTCCCAGCCTCTGCCCCCATATTCATATGCATATCCCACCCCCACCTGGCCGCCTGAAACAAAGAAACAGAGAGAAAGAGAAGATTTTGATGAGATTGGGCAAAGTAAAGGGCAGGAAGTACGGAGTAATAAAGAAGGGATTTTTTTATCTTTATTTTTATTTTTTAGAGGGGAAGAAAAAGGGGGGGGGGGGGGGGACGGCATGCAAATCCCTCTTGTTTCTCGGGATTCCCAGAGATGGGGTTTGCAGCTTTGCCGTATGTCTGGCCAGTTGCATCACAAAGACATCATAAGGCAACACGGACAGGAGGAACAGACATACTCTGTACACTAAAGAGGAGGGCTCAAACAGGGCACTTCCCATTGACCATGGACCATAGGTAACCCAGCAGGGCTGGCTCGATGGTCTACCTCGGGCCAAGACCAGGAACAGGCGAGTGGAAAAGGTTCGAGAAAGCTCCAGGACGGGGGTGGACATGGGCAACCGACAAGGGGGAATATGGCTCCTCGTATTGGCCAATGTCATTTCGAGAATTCGTCCCGTCGAAACCACCCAGGGGGGGGAGGGGATCGTTCCGAGCTGCCACACCACCTCTCGATTAGCAGCAGCACCCAGCAGCAGCAGGGCATAGACTGCTTTGTATCCGTACAGTAGGTAGTGTCCACTACTCCGTACATACGGAGTAGTAGACACACAAAGGCTAGAGGAGTGTAGGTCCTTGACTTGTAGCGGGCCGAGTGGACATGGCTGCGTCATAAGTACCTCGATGGGCTGAGAGGTGTGACGGGATACACCGAGAATACGACCTCGGGACAGGCCGGATACTTGGGGCCACACACATGGGGAGACGCTGAATACCGGTAGTGTATCCGTAGATGAAGAAGAGGAGGAGGAGGAGGAGGAGGAGGAGGAGGAGAAGGAAGTGAAGGGAATCCAGACAGAAGGGGGGGGGGGGGGCAGGACAGAGCTCCGAGGTTCCAGCATGTTCCCCTCCTTCCCCTTTCTACCCCTCCACCGTCACCTTGGGCACCGAAGCAGCACAGGATTGGGGACATGCACAAGAGCTTGTCATCAACTGGTGCGGCCTATCTCTCTCTCTCTCTCTCTCTCTCTCCCTCTCTCCCCGGTGTTTGCTGCTTGCTGTCATGAAGCATCAAACATCCAGCACACGGAGAGGGAAAACACAACAGGCTCTCCTCCCGGTGTAGCAAAACAAGAAAGCCACCACCAAGGCTGCGAAGCAATCCAAGCCAAGCCTACCAAGCATACATACTACCTAAGCACACCAAGCAATCCAGCAGCGGTCAATCAGCAAGCCCGCGTGGCAGTGCGACGACGGCAGCATTCCGGAGACTCTGGAGATTCTGGAGTCTGGCCTGCGGGGTCGGTACGTACCTGTCTACGTATCCGTACAGTACCTAGGAGCAAACCGTCCTGGCGATCCACAAGTACCTTTTCGCAGGGGCTGCTGCGGGGAGGTACATGCACCAAGCCCCTCCATCCAAGGTGTACGTACCTCGACGTACGTACCACTCCGTACAAGTATCTGTACATGGTACTAGGTAGGTAGCATTGTGAAGCACATTGTACAGACCATTACCAACACAACGCAACGCAACGCAACTCAGTTGTTTCTGGCATTTGATTGTGCCAGGTCTGCCTGTATATAGATACCTGGCTTGGTTTATTTTTTTGTTACCTACCCGCAGGTAGTGTAAAACCACCTGGGTTTGCATGCGATGTGCGTGTGTGCAATGGATGCATCCCAAGACTACCTAGGTATAAGCCCAGTACCCTTATCCTGGGTAGCTACCTAAGTATGTGATGTTACAGTGTGCTCAATGTACTGGATACATGTCATGCGACGAGGGAACAGTGTCTGTCAGTACAAGTGAGTATGTATCTGGTACCTGAGATACTAGTGGGGCCCCCCCCGGCCGGCGCCGTCACTGTGAACTCACCTCACCGTCAAATGTCATCGCGACGGCTTCTCTTTTTTCTTTCTCTCCCCCGGCCTGTCTCCTTTTTCTCAAGTCTGGTTTGGCTCTGGATTCTCTCATATGATCCTCGAGGCCATCTATCCATCTTAATCTTACCCCTTGCTCCCCCCTCTTATTAGCCTCTCCAAGTGGTGCCTGTCTGTTCTGGTCTGTCTACTTGGACCAACCTGCAAGTGTTCCCATCATTTCCCCCAGACATATCACCACCGCCACAGAGACTCTTCATCATCTTTTCTCTCTCGCTCTGTCACTTTTCTTCTTCTTCTCTCACAACACCATAACTCGTCTTTCTCACTCCCGCTCTCATCCTTCTACCACCGCACCTCATTGCATTGCATTGCTGGATTCTCCTTTGATTACGGATACATACACACTCACACGCACTTATCTCCATCTCTCCCCCCCCTCCCCTGTCCTTACGACCGCCGCTAAGCCAAACTCAACGGCGCACATCACCCCGCGAGCCCAGAAAGGGAATAAGGAAGAGAGGAATAACACGAGTCATCATGGAGCAGCAGCAGCACCAACAACAACCCGATCGGCCAGCCGACTTAAGCCGCGAGGTTTCCTCTCCAAACATCCCCATAGACTTCAACCAAGCATCGGTCAATCCTGCACCAGTCAACCCGGCCAACCCCGTCCTCAGAAGCGTCTCCTTGGCCGACGCCGTCACCCCCGGCATCCACCAGCACACCTACGTCTACCGCGACACCTCCCGCTCTCAGTCGCCCAGTTACTTCCCGCCACCCGCCGACGCCCAAAGCTACTTTTCCCTCTCCGACCGCCCCCGCGATTCCCCCCCTCAACCTCCAACCTCCAACCCACAATCTTCTCAATCACAACAACAACAACAACAACAACAACCACCACAAATCTCGACCTCCTCCCAACTCCCCCGCTCGCCTGGTCCCCTCTCCGGCCGCGATATCCTCAAGCGCATGACCCTCGCAGCCATGGGTCGCCGCGAGTCTCTCTCGCAAATCCGCGCCGCCAACCCCGACCTCCACCTGAGCGGCAACATCATCTCGGCCACCTTTAACATTCCCCATTCCCTCAGGTACCGCAAGGGATCCGACTGGGTATGTTTCTCTCCCTCTCCCTCTCTCCCTCTCCCTCTCTCCCTCTCACCCCTTTCCCCCCCCTCTCCGCCTTCTCCATCTAACATATGCCCAGGAACTGAAACCTCGCCGCGGCCAGTCCGCCCTCTTCGACTCCTTCGCCTACCTCTCCTCCGACGAGACCCCGTGGCACCACACCGTCGTCGCCTGGACCGGCGAGATTGACACCCCCAAGGACGTCCTCTCCCCCCCCGGCACTCCGCCCGCCACCACCGTCCACTTCTCCTCCCTCAATACTCTCTCCGCCCCCGTCCCCATCGATGGCGACCCCCGCCTGCCCACCCCGCCCCCGAGCACCGACGGCCTCTGGCTGCCCCGCGAGGACCAGCTCCGCCTCGAGGCCCAGCTCGCTCACTCAAAGACCATCAGGACCGTCCCCGTCTGGCTTTGCGACGATAACGAGCAGCAGGAAGAGGGCATCCTCCTCAAGGACCAGAGCCGCTGGCGCCGCTACGCCGAGCACGACCTCTACACCCTCTTCCACTACAAGCAGCACGAGCCCACCGACGGCCGCAAGGAGCGCCTCCAGTGGGCCGACTACTACCGCATGAACCAAAAGTTCGCCAACCGCATCATCGACCTCTACAAGCCCGGCGACATCGTCATCGTCCACGACTACTACCTCATGCTGCTGCCCAGCATGCTCCGTCAGCGCGTCCCCAACATGAACATCTCCTTCTTCCTCCACTCCCCCTTCCCCAGCTCCGAGTTCCTCCGCTGCCTCCCCCGCCGCAAGGAGGTCCTCGAGGGCGTCCTCGGCTCCAACCTCGTCGGCTTCCAGTCCTACAGCTACTCCCGCCACTTCGCCTCCTGCTGCACCCGCGTCCTCGGCTTCCCCTCGGACAGCGGCGGCGTCGACGCCTACGGCGCCCGCGTCCAGGTCGGCGTCTTCCCCATCGGCATCAACGCCGACAAGTGCGAGATGTACGCCTGGACCGACGCCGTCACCCAAAAGTACGACGCCCTCAAGAAGCTCTACGAGGGCAAGAAGATCATTGTCGGCCGCGACCGCCTCGATTCCGTCCGCGGCGTCGCCCAGAAGCTCCAGGCCTTTGAGCGCTTCCTCGAAATGTACCCCGACTGGCGCGAAAAGGTCGTCCTCATCCAGGTCACCTCCCCCACCAGCATCGAGGAGGAGAAGGACGACGACCCCGAGAGCCGCATCGCCACCCGCGTCAACGAGCTCGTCATGCGCATCAACGGCATGTACGGCAGCCTCGGCTTCTCCCCCGTCCAGCACTACCCCCAGTACCTCAGCCAGGACGAGTACTTTGCCCTGCTGCGCGCCGCCGACATTGGCCTCATCACCTCGGTCCGCGACGGCATGAACACCACCAGCATGGAGTACGTCATCTGCCAGCGCGAGGGCCACGGGCCCCTCATCCTGTCCGAGTTCTCCGGTACCGCCGGCAGCCTCAAGGACGCCATCCACATCAACCCCTGGGACCTCAGCGGCGTCGCCGCCGAGATCAACAACGCCCTCACCATGTCACCCGAGAAGCGCATGGCCATGCAGACGAGCCTCTACAACCACGTCACCACCCGCAACGTCCAGAGCTGGATCGACCACTTCATCCGCAAGCACGTCCACGTCCTCGGCACCCAGAAGACCGCCCACGCCACCCCGCTGCTCGACCGCACCCTCATGCTCAAGACCTACCGCGACGCCGGCAAGCGCCTCTTCATGTTCGACTACGACGGCACCCTGACCCCCATCGTCCGCGAGCCGAGCGCCGCCGTCCCCTCGGAGCGCGTCCTGCAGACCCTCAGGGCCCTCGCCAGCGACGACCGCAACGCCGTCTGGATCATCTCCGGCCGCGACCAGGAGTTCCTCCAGCAGCACCTCGGCCACATCCCCGGCCTCGGCTTCAGCGCCGAGCACGGCAGCTTCATGAAGAACCCCGGCTCCGACGAGTGGGTCAACCTCGCCGACAAGTTCGACATGGGCTGGCAGGCCGAGGTCATGGACGTCTTCCAGTCCTTTACCGACCGCGTTCCAGGTGAGCAGCCCACTCCCCTACCCACCTTATCTCTCCCCCCTCTCAACCTCTCCCTCCCTCTCTAACCACTTATCGTATACAACGACACTAACACAACTCAGGCTCCTTTGTCGAGCGCAAGCGCTGCGCCCTGACGTGGCACTACCGGCTGGCTGACCCCGAGCAGGGTCTGCACATGGCGCGCGAATGCCACAAGGAGCTCCAGGCCACCGTCGCGCAGAAGTGGGACGTCGAGGTCATGGAGGGCAAGGCTAACCTCGAGGTCCGGCCGACCTTCATCAACAAGGGCGAGATCGCCAAGCGGCTCGTCCACACGTACAACTCGGCGTCGGCGTCGGACAAGCAGGCCAGCCGCGTCGAGTTCGTCCTCTGCCTCGGCGACGACTTCACCGACGAGGACATGTTCCGCTCTCTCAACGGCCTGTCCGGCACCGAGCTCGAGAACGACCACGTCTTCACCGTCACCGTCGGCGCCAGCACCAAGGTCACGCTGGCCAGGTGGCACCTGCTCGAGCCTGAAGACGTCGTCGAGTGCGTCGCCCTGCTCGTCGGCGTCGGCCTTGGTGGCGAGTCCCACGAGCACTTTGGCCAGGTCAACCTCGCCGCGCTGAGCACCGTCGAGGGACACATCCCCGAGTCGGAGAAGTGACACCGGATGAAGCGACACAACACGACGCACAGCAAACTGTAATGGAGAGACAGAGAGAGAGCGAGAGAGGTGGGGGGTGGGGGGGGGGGGAGATGAAGTGGAATATCATACAGCCGGGAGTATGGGTAGAAAGGGCGTTGCTTTGTTGTGATTGATTGTCCTTTTTTCTTCTTTTTTCTTTTCTTTCTCCATCATGAAGCCGTTTTTTGTAATTTGTTTCTCCCCCTTCTTTTTTGGTACTCTGACAGAGAACGTCATCGAGTAGCAGGGTAGTTGACACGAGGCATGATGCATGAGCCCAGCATGGAAGCGGGATTGGCCCTAAGAGACGGGCCCCCAGCCTAGGTGCATATAGACTATTCTTGTTGACAATCAAAGATACACTGAAATCGTAACAACAACTACGGATAGTCCCGCGGTTGTGTCGGTGATGCCGTCAAGTCCGCACGCAGAACTTGTTGCCGCCGCCAGCCCTATCTATCTATCCCCTCCCCATCCCCCCTAGCACACATCTTGACAGATGCGGTAATCAATTCACAGGCCACCGGCCGACCGACGGTTGACAGCTCACGGATGGACGCACAGATGCCCCAGAAAGGAAGGTCACATTGCTGATCATCGGATCGACACATCGGCCCCCGACTCCGAATCCGACTCGGGCTGGCGGGGGGAGCGTCATGGCTTTGACAGGCGGTCGGGGCGAGACGAAAGAACTGTCCCGTCTTCAGTGTATCCCCGTAGCATCTCGGCCGATCCCCTCGAAAACCCTCGGAGAATGTCAAGACGAGAGACTCTCCCGGGAGCATCTTGACTGAAAAGCGCGCGCCTTGTTTTAGAGGACCCCCTCTCTCTCTCCTCCCAAAGACTCGAGAGCATATTTGCGCACTTTCGGGACCCCCCGGTCGCGGTGGATCCATGTCTTGGGATTTTGGGAGAGCCCGTGTCGCTCGGCCGTGCTCCGTCACGCATGCCGGACGAGGACCGTCAAGAGACTCTCTACTCGCCTCAGCTTCGGGCTTCTCCGAGTCGTCCCTCTCGTGGGTTCGTCTAGTCTGGTTAGAAAGAAATAATTCGAATCCCCCGATGGGGCGCCGAGCACACACCAACCAGCCTGATCTATCGCTCAACTTGCGGACATTTCCCCCCGTCATCAGCGCTCCGGCCTTGGCTCATTCCGAAATGGGCGGCCCGGACCCAGCATTGCTTTCGACCTACCTCTCCTGGGTTGGATCGTATGCAGGTACAGCCGCCCCCTTGTCCACGAAGGGGGGGGGCAGTAGATTGCAACGGCGGGGGCGACGACTGCTTGTGATGCACCCCAGCTGGTAAATAAAGAGCTTCCTGTCCTCGCCGCTCCCCCCCTTCGCCTCCGGTCGATACCGCAGCTATCGGACTAAGCCTCTGTCACTCGAGCCGGAGTCACGATGCGTTTCGCTCAGCTATTGCCCGCCCTGGCTCTCGTGGCCAGAGGCGCCGCAGCGCAGCAAGACGACGACGAAGCCCCTGGGCCAGCCGACGTCGAGGTCGAAGCCAGGCGCTTCATCATCGAGTTCGCCAGCGTACGTCGCTCAACCGCCGCCCCCGCCCTTACTTCCCCCCGATCCGTGACCTGCCGCCGCTAACACGTTGGAAACCTCCCCCCTCCGCAGGGCGTCCACGCAGAGACCAAGCGCGACAAGCTCTCGTCCGAAGAGGGCATCACGGTGCTCACGACGTTCGAGTCCGCCGTCTTCTCCGGCGCCAGCCTCGAGACGGACAGCCACAACCTCGACACGCTCCGCGGGCTCCCCGACGTCGTGGGCGTCTGGCCCAGCGGCAAGATCAGGCTGCTCGCCCCTGTCAAGCGCCAGACTGGAGTCGAGCCGGACGCCGCCACCGCCGCCGCGCACGCCGTTCACTGGGCCACGGGCGTCGACGAGCTCCACGCCGAGGGAGTCCTCGGCGAGGGCGTCAAGGTCGGCATCGTCGACACCGGCGTGTGGTACCGGCACGCCGCCCTCGGGGGCGGCTTCGGCCCGGGATTCAAGGTCGCCGGAGGTTGGGACCTCGTCGGCGACGACTGGGCGCTCGGCGGGGAGAAGAGGCCCGACGCGGACCCCGCCGACGAGCAGGGCCACGGCACTCACTGCGCGGGAATCCTGGCCGGGGAGGAGACCGGGGAGGCCGGGCCGTCGGGGTGGAAGGGCGTGGCGCCCCGCGCGAGCTTGTACGCGTACAAAGTGTTCGGGCCGGGCGACGGCACCGACGAGGCGACCATCATCGACGCGTTCCTCCGAGCGTACGACGACGGCATGGACGTCATCACGGCCAGCGTCGGCGGTCGGGGCGGGTTCGCCGAGAACGCGTGGGCGGTGGTGGCCAACCGCATCGCCGCGGAGGGCGTCGTCGTCACCGTCGCCGCCGGCAACTCGGGCAGCGGCGGCGCGTACTACGCCAATTCCGGCAGTGCCGGCGAGAACGTCCTCGCCGTCGCGAGCGCCGAGGTCAAGAGGGGCAGCAACGCAACGACGACGACGACGAACACGACCACGACCGCGGGGGACGACGAAGACGGCGCAGTCCGCCGGCCGTCGTACTTCACGAGCTGGGGCGGGCTGTACGACTTGTCGGTGAAGCCGGACATCGCGGCGCCCGGCACGGACGTGTTCAGCACTTGGCCGGGCGGCGACGACAACCAGTTCGCCCTGCTGAGCGGCACGAGCATGGCGACGCCGTACGTCGCGGGCGTGGCGGCGCTGTACATTTCCAAGCACGGCGGGAGGTCGGTGCACGGTAAGGGATTCGCGCGGGACCTCACCATGCGCATCGTCGCTTCCGGAGCGTCGCTGCCGTGGCTGCCGTACGTTGAGGAGGCGGCGGAATCGGCCTTCAGGGCGCCGTCGCAGCAGGTCGGCGGAGGGCTCATCGACGCGAGGAAGGTCGTCGGCTACGACACGGCGCTGGAGCTCCGCCGCTTCGGGCTGAACGACACGGCAAACTTCCGAGCGGGCCAGGAGATGGCGGTGCGGAACACGGGCGCGGACAAGGTGACGTACAGCTTCGCGGTGGAGAGCTGGGCTGGGGTCGAGATGCTCAAGGCGTACGACGCCCGGGACCCGGGGGAGACGCCGAGGATCCGCTACCGTCCCGAGATAGTGCCGTCCAACATCTCGGTCGACGTCGCTCTACCAGACGAGTTTGAGCTCGGGCCGGGGGAGGAGAGGAAGGCGAAGTGAGTTCGTCCCCGAACACCCCCAACGTCAACGATACGCACAAAGGGGGAAGGTGATGCTGACCTTTTTTGATAGATTCGAATTCGAGGTCCCCCAGGGCGTCAACCAGACGGCGCTTCCGGCGTACGGCGGCCGGGTGCTCGTCAAAGGCAGCAACGGGGAGGTCCTCGGCGTGCCGTTCCAGGGGCTGGCGTTCGATCTGAAGGAACAGATGCAAAGCCCGTTCCACGGGACGTATCCGTGGCTAAGGTCTACGGCCGCCTACAGCAACAAAACGACGTAAGCATTCGCTTTTCGCTGAAGGCAGGGGGGAATCTGACGCGGGCTAACCCTCGACGCAGGTTCACGTTCGATCTCAGCAGCGCGGCGCAGGACTTTCCCAAGATATTCATGAAGATCAAGTGGGGGACCAGAGAGGTCAGATGGGATGTAAGTCTCATTCGTCCATGTTTTCTTTTTCCTTTTCTTCTTTGATAAAAAAGAGGATGGGGATGGCATTACAGATCGAACCACGGCTGACGACTGACTGCAGATCTACGAGTCAGCCTTCGAGGAGGGACGTGACTGGGAATACCCGCCGGTCCCCGGCCGACGGGGCTACATCGGCTCGGCGACGTCCTGGACGGGCTCCGGCAGCTCCTCGAGCTTCAACCCAGCACGCCACAACGCGAGCGACGTGTTCGCGATGCCCGAGAGGGACGTCGCGAGGAACGCCCTGACGACGGGCGGCTTCACGACGACTTACTGGTGGTTCGGGCGGCTCGCCGACGGCAACGTAATCGGGCCGGGGAACTATACGTGAGTTGACCCTTGGAGATGCTGGGCGAAGAGGCCGCGTTGCATGAGTGCTTTGCGGTTGAGCTGGGATCCGAGCTAACTTTGGGCACCAACAGAATGAGATTCGCGGTGTTGATTCCGTTCGCCGACCCTCGGGACGCGAACAGTTGGAAGGGGTTGACTACACAGTTCACCGTCTTGCCGAAGCCTGGAAACGAGACTGTCGCGATGAGGTGGGGATGAATAGAAGGGTTTTGTGTATTGAGCGCTATTATCGCGGACTGAAGGCAAATCGTCGATCAAACTGCTCGTCTGCTAGAAAGGGCAAAGTTCCATGTTCCTTGGAAATAAGTCCAAAAGCTGCGCATATCTGCAAGACCCGGCCCATGACCTCATTCCGAGTGTAATACCGTTGTTATCCCAATAGAATTCCAAGTGTAATACCGTTGTTATCCAAACAGAATCCCAAGTGTAAGTCCAACCATAATCCAACTATTCCGGCCATAGCATCCATCATCTTCTGGTATCAGCTCGTTTCACGCATTAACGGTTACTGCAGGACGATGGCACCGATGCCAAGTAGCTCGATCATGCTGTCGCTACTGAAGTCGGGGTACTTCAAGCAGAGCGTCTTGAATTCTGACATCTTCAAAATCTGCTTGCAGAGAAGTCGGCTCCCAAAAGTGAGTTTTAGAAAGGTGACCCTGAGGCTTTTGCTGCGTTTCGTCTTTGATAATGTGCCGTAGACGAGACGGCAGGCGGCAACCCAGTCTTCGAGGTCGACAGAACGGACTTCTTGGCGAGGAGAACGGGTGGTCGGGTGACGGGTGATCGAAGGGAGGATGTCGTTGAAAATAAATTCATTGACGTCGATCAAAAGCTCACCAATGACAAAGTAATTACCCAAGACCAACAACTGCATCGCGGTCTGCAAGCGTTTGCCTTCACTTATGATGCGCGCGAACTTGACATCTGGTAGTTTTACATTGTTGGTTAACACGTAAACGACAAGCGTTAGAGGAGTGTCCAGAATATAACTGGCTTGATAAGGATGACGACTTACTGCCAGCATAGATGTAGGATATGACCAGTTCCATCTGGTCAGCATTGAAGTCCTCAATCACAAATTTGTTGTTCTTCGAGTCCTTTTAGGCACCATGTCAACTCTTCGGATTGAAGCAGTGGCTGACAAGTGTACATACCGACGAGTCATTAGGGAGACATCCCTTGAAATAGTCGGATCGCGAGCACAAAATGAGTTTGTGCAGCTTCCAGGTCCTGCCATCGCAGACGACCTCGCAGTCGGCCAAATAGCCGCTTTTGATGAGTCTGACAGTTTTTTAGAATCTTGTACAAAGTAATTATAGTGGAAGAATCTGTGATGAACGTGTGAACTGACTCCTGGTCGTTGCTGCCGAAGCTGCTCATGTAAGATTGAGAATATTCCATTGGAATAGTTGACGATTCCATTCGAGTGCTTCTTGGGTGTATAAAATCTGTCGATTAGCGAGGATAGCTTAGCTGCAATGGCCTGTTTCTGCCGGAATAACGAGTGGAAGAAGTGAGGTGTGGTTGATTAAAGTTTTGTGTGATCGGTCCAGAGACTTGGCAGTTGAAGAAGAATCGTTCCTTCTCGAGTACAAGAGAGACGACCGATCTTTCCTGCCGCATGAGAAGATTGAAAGAAGAAAGAGCCCAATGGTTTAGGTTGTAGGAGGCAGGTACGAATGTGGGCCGTTTGGAAGGTGCAGGAGATGGTAACTTCTGAATCTCACTTCATCGCCTGCTTCACTTCATACTTTACCTCATGCTTCCTCATACTTCCTCTCACTTCAATTAAGCCATGATTCAAAAATGGTGTATCTTCACTTTCATAAGACCAGTTAATTGAAGACGCCTTCCAACAAGAGGCGGAGACTTTTCTTGGTCGAAGCTGTTGTTGGCAGGCCTGTGTTCTCACTTAGTTGAGCCAAGCAGCGAGGGAGATATTACATCTGGTTAAGAATCCATGGATAGAAGTATGAGATGAACATATTGCACATGAGCTCCAACCCCGGAAGTAGAGTTCTCCAGTTGCTGCTCTTCAACTTGACACAATGGTGCTTCCTGCTGTCCCGAAATGCCTATCTCGGTGTATCGGTGAGTTTCGGTGAGAAGCATGCACATCCCTGACGGCCCTCGGTGTTTAGAAGTGGACCCGCATGTGTGGAGACCAATCGGGGGGCTCTCAAGGTGCCTAAGGCGCCGGCGATTGCATCATTCCGAAAGACTAAGCCGAGCCCTCGGGTTGCGACATTCCCGCCTTCAAGTGCACCATCGCCGCCGAGTCCTCATTATTATCCCCGATCATTGTCCAGTTTTCTCTTCTCTCCATCCCGTGGCCGTACTCGGTCTATTGTCTGCCCTCTCAACAAGTCGCTCTCTCAATTGTGGTAGGTTGCTCCCTCTTATAATATAACCCCTCCAAACATTCCCGGAACCCTCTCAAGCCGGCATCTCGGCTGGAAATGTCACTCGCCGTCGCTGACCGACCCTCGCGCGCAGATTACACAAGGAAAAGGAAAATGATCGAGTTGCGGCGCAGGGCACGACAACGATGATAATCCGAGCCGTAACCAAGGCTCCCTTGGCCTGCCCCCGAGGCATCGCACACATACACTTCTGCCGTCCGCCGTGGCTCCCCCAGAGCCCGCGGGCACCGATCCGCGTCTTCCAGACGAGCGCACCCTCGAGACGCGAAATCCCGACGACGAACCACGCCACGACGAAACCCGGCGATGGAGGAAACAAGACCCCGGCCAAGGCCAAGAAGCCTGCCGCCGCCGCCGCCGACCCTCTGGCCTTGCCTGAGAAGAGCGCGAAGGAACAGCGCAAGGCCGACTGGGCAATCATGAAGGAGATGTCACGGTACCTGTGGCCCAAGGACAGCATCAGCACAAAAGTCCGCGTCGCCCTGGCCGTCTCCCTGCTCATCGGCGCAAAGGTCCTCAACGTCCAGGTCCCCTTCTACTTCAAGAGCATCGTCGACTCCATGAACATCGACTTCGCCGCCACCGGCGGCACCGCCGCCACCATAGCCGGGAGCATGGTCCTGGCCTACGGTGCCACCAGGATAGGCGCTACCGTCTTCCAGGAGCTGCGCAATGCCGTCTTCGCCTCCGTCGCCCAGAAGGCCATCCGCAGGGTCGCCTGCAACGTCTTTGACCACCTGCTGCGCCTCGACCTCAGCTTCCACCTGTCCAAGCAGACGGGCGGCCTGACGAGGGCCATCGACCGCGGCACCAAGGGCATCAGCTTCCTGCTGACGAGCATGGTCTTCCACATCCTCCCGACCGCCCTGGAAATATCAATGGTCTGCGGCATCCTGACCTGGCAGTACGGCGCAAAGTTCGCCGCCATCACCATCCTCACCATGGTCGGCTACACGGCCTTCACCATCTGGACGACGGCCTGGCGGACCAAGTTTAGGAGACAGACCAACGCCGCCGACAACAAGGCTTCGACCGTCGCCGTCGACTCGCTCATCAACTACGAGGCCGTCAAGTACTTCAATAACGAGAAGTTCGAGGTTTCGAGGTACGACAAGGCCCTGCAGGCCTACGAGAAGAGCTCCATCAAGGTCGCCACCTCCTTGGCCTTCCTCAACAGCGGCCAGAACATCATCTTCTCCTCCGCCCTGACCGCCATGATGTACCTGGCCGCCGACGGCGTCGCCCACGGCACGCTGACCGTCGGCGACCTGGTCATGGTCAACCAGCTGGTCTTCCAGCTGTCCGTCCCCCTCAACTTCCTCGGCTCCGTCTACCGCGAGTTGCGCCAGTCTCTGCTGGACATGGAGACACTCTTCAACCTGCAAAAGGTCAACGTCTCCGTCAAGGACGCGCCTGACGCCAAGCCCCTGGCCCTGTCCAAGGGCGGCGAGATCAGGTTCGAGGACGTGACCTTTGGTTACCATCCCGACCGCCCCATCCTGCGCAACCTCTCCCTCACCATCCCCGCCGGCAAGAAGGTTGCCGTCGTCGGCCCCAGCGGCTGCGGCAAGTCGACCCTCCTCCGCCTCCTCTTCCGCTTCTACGATGCCCAGACCGGCCGCATCTTCATCGACGACCAGGACGTCCGTCAGGTCCAGCTCGACTCCCTGCGTCGGGCCATCGGCGTCGTCCCCCAGGACACCCCCCTCTTCAACGACACCATTGAGCACAACATTCGATACGGCGACATGTCTGCGCCCCGGGAGCGCGTCATCGCCGCCGCCCAGCGCGCTCGCATCCACGAAATCATCGAGCGGCTCCCCGACGGGTACCAGACCAAAGTCGGAGAGCGTGGCATGATGATCTCTGGCGGCGAGAAGCAGCGTTTGGCTGTGAGCAGGTTGCTTCTCAAGGACCCACCCTTGCTCTTCTTCGATGAGGCCACCAGCGCCCTTGATACCCACACCGAGCAGGCCCTCATGCTCAACATCAACAGCATCTTGCGCGAGAAGTCGCGCACCAGCGTATTCGTGGCCCATAGGCTGCGCACCATCTTCGACGCTGATCTCATCATCGTGCTCAAGGAGGGTAACGTGGCTGAGATGGGTACCCACAGGGAGCTCATTGACCGTGGCGGCTTGTATGCCGAGCTCTGGAGCGGTAGGTCATCGTCGTTACCTGGACTTTTTTTTTTGCAACTCTTGACTGACATTCCAAATCCAGCCCAGGAGACCCTGTTCGATTCTGACGGCCAGGAGCGAGACCAACAGGAAGAAGGAGATGATGCTACGAGAAAACCCCCGGCGTAGTGCATTGTGGGCAAGACAACCCATCCGAACCTAGAGTCATTTTTTTTAAGTCCGAAGTAGTTACGGACGAAACAGACTGTCGTCGGTCTTTGCTCTGGACTTTCTTCTAGAAAGAAACGACACCTTGTTCTTCCAACCAGCAGGGCTCGACCTCTCATAGTGCGCCGGCAGCCCCGAGTCCTTGTGTCCCGTCGCCGTCGTCCATGTCAGCTGTTCCTTGCCTCGAGACCCGTGGAGCGTCGCGCTTCTGTTAGTCGGCTTGAAAGCCTTGGATACCCATGCAAGAACCATGTCCCATTTGTACCCGTAGAGGAATGCCAGCCCCAGCACGCCAAAAGTCACGGGCAACGCCGAGATCCAAAAGGCCCTTTGGTCGCGACTTGTATCCCTGATGTCGGTCGTGTTCATCCCGAAGAAACTCGTGACGAACGAGCTGGTCCAACGGATCCCAGGTAATTAGTCCTCTCAACCGTAAAAAAGGAAATCAAGAAATCAGCAAGAGAGTAGGGGGAAGGGACCTTACAGTGGCAGAAAGAAAAGGGTGACAATGGTGAAGACGCGAATCGCCTTGCCGTGCCCTTCGTCGAGTATCTCGATCCTTTGTTTTGTCTCGTCCCGCAGCGTCCTCGCCTTCCGTTGCAGGATCGCCAGTGCCTTGTCCCGCTCGGCGAGCCTCCGTTGCTGTCTACGTATGCACTTGTTTTCGAGGTCAAACGACGCTTTGCGATCTTTGTAGTACAGCCGGTCTGTCGAGCGCGACCTGAACGAAAGGGGCGAGAGGAGCCTCTGGTACGACCTCAGCAAGTGCTGCTGGGAAGCGACGACAACCCGCAGGGCTTCCAGCTCCTCTTCCAGCGCATGGATCGCAACAAAGGCCCCCCTTGTGGGTTTCCTGCTTGTGTTGAACCATAGCCGGGAGGTGTGGTTGCGATAGTGGGCGACCAGGTCTAATTTTCTTCTCTCGGTACCCGGCACGGGGACGTTGTTCTGTAGGCTACTTATCAAGCATGCCGCCAGGAACTCGGGCCCGATGGGAGCGATGATGATTCTCTCAGAGTCTCTCTTCGTGGTGCCCAGCATGATTATGTCTTCCCTGGCCCGGACAAGATGCTCGCGAACGCGTCTTGACGTCGACTCACAAGCTTCCTTTAGACGGCTCAACCTGCGCTCGGCGTTGCGGCTGTACGAGGAGCCGGACTTGGCCGCAAACCTGTTCATCCACGAAAGTTCTTTGGCCTTGAGAACAAACAGGCCGAGTATCCCCTCAAACGCGTTGACCAGGCTGCTCGGTAGATGGGGTCTGCAGTTATAGGCGTTGATCGGGTCGGTTGAGGCGGAAACGCTGGAAACGAGCTTGTGCAGCTCCTCTGTTTGGTCGATAATGGCTTGGACTTCTCTGCAGAATACCTCCGCGCTAGAAACGATCTCGCGCTGTATGTCATCCGGTCGGGTAGTTGGCGTTGCCATCCCATTCGCCCGACACAGCATGACGACACAAGGATCGTCAAATGGCCTGCCTCGTTTCGCCGACTTTGAGCACAGTGTATAAGTGTGGTTGTCGTGCCAGTGATCCAGTGCGTCTTCCGCGCACTCATACACCTTGCCCTGCTGACAGTCACGACAATCCGGGGACAAGCCATTCCCTGGCGGCGGCGGCTGGACCACAGACCAAGATCCCTTTTCTGTCACATCTCGCACGTCAAACGACCATCTAACTTGCTGCGAGATAATCGAGTCAGCAACTCACTCTGTGGCGGAGGGCGAAGAGCGTATAAAAAACAATCTTACTCTTAATATCATATCCACCGTTCCCCAAAACCGCTCGCACATCGTGTGAGTAGCGAAGCCCCCGTCTCTCGGAAGGAATGCCCCAAAAACGTCACGAGAAACGTCAAGAACTCTTCGCAAAAGAAACTCGCCCAGGTTTTTCGAATAACCGCTGCGAGTAATACTGCTAGCGTCGTCTGGCACAGCTTCCATAGCCGAGTTGGGGTTAAGGCGATGGAAAGACCCGCCATCACCATCAAGCACGCCGTCTGCAGTGTCGACATCGGTGGAACCCAACAAAGTGGATTCGCGAGGCGGAACCCTTCTAGAGGCATCCTTGGCGTCAGGACTCTCTGCTGGGCGTTGAACCCGCTGAAGAGACTCGGAATCCGCTATTGCTGTTGCGTTGGTATCAAGGGGGCCGGCGGCTATGGAGTTGGCCATTGATCCCCCGACCTCGTGTGCCGCCTCGGATTGTCCAGAAAAGGAGGACATTGTTTTCGTAAGACACCGGAACCTCTCCAAAAGCTGGGCTTGGGTACATTCAAAAGATGCTCTATACCATTTGCCAGCTTTGTCCGACTCGAGGCCGGCGTTGAGATTGCTCAAGAGCTGGAACAGTGTCCTGTCGATCTCGGCTCTTGATCTTTTATCATCTTTCCACGTCAGCCGCCATGCTAGAAATGGAACGAAATCCATCTTTGGCGTGTTGAGCGGTGGGGGTTCCGTTTCAAAACCACTGCTGAGAAACGCGTCTAGCATTGGTACAGGACCCGGGTTACGGTATGGTGAATCCCTGGGTAACGTCGATCCGGGAGTCTCGTGAAGATCGAATGAGCTTGATGGTGGTTCTGGATCGAGGGGCGACCCGCTAGGATAAGTGAATGTCGACGCTCTCGAAGGATTCCAACTTCTATCAGCGGATCGTTGTCTTGATGAAGGTAGCGTTGTTGGGCCGCTATCGCGGCTGTCAGCCGATCGAGCCGTTTCTCGACGTCGAAAGATGAATCGCATATCAGGCACACCACCTGGATAAGCCGTTTCTGACCCCAAGTTGGGCTTTTCATTCTGTGGTATTACTGGTTAGTAAAGAGCAGAACCTCCAAGCTAAGCTCCCGAATACCTTGGTAATCTTCCCACGTCTAAACTCCGTATGCCGGTCCATGTCGAAAAGTTCTGGCACATAGTTATAGTCGCTTGATTGAGGAGAGCGAATCATATGTGAATCTCTCCTTCTGAAGCTTGTCTCCGAAGCAGACGAGGTCAAATCCACGATTCCGTCGATCGACGAGCCTTCGGAATTGGCTTCATTGACGTGTGCCCAGAAAGACATGGACAATGTCTCAACATCCATATCGGACCCTTCATCCTCGGCACTGTCTATTGAATGTGACGATTGAGAGCCAGCGTCATACGCTCCTATGCTAGGGTGTACAACCACTTCCATGTTTTTGTGACTGGTGCTTGCAATCTCGGAGCGAAAGGAACTGCGGAACTGTTAGCCAAACTGATAACTTGAGATACAGCCAACCCTTACCTTGGACGAGAGTATCTTCCAAGACTGCTGCGGCTGCCCGCCGTAAGCCTTGCAGACAACGCGCGGAAATCCTCGTTAGGTGACCTATGGCCTGCGTGCCTCGGTCGAAGGCAGAACACGTATTCCTCGATGGAGCCTTCTACAAGTAGCCTTAGCCAAGTATCTGCTGTTATCAAGACACCCGAATCATCCATCAAATCATAGGTCGCCGCATTTGACCGTCCCTTACTCACAAGGGAGACAGCATGTCTTAAAAAGTCCTGAATGGCAAGTTTAGCGTGTGCGATCTTGAGTAGAATGGTAGGTGGGAGGGCTTAATTATCACTTACGACGTATTTACAGTCTGTTTTGATGACAATGTTGTACCGGAAGGTATCCTTTTCATCAATGAGTCTGATGGTGTAAACTCCTGTCTCTGAATCTATTCCGTCGATTGTAATCAGGTCGTTCCGCACCTCTTCCGAGGAAAGCTCGGAGCTAGTAATGATCAAATCTACTCTTGTATTTAGATACCTCTCGCGGAAAACTCGGGATTCAGAAATTCGTGCATCACCGCTTACCCGTACCAACGACTAAAGACCAAAGTTGAGGCACTTGCAGTGTCGTGGAGTTTTGACTTTCACCTTGAATAATACGCGAAATTTCATGGCTTCCGTTTTCGTAGCCGTAGAGAACCTCCGAAAGACTCCTCGTACAATGGTTTCCGTTATATTCTTTTCGGGGTGCCCTTTCGGCGAGAATAAGGTGTGGCGCGGACAAGAACACTACAGGCTCTGTGTCGGATATTGCATCGCCCGGATAACTTCCAAGGGATCTGTTGTATCTCCCAATGTATTGAATGGTTGACCCGGGTTCAATGTACAACCCAGTCTCCGATGGCCTTGTGCACCGGGCTGCGACCTCCTTGAGAACCGTCAGGGCAACCAATTTCAAGGGATGTGATATATAAGGGCAGTCTGCCACAAGATCCTTTGTTGCTATAGGATTAGCCAAAAGCATAAGTAAGTGTAGTTGGGAGAGGCATTGTCCGGTTTACCTCGAGGGTCAAAAGGTTCAGGGACCGAGCTTGTACGTGACTGCATTTGGATTTAACATCGATCAACCCATTTCCGTAACACAATGTCGCACTTACAGCCATCTCATGCGCACCAAGGACGGAGCACTCAGCCCGTTTCCGGGATCGTTAGGGCATACAAGCGTGACCCTCTGGTTTCCTGCTCGGTCCATGTAAAACTCTGCTGCATGGACCGAGTAAAGATGCGTGGTGCCGTTGATGAGTTCTGACTTCTCCTGATTCCAAGACGGGAACCGACCCGCCGTGAGGTCAAAAGCGTTTTCTCCAAACGCTTTCGTAGTGTTGAGACTAAGAACTCCGGAGTGGGCGATCGGTCCTTCGTGCTCATCATGGCCTATATCGCCAAACGCCGAGTCCAGGTCGTCATCCGATGCCTCATCATGGGCCGAATATTGTAAGGAGCCTTCCTCGGCGGGTAGTTCCACGTTGACCCAATCGAAGCCTCGGTCTCTGGGATAATCTATCGGCTTTCCACTGCTGTGGTCCTCGATTTCGGCGTCCGACCTGCGGTATTCTTCGCTCAACTTCAGAACTTCGTCAATGAGGCGCTCGTCAAGTGCTACAAGCAAGACAACTGTAGTGCCTTCCTCGACGAACGGATAACCCAGATCGATCAAGGCTCGTTTCGAGACCAATTTCGCAGGAATGCGCGTCTTTCCATTTTTGGGGTAAGACTCCCGATGGAAGGAGGCGATGCTGGACCTCGAAGAGTTTGACGATGAACCGGACCAATCCTCGTCGCCGCCTTCTTCAAAACGGATTTGTTTGCGTTTTCTCGGCATACTGGGCGCTCTACAAGTACCAACAACAGGCCTGTTCTGTTATATGCCGAATCAGAAAGAGCAACTGGCTCTGCCGATTTGAGGGATTGGTCTGCAGCGCCACTAGATCGGATCAGTCTACTGACTTGTCATCATGGAGGCCTACCATTTCTCCCAGATTCCTATCATGTTTGGCAACGCTTGAGGCCAGGTGAGGGGTTGTGGTCCAATATGTAGGCAGAAGTTGTCAACGCTCCTTTCAGCCTATCGGAGTTATCTCTCTTTGGGCAATCAACCCCTGCAAGCAAGGGGTTGATGCAGGATGATGCAGCTGACATTGGGTGCTTTGAGACGCGCAGCAACTAGTCCACGGTGGGCTTAGTGATTACATACCTAAGTGAAAGACCAGGGTTGCAACAAGGCTAGATCCCGAATGGTTGCCATTGCAACAAGGCACAATAGCTTTACGATCGAAGGTCGACCCTTATTGACTCCATACTAACTCAGCAAATAACAACTCCGGAGCGGAGTTTCGGATATTCAACTGTTCGTTGAAAGTAAACCTAATTGTGTGCTGTTTCTCTAAGCAACGGATCGGCTTGTGCAGTGGGAGCACATAATGTAGCCGACTGCCCAATCATAAAATGTTCCAAATGAATCCAATCCTGGAACTTGATTTCCCTGGACAACAGTTTCGCAACAACTCCAGAGCATATGTGACTCTTACCGACAATAAGATATATGTATGGCCTTCCTTAGATACACGATACTAAGCTGGTTATGAAACCACCATATCAGGCATTATGAGCCCTAGTTGCGAGAGACTATTTGGTTTAGTGTCGTAACTATGTGGATACAAACGTCAGGAAGACAGAAGCAAATTAGTCGTCGGGTGATGATATTGTACATGCCGAGATAGTTTCAGACGGTCCATGTACCCTTTAGCCGCCACTATGTGATAACTACCTCGCTGTACCTCACCCTAGCATATCGCCAAGATACGTATGTACACTCGGTCGGGTTCAGTCATAATATTTTTGCGACTACCAATTGAAGACCATGCATTCAAGAGACGCTGCGTTTGCCAACAGCCCTTCAGTCTTTGCAACGGTATTTGACGGTACCCTACTGCCGCGTAGCCTTTGTTTTGAGTATCGTCTGCTTTTGCATTGACTCCAACATAAGAAGATAAGCCACCAAGCCTGCCTGGGTTGACTTCCTTTCGAACCACGTATCGATATATTACCGATAATGGCAGGTTTCTCGAAAGCGAGACTGAAGTGCTGACAAAGAAGAGCATTGTCAAGTTCAAGTACCGCACCGACACCGTCTATCTGGCCACTGGGCCCGACAATGTTCAAGAGCGCTTCCACAACAGTTTCAACAATAGCCTCATTCCCGGCAAGTTCATTCTAGTAAACAGTCAAGTGCAGGGCATGACTGAAGATAATGTGACGAAGCTGTGCAATGACAGGTCGGGGCGGCTGGGAACCCTAGCTCCGGGATGGAAGGTGTGCCTGTGTATCGCCACTATTGGGCCCGGTTGCACCACATCTTGCACGAGATTCCGCTCCGTCCCGAAGCAACAGACTGCCTGGCGCAGTTCTTTATTACCTGTTGGAGAGGAGCTCGAACAGTAACCATTGGATAGGCGTGAGACAATGCTGTTGTTCGAGTACTTCCGATCGGGATATGGAAGTGAGATGGGTAGAGCTCCGGTAAAGAAATAACACCGAATAGTACTAGTCACAGATTAAAGCTAATTTTATCATCATGGCCAGATGAGCTTGGGTTGGAACTCCTACACCTCGCGCATGCTTTTACTTTATTATCAATAGTTTAAAAAATCCAGATCATACGACAAGATATCATATCATTATGGTTCATGATAATTATGGCTAACTATGAAAACACAATGTGGTATACAACAGTTGATCTTTGATAGATCATACTTCAACCCATGCGGTAAACCGCATCCTTCTTGAAGTACCTGCTAATATCGTTGTCCTCGCCGCAGCGGGTGCAGGTATGGACAACCTTGGCTCCTTCGTGCCCTGGGCCATAGTGGTCAGGACCCATACTGCTGGATCCCAGGCCGGTGGTGCCCGAGATATGGGAATTGTGCGTACCTTGGTTGTATGGGGGTGATCCGTCGCGCCCCCCATAGTGCCCACCCTTGCCGCCGGAGACGTTGCTTTGGACGCCCGTTGTGGTGGGAGACTGGTTATAGGGGTCGAGCATACTGGTTCTGGGCACGCCAGGCTCGTTACCGGTGAGGCTAGAGCGGGAGTGGTCGTTGACACCGCCGACACTACCAGCGCCACTGCCAACGCCGCCGTGGCTGTTGGAAACACCGTGGGAAGCGGTGTTGTGGCCGAGGCCAGAGTCCAGGCCGCCGGCGCGGGTGTTGCCCGAGCCGTAGCCCGACTCGTGCATGTCGTCCCGGTGATGCTTGTGGGCAGCCTGACCAGCAGCCATGGCGGCACCAGCTCCGACACCAGCACCAATGCCAGCGCCAGCGGCACCATGGCCAGTACGCTCGCGGCCCATGTCCCTGTCCCTCATGCGAGTGTCATAAGGGTCGCTCGAGTTGCCGCCGGCGAGGGCTGCCTGCGGATTGTGAGCAGCTCCGTGAACGCCGCTGTAGGGATCATTACCGGCACCGCCAATGCCGGCATTGCCGCCCTGATGGGGGTGGGTGAAGTCACGTCCCTCCATGGAACGGTCAACGCTGGAAGCAGGATCGTGGTGGTGAGTGTCGGCAGCGTTGTAGGTTCCCCCGCCAACGGCCTGGGGACCTCCCCGGCCAATACTGGGCTCGTTGGGACGCAGAGGCAGGTCCTTGTTAAGGGTACCGGTATGCCCCTGGGTGCTGTGAGTACCGGTGCGACCATCGCGACCTATATCGCCCCAGTATGGGTCCTGGGTGTTGCGGAGGTTCTCGCCGGGGTACGGTCTGTTGTGGCCAGGGCCATTGCCGAATTCAACACCGGAATTGACGGGACGGTGGCTGCCGGTCAGCCCAGCACCAGGAGCTCCGCGGTGATCGCGGTCGGAGTCAACGCGAGGGTCGATCTTGTTGGCCGCACGTCCGCCGTGGGGGCCGTGGACACCATCGGGGTCGTCGTAACCCGTGGTGTGGTTTCCGGTGAGAGCGCCGGTCGCCCCGCCGTGGGTGTTGCTGCTCAAGCCTCCGGCGTGACCGGAGCCAGTGCTAGTGCCGTAGGTGTTGTTTCCGGTCAGACCGGAGTTGGGAGCACCGCGGTGGTCGCGATCAGAATCGACACGGGGGTCGATCTTGTTGGCCGCACGTCCAGCATGGGGGCCGTGGATACCATCGGGGTCGTCGTAGCCCGTAGTGGTGTTGCTCGAATAGGGATTGTTGCTGCCGGTTACACCAGAACCGGTGGTTGTGCCATGAGCGCCGTGAGTGGTGTTGTTGCCGGTCAAACCGGAGCCGGAAGTGTGGCCATGGGCGTTGTTGCTGCCAGACAAGCCAGAACCAGGAGCGCCGCGGTGGTCACGGTCCGAGTCTACACGAGGGTCCGCCTTGTTCAAGGTCTTCTTGCCATGAGGGCCGTGGACACCATCGGGATCATCATACCCTGTTGTAGTGTTACCGGCGGTGTGGGAACCGCTGTGCGGACCGGTGTGCGTGCTGGTGGTACCACCCGAGTAACCACCGGTCGTGTGACTGCCGGTGTGGGCGCCCGTGGTACTCGTGGTGCCTGGAGTGTTGTGCTTGGTGTTTGACGTGGTTGCGGAATCCGAAGGGAATGCTCCTGGGGGCTGCTGGCTTCCCTGTGAGTCGTCGCTGTGGAGTGCGTTCTTGATCTTTGAGCCCAAACCCATGATGACTGATTCTTAATGTGCTTGATGTCGAGTTGAAATAGTTGGTATTAAACAGTGTTGGTGCTATGCGTATGTTGGGGTATCAAAAAACAATTCTTGGTATTCGGTGTTGATTGTAGATTGTCTTGTTGACTTGAAACATACCCTCCTAAGACGAGGAATTCCGAGCATCATATACTTCTTGTCATGAACGTGTTACGTCCATTGTCATCCGAATTTCAATGTGATGTCACAGTTTCAAAACTGGTCCAGGCCGAGAGTTGTTTCGGCAGCACCAGTTAGACAACATCAGTGGCCAATGTATGAAGTCCGAGATTGTGCTAGCATGAGCTCATGTGGGGTGCCGGATGGTGGGCAATCAACTCCCAAGACTCAGCTTCGGGTCGAGAAGCACCGTCATGACGGCGAGGGAGGGATTCATGACGTGAATTGCGGGGATATGTGTGATCAAGCAACATCTGCTCCCGCAGTAGCAGCTTGTCTCCGGTCTGTGGCGCGCCGGCACACGGATCCGATGACGGACGCCCTGGAAAACAGGGAAACGGCCTCTCTCCACCGGCAGAATGGTGCCGTCCATTGGCAGTCGTCATTCGAGAGGGGCGCCACGAGAACACCCGCCACACGGTTACGTTCATCCCGGAAAATACAGGTTTGATTCATGTGCCACTCAGGATGCAGCTGACCTGACCTACCCCCCCCCCTGGCTGACCTGACCTAGGCCCACTCTAACCCTAACCCTATCAAGAAGGAGGGTACGTCAGGTGAGGTATAATTAATTCTTCTAAAATTCAGAGATACAGGTTAGGGTTTGTGGTTAGGGTCAGTGGTTAGGGTCAGTGGTTAGTTTAGCGTATGGTATATGTTTATTTTTTTACTGTCATATAGAAGGGTGTAAGGGTTAGGGTTATGGATTGATCCTAGATTAATACAGGATCAATCTACATTTTCGGGTGGGCCTAGGTCAGGTCAGCCAGGGGGGGGGTACGTCAGGTGAGATGTATAACGCCGCGTCCGACATTAAGTCCTGTGCCACTGTGGCTCTCGAATGTGGCGTTGTTGGGCGCAATATCCAGTTGGATACGACTGGTCTGAACGCCAGGGGGGGGACCCAATCCATGGCACCAGCTGACGCGCGTCCAGAGCACCTCATCGCCGTCGGGATCTACGAAGACAAATCTCACATCAGAAATGCCTGTCGGCCCGTGAAGCGTCTTACCCAGAGAAGTTAGCGGGCCAAGAATAGCATCCACAACAGCTATAGCTCCGTGGAGTTAAGGGACACACATGACGCGATTGTGGTATACAGCTACCTATTGTTCCCAATACCTAGCAGCTTGCCCTGGCTAGTTTGCATCATTCGGAGTCCCTGACACTGGGGCCGACGATGTCACTGAGCGTTATCGACATGTATGCTGAGATCAAAACCTGTATTCGTCTCGGCAATCTTTATTACCTCTTTGTTTCCGAGATTGATTGTCTTGAATGTCGCAACAGTACTGCGTAGGTAAGCCGTTTTACAAGGAGTGGCCTTGTTGATCGCGAAGCCCAATGCCGTACTCAAGTATTCCCTGTCTTGCAGTCTTCCGCTGATTGATGATATGTCTGTCTGATAAGGTGTTCCTGGCCTCTAGTGTGAAGCTGGCGTGCCGTGAGTCCGTGACCGAGAGATGAAGGGTATTGCAGGGTCAAGCCCGCAGGGGAACCCCTCTACCCCTTTCCACCCAATAATTGCAGATATAATTTTGTTGTGTAACAACCATTGCGGATACGCGCTACAAGAAGATTAGCATCCCCCAAATCCTTGTCTATCTTTTGATCCCATTCCTCTGGACTGTCAACTAGAATCCTATGAGCGCGTGTGCCGCATGGATGCGTGCATGAAGTTATATCTACCACAGCCAACACTACATAGTATGCAAACGATGCACTAGGGCTGGGATTGCCATTGACTCGGTGGCAAGAGCCGCTTTGAGCCTGAGTGAGAAGAACAGAACATCGGCAATTCTGGTCTGACCGCCTTTGCAGTGCCGTGAGATGCATGGAAATCCAGCCTGTCAAAGTATTGAAATCGGGGAACATTCAATCGATAAGCCCGTTTCTATGACGATAAGATAACTAAAATATCACACTCTCCTCTCCTCCTCGGGTTACACCGCTCACGTGGCATCATCAGCTACCAGATAATTCTCGGACGATATCTCAACCCGGCAACCTGTGATTGAAACACACCACAAGAGTCTTCCTAACCCGCCAAATTAGTTACTGTCCGCTTTTGGTCCCGTGTTATTGTCAGAATGGTTCAAGCCCTAGCTTTCCACGGCGCTCTCGTCCACTCTCTTGGCCCCAACCAAGTAGAGATTCTTGAAAACGCAGGTCTCGTCATTGGAGAAGATGGACTGATCTCTGAGTTTTATCACGAAATCTCCGCCGAGGAGCTATCCAAGGCGCTTCCGAATAACGTACGTGTCCAAAAGCTTGAAAAGGGCCAATTCTTATCGCCTGGATTCATCGACACTCATAACCATGCCCCTCAATGGGCCATGCGCTCCCTTGGCCAGGGTCTTCACATCCTCGACTGGCTCGAGCAAGTCACATTCCCTCACGAGGCCCGATTCTCAGACCCGGTTTATGCTCGGAAGGTTTATGAAAGCTGTGTCAAAGGGTTCCTCAAGCAGGGCATCACCACCGCCTCCTACTACGGGTCGAAGCATGCCAAAGCGACGCAGATCCTGGCAGATATATGCAAAGATTTACACCAACGGGCTTTCGTAGGGAAATGTAACATGGACCGCAACGCGCCGAGCTACCTTCATGACGAATCTGCCGAATCATCCTTGAGGGAAACGGCCGAGTGTGTGGAGCATATCCGGCAGATTGACCCGGCTGGGCAGCTAGTTCGACCTGTTCTGACTCCACGCTTTGCCATCTGTTGCACACCAGACTTGCTGGCGGGATTGGGGAAAATGGCAACTGAAGACCCATCCTTGGCAATCCAGACTCATTTCAATGAAGCTGAGCAGGAGATCAAGGCGACGAGGGAGTTGTTCCCCGAGTTCTCGAGTGAAGCCGACCTCTATCACCACTACGGTCTCCTCAACCAGCGATCAATTCTCGCGCATTGCACATTCATGACCGATTATGAAATGGACAAGATTCTAGAGTACGGATGCGGCGTTGCGCACTGCCCAATCTCAAATATGACGGTTGGCGGTGGCTTCATGGCTGCGTCGATACGCCAGTTCTTGAACAGAGGCATCAAGGTTGGCTTGGGCACAGACAGCGGGGGTGGCTTCTCTTCGAGCATGCTTGACACCATTCGTCAGGCAACCATAGCCTCCAACGCCCGGGAAGCTATGTCCAGCGGCAAAGATAAGGCGCTGTCTCTGGATGAAGTTTTCTACTTATCAACGTTGGGCGGTGCCACCGTGTGCTGTCTCGAGGATAAGATTGGGAACTTTGCCGTGGGCAAGGAGTTCGATGCCATATGGGTGACTTGCCCATCGGACGAGTCATTCAGTGTCATGACTGTGCGCGAGGAAACAGACGGTTTGAGGACCATCTTCGAAAAGTTCCTCATGACGGGGGATGATCGCAACATTGCTAGAGTGTACGTTCAGGGCGAGCTTGTCAAGGATGGGTTGGTTGCATGAATCGTCTGCGTACCAGCTGCTTGGGCCTCGTTGTGATAGATTGCACTCTTGGCGGATATATGCCGCTAGCCAAATGTCGTCAGTTGGGTTCTGGTACTTCTTACTGACACTGACTGAACAAGCTGCCTACCTGGACTGGTAAAACTTCGGAAATCAACTTAACTGTGATACCGATAGTGGCGATCCATTAGCTCTGTCAAATCAATCAAAGGGCATCTTCGAACGCCATTGCAACTCCATCAAACCCAGGGGTAGAAGTTGCACAAGTCAGCAGCGGGCAGGGTCGGAACCTACCCGGCGGTAGTTGATATCAGTGTGATTCGCATCCGCAAGTAGAATGCTTGGCATTAAGGTCACGTAACTGCTGAGCATTGGCATTTGGCCTGTTCCGATACCGAATTCCGGATGCTTGATGACAATATAGAGATATAAGACGTCCGAGTACACAAGGGCAATCCTTGGATCCGTATCTCAGTGGGCCCGAAACCAACCCAGAACTTGATATCCTCAAGCAACGGGTTATATAGGCTTTCCGGTGAGTATTGTTTCCATCGAGTGATCAATATCTGCGACAAACTATGGCCCCATCAAGTCATATCGATCTCCGCCGCAGCACTGAACCGTTATCCCTGGAAGTCGTATACTGGCCGCTTTGTATCCATGCCAATAGGGGGCCACCCATCTGAAGCGGCCAACCAGCACTGAATTCGGGCTAGTAATCCGGAATACCGTTAGGTTGGAATGTATAGGGGTCAATCCAGTCTAGACTCTTCATGGACCCGACCTCCAGGTCATGACTCATGTCCAAGCATGCCCGGCGCCCGTTGGGCTTTAAGCTTATTGTCCAGATCAACCGCATTGATCGACCAAGGGCTGATTGTTCATGCTGTTTCGTAGTTTACTGTAGTAAGCCAAAAACAAACCAGAAAGGGGACGCAGTGTTCTATTCAACGACACTACCAGATCTTAAGCGACATTGGCTCGGCCGGATAGGTTTCTATTGAGCAAAGACAGCGAGCCTCACCACTACCGTTGTCGGCCGCCTGACTCGTACGCTCCCGGCCCATGCCGGATTTGGGGGCTGTCCCGCAAGGACCACGTCGCCCCTGTCTTGGAGACTTTGTTGCCGTTGGTGATCCAATAACCGTGAGCTCCAGGAGAACGAGCTCTGCTTCTACTCTGTGTCAGTCGGCATATGAGAAATCTCATATGGAAGAAACAAGCTCCGTCACCAGAAAGCTTATCGGGACTAGTTTGTCACTCTCCCCCCTAGAAGCACCTTAGACGCGCCGACGGAGAAGGTGCTTTGTCCACATAGCTACATGCATCAAATCTCCTTGATCGAGGCCGGGCAATGACCGCAGGAACGGGGGAAAGATGGGGCGCATATTGGTTGAGAGAGGCCCGATGGTCTTGGCACCTTCACCTACAACGTGGATCTGGTTTGGATTCCCGACTAGCCTCACAAACGAGAGAGGTTCCACAGTGACGGTCGGCGCTCGGCTGTTACCTTGACCCTGGCTGGGCTGTATGTAGTAGTGTGTGGTGGGCTATTGCGTCGTACACCGTTCTTAGCATCTGATATTGGATTCTTAGCCGGCATCTAATCACGTATCGTCAACTTTGTGAGTACTCCCTACTATGGATATAAAGACAACTTGTGATCCTCCAGCTTGATCATCCTCTCTGTGCCAGTAACACAGCTGAAACACATTCTTTTTCTATTCAGCTGCGGTTGAAGTCTTGGTCTGCGGAATCGACTCATCCACTTGGTATCAAGCCATCTACTCTCATTCGGTATACAAATTGCATCTTCGATCATGAAGTTCACTCTTTCCACTCTTTTGGCCCTCCAAGCCGTGGTCGGCTCCGCCTTGTCAGCCGCGCTGCCTTGCAAGAAGCAGCCTGTCGTTTCCAGCAAGACTATCCTCCGCCCTGTCCAAAGACGACAGGATAGTGTTTTTACTGTGCCTATCGGGCCAGCCAAGTTCACCCCCAATGCCAACGTCACTCTCCCCTACGAGGGGCCCAACGAGACCAATGCCATGGTCCGAGCTGTGATGAAGCACCCGGCCGTCTTGCTCGAGGATATCGAGACAATCACAGACGTACAATGCTCCAACACCGGTGTCGTTCTCACGTTCGAGGAGGCTGAAGATTACAACTCCTGTCTCGGCGCCTGGCCTTCGAAGGACTTTATCGTCGTTACAAACCATAACAATGGCTGCGACAACGAGGATGAGCGAGGTATCTACCTTGTTCAGGGGTACACCTTTGACGACGCTACACTCACCATAAAAGCCGCAACCACTAGAGCCGAGATGCGTGACCAAATCGAGGATGCTGTCATCGACTTCCAGCACATCGGTACCGCTACCACGAAACGTGACCTGTCTGGTACCATCTCTGCGGACCTTTCAGGGGCCACCTTAATTGCGACTAGTCCCCTAACCATTGTTGCCAACGAGGCAAGGTTAGAGAACACTATCAGTCTGTCGGGTCACGTTCACTTCAGCGTCGCCAAGTTGCAGGTCAGCGAGTTCTACATTGATCTAGACTACTCTTCAGCTCTGGCCCTGAATATTTCCGCTGCCGTCAAAGGCAATTTTACCAGCAACATCTACAACTACAACCCTTTGTCGGTTTCGACATCAGCATTTACCATTCCCGGCGTCATCGACGTTGGCCCCATGGTAAATTTTGGTCTCGGCATTGATTTTGCCGCGGCCGGTTCAGTCAATGCTTCGGTTGATATCACCACCACCATCTCCGAAGCCAACGTACACCTCGACTTCCTTGACGCCAACAAAACATCCAGTACCGGCTGGAACCCACAGACCAACGTCACCACCGAAGTCGATGCCGAGGTTCAGCTTCAGCTCAACCCCTACGCTGACTTGACCGTCGCTCTGGGTGTCAAGTTGTTCAACGGCCTATTAGACATGTCTGCGGGCCTCAAGTCCAAACCCACAATCATCAACGCCCTCTCCGTCGATGTTGATTTTACATACGACAGTGAGAGTGGCATTACATTCGAAAAGCCCACAGGGGATCGATGTATCAATGGCGCATGGTTTGCTAGTACATTCCACTTTGGCGTGGACGCATTCGTCACGCAGTTTTACAAGAAGAGTTTGTACGCAGTTAATGTACCAATCTACCAGTCTCAGTGCTGGAATTTTGTTCATTAAGGGGACCTTGAACCCTGTATTGTAGAATTATATATAATGACGACACGGCCTTGCGATAACAAGCACATCAATACAGCCAAAGGCTTTCATTTCTCAGTTCCCAAACTCCCCCATCTGTTCCTTGACTGAAAACAATAGGGATCACCATAAATTGTTGCTGGTCTTTCAGAAATTCAATGTTGTTCTTTGCCTCGTACTTTCTGCGTTCTTCATCTGCCGGTAAACGATCCTGGCACCGCTGGCCAAATGAATGGATGGCACATAGCCCCGGCACACCAGGCACTCGAAGACGAGTCCATAAGAGCGCCGGTCTTATTAAATTCGTCGCAGTCTGCATGGAGACTTGAGATAGTATCATAGCCACGCAGCAACCAGACGGCGAAGGAAATACCGATTGAGAGATATGTCAAGTATTACCATCACTCCCCTCGAGAATCGCAAAGGTGCAAGTGGCTATCAACGCTCGGGGCGTCATTGGTCAGGGCTCGGCTCGTATGGGCTACGAATATGGTATAGCAGCTGTCACCGTTTCATCCGTCAGTCAGGAAAGCTCGCGCGCGCATAGTTTCATCATTCGCGATCTGGAGTTTCCGCGCTAATTTCCCCGCAATCTGCAAGTAACAGTGATTCGTCAACGAGGCACACTTTGATCACAATCCTCGGGAGGCTCGGGGTTTATCCCCAATCACTCGGGGGCTGTTGATATCAACTCACTCCCCCGGCAATGTTCCCCGCCTCCGATCAGCCAACTACGGCGGTATCCCCACGGTTTGGAAAAAGTTTCCCGCCTTCTATTACCCCGCAGCGGCGTCTTGGCCCTCTCGTTCGAGACAGATACCCCGCGGCGATGACAGCTTCTTGGTGGGAGCCGGTCACCACGCGCCGTGTCAGAGACGGCAATGATACTCTTAGTAATTTCTTGACCGTCCGTCTTGTGGTGGATTCGTGAAGTAAATATAAAAGGTTCTTCTCAATGATTTCACCTTGGCTCCGTGTCTCTGGCTTTATATATCATAGTCTATTTCATGTCCGTAGCACACACGCCTGCCATTATGTCGTCCCCAACAATGAAAGCAGTGAACTACGAAGGGCCTTACAAGGTCAAGGTGACCGAGGTGTCGTTGCCTAGAATACAGCACCCTGACGATGTCATTGTCAAAGTTACCACAGTGAGATAAACCCTATGTGCTGATTCAGCAGCCCATTGTACGTCTGGCTACGGAAAAGCTAACGGTTATCGAAGGCTGCCATTTGCGGCTCGGATCTGCAGTATGAATATCAGCTATTTCGTAGAATGCATGCAGATACTAAGAATTTATTAGCATGTATGGGGGGAGAACAGCCGCAGAAGCCGGCATCACCTTTGGTAGGCTACTGCCTGCACTCACCGCGGCTCAGAACACTAACATTGAAAGGCCACGAAAACATGGGAATTGTGGAAGAGCTTGGAAGTGGTGTCACACTCTTGAAAAAGGGTGATCGTGTAGTCCTGCCCTTCAATGTTGCTGATGGTCGATGCCATAATTGCGAGGAGGGACGGACCGCCTTCTGCACAGGTGTCAATCCAGGATTCGCCGGCGGTGCCTATGGTTTGTCTTTAGGCCTAACCAAGTTCCAAATGAATCTGACAAGTACAACAGGATACGTTGCCATGGGACCATACCCCGGTGGTCAGGCACAGTACATCAGAGTGCCCTACGCAGACTTCAATGCCTTGAAGCTCCCTCCCGGCAAAGAGTTTGAATCAGACTTCATTCTGCTTGCAGGTAAGGATACTCCACAAGACTTTATCACTTGCTAACTGTATCTTACCAGATATTTTCCCCACCGGCTGGCATGGAATCGAGCTTTCTGGTTTCAGGCCCGGGGAGACCGTTGCTGTTTTTGGAGCTGGGCCGGTTGGTTTGATGGCCGCATACTCGGCAGTTTTACGAGGTGCCTCGAGAGTCTACGTAGTCGACCGCGTCGCCGAGCGCCTCCATTCGGCAGAGAAAATCGGATGCACACCGGTTGATTTTACCAAAGGTGACGCCGTTGAGCAGATAAAAAGGCTGAACGGCGGAGAAGTGGACCGATCAGTCGACGCGGTTGGGTATCAAGCCGTGGGTGCTGGTGGCAACGCGGAGCAACTCAATATCGTGCTCGAGAACATGATCAAGATTACTCGAGCTTGTGGTGGACTTGGAATTCCGGGACTTTACGTACCCAGGTGAGGCTTCTTCCCTCATAAGAGTCATCTTTTGGCTAACGTGCTCTTTGTGTAGTGACCCAGGTGCATCCGATGACGCATCGGCAAAGGGCATGATTAGCCTGAGTTTCGGCAAGCTTTTTGAGAAGGGTCTCTCTATCGGAACAGGCCAATGTAACGTCAAGGCTTACAACAGATACTTGCGCGATCTCATTATCGCAGGCAAGGCCAAGCCGAGTTTCGTGGTTTCTCATGAGATCAATATCGACGATGCAGAGATTGCGTATGAGAAGTTTGACAAGAGAATCGAGGGTTATACGAAGGTTCTTATTCACCCCAACGGAGGATTTTAGATACACGTGCGTTGGGCCCGAGTTGGCAGTGGATGTGATGTCCTAATACGATGAGGTGGCAACGGGTGTCTGGTGTTGCCACTTGTAAAAGTCGAGTTCTGTTGATGGTTAGGAAGCGAACAGGAATATTTCTTCGTCCACAATAGCGATGCCAACGCTTTCTGTTGCGACCTAAAGTTTTGCTACGATGTTATATTACCCCAACTGTGTCTTTACGAATTTATGTCTTTGATTTTGCGAATATTCACCCTGTCAACAAACAGCTCAAGAGAACAAATCGCTGGTAGAATCTAACAATAAGTGTAGAGATAGAAGCTAAGCATCTCCTACGTACCGGGTGTCAATTGATTTGCATCTTGCGTGGCCACAGTCAACTTCTCTTTATGATTTCATATTTCCAAAGATGTAAACTAACCTCCTCGGTGCATGCTCACCATAACATAATTTGTACACGAAGTACTCAACGCTCTGATCTGGTTGGGCTCTTGTTGCGTGTTCTGCTTGTAGTTTGCCTCATGATTTCTTCATATGTTTATATTAAAGCCTAAGGGTTTGATCATGCCACTCCGGGCGATTGTGCCAGAACGGCGACGGAGCTCGGGGGTCAAGTGCCATCTCCTGACCCTTTTCCACGTCTTCAGGTACAACAGAAATGCGCACCTCAACTTCCTGGACACGCAAAATGCCCATCTCCACCACCTCACTCTTGCTATCTTGCAACTGACTGTTGCTAACAATGCTCGCGCCCGACTCAGTACGCATCGTGTGCGCACCGATAATGGACACGGAATGCCTTATCGTAGGTTTTTTGCGTTTCTCTTCGTCCGACGCCGTCGGGCTGTAAGGCCATACCCTTGCACCAGGTTTACCTCGGCGTTGGCCCCCTCGAAATATATTCACAACCGTACTCTTGGCCTTCATCCAGTATTTCTCAAGCAGCCCGTCCAGAACAGGGAGAGAAGCAGCCATGGTTCCCAGTGATAGATCCAGGCACGCCCACACCAAGACTTCAACGTAGTCCCATGTGAGGTCGTTCGTCACCGTCGGACGAGTCTGCTGTATCAGGCCACCCAGAACCCCCAGCCCTCCAATTATCCAGATGGTGAACAGGCGGGCCTTCTTCGCTGTTGGCACCCGAACCTTCCACAATATGACTATGGGAGTGAACAGTAGCACCAGCCCTTGCGCTACGTGAATGCTGATGAGGACCTGTGTTTGGGCTTCAAGGTCCATACAAGTAGGTACCGGCTCGATTCGACCAAGTAGTGCCAGATCCCATTGTGCTGCTGGCGGGTTACATGAGAAGACAATGGCGAAGATGGCGAGCCCGATGTATCCGACAAGCGACGCAATGAAGATGTAGCATGATATCCGCCACCAAATACTGAGCCGTTCCGCGAGCCGTTGAATAAATATCGTCATCGATAGCTTTATCATGCCCACAGCCACATAGAAAGCCGTCCTGCAGACCATGGCCGCCACTATACCAGTGCTGTACTGCTCATAGGTGACTTCCCACACATGTTTCGCGGTCGCGCCGATTGCAACGGTGTATATCTGTGTGATGGGAAAGACAAGTGCCAGAAGCTGTGAGCAATAGTTCCAACGTTAGTGACAAAGTCTTTGATACTGGGCACGGGACGCTTTTGGCTGCGTAAACACTCACAGCACCGATGGAGATGGTGTAGTCATCCCAGCCAAATTTCATGCTCGAAGATTTCCCCAGCCTCAGCCCAATTCTCAATACTGTGGGCACAGCAACAAGCAGAATAACAAATATCAGGCCGACCAAGATGCTTATTTGTCTCGTTTCGTGTACATATCCGGGGGGAGGTTTTGCGGCGAGAAAGTAGCCCATCATTGGGTTGACATCCGCCGTCCCGGTCACGCGGAATAAACCCTTCACGATGTAATAGTCATCTTGTGTCGCCGGAGGCTGGCCTACAAAGGCCGATGTTCCCGTGAGGGGAAGGCTGCTTGGGTCGTCTGGTATCGAAGGGAACCCATCGGATGACGCCATAAGAAACGACAAAGTTGATCTCCAGACGGGATCAAAATGGAAGCATGCGATACTCCCTTGAGAAGATCATGGAGGTTGCATACTCGAAGCGTGGTGGTGTTATGTAAGACCAAAGCTGGGGTCGAGGGGACAAAAGCGTTTCCTCAGCAGCGAGGGGGGGGGGATCCGGACTCGCTTTTCGTCTGTAGCTAAAATTACGAAAAGTTTGGTCAACTGTGCCGTAGAGACACATGGGCGATCCTTTCACATTTTAAAGAGATTAATAAATGATGTGATATTAGCGCGCCCTGCATATAACAGCTGATTTAGCATCCGTAGACTAGCCCGGTAGACAGTATGCTGGTCTTCTTGACCAGTAAGTAGCATTGGGGGAAGAAAAAGAACGTTGAAACTCGGCTCTGGGTCCAAGGCCATGATTATGCTGTGCCGGGGACCGAGCCCACAAGCTGCCTTTGGTTATACACAGTAATAGGTAGTGTGGCTGTGACTGTAACGTGCAACTTTCCCCATGTCAATGCGCTTTGGTACCAAAGACCAACTCGCCTGCTAAGGGTAAGGGTTTCGAAAGAATCATCAACGTGGTATTATTAGAACAGTGGATAGAGTCAATGGGCTGCGGCCACTGATATTCGTCCACTAGTCAGTCATAGTCGTCCATACCGAACGCTCAGTTCCCAGCAAGGATGCGTGCCGGGATGCGTGTGCCACGGGGAAATTCCCCTGATATGATCCACAGCAGCCGGAGAGGGCGGGCTTGTTCTTTCGTGCATCCCTCCATCCGCTGACCCTGCAGCATGCATCTAATTTCCCTGAAATCTTCCGACCCTGGTTGCGTATAGACCTCCCCTAGACTTGGTTCCGAACTTTTCGCAGTCTTCCCACGCGGTATTAAGCAACGAAGTGACAAATATGCTAGGTATCAGTTGAGCGGCTTGAAACAACCAGCTATTCAGCTCCATGTCAATATGGAAACATTAAATGGGCCTTGATGGCTGTTAAGAATGCGAGCATCCCCGACGCCTGGATGGATGAGCCGGCATATGTTTTTCCTGAAACAGTAGTAGTCGACGCTGTCGCGTAAGCCCCCATGTGAAGTCGACTCGAAATGCTCCTTTCCTGTGCCTCGTTGACTGTCGCCCGGCACGGCTCAGGTGTAACAGTCGCATTTGCCGTCACTGCACATGATAAGATCGTACTGCTTGGGTTGCCGTGGTGATCGTATATCCCTTCATAGAGGCAATGGTATGTTGTCAAAGATACATAGCTGATCATGCCAAGCGCCGTCGGGCACGTACTGGTAAAGGTCGGCGTTGGAGCTCCCGATTCCACGTTAAATCCGAATGTGCCGTTGGCGACTTTGACGCTCGCCCAGTTTTCAGAGCTCCCAGGCACCATTTCGCACCACGGCCCCGTGTGGATAGTCCACGAGAAGGTGTATTCACCACCGTCGAGATGATCGGTGTAGGCGACCTCGAGATGCGGGCTGTCGAGTTAGACGGTATCGTTCTTCAGTGTTGATCCAATGGTGTTGAATGGCAAGCGGTCAACCTGAGAATGAGGCTTCTTGTACACATCCCATGAGAAAGCCCATCCATAGTGATACGCAATGTCTGGACTCTGGAGTGAAAGGACAACGGGAGGTCCGTCGCTGGTTTCGGCATACTTGCCCCCGGCGCGAGGAAACACGAGGTCGAGTTCAACAGTGTTGGGAGAGAGCTGCGCCGCCGCCGTCTGGCACGCGATGAGCGCGACGAAGAGCTGCCGACAAAACCAATTGCTTGTGAAAGGCCAGAGGGTGCCGTAAGTAATTAAATGTCATCATAACAGAGTACGGGTGTGCCGGTTTTCAAGATCAGAATGAGACTTGAGGAGGAAGAAAGCGAGGGGATGATTTCCTGACGTGCGACAAATCCTTCGCGTACTTAAGCGACTGGCTTCCCGTTTGCCAAGAACGATTATCTGTACATATACGGAGAATATTGGGATTCATCGTGTTGCCCCCCAACATGCGGAATTACTTATTATTCCCTAGCTCAATCACTTCCGACACAATTGCCTTGCCAAACCCTTCAGTTGTGCCCGAACCTCTCATATCCGGCGTCAAAACGTTTGCCTCGGAGCGTGCAAGGACATTCTCAATAGCCGTTAGCAAGAGATCCGCCGCCTCCTTGAATCCAAAGTGTTGAAGTAGCATTTGTCCCGCCCAGATCATGCCAACAGGGTTGGCAACACCTTTGCCAAATATGTCCGGAGCACTGCCATGGACTGGCTCAAAGAGACTAGGGAACTTCCCTTCCGGGTTGAGGTTACCCGACGGCGCAATACCGATGGTACCAGTACAAGCAGGGCCCAGGTCCGAGAGAATGTCCCCGAAAAGATTGCTGCCGACTACGACGTCGAAGATGTCCGGCCGCTGAACGAAGTGGGCTGTCAAGATGTCGATGTGATACTTGTCTAGCTTGACATCCGGATAGGTTTTTGCCATCTCAGCAACGCGAGAGTCCCAGTACGGCATCGTAATGCTTATACCGTTGCTTTTCGTGGCGCTGGTGAGACGCTTCCGGGGACGGCTTTGGGCTAGGTCGAAGGCATAGCGAAGGACCCTATCGACACCGACTCTGGTCATGACGGTCTCTTGCATGACAATCTCGCGCTCGGTTCCTTCAAACATCTTGCCGCCAATGCTGCTGTACTCGCCTTCCGTGTTCTCACGGACGATCCAGAAGTCGATGTCTCCTGGCTTCCGATTGGCCAATGGCGAAGTCACGCCCGGCATCAGACGACATGGACGTAGGTTGATATACTGGTCGAACTCTCGTCGGAACTTGAGCAAGCTGCCCCACAGCGAGACATCATCGTGGACTTCATCCGGCATGCCGACCGCACCGAAGTAGATGGCGTCGAACTTGAGGAGCGTCTCCTTCCAGTCTGGCGGCATCATCTCGCCATGCTTGCGGTAGTAGACACAGCTAGCAAAGTCGAACCATTCCAACTGCAGCGAAATGCCAAAGGTTTCAGCAACCGATTCGAGACATTTTACACCCCAGGGCATGACTTCGGTGCCGATGCCATCGCCAGGGATGACTGCGATCTTGAGTGGTTGAGGAGACATTCTGGAAGGTGAGCAGTTGCTTAAGGAGTTCAATCAGATTCAATAGGATAAAAATTGTGTCCTCGGCCTCAATTGCGTTGGAGAAAAACACGCGGTTGAGTATAGGAGGGTCAAGAAGCCTGCGGCGTGGGGAGGGGTCAATCAGCACCGCTTCCGGGCGGAAGTCGGCATTGTCAGCGCGTAATTGTTAGGCCGCGGGATCTGTCAGCCTAAGCTTATCTCGGGGAACATATGTACAACGTAACCTGTGGGAGAAATTGAATGCCAGTCCCTAACATGCTGTAACGCCATACTCCGGGTTAGACTAGCTGTCAGTAGATTCGCTGAAGCTATTGTCAAGCTTCTCGAGGCTATGAAGCAATGAATCGAATCAGTCTATAAGCACCATTAGGGTATACAGGGTAGGAACGCTATCGTGGGTGGTTCGGAATGAATCGCTTCACTATTACAGTCATCCTTCGGCGTAGACGATGTCGAGGTTGCCTACCATATTGGGTCATTGACTAATGAAGAGGCCAATTATCATTCCGGGCTTGGCCTGATGTGCGGCATCGGATCACCATTCGGGGACAAGCGACGTTGGCAGCAGGTCAGAACAATGAGATATGAACGGCTGGACTCTGTGGGATAAGGTGAACGCTGCACCAGATGGAAGCGACAAACCACCGATAGTGGCATGTGTGGATGCTCAAACCAGGGCTCGATGGTTCCCATTCGAACACCAACATCATGCTGAAGTGTCCAAACAATGAGTTACCCTCAGCCAGTCGAGGTTTTCTGCTTACCAAAGGAACGCGCTTTCATAGCTCTCGTGCTCTTCCGGTTCTGGAACAACGCACGCGGCTGCTGAGCTTGCGTTGAAGTTGTTAGCAACCATCAAGTTTTGCCTTCCAAGACCAAGCTTTGTCGTTGCATTCGCTGTATCTTCTTTCCAGCATCCTCGCCCGGTTCTCCCGAGGTAGTTCGGCGGCCCTTTGTTGCATCTTGGCCCGCTCCCATACTGACCATGCCAATAGTGCCATTTGTCTCTGCCAAATCGTTCTGGCGACTCTTATCTGTGCCACTTTGGATAGTGCCGCTGTCTTCCGAATCAAGTTTGATGGACTGAGGTCGTTGGCTTCCGGTAGTGTTAGTGGCTACCGATGCTCGGGCTTGGAACCAACGCTTGACGTCTTGCGCGGAATTGAGCGGGTAGTTCCCCCAGTAAACGGGCCCAGAGTGGTAATTTTTGACTGAATCAAGTGCAGACTGTGCCGTTGCAGAGTGGCCTGGTTGAAAATCGCTTCGGTCGAGTTGAGAGAATGCGGAGAACAGCTGGTCGTCTGACACTTGGTTCATCAAGGCGCAGAGGACACTCTCGGTCTCCATTAAGCGCTTCTCCATCGTTACAATATAGTGTTTCGGTGGACCACTGCGTCGTTTGGAGTCAGCGATGTGGTTCTGCTGTACTACTAAGAAAAGAGAGAACCTGCGACCAAGGTAAACTACATGCATCCAGCCATGCCGTCTATTCTTACACCAAGATCACTTTGAGGTTGGATGGCCGTTGAAATGCATCAACTTGGGCTTCCGCGATAGTCCGGTGCGTGCGGGTAAAACACCGCTGGGGAATATTTGGATCACCCCACGAGGGAACGGGTTCCTGGTTTGTTCAACTGCCTCTGATCTCGACAGTGCATGTGCCTAGATGTGGTACAAGTAACGCTTGTTCATTCTTGACGAGTCGCCAGTCAACCATAGGTTGCTTTCTCGTATACATCTAAAACTTCAGCGGCTGTGGGGTCATCGTTCAGAGTCAGCGGCATTGCTCCTCCCTCTTCAACGAAGGCGCATCAGGCGATGTTGGTCAGGATGATTAGCGCCAGACCATATCTTGGAAAACCCCATAGCTCTTATCGGACGCTTTGCTGCAGGCTGCAGCTAAGAGTGGAACATGTGTCACGACGATATCGCTAGACCGGGAAACTCGCCGAAGGAAGCACACGGACAAGCTCAACTCGCAACGACTCGGGGTATTGCTAGTGTGTATGGCGATACGTCCGAGCGGATTCCAACGGTGCGATCGCCTGGCCAGTGCGACCCATGCTACAGATTCCTAAAGTCGTGTCTCGTAGGGTCCGTGATCAAAGTCGACGACAAGCCGTTCTGGAATGCGCAGTTCATTGACATGTTGAAGGAACCAGCTGCCCCATGGCACCCTGTCGCCGCAGAGACTTAAGCATATCTGTCGCGGCATTGGAGGTAGTGACAGGCAAACGGTGATACTCCGGCGAGGGCAGGCATCAGTATCAATCTTGTCGCATCGAGCTCATGCATGGCAAACGACGCTCGATGAACAGGGGCAGGGTCTACAGATTCCTTATCCGCACAAGATAGTGCGCGCCGTTGGCTAAGACATTTATCAATCGCAGAACTGAATGTTGTTGGATGTCTCGTGGTTGATGGACACCGTCGCCGGGTCTGGAATAAGTCAAAACAATATGTCATATCGATGGCCGATGAGACGCAAATGCCTGTTTGGCAGGCTTTTTTCGACGTAATCTCCAGCGCCTCGGAGGCTGCCGCCAGTCCCAAGCAGCGAAAGAAAGACTGGGCTGTACTCATCGTTATCCCTTGGCCACTCGAAGTCTGCTGAAACCCTGTGTAAGCCATATCTCCCGTGGACAAGAATTGTTTATAGGATTGTCAATGGTATCTTGAGGAGGCATATAAGACTTTGGGCACCATTATCCTGAAAGGGTCTTGTTTGCGACCGTGTTGGAAAAGGTCGTCTGCTTGGTGAGGAGATAATCCAGCGTGGCTTGGATTGTAAAAAGCTACCTTCGGCTTCTCGATCTCCGGAACAAATGTTCCCACGAGGTTCTGTTGGGGAAGGGAACGGGTTTCCCTTATTGATCAAGGTACCCGGCTCCATGTATGATGTGTTGCCAAGTAGTAGGTACACGAAGCAACAAGGTTCGTGTTGGAGTATGGTCTGGCTGTGAGCAAAGTGCCCCAAGTGCTTCGCAAGTACACATCTCCAACGATCTGGCCTTCTGTCACATCACGATGGCAATGATATTTTGCACGCCATCATTCGAGCATTTTCCATACCCTGAACGTGACCGCAACGTATAAACGGGTTGGTAGGGGTTTGTCGCTCGTAGATGAAGATGCTTAGACAACTTGTCAAGTTTCGCCAATGTGGGTGCGCATAGCTTCCAGGCCAAATGTCGTAGGCTTCTCCCTCCAAGTCGATAATTCTTCAAATTCTTCAGATCTGGATCCGACTTTCTGGTATGATAAATTGCGGACGATATTCGTGTGTGCGTATTGTGCTACGATTGTGTTCGTGAACCCAGGCCCCATGGCACCAGACTGCTCTAGAGACAGGGCACTTTTTGTGTGGAACAATTCAACCGGAGGAAACGAGTTTGATCGCCGTGTGCATATGGTCTTCTCCGTACGAATGTCGATGATCGACTTCGATGGTACATGAAGGAGGCCCGTCCATGGCGGCGAAAATCAACATGGTTTGTGCAATTCGATTGGTTACTAGAAATCTATAACGGTCACGGATAAGGGGACCCTGAGCAGTAAAGATATTAGTGATATTCAGGCGCCAAAACGCAACAACAGGTACAAATCACGACAAAGGTGTCAACGACCATAGTATGAATAAAATCCTGTGATAGACTGGATCGTTGACCGTGGAGGCTACTGGCCAGCTAGGTCAAACTCCAGGGATAAAACACGAATGCACCACAATCAGTAAGGAGAGACATGACCATACCTACAATCGAAGCTTAAAGGCACAGTCAGAGATACCAGAATCTTTGGTGAGCCCGACGACACCGAGAGATAGCTCGCGATGACATTGCAGCATGGCTAAAGGACAGACGGATGTGGCCGGTGTGAAACGCGGTCTGGGATTTCGCTGGCTTAATCTAGTCATCATTTGCTACAAAAGCTCGATGACGAACAGGTCCCCCGAGCGTTTGCACAGTTGGATGTAGAGTTCGCCTGGGCCACAAAAGCCTGTTTTTGCCCACTCTCCCCCAGGGGCAGTGTCTCTTATGACGGAGACACCCCCGGTTTGTAGATTCGGATCGATTATGCCATCCGTGCGATGAAGGGTCTTTTGTACCCGGTTCACAAGTGATATTGTAATTGCCTCCCGTCTTACTTTAATCTCGCTGTAGGCTGTTGTAGCGACGTCGCCATTGACTTCGAGCCTTGCCGCCGCAGCATTGTATCTCGTGTTGAAGGTTCGATCGCCGGTCGGTGGTCAAGCACCGGGGCTGTATCAAGCGTCTTCGATCTTCTTGCATTGAAATCGCTACAAAGGCGCCCGGCTATGGTATGCAACTTGTTATTCTCGGCTGCGATATCCATTGATACACAAGGGGGACAAACCGGTTCACTCGACGCATGTTTCCACCAGAACTTGAACAGATGCCCCAGTACTGTCGTCGGGAAGCCTAGCTTTGGGGGGATTTTTTTTCCCGCATGCAAGTGCTGATTTGAAATGCCGTCGAGGTACGATTGAGAGTGTATTCTTTCTGCGGTATCTAGGGGAAAGGTTTCCGTCGACTAGAGGGGGCAACTAAGCATTACTGCTTTTGCGTTTAGAAAGTCTGCCCAATCGCGACATTCGGCGACGAAACTCGAGTTCCGCTGTTGTTTTCCAATGGATTCGAAATCCCGCAACGCCTAGAAGGTCATCTTCGATACTTTGCGCTCGTTAGCACTGTCGCGCTCTTCCCAGAGTCACGGCGACGCGGTAGGAGTTGGAGCCCTACCAGTTCGAAACGACGCGCAAACCCCCCAATATTATCTGGAGTAGGGAGATTGATTGATCATTAATCTGACGTCAGTCCTCCAGATGCTATTTTGATGGGTGACTTCAATGGGTGGACAAGACATTGTGCCTTTTCTACAAGCATTTGGTCGTTGCCAGAAGCGTTTCGTTTCCAGTTTTTCGAGTCAATCCTCGAGTTCGTCGGGCTCGTCCTTCGCGTTGTCCCGGCTCGAGCCTGGTTTCGAGGAGGCCATACTGGATTGTCTCGTGCCTCCCATTTGGTCCGAGTCTCGCTTTTCGTTTTGCAGGTTGTTCAGGAGCACATCGCCCATCCGGACTAGGTCCAAAACATGGAACGCATCGCCTGTTGCTCGCAGCCGGTGGAAGATCTCGAGTGCCTCTGACTCGGGTCGTGAACATAGATAGCGGACCAACTCGTGGAGGTCCTCATTCTCCTTCTCGAGGTCTTCTGCCCGGTTGAGAAGAGCCTGGCGGCGCGTCGTTTCGGGCTCCGTGTCCCATTCGCAGTCGAACCCATGGGTCGAACAACGACGGCAAGCGGGCCGGGTTCCGCTACACTAAGGGATAAAGAGACAGACTATCAGTTGGATGAACCCTGTGAATCAATCATCAGAATAGGCGGTGCTGTGTTGAGGAGGATCGAAGGGGGGGGGGGGGGGGGGGGAAGGTTCCGTTGCTTAGTTGTCTAAGCTATGTATGATTTGATACGCATTGGTTCGTACCCTTCTAGCCACCTCGCCCCACTTGCACGGAGATGATGCCGAAGGCCATTGCTATTTGCTCAGCACCGTAACGCCGTGGAGAAAGCCAGTTTCATCAATAGGCAAAAACACAAGGCTCTCTGCTTCATTTCAAAAGCTCGACATGGTCATATTACCTTTACTTTTCTTTTGCGGCACTCCAGGCATGCTGCCGGCACCACCTGTCTCGCCCGTCTAAGGGGACGGTCGCTCGATGAGATGACTCGAGGGTTCGTGCTAGCCGGTAGAATGCGCCGGAAGCCTGTTGCTGGTATGGATACCTCGGGGGCCAGGGCGTCCCTCGAGTTGTCTTCTTCTCTCGGTTTCATGTTCGGGGTGAGAAAGAGAGGGGAAGGAAGCTCGGTTCGGGGCCGTCGTCGTGATGACGAGTGCGGACTTGCATCTAGAAAGCGTATTTTATACCTAATAGATGAAGCCGTTTTGTCCAAACGTAGGTAAGGCCATGGGTTGTGTGCATCTGGCCGCGCCGCGCCCTATATATCCGATTAATCCCCCGCAGGTCAGTTGCCATCCCTGTTGTCTTAATGGCCAGCGCCAAACCATGTGGCGGATGGTCTCTTTCGCCATCATACGTAGTTCTACTACATGAGGAGCAACCCGCCCAACCAGCCAGGCCTGGTTGTTTGTTTGGTCTTTGTATTTCGAGGCTGGGGAGTTACACTCGAACATCATCATCTTAATCATCATCATCCTTGCTCGCACGGCATGTGATCACATACTCTCCAGCATCAACTGGCCTCAAAAATGACTTCGCGGTGTGCGATACGTGCATGGGCATTCAAGAGTGCTACGGCTTGCTTGAATACTCTGCTTACTGACTTGTGTCCTTGTGCATATAATCTTGAGCCGGAGTTTTTATTCCGGAATGTCTGTTGACAAAAACGCTCCCCGCCCTCTGACCAAAATGCATGTCACCTAATGCCTCCTAACGCTAATGTGGACAAGCTGAAACTTGGAGCCCCCAGAGATTTGCCATTTATCGGCTTCTCATGTCATCAGGGGGGCACAAACCTCCCGTACCGGCAATGGTATACACCACAACCTTCAGCAGAATCATTAAAGGGAGATATAGGCAGGGAGAATGTATGCTCACGGCGTAATTGGATTTGTGTTGTCTTTTCTCAAGCATAGACAGACAGGATCCGCCTCCAAAGCACCTTAAGTGGTGCGTCCAAAAATGGACGCAAACCCTTCTGACATTTGATCACCAGATGCTGAGGTCCCAGCCCGATCCGGCTCATCCAAGCTATTGCATACTCCGAGTAGGGAGCAATAAGATTAGCGCCATACGGAATGTAACTACCACGCCCTCGTTCGCAGGCTACGGCGAGACGAATCTCAGCCACAAGATCCATTACAGGGAGGTGTGCTTGGGAATCAAACTTATCTCCAAAGGCATTTATGATCAAGCAGCTGTCTACTCGCACCAATCATGGTTCTATGTACCACATCCTGGTTGGTATCCGTGGCGTTGTTCAACAGGCAAGGCACTCGGGTGACAAAAAACATGGCCACTTTCCCTTATCACTACCATAGGACAACCGGCCATCTTTTTTGTCACACTAACGGCATCCAAATCTATGCTGAAAAATGCAACCAACCAGGTGGCGTTATCAATTTCCTGTAGATTCTGACATTGGAATTCTTCATTGTTGCATCAGTTGGTCTCTCGATTAGGGCACAAGCGACTATCTATTGACGCGTACCCTTGTAAACAAGTTCATCACCCGGGGGTTAGCCATATTCGCCCCACTGCTTCCTCCGTGTGCCCCCCCTCCCCATGAATCTGTGATCCTTTGGTTTGGAAACCCATGTTCAGTATTAAGTTAAAGGCAAAGGCTTTTGCATATTCAAGTGTCACCGGTCGGCCATGATGCTGGATAGTCTTGAGCTTCATCTCGTCTTCAAACGCCGCAAGCTCCTCGGTAGCTAATGTTTGAAACCATAGGCTGTTGCCAAGTTAGAGAATAGTGTGAGTAGCTATGATCGGGTCATTGGCCTTGCCGAGGCTACGGTAGTACTTGACGACTACTCAGATGGTTTGGGATATTTGGTTGGCATTTGCGGAACATTGTGGTAGAGGTTGATGGTGCATGCGTCAAGTCGTTGATTAGTTTGTGCTACTCCTGCAACTAACGTCAGCCTGAGAAGGCAGACGCAGGAATTGAGACTGCTGCTCACATATCGGTAACCTATCATAGCTAGGTATCAATCTGCTTATCTGGACTTTGAATTCGCCATCTCCCTCAATCTCCGAGGTGGGGGTGGCATATAACTGATTGGTCCATTGTTCAACGCATCTCCGTCATGGCAGTCACCTAAATCATGGCCTCGCCGTCTCTAGTACGTTGGCCAGCTCCTCTACTGCCACTTCTGTGAGCTTCTGTGAGCTTCTGCAGCAAAATCTCGCCTTAGGTTTCTAAACCATTTGTTCTTTCCCGTATCTGGTAGCATATTCGGGCGGATAACTCGTGGCCTTTGCGGCGATGTAGAGGACCGACAAGCGTGACGGCGGCGTCGCTTTGACTTCCTGGGATAGAACTCCCCGCCATAGTTGCAGTTTATCATAGAGACGGACTCGTATAGACATCCACTCTGCCCCCTAATTCGGAAGACTCCAAGCTCTTGTTGTATTCCATCGCCTTATTAAATAGTATCGACAGGTCGCAGGCCGCAGGTCGCGTTGAAGATAGTAGTGGCCGGTGTACCTTTAGACAGGACACATTGTAGGATTCGAGTGTCTTAGTTGACGAAGAACCGAGTCGAGGGCATTAGGAGAAAGAATTATCGGAGATACAAGAAGGCAAAGATACTGGAAGATGTCAGCCTATCCAAAGGTTTCCCATCCTGAGTAATATTATCCTGGACACTTCGTACCTCTCGAGGCATTACATTCCCCGAACTGCCCTAGAGAATATCTGCAACTCTCGAATGCTATCATGGAAGCCTTTGTGGGCTGCAGGCTCCAGCCGTTGAATCAAACAAGAAACAAGATGACACGCTCGCACAGCGCGATTCATTCCAAAGGCGGCAGCCATTGGGTATATGATGGAGATGGCTTTGGTAGTAGGGGTTAACACGCGGGCTCTGTGCAGTTCTAGCTGCCGCTGGGCTTCGTCGAAGAGAGCAGGCCGCATGCCAAACCGGTTTGCGCGTTCGCGGGCCTTGACGCGTCTCGAGGTGTGCTTCACCAGGCAGAGTTGGCGATGTAGTTAGCTTAGGAGGTATCCCATGCTACCGCGGAACTGTCGGTGGTACTATGTACGTTCGCTTCGGGCTGACTAGCAATGGGGAGCAGTATCTTGCCGTCTCGGGCGAACGCTTGTACATATCCTCCAGGAAACTCTTCTGTTCGACAAACGCGACAAGTAAAGATTCGTCCCACTGAAAGAAGCCAGCCACCAGGTCCGAGATGACTACATCATCTACCAGTTTGGCACATGGCCCCACCAGAAAACGTCGAGCGAGTTATCAGAGCGATCTATAGAATCAAGGTTGGACTGCATGGTTTCGGGAGAGCTGCCGTTTCGGTCGATACGTAATCTCTGCGGCGATAGGTCGCCGGTGTGCGCAATGTCGAAACCCTATAGCGCATCGCCGAATATTAGCAGCCACTTGAAGGTCTCGACGGCCTTCTCCCTGGGTCGTAAGTACAAGAAACGCAGGGTTTCTTGCAGGTCTTTGTTTTCGCGTTCGAGTTCCTCCTTACGTCTTTGGATGGGCACGCTTTGTGATGTGTCTGGTCCCGTGTCCCATTCGCGTTCGGTTTCTTGCTTCAAACAGCGTCCGCAAGACGAGTGTTTGCCTGGCCATCGTTGAGGGTGTCGTGGATGTCAGTTTTGCAGCTTACTAGGTGGGTTGCGTGTGGCAAGCTGTCTATTCAGCCTGATGGTGTAGGCCGCGGAAACGCATTGATTTCCCCCACATGCGGCAAGAAAGATTACACCCCCCCTGGCATGGTATAGCTACCGTATCTACCGTACGACAAGGAGATCTTGGAGGCTGCTGAGCCAAGAGAACGCAAAGATTAGGGATCCAAGCCAGTCGATACACGAGATTTTACCTTTACTTTTTGTTTCCGGCATCGCAGGCAGCCAGAAGGGACTACGTGCCGAGTGTATTTCGCCGACCGCTCTGTGCCCATGATTTGGGCCCTTGGCTTGGGAAGGAATCCACGGTAGCAGTAAGCATAATGCGAAGAAAGCCGGTCACGGGCGCAAAGTTCGGCTGACCGTCTACGACAAACCGATCATCATGAACCGAGTGCCTGTTCGATAATTGGGATTAATGCTTGGAATCCGGTAAACCGAAACCAAGAAGGCCAGGAGATCGACGCCACAGCGGCATTCCAGGTGTGTAAGCGATGCGTGACGAGGTAGAGAGTGACTTGAGATCAGGCCCAAGGTTAGTGGGCTAGTTGAATGGATCAAGAATGAATGTTTGAGCCAGATTCGCCCCGTGGAAATCACGTATAATTCAGCTGGTTCTGACTCCTTACATGGTCTTTGAGTGGTCTGGCTGAACTTGGTCTCGATACGACTGACGGGTTGCTACAAGGTCGGTCCTGCAGGCATCGCCACCGGGAGGATGCACTAACCGCTTCCTTCTGTATGTAATCATATTCCCATGTTACACAGTACTAGGTAGATATGGCAGGTTTATTGGCCGCAAAGTCAAATAGCCATGTTTCTGCGGAGCGAATGATGCCGGTTCTTGGAGACTGGTCCATACCTTTGGCATGAGATAAGAGCACAAGTCTGATGGACCAAGTGCTGGGGTTGTTCTAGCCTCTCTTCCCTACGGAGTTTCTAGGAGCAGCAACGGGGCGTGCTCCATTCGTGGCCGGTTCCCGCGTAATCCGTTTTCCTCGGCCCGGATCACCAGGCTGGAGCCATGTCAATCAGCAACCCTGGGTCTCAGTGTGTAAGACCTCTCCTGACAAGGGATGTACTGCTCGATTTGAGGTGGGTGAGCAAGACATTTGCCAGTGTATATACCGTAGCCACTAGTCAGATCCGATATCTGCTAATTCTTGGGCTAACGGGAAGGGGTATCGCGGCCGCCGTAAGGAGTATGATTTACTAGCAGAAACAGGGATCTAGTGGTGGCAAAAGTAGGGGTTTGTCATGTAAATTAGAAACAAATTAGGTAGGAAGTATAAGAAAGGCTAGCACTCGGGGGACATGGAATGTCTTAAATCGGGTAGAACTCGGATTTCTTACTCAGGAGCGATAATTAAAACGGCCCAGCAGGTATCGTTTCTGGTCCACCAGAGACTAAAAGTTGGAACTTTTCCGTGGATGTTATCATCAATTTGCAGTTGGGTTCGCTTAGGAGCCGAGTACGATAAGTTACGTATGCGCCATCTAGCAAACGTCCTCTGATTGTTCCAAGCACTTCCCCGCGAATCTAC